TATATATATATATATATATATATATACCACATTACTTTAATAATATGTTCAATTAATCTCATGCAAAGTCTGTCATTCTGACACGTCACTTCGGAATCTCCAGCTTACGAAGGCCCAATTCTTCGAACGTGTCTTGTAGAATATCTTTCAATTTTAAAAGATTCACCACCCGAAGCTTCTCATCTTTCAAATGAGCATTATCACTTGCTTGACCACATGGAATCTGAGCAGCAGGCGCGTCAAATGCTTTTTCAAGAAATCGGATAGACGGAATTGATCCACCTTCACGAATGAACAACGGATCAGGAAATGAGACGCCCCAATTTTTCTTCATTTTTTGATATAAGATCTGATACACCAAATTATCAGGGTCCCCGAGCCATGGCTCTGCCTCGTGGAAAAAGTCGACCAGTATCTTATTTTCCGATCTCAACATATTAAACTTCTCTTGCAAAAAAGAAACGAGTTCTCTTTTTATTTCCACGAGATCTTGCCCAGGAACAACTCTGATTGAAATAGATGCTTTTGCTCTTTGGGGGATAACCGTATTATTTTTGGGCCCAGAAACATCAACTCTGTGGACTGTCAACGAAGGGTTTCTCCATTTCGCTAAAAGCGTGTCTAAGTCTGCTTCTGGAATATTGTTTCTTCTCGCATATTGTTTAATTTTGTCCAATCGAGAAAGTTCAGCCTCGTCAATCGGAATGAGGTTTTCGTAAAACCCGGGAATTTTGATTTTATTCGTTTGCTGACAGGAGAGTTGACCCACTAACTGTATCAAGTCCATAGTAGGTTCTTTCGAGACACCACCATCGACACCGGAATGTCGATCTGGTTTTTCAGACTCGACAGAGATCGTTGCATTAATAACTCCACGCAAGCCATAATTCAAACACGGAGTGTCATCATCGAGCCAGTATGAATTAGAAAGCATGACCCAGTCGATATGACCTATCATGTCTTTGTGGGTGATAACAGCATCCTGAAAACCAATGGATCCCGTTTCCTCCTCACCCTCAATGAGAAACACAACATCTGTTGAAAGCTTTTTCCTTCTCTTAAGTTCTGCAACGGCATAAATAGCTGCAAGTACGGGCCCTTTGTTATCAGACACACCCCGAGCGTATAAGTTTCCATCTTTGGCACTTAATTTAAAGGGATCAGTCTCCCAGAAATCCTTGGCTTCTATAGCGTCCACGACATCATAATGACCGTACCATAGAACTCTCATGGGGATTTCATCAGACATTTCTGTCTTGTCTCTCTTGAAGTTTGCGTACACTATGGGATTGCAATCCGTTACTGGTAAGAGTTTTGTATCAGCCGCACCCAATCTCATGAGAAGTCTACCAAGCACATTGGCACAGTGTCTCGATTCCTCCAAGTAGAGACTTGGGTACTTGGAAATGGTTTTATAGGTCACCACTTCTTTAAGCGAGTTTAATAAATGATTATTGGATGTTTCGATGGACCCAATGAGGTTTGCATCCGGCGGCGACTCAGCCACAAGAGTCGAGCTGTCCGCCATACCCACATTAGTAATATTCCAAAGGCAAAGTGATCCTGATCCTCCTGAGAGTAAAAATGTCGAGCCACAATGCTCGAATGTCAGCACTGCAAATACCGAGCTTTTCTCGACTTCCACAAATCTTTGCCGAAGAAAGCCTTGTAAATCCAATTTTATCAGACAATCTTTGGCGATGCGTTCTTCTTCAAAGCTTTCATGAGAATCTTGCTTCAATGCAAATTTACAAAGCCCCCCTTCGTTGGTCGCCTTATAAATGCAATCGTTGTAGATGCATAAGGAAAGGACTTCATCACATTTGGACTTATCATCGCCGCACACAAAGAGAAAGGACCTGGTCAACTGAAATGTTGTGAGGTCCCACGCATTGATACTGGAATTGCCGAGTCCAACGTAAATGGATGAATCCTTGACGTGCATGGACAAGATGGAGTCTTCATTTTCAAGCGAAGATTTAACTTTCATAGACAAAAGCCCATCTTCGTTAATAGTTATACCCCATACCTTGATAACTCCGTCTCCACCGCAGCTCACCAAAAACATGTCAAACTCATTTTTGTGTAGATCGCAAAATTCAGGTGCATTCTGTTGTGAAAGGAATTCCATGCAATACACATAACCGTTGTGAGCGAAATTGATGATATTCTCGCCACCAATTTCAATCAAAGCAGGGCTTTTGGTTCCTGAGTTTCCAGAAGTGCGAAGCAACTGATGTTTACTTTGAGTCAGATTGATTGAGCCACCAGGCCCCTTTGAGTCAAAGAATTTATCAAATCTTAAATGAGGTAATTTGTCCACAGAAGTGCTTGCGCACTTATTGTGTGGGAGAGGCTGTAACTGTCTGTCGCAAGACAAGTCTAATTTACACCAAAGGATGGATGCATTCTGTGCACCAATAAATAGAGTCAGCAAGCATTGGGACCACGAAATTGAGAAAATGTCCCCGATGTCCACAGAAGAGTATACAAGGTGTGTACAGTTGATGTCGAACATGGTGGCCGACTTATCGTCGAAAGGACTCAAATCCCATACTTTCACTAATGAGTCAGAACCTGCAGTAAAAAGAAAGTTTTCTTCCGGGTCAATTGTCATACAAAGAACTGAAGCTCCATACGACCGGTGTCCGCAGTTCATCACATGTTTCAAAGAAAAGGTCGATATTTCAAAAATCAAAATTTTTGAGTCCTGAGTACCGCAGAGAATCAAGTCCTTTGATGGCGCAGCCACTACACTTAAAATCGAATGCGTGTGAGTCCATTTATGTACCATAGGAAGAACTTCTTGCAATCGTGACTCTTGTGCTTCGACGTCGAAGACTTGTGCATGATCAGCCAATTCTGTCTCTATGTGATCTTCTTCTGCACGAGAGATCGGCAGCTTGGATAATGACGGAGTACGATTAGGTGTGGAGTTTGTAGTGCTGTTGATTGGCAATCTTGGGCGGGAAGGGATTGGGCCTGCTTCTCCCTCATGTATATTACTGCAGGGAAATCCTGTCATAACAAGAATACGGTAGAGAGAATTGAATGTTTGCAAGCACACGTATATTAGGCACAAATCAATTGGCCTCACAGTGAGTGCGTGATTCATAGTCGCATGGAGATCGGTGAAAGTCACGTGAATATGCAACACCGCAGCGATCCCCACCAGCTTTGAGTGAATGATTCTGTTTTCTCCAACTTGCGATGTGTCCTTCATTGCACGAAAAGTTGCTCATGGCTTTTGGAGTGCTGTGTGATTGTGTTTGCTATCATGTTCTTTTGTGGACGTTGCGCTTGGATATAGCTAATCAATATGGTGCGGGCTTGGGGCAGTCATTGGAGGTTTCATGTCGAAGACAATGAAAATGACGTCAAACGAAGTACATATTTACCTTGGCTCACAGGAACTTGAAATCACCAGTTAAATTAGGTTCTTGTCATTACTTGGCAATTTCTCCGTGGGTTTCTGAGATATGTGCGAGCATGCTTTGATAGCACTTCTGTCTCTATATTTCTCATCCAGACAAGAAACATCTATTTTCACATCTTTTGATATTATATGATAATTGTGTCCATAACAGGGAAGAAAAAGGGAGTCTCTAGTAATAGTTTTGCCTCATTTCTGATTTGATAATTCTCGATATTGTGGGGATGTAGCAAATGAAACCAAATATCTTTTTTACATATTTCTAATTGTTTTGCCTGATTTTTTTTAAGTCTAACAACAATGGAAATACCGCGGTTTATAAATTTATTAATAGAACAAAAAGAAATTAGTTACGGTTTCGATGAAAAATACACACAGACTACAGATCCTAAGTATATTGTTCTTCTGTAATCGCTGACGCGTCTATCGGTTTGTCATCATCAATTTCTACAATATGAGCCAATTCATCCGCGCCTCACAAACTTTTGCTGGTACAGATGGTAGTGACATGCAGGAGAAACCACGTTTAGGCGAAATGCGTTTCAGGTGGCGACTCGGTATCAATGCCACCGCTTTCCTGTCTCTGACAATTATGATTACTCTGAATTTGATCGCAGTTCGGCTTTATGAGTTGACTTAAATGTGGGCTATTGGGGTGTTGCAGGAGAAGCCCAGGCGTTTACACGGTCTGTATAGTCACGTGACTTGCTTGTTTCTTGGCAATCGTCTAAGTCCAAGAAGGGTCTTGAAGAGAATGACTATAATGAGGTATGTGTTTCGGAAAGGTCTATGAGTGAATAATTACACTATAGTTTAGCCCATATCGACATCAGAGGTGTTTTTGGTCGTTGCTTTCGTAGCTTGAATCTGTTTTATCGCCTAATTTGAACGTATTTTTTTTTTTTTTGCCTCGGCTCTGCATGTACCGTACGTGCCCTAATAATTTTTTGAATTTTTGATCCCCACGTGGGTACCCTGATCTATGCAAACTTTGCATATCCAGCGGGCTGACGTCAAATAGGAAGGACTCCGAAATTCAAAGGTCAAAAAAAAAAAGCAATTTTAGAAAAGTTTTGTCACGCGAGCGAATTCCTATTTCAGACTTGGCGACCCCACCCTAAACGACTTTCTTTTGCCAAGAATCCTTCGTTTACACCTGCTGCAGCGAAATGAAGTTTTCACATTCGTTGAAATTCAATGCTGTACCCGAGTGGCAGGATCATTACTTGAATTATCCAGCACTCAAAAAAGTCATTTACTTGGCAGAGCAAAATCAGTTGGACAATCATGAACCCAGCGATGGCTCTGTTCTGGTTAATCGCGCCTTGATCTCGGACTTGGTGAGAATTGTTCGTAGAAACCAGGCCTTATTAGACAAGAGGGAAACGGATGCTGCCGCTGCTGCCGAGTTGACTGATGATGATGAAGTTGCGGTTGAAAAATTATCTGCTTCTAAAATCATCAATAAATTCAAGAATAGAAAAGCGAGCAAATCTGTCGATACCGAGAAAGAAGTCACTCACGATCTTAGTAAGACTGGCGATGTCGATGTCTACCTGCTTGATCTTGAGAACTCTACAATTGCAGCCTCTTTGGAATTAGATGTTTGGGAGGCAGCTGCTAGAACTGTTCACTGCAACAGTCCGAATGACCCTTTGCCCATTTTTACCAAAGATTTGATTGAAGAATTGACGAAGATCGATAAGTTCTTCAAAAGTAAGGAGGCCGAAATTTACAAACAATACGACAATCTCATGAAGGACTTGGAAGCAAACAAGTCTCATATAGACAACCACCTTTTCACCCAGGCATATAGCGCCCAAGAGCCAGGGGTGTACGAATCGAACGAACACCGTCATTTCAACATGAAGTCCACACTCGAGAGAACCACTACCAATGCCTCAGTTTTTGACACTGTGAACCATTTGGACCAGGATATTGAAAAGGGCTACATTGACGAGGAAGATGAAGAAGATGACGATGATGACGATGATGATCATCACTCGGCATTCAATTCCGCCTTGTTGGGGAAGGATGACTTCGATATCGACAAACAGAAGCGCATTGCCTTGAAACAGAGATCTGTTCATTTGTTCATCTCGTTAAGTGAGCTCAAATCTTTCATCGAGTTGAATAAAATTGGGCTCACGAAAATTTGCAAGAAGTTCGACAAGACTTGCAACTACGCTGTCAAGGAGGACTTTGTTAATAATTTTCTTCCTAACAACTCCAGGGCATTTTTTCCAGAAACCTCTGAAAAACTCGATTATCGTATAGATCACATGGTTCAGGTGTACGCTTTTTTGTCCGGTAGATACATTGCGGAATCTCCCCAATCTTTGGACACTGTCCGTGACGAGTTGAAGTCTTACTTGAGGGATCATATTGTCTGGGAAAGAAACACCGTCTGGAAAGACTTGTTGTCTTTGGAAAAGAAAAACTACAACTTGCATCTTGACGAAAATGCGGTTAGATCAAGCAAAATGGGAGACGAAGGATTTTTGACTACTTTGATGCATATGCAATTGAAGACTATTCATTTGCCCTTTGGCATGACTATTTTTGGCCGCGACCAATTCCAGGCTCCCCAATTCTTGTTCACTTCTCAAATGATCAAGATTACTCTCGTTATCATTGTTTTCATTGTGCTCATGACTGTTTCAACCATGAATGACAAGGAAGAAGCTAGATGCTTGGCGGTTTTGGCCACAGTTGCGTTGTCTTGGGCTACTGAGGCGTTACCTTTATACATAACCGCGATGATGGTCCCATTATTGGTGGTCTCATGCAAGGTTTTGAAGGCCACAGATGGGGATGGAGCAATGGATGCTGCGTCGGCCTCACTGTATATTTTGGGACAAATGTGGTCCTCAACTATTATGGTGTTGTTAGCAGGTTTCACCTTGGCTGCCGCATTGTCCAAATACAATGTTGCGAAAGTGGTCTCATCATTCATGTTAGCGATTGCCGGAACTAAACCCCGAAACGTGTTGTTGGCCATCATGTCTGTTGCATTGTTCTTGTCTATGTGGATCTCTAATGTTGCAGCACCTGTCTTGGCCTACTCCTTGATTCAACCTGTGTTGAGAACATTGCCTACCGAGTCTCCATTTGCTCAGGCTTTGGTTCTTGGTATTGCATTTGCTTCCAACATTGGAGGTATGGCGTCTCCTATTGCCTCGCCACAAAACATCATTGCCATTGAATACATGTCGCCTAACCCGGGTTGGGGCAAGTGGTTTGCGGTTGCCATTCCAGTGTCCATATGCTCCTTGCTAGGAATATGGATGGAATTGATCCTTACATTCAAGATTTCAACTTCTAAGGTCAAAGCTTACAAGCCAATCACTGATAAACTCACAACCAAACAAATTTTTGTTAGTGTTGTCACCATCGCAACAATTATTTTGTGGTGTATCGAGTCGCAAATCGAAGACACTTTTGGATCTTCTGGTATCATTGCCGTATTCCCTATTGTGATCTTGTTTGGAACTGGTATTTTAAAGGTAGACGACATTAACAACTTCCCCTGGAGTGTTATTCTTTTGGCAATGGGAGGTCTTGCCTTAGGAAAGGCAGTTACAAGTTCTGGCTTGTTGGCCACGATCGCCACGGCTTTACAAGAGAAGGTGATGGATCTTGGTACATTCGCCATTTTGGTAATCTTCGGTCTTTTGATCTTGGTAGTGGCTACCTTTGTTTCTCATACAGTCGCAACTATCATTATTGTGCCATTGGTGAAAGAGGTGGGAGACGCTATGAGCGACCCACATCCATTGCTTTTGATTATGGGCACTGCATTGATTGCGTCCGGTGCTATGGCCTTGCCAACCTCCGGCTTTCCTAATGTGACCGCCATTAGTATGACTGATGAAGTAGGAAAGAGGTATCTTTCTGTCAGCACATTCATTACCAGAGGTATACCAGCCTCTGTCATTGCATACATTTTCATTATTACCGTCGGTTACGGTGTTATGAGTGCATTGTCTTTTTAAGATTAAAAAATATAAGATAAAAGGAGCGACAAAATCTATAACTAGACTAAATCATGTTTTGAATATAATGAACGAACTTTCTTTCTGTTGGTTTTGGTATCAGTATCTAAGAAAAGAGTTTGAGAAGACAAGTTGTTCAGCTTAAGATCTGCTTCTCTTGGCAAGTGAGTCGGTAATCTCTAGGTACATTTTGTATTTTACACGGGTTCTGATTGAGTTGAACACACATGCATGTCACCCTCTCCAAGGGACAGAAAATGTCTCTTTTTCCACAGAGAGAAGGCGCTCTTTATAGCCTAACTCAGAGCGGTAAAATGAAGGGACTAAAAAGATGTACGACAAAGTTGGATGATGATAACAGGTATCATTCAGATTCTTTAGCTTTAACTCAGAAGAGATTAGCAGTTTTAGAAGTTTAAATTATGGATATTCCGTGAATATGATCTGAACGGTACTTGGAGCCAGAAGTTCCGGGTTGAGACTAGTCTATCGAGCTTCCCCAGGCTTGGGGAAAAAGTTCATACCTTAACATTTTGATTGTGTTATTCCACCAATTAAAAGCATATAAGATACTTCAATTTACCAACCCCAAAAGAATATTTACACCATGCATCTAGGGTATTGTGTCTGCCCTCATTCGTAAGGTACGGGTTCATAGCCCCGGAGTTGTATTGGATCGCGCATGGCTAGCTCACAATTCACCACGCAATCTCATAATATCCTCAAACTGAGTTTGGCCAGCCCATGAAACCCGTAAATTCAAATAGCTCGTTTGTTGACATCAGTACTAGCAGGCTGGCCAGCGAAATTGGTTCAAATAGCCCCGGTGTTGTGTCGACTTCGTTATCTTCAAAAGGGCAAATCACGCCATATTATGGCCATATCATCCAAGGTATTTTTACCCACAGCTCTCCTTCAATGCCCATAGCTGAAATTCCAGATCAAAATGAAACTGACTATTTGCTGCGAAGCTTGCCAGATATTCGTGACGATCCGAGAAACGGCACAGAGCGATTGAGGCCGGTCAGATCAGAGTCTGTACCGACCGTAAAAAACGGTAACAAAGTTCCCGAATACAACCTACCTTTTCCTTCAAGCTGGCTTAGGAAAAACAAGACCGATAGATCAATGAAGCTGCGATCCTTATCATATTCAATCGAGTACTCAGTTTTCAGGCCTATGGCATATATGAAGTGCATCGAATCTGAATCGGATATGGAGACTCATTTTGTCGAAGTTTTTGAAGATGAGGGTTATCTCTTAGGAGAAGGTGAGTGGCCTGAAAACCATATTAGTGCGGAGAATTTCAATGAAATGATACATACGATCGTGCACGATGTGGAGAATGACCAGGACCTTAAACCGATAAGAATAAGTCAGGGCTCATCCGGAAGTTACTTTATTTTCGGCAAAAAGCTCGAAAGTAATATTAGTGACACAGGCTGCTCGTTTTTGATTTACAAAAAGGGTGTTTTCAAACCGAAAGACGAGGAGCCGTATGGCCCTCTCTCTCCGAAATGGTCAAAATGGCTTCATCGAACATTTTTCCCTTGTTTTTTTGGCCGATCTTGCTTGATTCCGAATCTTGGATATATTTCAGAGGCAGCCGCATGTGTTCTTGACCGGCAGCTCTTGCTGTTCATTGTTCCTTCTACCGACATCATTCATTTGAAGTCGGATCAGTTTTACCATTCATTCTGGCTGAGAACTCGACAAAAAGTGAATTACAAAATTGGGTCCTTCCAATGCTTTTTACACGGATATGTTGAGGCAAATGTTTTTTTGAAACAGCATCCATTCCCACAAAATTTGGAAAACGTGCCTGATGACACCTTTCAATGGTGCCATGAAAACGACACCCAATTTCCTGAATTCTTTTGGAGTAAAGCATTGATCTGTCAATTCCAAGATGAATTGGAGAAGTTGGTAATTTTGGACTATATAATGCGGAACACGGACCGTGGAACGGACAACTGGATGATAAAAATTGATTGGGTTGAACTGGATCATGACGGAATACTGAAGAGGATAAGTGCTAGAGTAAGGATTGGAGCCATTGATTCTGGATTGGCATTTCCTTGGAAACATCCTGATGAGTGGAGGTCATTTCCGTTTGGCTGGCTATTTTTACCCTATTATATCATTGGAAGGCCTTTCTCCAACAAGACAAGGAGGCATTTTCTTCCTCTACTCACTTCCAAGTACTGGTGGGAGCAAACAACTATAAAACTCAAATCATGTTTTCAAAAAGACGCAGATTTCAAAGAGCGGATGTGGCACAAGCAAATTGCAGTATTGAAAGGCCAGGCTTTTAATGTTGTTGAAATATTGAAGCTCCAACACGCTGGTCCATTAGAGCTTATAAGAAGAGAAAATCTTCTTATTTGGGATGACACGATGAACGTACCATCAACGGTACAATCTGGCGCCCTGGATAATGCAATCCAGAGCAGTATCCACAATGAGTCGAATGAAAATCACGACTTTGAGAGACGCAAAACCTTACAGTACTCGGAAACCACACCGTTATTGAATCTGAACCAGTCTACCGTGGGGTGCGAGCCGCGTGCTGATTGCAAATCAAAGAACAATAGTCACATATCAGGTTTCGATTACAACATGACATTAAAAGGTCGCGACTGCATTTGCGAAGGAGATGAGGAAACAAATACAAAAACTGTGATTATAGAGCGCTTGGAAAAGGTATCCAGCAAGCAGCCTGTGTTCACGTGGTGCTGAATCTATTATTCTATTTATCAATTTCTGTGGTTTGTAGCAGCAAAAATCTCTGGATACTCATCACTGTTCTTTCCTCTAAACTTTGTTTCATCTACCTGTACCAAACCTTTATCCTCCCTGATTTTGAACTGCTTCATTTTCAACAATTGATACATCACAGATAAAACGGGGGTTTCAATACCGTTTTTACGTGCAATTTTTAAAGGATTGCCCAAGATGATCTCAAGCTCCACCAATTGGTTTTTTTGAACGTCAATGAGCATCGAAGGAGAGTAAAATAATCCATCGCCAATATGAAGGAACTTCTGCTTTGAGTCATCACCCAACTGAACTCCATCACTTGCAGCAATTGCCAACACTTCGTTCATTGCTGGCTCGAATAGCGCCTTGTTAGCCCCATTGATTTGACACCTATTGACGTCAATCCCAGTGATAGCACAAGTCGTGTTCATCACTGCATTATATACAAGTTTAGCCCATCTTGATCTGCGAGAATCTTCCTCTAAATCAATCTCATTGACACTCTTGTCATCATTCTGGTAGATTGCGGCAAATTCCTTGAGCTTTTCATCTGCGACTTCTTTTGGCACATTTGGATTATTAAATGGACTCAACAAGATATGATCCTTGTGCAGATTTTCTATAACGCAATCAATGTTCGATGAGCCGATCAAAGAGATACCCGAGAGTACAACACTGCCTGGAAATTGCTCGATCATCGGAATTTCGATACCAATACCATTCTGAATTAAAACAATAGTGGTCGACGAGGAAATGGCAGGTCTGATAATGTCCTCGCATGTCATACTCCCATCGGGTATATTCTTCGTTGTTACCACAACATAATCAAAGGGCCCAAAATCTCTTGCCGCATCCTCAACTGACCTAGCAACATTTTTAGGTCTCCAATGTTCTAAATTTCCGTACGTGACCGAGTGTACCGTGTATCCGTCTTTAATTACTTTATCGTAGTCAGATCTCACCACAAGCGTTGTCTCTGACTTTCCGTTTATAGTCAAAGAGAGAGCGGCAATACTTCCAACCCCTCCGGAACCAACAACTAGAACTTTTGGAATCATTTTGAGAATGTATAACTGATCAGGGTTTCAAACCGCGAGGAGGTTCAAAAAAGAAATGTTTGAGATAAGCGAGCCACGGAAGGTCTCTCTCCGGTCTTGTAGGATTCATGATTCACACTAGAGACAGGAACTTTGCAAAGTCGCAGTATTTCAGACAGGAATTATCCAATATAAGAAAAAGATATTATACACACAAACCAATCATGAGCTAGTTGGCAAGAATTCAGTTAATGTAGAGAGAAGTTGGTTTTGAACTTCTTGATTTCATTGAAAAGTAGAGTTGACAGTGAGATAAGCCTTGTATTATCCCCATACTTAACCATCATTCTTTTCCTTTGATGCTACAACAATTTTTATAAGCTCCGTCTGATTTTCTTGATTGAGTGTTCTCTAAGGTTCTAGGAAAGCCTAACAGAACATCATTTCCAAAATTTTCAACATCTAATTTTAAGGTTGTGATGATAATAGTGTTATCTTTCATTGCATATATTTCAGAAAGAGTATTCTGATGATAGCTTTCGAGACTCAAAATCGTATGGAAAATTATGGTCCATCAATTGTATGCATTCTCATGGTGAGTTGAGTAAAAAGAGAACCAAGCAAATAAATAAAGACGAATTGAAGAGTGTCAGATCGATAAAGATAAGTCACAATCAACTCACACCATAAGAAAGGAAATATTACAGACAGTTCTACCATAAACTATGGACAATGCTGCATTAGATGGTGGTTTGCCGGAAATCTCCGATTTCTGTCAGGTCGTAAAACATTCTTGATTCAATGACCCGAAGTTCAAAAAATTTCATAGTTTCGCCATCATTTATGGTACCTTGTATAATCTCTTCGTCATTGCTGGTCATCGGGTCGTAATTAATACCCTTTGATCGACAGAACTCGTCTATACCTGTAGTGTGTGTAAGTTTCAAAACGTGGCTCATAATATTCAACACCTGGCCGACAGCTAGAGGTAGATTGCCGGAGTTACGAGTAAATTTATCTAGAAGTAAGGCTGTAAATAGATCGCCAACCCCAGTGAAGTATGATTTTATCTCGGGAATCAGATACACTTCAACAGTGTCCTCGTCTTTCGTAGACACAGCACAATATATGAAATCATTACATCCATCATTAAAGAGAGATAAGAATCCTGACAAACTCGACACAACAATATGCTTGACATCGTATTTCGAATGAATGAATTTCAAAGCGTTTTTAAGACTATCTGCAGAGTCGATGGCAAAGTCACATAAGAGCTCTAGCTCAAATTGATTGGGGGTTATGAGATCAACGAGGCCGCTTGCCAATAAGCTTTTATAAGCCTTGACGCACAAGTCATCGACATATAAATGTCCTTGATCGCCCATCACCGTATCGCATATGTAAATGAGAGCAGGATTGTCTTTCTTCATCAGCACAATATTTTGGGCTAGTATATCGATGAGGCTGGGAGTAGGAATGTAGCCCAGAATAATAGCGTCGTATCGACATGAGATATTCTGTAATCCTTCAAAAAGCGACTGCATTTCGGCATTCAGTAATGATGAGCCTTCAACTCGGCCGTAACCAGTATGATTCGAGAAATTCACGGTGTTGATATTATCAACCTCCCAGCCTAAGTATTGCAAGGGAAATGTAGCCGCCCTTCCACCAACATAGCCATGTACAACATGTGATTGAACGGATAGAACCGACTTCATGCCTCGTATAGCATGACAATGCAGGGAAAGTGAACTCGGCAACAACCAGGAATAACGGAAGTCACGTGCCAATATCACGCGAAGATATTGTTAGACCCGTACATCTGACAAGCTGAATGGGTTCATCCGGGCTTACTGACTTGCCAAGCTGTGGTAGACAATTTCATACCATAGTTCTGCAGAAGCGAAAAAGCCTCTACGATTCTGTTGAAAGGAAGGAGTCATTAAGTGGCAGTTCTGAACTGAACGACTCTTCTATGTGCTGTGTCGAGAATTTGACACCTGTCATCTCAGTTCCGTAAGCAGTAGATAGAGGGTCTCAGATGGTCAGTAAGACTTCATCTTAATAAGCACTCAAAAATTGCGTGCGCAGTAATCTCGAGAAAATCCCGATCGCGTGAAGCTGTCGTCAGCGAAATTTTGAATGAGACTGCTGATGCAAAATACATGAACGTGCGATGAAAAAAATAACACACTATTGGATGAGTACTTGGACGGGTATTCGATAACATAGCCCGAGGTTTTCTCAAGGCATCTATGTTAGTAACCACGATTCACCGTAAATGCACTAAATGTCCCTTGTGTTCTGTAGTGCAATTCAAACCCATTTATGTATGAGGGGCAGGGCTCGTGAGCAGTAAATTCGAAGACTTTTTATTGTGTCTTGTTTTTCTCTTTTGTGATTTCTTCAGTTGTGCAGTTTGAGATTTCATGGAGTTAAAAAAATGGGCTTTTTTAAGGTGTGTGAGCTTTCTCATTTTATTCACCCTGGAGAAAGGTTCTAAGTATTTGGGCATGCGGCCTTATTTTCGTGAAAGCACAGATTCTAGAACTGCCTTTTCCCCACCACTTTTCCAGTCGTCTCTATGAAGGATCTGAGGGATGTGCCCGAGAACTTGCGCCGAGGTTAGGGGCGCGTGAATTGCGCTTTTTTCCCTATTATTATTAGATTCACCAGCAGGCACAAATTATTGAGTTGAACAAGAAACACCCCTGCCTGAGTTCTCCACACGGGCTCTTTCTTCCATGCGTTTGTGAGCTCTACCGTTTTATTTCTTCTCAGTGGAGTCATCCATGTGTTAGTCACATTGAGCGTCAAACTAGACTTTCTTGCCCGTCAAAACACGATTTGTCACACACACTGGTTTTTTATTATTCCTGCCCAATTCTTTTCGGCTCTCAGATCAAACAATAGTCATGAATTTTCTTGACATACAAGGGGCGAACTGGCGTTTGTGAGAGTTTTGAAGCCATCACAATAGTTTTCGCGCCTCGTGCCGGGTGGCTCCTAATCATAGTTCAAATGTAAAGCCATGACTCCTGCTATTGTTCCCGTTAAGAGCGACCTGATGTTGATTTACACGGTGAATTAGCCCTCTACAGGGCCACGTCTAATTTCAAACATTTATTTCATGCGAACTAGAATCCCCTCATAAATAATTATAGTTAAGCGTTTTGACATGTTGGCCAAACTTAGTGATCCAGCAAACAACGGATGGGTCTGAAAATTTGGGCTGTAATCGCGTGTGCCTTAGGTCGCCGTAGACGCGCGCGCCTAGAACGTGTGTGCTCCGTCATACTAGTCGGGTGAACAATAGAGTGCTCATGCAGATGTTGTATACAGGCACGAAGGCTTGAGCCCCGAGGACTGTGCAGGTGTGTGCGAAGATGGCTATAAAATCCCGGGCATTCCTCGCCGTGCCCTACAGTAACACCTGTGTCAAGCTCAGCCTTCTTCCCCCACTTCTTTCCTACATCATCGTGTGTTCTTCACAAGCGAATACATAAATAAACGGGCTTCCTCTTTTTTTCCTTCTCCATACCTGGCCCCTTGATCTCGTGATATGACCACATCAGTCGATGGGAATTTCAAATCGTCGCTTGCGCCTCGCAAGAGAGCAAGAACCCTGGAGGAGAAAGAGCAACGGCGTATGGAGCGGATCCTTCGCAACAGAAGAGCGGCTCATGCCTCGCGTGAAAAAAAGAGAAGGCATGTGGAATACTTGGAGTCATACGTGCTAGGATTGGAGAAGAATTACCTGGCTATGGTCTCCAATGTGTCGAAGCTAAAAGGGATGCTTCCAGACACTAATCCACCCGTTTCGTTGATCGAGCCTGAAGACTTATCCGACTTGAAGTCAAAGATCCATGCGAACTTTTCATCCATGGCGCTGGCCGAGCCTTGCTCTCCCAGTGTTGCGTGTGAAACGCCCCAAAGCGAGCCCTCGAAGGGCCCAGAAAATGAAGTGGACGACTCGCCGCAATCTTTCTTTGATAATCTGAAGGTGAAACTGGAAGAACTTGAGTCGCCGTTGATGAACGCCAAGCCTGCACCTGAATACTGCAGTTACTTGAGTCCCGTCTCCATAAACTCTCCCACAAACTCCCCAATCGACTTAACCATCAAGAAGGAGCCACTGTCACCCACCCCTCAACCCTCACAAATCTCGTCTGTGCCTTTCTTGAACTCTGATAGTTTGATGTTTGGACCAGCTACCTCAGGGCCCGATTTCCTGGCGCAAAATTCAGCAGTAATTTTGTCTCTTGGGTAAAGCAAGCGATGCTGATCGCTTTATGATTGTCTGCTGGTCAGAACACAGCCCCAAATAGTTCTCTGCTTGTCTCGTTTGAAAGCCTTATTGGATGCCGGCTTCACAGCCATGGCTCCGTTGCAGCTCGACGCAGATTTATAGCATAGAAGTAACTGTTTGGCGTGTAAAATCATTAAGTGTGAAGTGCTTATATTCTTCCCAATTTGGTCTGCAGCACCAGTCGGACCTGAGGTACATGGCCCAAATGACTACACAGAGTTATGGATGGCGGACACGGATACCGCGTTAAGATGGGGGGATGATGCGCTCGACAGACTCGAGTACAAGGACTTTGACTCGGGTCTTGGTGGGTCTGAAACCCTCGATCTTAGCGAGTACTTGACTTTCTAATTCACTTCTTTTGGTTGGTTACACACTTCTCTCTTCGAAGACGAGAACTTTCTTACACTGGGGACACACAAAAACATTACAAAAATAAAAAAAAGGTCAAAACGGAAAAAAGGAAAAAAAAACAAGATTCAATTGAACAAAGAAATAAAAACAAAAAAAAAAAGAAAACACAGCAAAAACAGAAACAAAACAAAAAACCCAAAAAAAACGCACAGCGGGATGCTTGTTTTTGTTGTTTTTACTGTTTTTTTTTTTGAATGAATCTTGTTTCAATAATAGACAGAGGGTGCACCCACTCCGGTTGATTCAAAACAGATTTAAGAGCACAGTTTTTCATGTACTGTTGGCGCTCCCAGGTATTGGTAGAAGCGACAACTTTCAATTGAAAATATTTAGACTTAAGTTTATATAATCATTAGGAATGAATGAGTTCATCTTAACACTGTTTGTTAGGTGCTAGTATCCTAAGTGTATTTTGGCGACCTCTTTACATAGCTTCCCCAGCCGATGACCTCAATTCATCGAAAATCTTGAATTTATCACTCATGAACTGCTCGCATTCTCGAACCGCTTTCACCTTCGCGAAGTATGTCCTGCAGTCCTGGTTGATACAAGACTCGCTGAACAAGTTTCCAGAAAATTTGAAATTGGTTGCGCTGCATGCGTTGCAAATACTCTGGTATTCGTTGACTTTACCCTCCTTGTCTCTGCCAGTCCTTGTCAAATCATTAACTAGTTCGAGCTCATTCTGTCTACAACTGCGACAGATGTACTTTGAGTGGCCATCCAATTTGCATCCACATCGAACACATTCCTCACTCCGCATGAAGCCGCTAATCTTCAAAATATCTCTGCTCTTCATAACAACCTGTTTGGTGGACTTTGGCATATCCCTATACCATTCTTTCACATTGACTCCCATCAAGTTGAAGATTCTCTCCAAAGGTGGAATAAGCACCTTGGTGATGTAATAATCGAAATCCAACTCCATGGGACTTTCGGTGTTGTAGGAAGACATATAGAGTTCCGGGGGAACACAACGGTCTCTTAGCCTCTCTTTTGTGGAGTCTTTCATGACCAAATACGGAACCCTCTCTTTATATTGTGGCTCGCTTCGAGGATCGCGTTCGATTTTCTTTTTGGCGACAACAGCTCCTGGAGGGAGGTGTTTCTCGTTTTTGTATGTACCATACCGTACACCCTTAGCGAAGCAGAAGTCACTGGCATTTACCTTGTTCAAAAGAATTTTGAAGAACTGTTTCACAACATATCGCTTGACTGCGGATAGGTTTTTGGTTTCAAAGAGAATCCGTAAACTTTTACCCACCATTTTCAGTTGTGCGGGAATTCCATCCCGCCGAATTGTTTCTATTCCTTTTGCTTCAAAAGTTGGTATCTTTTGGTCTTCAAATTCATAACAGTGTCCAACATATCGTTTCTTGGCAAGCAACACGCTTGGATGGTAGACTTTTTCGAATTTCAATTTAACCGGATCGGGCAAGGCTTCAGTTATCTGGTCTGCAAGAAGCTTCCCATACTTGAAAGCAAATTCGCGGGACCTACCTGGAAAGTAAACAAACAATGAATCGGTATCACCATAAGTAACCTTGGCATTATAGGGACTTGCCTCTATAATTTCAATTGAGCGTTTCATGAGCTCACGCCCTGTGGATACAATGGCATCAGCAATGTCTGAATTTGGCATTCTTCCACTAAAAGTAGCGGATGTGTACCCATATGTTACATTTGCAATTAACTTGAGTGCAAGCTGTTTTGAATTAAGAAGCTTACCGAGCTCCTTGTCATTTCGAAAAGCTGAAGCAACAGACTTTACATTGATTCTCATGTTCAAAATTTCCTGAAGCATTCTGGAAAGAATTGATTTCCTGAACTTGGGAGAAACAAACATCATACCATTTGGGGAAATATTAAGGCCATTGTTTTTGATCAACAAATCGATTAACCCCTTGGGTATGCTATGGTGCTTCAAATACCCGACTGTATTTGCATCTTGCCTATAACCTTCAATTCTTCCAATGAGGGTCGAATAGCAGTAGTTATATGCAATCATAATTGAGGGGTATAAAGATTGAAAGTCCAATACAACAAGTGGTGACTTGTAAAAATTGGACTCCGGCTCCATGATAAGCGGTACTACTTCAAGTGGCCTCATTGCATGGACTTGCGCTTTCGAAGGCGAGTTCAAGAGAGCATTCTCTGTCTTAGCAATTCTCATTAAAAGTGATTCCACCTTAAATTGAGATCCTCTGTAGTAGTTAGAGTAAAAGTCGACTCCCAAGAGTCGCGACAGTTCGACATTTCTTAATACCATTTCCTGTGATTCGATTATATCCATTATCAAGTCCATCCTATGCATATAGTAGTTGCATACCATAAGAAGCTTACTATTGGAGCCGCTCGTATACCACGCAGAAAGCTGGTCACCCAGAATTTTAGGTAATGTACGATGAAGTAGGTGGAAACATATGTTTTCAAGAGAGTAGGATGTCAATTTGAGTTCATCCTTCAAAAATCTCCAGACGTTAAACAAATGGCGACCATTAATTTTCAATGCAGATGTGTGTGTATAACCCCAACGATCTCCCAACTTTCCATTTCCTTTAAAGTTGACCTTACTCAATCTTGGAATTAAATTCACACCGTGAAACTCCTGGAAGCGCTCACACAAGTATCCCCAGCTTGAAGCATTCACTTCATACCCCGACAAAATATCAGGATCATATTGGTCAACTATCTGGACAAATGCTTCTACCATTTGTCTCTCTGAACTAAAAGTTTTTATGTTGAATTCCGTCAATGAGGCAATGTTCTGGAATATTTTACTTAAGATAGGATTATTTTCAGCTTCTGCAAAAGCTAATATACCTGTTTTAACCCTGCCATCCTCATACATCTGATTGGAGTTGTCGAAGTGATATATGATAAGCTGAATTGGGTCTTTCCTCGGATCTGGCAGCATTCCATCAGTTGTGTTAACATGGAGCTCCATTCCAAAAAGAGTCATATTGAGAAATCCGCTGGGGTTTCTCTTGATGTTCTTGGTTCGAAGAGAGTACTTGTAGTCATTTGTTTGCGTGAATAGAGGCTCAATTTGAGATCTATACTTATTTTTCTTGTATTTCTCCGATTCCTCTCCCAGATTTGTCCATTGAGTGACCTCATCACGGGTAGGAGCCGATACAGAATATTGCCAGAGAGTTCTTTTTTCGCTGAATTTTTTTGCATCTTCATCCACACACTTGAATGTCAATTGTTTATTTGTACTTATATTGACAGGAGTGTTGGAAGTGTCGCCGATGAAAGGGACTGGTATTATTCGGTTTGCAAAAATCAATGGAGGATTGTGTACATCACCTGTATCATCATATGATGGGTCCGAGTAATTGAAATCCAAAATTCTTTGTTCCTTGAAAACTGATGAGAGGTTTGATCTTGAAAAAGCTGCAGGTAACACACATTCCCATGTATTTTTGGGGTTTACTAGGATTTCGTGTGAAGTCTGGCTTAGAATGGAACCAGTAGAGCTTTCTACGTCACATTCTATAGACCCTGCTACATTATGCTGCGTGAGCATGAATATTTGCCAATCTTCCCTCTGTGCAGAGTTATGATTTTTGTCCACATGGTTATTCTCTGATGGACGGGATCGTTTCGGTGCCGGAGATACTTCAGGCGATAAGTCCATGATTCCTCGGTGCGAATGTTGTTGTTCTGGAGACACAGGCGGTGTTGATATATCAGGCTTTTTCGATACTGGGGACTTGAGTTCAATATCTTTTGTTAGTTGGCTTTGTTCAATTGATTCAAGTGTCGCATCTGCATTTTGTGCTTCGAAAAGCAGTTCGTATGAAGTCCAATTGATGAGGTCATCACGGTAATTGAGCAATGGCACATTCTCATGACATTTCATGGGTAAATTTTCATCCACAAGTTCAAATGTGGTGGGAAACCTTTTTCCCTTGAGATTACTCCCTATGATATTCTCATAATACAAACTCACATCAAAAAATGGCGTTGGTTTATTAAGCCTCAGAACAAAACTTAGTTGCTGTTCTTGTTGTGGGCGAGATTCCCAATCGCAGTAGCCACTTTGGCCTAATTTGGTGAAAACTTGTGAGTACAGTTCTGTCAATAGCTGAGTTGTGTTGTTTTTTTCCCGAATGGCGCATTGGTATTTGAGATCATCTAGGGTGAGCCTTAAAGATGAAAGAAAAATGACGTTCGTTGCACATCCTCTTGTGTATTCAGTAAATTCGTCGTGTACATTTCGTTGTCGTAGATCTAGCCTGTTGAGAATGTCACCCACATGACAATCTATCTCGAGAAGAGATCGAGACATTCTGGGAAAAGTTGAGGAGTTCAAAACGTTGTTGCGCAAAATGTACGTGGCCAAATATTTCTTGAGTGGAGATATCCGAAGACCATTATGATTGATTATAGGCAGTCTGAAATGACAATTGGCAGTTCTTAAATATCCGCATGGGTGTAAATTAAAATCTGCGAGAAACTGCGAAAGATAATTAAGATGTGCTTCATAAACGTTTGGATAGCTAAGTTGGTGATCTGGAGCTGTGAAGTCCTGGAAATCTATGGCATTCAGGCCTAATAATTTGAATAGCCTTGTCTTGTAGAGGGGCAGAAAGAACAGGATTTTGAACACAACCAGGTACCCCACCTTGTACCCGTAGACAGGAGACCCTCTGCAAAGCTTTATACATGCGATATATTTATTCTGAGGTGCTTCCGTATTATCAAGCTCAGCAATTTCGCCATCGGAAGAGTCGTCACTTAGTTCGTGTGCAGCTTGCTTTCGCTTGAAAGAGTCACCGATGGCCTTTTCAAGATGAAGTGTTAAGCGAGCCAAAATCGTGTCATTGAGCTTGGAATCATCTGTCTCGAGACAATCTATATATAAATAAGGATAATAATTGTGAATGTGGACTAAGATATTGTAAGCCGCGAGATCCAGATCCGGTACACGTAGCGTCCCGTAAATACGAATAATAGGGACCTTTGGTGCCAGCTGAAACTGGTCAAGGTGCAGAGGAGCCAGGTGGTATGAGTCTAAGTCATTGATTTGAATCGAGAGGCCATTGGTCATGAATTTAGAGAATCGATTGCTTTCAGCAATAGAGGTACTCGGAAAGCATGGCAGAAAATGCGCACACAGCTTGAGACGTCTCCTGCAAATTATACCACTGCACTGCATGTCCCAAAGTAACCACTACCTGAAATATCCGACAGGATTTCAGAAGTATCTCGTCACATAAACAAGTCTCTGACGATTTTCCCAGCAGCGAGATAAAAATGATGCAGCTACTGTGACTATTCGTTCAGCTGCCATCCGTCACGCTGTCCGCGTGTTTAAATTTTAATCGAGCACACTCACAAGTTGATTCTCATCACCAAAAAAGAATTGGCAACCAATACGCCTTGAAGTATCTAAAAACAAAGTTTTAAAGTGATTATTTCATTCCAAGAAAAGGAGTCTCGCTGGCAGCGATGATTGATGATTTACGAACGCTTTTGCTCACCAGAGTCAATGCGACCCCACGAAAACATTTTCTGCTCACGCCTGGAGCTAAAAAAAACTTCATATGCTGTGCGGGAATCCAATACGTCACACGACGCTGCTTGAGGCTTATGTTCAAAAAGACAGGCTGGCATGGTCCGATGTTTTTTGTATATATATATAAATAGCTTAAATTGAAGTCGACCTCTGCAGTATCAAATCGGCATGCAATCGTTGCGCTAAAAACAGTTGCGGGAATTTATCACATCTCAATACACTACGCTGGCTCGTATGTGGCCGCACTTGCAGACGATCGGACAAAGCAGTATAATATCGAAATGAGGAAAATTAACTCCATTGCGAGATTCTTAGATTTCGGTCAGGAGTAGGAAAGAAGTCGCTGGAGAAATGCTTAAACTTTTTAGTCCTGTCCACACTCAAAGGAAGCAGCGCTCAGGCATTGTTGCTTGCGTTTGAAGTACGCGGCCTCACACTACCCAGGCATGCGGCTCAAAAACTGCCGGTACCACGCGTGGGAGCAAATGAGTCCTTTTACGCGAAACTAGATTTTATTTCTGGAGCTTATTTTCGGAGCCCGGTAGTCTAACTCAAAAGTGTTCAACCACTGCTCAAGACCGCTGGGCCTTATGTTTCGGGCGTTGGTTTTTGAAACCTCTTGCTTTTTGTCGAGACGAGACGCATCGACATTCGCGGATTCGGGAACAGATCTTAGTTTCGCCCTGGGTGAGCGAAGCTGCATCGGTGCATGGCATCTACGAACAATTCTCGCATGTCGCGAACCTACAATCCCAGGCCCATTTTTGTGCCTGAGTAACCCAGGCCTGTGTGGAAAAGACGCACCCTGATTATTGCTGATTGTCGTTTCTCACTTGTCTTTCCTACACTCTCCCTTCCTTTTTTTCCTTCGGCTAAGATACATTGATATTCACCAATCGATCTTTTTTTTTCACTTTTTCTCATCCTCCTCGAAAACAGCCTGTCTCACTTCACAATACAGCGCAGCTTGGATAAACACCCCTTCGCCAGGTTTCCCCCGATCGAAGCCATTTTTCCGCCTTCCCCTGGATCCTTAGTTTGTGGGCCTTAGATACACCTGCTGCTCCACTTGGATTAGCTTTGCAATAATCATCACACCCTCAGTCACTCCTTCATCATCCTTTACGGACTTTTATAACCGCTAGCCAACTTACAAGATCCCCCAACACTGGTCTCAATGTCTAAAGAAACCGATCTCAACGAAGTCGGCGCCCGTTTAGAAAAGTTGGGTGTTTCACCTCGCCCCAACACATTCGATGGCTCTCATTCACCGCCCATCGCCACCTCACACGGCCATCTTAGCAGCGATATCCAAGCGCGTATCATGGCTTTTCAACAAAAACGCCAGAGCAACCCTGCAATGAAAGAGACTCCTCCAACCAAACCATTACCGCCTCTCCCTAATGCACCCATTCGCCCGGCTTCTCAGGGAGATATTTTGAACACTTCTCTTTTGGCTTCGCCGCCCCTTGAAACCTCGAACTCCACCCGATCAGCGAATGTCGGGCCTGGAGCAAACAATACTCCATCCGAGCTTTCGAAGAAGCCGTCTTTGTCACAAAGAAGAGGTATGAAACTCAATGTCCCCAATCTCTCGAGCCCATCAGCGGTGCCTGAATCCGTCAAAAGTACTGGTGAATTGGCGCGTCGCCTCTCGGAGAGAAAGAATCGTCCCGATTTCAAACTCAAGCTCAATGATGATCCATCACCCACTGCCACCGCCCCTGCTTCCGACTCAAACAGCAAAAGCGGCCATGGAGAAGCCCCTGCAAAATTACAAGGATTGTTTGCTAATTACTCGAAATACGTGGATATAAAATCGGGATCTTTGAATTTTACGGGCAAAGCCTCGCTCAACTCTAAAGGAGTCAACTTCTCTTCTGGCACATCCTTTCACATCTCGCTCGATGAGTTTCAGTTTATCGAGGAGTTGGGTAGAGGTAACTACGGAACCGTCTCTAAAGTTTTACACAAACCGACTGGTGTACTTATGGCCATGAAAGAAGTTCGCTTGGAGCTTGAAGAAAATAAATTCGCTCAGATTTTGATGGAATTGGAAGTCTTACATAAGTGCGATTCGCCGTTCATCGTCGATTTCTACGGTGCATTTTTCGTCGAAGGTGCTGTCTACATGTGCATGGAGTTCATGGATGGAGGCTCCTTGGATAAGGTTTATGGCCACGGAATACAGGACGAGACCTGTCTTGCGTATATTGCAGACAGTGTCATACGCGGTTTGAAAGTGCTCAAAGACACTCACAACATCATCCACAGGGACGTCAAGCCCACAAATATCCTAGTCAACAGTCTCGGAAAAGTTAAGTTATGCGATTTCGGTGTGTCAGGAAATTTGGTGGCATCTTTGGCGAAAACAAACATCGGATGCCAGTCCTACATGGCGCCTGAAAGAATTAAAACACTTAAACCAGACGATGCCACATACTCGGTGCAGTCTGATATCTGGTCCTTGGGCTTGACAATTTTAGAGGTTGCTGCTGGAAGATACCCATATCCTCCAGAAACATTTGATAACATTTTTCTGCAGTTGAGTGCTATAGTCGATGGGGATCCACCAAAGTTGGATGATAAACTTTACTCCAAAGAAGCACAGTTTTTCGTTAAATCCTGTTTAAACAAGAAGCCTGAGGCCCGGCCTCCCTATGACGCTTTGCTCGAATCACCGTGGTTGAAAAGACAGAGCGAAATTGCCGCCGAACTTATGAGCGAAATAGTGAAGAAGAGCATGACAGAAGAAAAACGGGCAGTTAATCCCAAGGTTGCTAAAGCTCCAGTCGTCAAGCCCAAGGAACCACTGGCTGGCTCTTTGGGCAGAGAAAGTGTCCAGAGCCTTCTTAAGAACAAGGTGAATGCGCCAGCCTTGCATAGAGGTGGCTTGAAAAGTCAGAGAATACCTCGCTAGAACTTGAAGGCCGTGCATGTCTCTTCCCTCCTCTGCATTTTCAATTGAATTGACCTTGCGTATTCCACTCTCGCATCACCCTCTATCGCCTAATGAAAAGCCTCGTTCAGGTCTGTACTATATCCCAAGAATAAATATTTACAAAAATAAATCAAGATGTTTTATTCGAATACAAGGCAAATATTCCAAGATATTTGAAATCAATGCCCCCCAAAGCCATCATGGACAATCGACGCTATTGAGACGTCCAACTGCGAAAAGCACGCAGACGGGCGCAGCAGTAACGTAAGGTTTGTGAGAAGGTTTATAATCCAGCACCTATTTTGAACACCTGGAAGAAAATAATGAGTCCCAAGTGGCGCAAAATTTCTGATTAATTGTTCATGATTTTTGACATTTTTCTTCTGCCACCTGTTATTTTCATTGACTTTGCCTTCTATAGATGCTCCCGCTAAAAGTCGAGCGATAGGAGTGGCCACCGCAAGTGAGAGTTCGAGTGCAACAAGTGCAGTACGCTAGCTGCGAGAGGCACAACAGTGAGGAGCACCCCAATCTAGGTTCAACAGTCTCGCTAGACAAAATTCCCGGCATCGATTGACCGTAGAGTTTTGCCGAAAGCATAGAAAAAAGCGCAATTTCAATGTTGCAAATTGACCAGAGTAATCTTTTGATCGAGAAAACGTTGACGGAGCGGGTCTTTGTTGACCCTGAGGCCCCGCCGAAATCGTTGGACAGAATTATCTCCGACTTCGACTTCACGACCTACCACATATCAACATTTCCAGATGACAAGGCGTTATTGTTGATATCTGTTTACTTGCAATGTTGGGACGACTTGCTGAAGTACGGCGTTTCGGCTTACTTGGATAAGAAATATGCCTCCTTCTCACAGTACTTGACGATCTTGCCCAAGGCAGATGTGGAGACAGGCTATAATTACTCGTTTGTGTTGAATCTTTCCGAGTTGACTACTGCACTGGAAGACATCAAGAAAGAGGTGGTGCTGGAGTTGGCCTTGTTGAAAAGACACGCCATTGCCTCTGCTTTCGAGAAGGCGTTTCTGCGTTACGACGAGCTAGCCGAACAATACGCCAACTCGAACACTTATGCCGAGGATATTCAAGCCGAGTTGTTTAACGAGCCCACGCTTGTGATCAAGTACCGCGGAGAGGACGAGTGTATCTTTATCAAGCCCTCATTTGACAGAGTCACTGTGATCTTCTCAACCACTTTCAAGGACGACACGGACAAGATATTTGGCAAAGTGTTCTTGCAAGAATTTGTTGACGCCAGAAAGAGATCGGTGCAAACAGCCCCACAGGTGTTGTACACCGATAAAGAACCACCTTTGGATATCCAGAACGTGACAATGAAGCGTCTGGACTCGGACAACAAGGGATATGTGACGTTTGTGTTGTTCCCACGGCACCTTGTTCGTGGTGAACGCAGAGAGAACTGTATATCACACATACAGTTCTTCAGAAACTACTTCCACTACCACATCAAGTGTGCCAAGGCATACATGCACTCGAGAATGAGATTTCGGGTAAAGGAGTTCTTGAAGGTCTTGAACCGAGCCAAACCCGAAAACATCGACGATGAAGGCAAGACGTTGGAAAACAGGAAGACTGCAAGCGGCAGAAAATTTGATTCGGGGCGTGCTTGAGTTGACAGGTGCGCTCTGCAGCAGATTGACAACAGAGGCAAACAAAGGAGAGGATACTAGAGGAGAGGATACTAGAACTGTACTCAATCATCCACTGTAATTCTATTGGTTGCTTTATTTACAAGAATGCATCACTATGACTCCTAAGCCTTGGGCTTCTTCACACCGTATTTCGACCTCGACGTAGATCTATTGGCAACACCAGCCAAATCAAACGCGCCTCTCACCAAACGATACTTAACACCCGGAAGATCCTGCACTCTTCCACCTCTGACCAAAACGACGTGATGCTCTTGCAAATTGTGGCCTTCTCCAGGAATCAAGCACGACACAACATTCCCGTTGGTGAGTCTGACTCTGCAACACTTTCTCTGGGCGGAGTTCGGTTTCTTCGGCTTGACGATCATCACCCGGATTACCACACCCTTCTTAAACGGGTTGTTCTGTAAATGGGGGGCTTTCGAAACGTATGGCTTTACGGGTTTGCAGTGTCTGCCACTCCTGATCTGGTTCAACGTAGCGTATCCACTTTGCTGGCTGATGATGCTGGAAGCGATTGGCATGCGCAGAAAGAACGTGGGCTTCGTGAATGAGACAGTGGGCCGTGGGGCCATGATCAACAGGCGTGTCTGGAGACCAGCTCTAAAACCTAGTAAACTTCTGAACATGATGCGTCTTAGCTCTCGGTGCAACGGTGTAGGTGTTGGTGGAATAACTTTAGTGAGAAAAAAAATACACAGCCTGCAGAGGGTCCATGAGCGGAGGGCCTGGGGGAGGAGCACTGGCAAAGGACAGTCCTGGACGGGGTGAAAAATACCTTGTCTGCTTCTATGGCACGTTCCCAATATATTCCTAAAGAATAGATCCCATTTCCAGGAAGTTGCAAATCAGCCGTATTTGTTGGTGCAATTTTGCTTCTGCTTGCACCCATTAGTCAAAGGTCGTGTTCTCCTCAGTTTGCATCCTCCACTGAGATCTCTCCAATCCACAAGGTCTTGCACACGAACCCGCTTACACACCACCATATAGTCATGTTCAGAGCCATTTCTTCTAGGGCCCTCAGGTTGTCTACTCCCGTTAGACTTTCTGCCATTGCCAGACCACAGATCATTCGTACTTATGCCGGATTTCCAGCTTTGACCAGAGATCTCGCAAGAGAGAGAATCTTCGAGTTGTTGGAGGGCTTCAGCAAGTGCGAGGGCAAGGAAATTACTGAGGCTTCTTCTTTCAGCCAAGATTTGGGTTTGGATTCCTTGGACGTTGTTGAGGTGGTCATGGAAGTTGAGCACGAGTTCAACATTCAAATCCCAGACCACGAGGCAGACACCTTGAAATCCGTGGGTCAAACTGTTGACTACATCTTGTCTCAGCCTGACTCCTGTTGAGCTGACTGCTTACATGAGCTATCTGGTTTCATGGCTTCTTTCGATGTATGAAGCGCATATCAGCATAGCTCTATGGTCAAAGAAAAAGCACTACTCCTCGGTCAGCGGATACTTCAATGAATGTGACATTCTTCGAAAAGATTTGAAAGTGCTTATATATATTAATCAAACGCATTAAAGTTAGACACGCTGCTTTCTGGCTTTCATATGAAAGCCTACGTATTAAAAAAATGACACAGATGGATATTTGGTATCCAGCCCTCAAAATTTTGAACGCGCCGATTTTGGAATTGCATAAATCGTCGAAGGAAATCACTACTTGTTTACAGATGATATCACTGGGTTGGTGCTTGAAGTTTCCAACCTACTCTGTCGCTCAGCATACGCACGTGACCTTCAAACCGACCAATTGGTGCGCGGTAAAAAAAGGCACTGAGAATCAGAACTGCACGGTCTGTTGAACGCTTTTATCCATAACATATACAACAATGGTTGCTGTACGTATCTTGCGTAAATTCTGAAAGCCCTCTCAGGATTTTAGGAAATTCTCCAAAAATGTGAAGATTCCATATATGTTGTCTATTTCTCAAGTGAAGAGGAGTGCGCTTTTCAAGGCTCAGCACTAACATCCATTTAGTACATCAGAGGACCAGCTTACAAGGTTGCCAAGTCAGGCTTTAACTTATCGGTTGTCAAGGCCTATAGCACTAGCTTGATGGCATGGGGTGTCGGTGGTGCCGCTGCTGTTGCTACTTTCACTGACGGTGTCCCATTGTTCAAGAACACTTTCTACACCAAAATCCCATACTTTGGTTCCCACTGGGAGTACAACCCAGACCCAGAGGATGTCCCTATCTAATTGTACTACCTCAAGTATCTTATCATTATATAATATATGCTAAATAACACTTTTGACATCGACTCACGGAATGTAGCTCAATGTCGAGCCCATGGCATCTCGCGCAATGTAGTCGGTCAGAATCAAGTACTCTATCTCTGCCTTGATTTCCTGGATATTCGTCGTGCCGCGAGGAGTTAGAACCTCGATCACTTTGCCTAAAAGCTGTGTGAATGGCAAGCTTTTATGCATCTTCATGATTCTGACAAGAGCTGACCGTGTTTCTGAACTGCGCCCTTGATGTAGGAGCTTCTTCGTACCTTCAATCACTACGGACTCTTTTTCTCTTCCCATTGGAAGTTTGATTTTGCCAGACTTGTCCTTGAAATCGTCGTTGAACGTGATCACGTCGCCATGTATCTTCAAGATGGGATACTTGTCTGTAGTCAAAGATGCTAATACCCTCCTGAGTATCTTTTCATCCATTCTAGTTGAGTGAAGAATGTATGTAAAAGACACGGTGTTGACTTCCTGAAATAGCATCAAGATGATGGCCTGCAGTAAGTTTACCTGTAGCTCTTTTGTTTCTGATGCAAAGCTTGTAGTCAACGTTATCTGGTGTAAAGTATAGTTTCTCCAATCGAGCACTTTGTGGTTTTCGTCGTTTTTTAAATGTGTTCTTTCAAATTCGGTAAGCGTCAGCTTAAGAGCGTGTGGGAGACAAATATCAGTTTCAAAACCAGGGATTTCCGGCCATACTTTCTTCTCAAGGACAAGAGCACTGAAGTCCATTTGAGGTGCGGAAGGAAAATGAAGATGACTAAACAGAGATTTGGAATTTGAGTAGTCTCTAAGCATGGCTCTCATCTTGAAATTCTCGTCGTTTTCCCCAACCACTGAGACAATTGCATCTACAAGCTGCTTCTCAAACGTGAAGCTAAAATTTCTGGCCATGAGAATTCGTTTCGAAAGGTCCTTTTCGTAAACAAATAAAAAAGCCAGCTTGTCTGGTATAAGCTTGAAAATGGTAATCACGTTAGCTTTTAGTTCAGAAAAGGTTTCCTCGGCCTTGCTTGCTTGCTTCATTGCACTGTCGCAATATTTGGAAAGATGAAGAGCTATAGTTGTGGCCAAATCCATTTTTCCGAAACTCTTTGTCAACGCTGTTCGGACTTCGAACTCAAAGGAATCTGATTTAAATCCCTTCTTGCAAATACGCATTAGATCATCCCATAGGTCGAGTATGCTTGGTATAACGTCTGATTCCAGACCGATGCTTTTCGATCGCGATTGTACGTACTTTCCCCATAATACAAGAAGAACCTTGGTGGAGTCAACACCGTAATCAGTCATTGAATTGTCGCAAAAGCATCTCACTGCTTCAAGATAATGTAGATTCTGTGGTTGAGTCAAAGCTGGAAGTGAAGGTTCCAAGAAGAGACTAAGCTCTGAAAGTAAAAACTTCCACTTTAATTTCGAATTTATTCTGTTCACGAGAACAGGGGACTTTGAGGCTCTCATGAGCAAAATACCATCGTCATTCATATTTCGTAGGAGCTCGAGAACGTAGTTTGTTTTATTCTTCATCCAAAGTTTCAGCAATTTAGTATAGTCCTTTATCATTATCGACTCCAAAGATGTGTTCACGTTTAAATTGTTATCAGGATCCATCTGTCCCAACGTGGTGATGAGATTTGTAGTGAGTTCAAATAAGCTATAGTTTGAGCGGTCTTTTCTCGTTTCAGCCAAGAGCAGAGATACTAAAGTACAAACTGGGTCGTTCGATTTTTGATACACATCTTCCGATGAGCTGTGTATCATCAGACGATCTACAAATTTGCGGATCCCGTACTCTCTGATGCATAGGTGTCTTGGATGGTGAAGGAGGTAGGATCTATCCAAGAAGAGAAATAATTGCAGAAGTAACATCAAACTTCTATCCCAATCACTGTATATTTTGAGAAATGATTTGGCAGTATCTACCATAGAGTTATCGGCCGAATTTTGAAGACACCCGGATAATCGAGGTAAAATTCCCGTCGAAAGAGCTTTGTCAATCTCGTGAAAGATGAATTCAGATAGCAGAGCCTGTTCTGAATGCTTAGCTATGCAGAGATGTTCAACATCTCGATATATAAGAGCATACAGATCATTCACTTGGTCACCATTCAAAATTTTCGATATTATCTCGTGCAATTGTGCCTTCAACTGTGTGATTCTGTGTTTGAAGTCTTCACTGTAGTGCTTTGCTCTCTTTGGATGGTAGGCATCGGGTGTAATATTCGGAGATCCTGAGCCCAAATGTGAGCCCGAAACTGAGCTAGCTGATGTATCCCCACCCATATCAAGTATGGCCAACTTCTTCATGAATTGAAAATTTGGAGGAATGAAATACAAAGTTCGCTAATACCCGAGTATTATTAGGCTTTGTATGACAGTGACTATATTATGCCCATATATAATTCTGATGGTCTATGGATGCGCGCGCGGGTGGATGGATATAGCTCGAGGTGTCATAAACAGGATCCCAAGTATTTTTTTGGTACCAGCAACTCACGAAAAGCATGAGCAAAGAACCTAAACCAGAAGCTGGCGGCGCATCCACAACCATAGATCACAAAACTTTATCTGCCACGTACAAGAAGAATGGATCATTCGATAATAAGAGGAAGATTCTCCTACAAGACTTCAAGAAGTCTCAAACACACTCTAATCTACTACTCAAGCTTAAGGTAATGGTAGAGTCAAAAATACGAAATGACCCTTCAATACTTTTGAAGAACAAAGGCAAAATTGCTGCTTTGATACAAGGCGAGGTGATCAACGGGAATTCGTCGGGCAGTAGTATTCTTAGTATAGTTGATAAAGACATTCAAGAAAAGATCATAGACTCCCCTGGTTTCCATCAAGAGCTCAAAGTGGAGTTAAAAGATATAAGGAGAAAACTTCTAGGGGTCACAGATGAGGACTATGCGAAACAACTAGAGAATGAACGCGTTCAAAAAGCAGAGGAAGACGCTAGAAAGGAACGGGAACGTGCTGAACGTGATCTGGCTTACAAAAACAACTTTAAAGTGAAGCAACTATCATTCCCCGCAAAAATTGTGAAGCCTCCCAGATTCAGCTTTCATCCCAAAAATCACAGAGAAGATGACATCGACAACTATAGGGGCTCGAATGGTATGAGTGGGCAATTGAGATATTGATGAGCCTGGATCTTCATGCAAAGTCTTGCAGTACCAATAACCTAGAAATAGCTCGAATTCCACATCACGGTATATTGCAGCTTACAATTTTGTCACTGCCCGAAGAAATACATATTCTAAGACCTCCTAGTCCGTCTCGAAAATCTCGTTTGCAATGAGCATCAACTCCTCTACAACCTTGCTCTTATAACTCAAATCCTGTGGCGACATTAGCTGGTCACACAAAATAGCTGGCCCCCAGATAATCGATAAAGACTTGGCGCTCATTCTGTTCGTGCTCTCGTTTGCGGCTACTTTGTTGAGATGGAAGATCAATGCCCGGAGAGTGAAATATGCCCCATCCGGTAAATTGTACACCAAGTGATGTAACTTCTTTGCGATGTTAAGCTCGTTGTTTGACTTGACTGTATCAATGAAGGCTTGGTAATACTCGGCTGTTAAAAGTGGCTCTGGAAGACATGTGAAGTAAAGCTTTAAGAGGGAAGCCGTACAGTAGATATCAGCATCTAAGACGTTCTCAGGATCTAAGTTGTTCCCAATTAATAAATAGTTTGCAAAGTTCGAGTCAATTGATTCCTTTAGACTTTGAACAGTCGTCTTATTGCCACTAGTTCTGTAGAGACCCTCTATATTCAACCCATAATTTTCAATGACATCAATGCACCTTTTGACTATCAAAGGAACGTTATCAATTCCTGCAAATTGAATAACCTCTTCGATAGAGACGCTGAAAGTGGGCTGTGCAGAAACTTTAATCAGGGAAAGCAGACGAGGACCCTTCAATTCTTCTGAGGCTGGATCTAGGGAATTGTAAGCATGAGCTGGGTTGCCGCTTTGGTCACTGAACGGTGGACTGGAAGTGTTTGACGCGAGCTCTGGAACTTGCTTAGAAGATCCGCTCTGCTGGATTTCCGACTCAGGGGCAAAAATTGTATTAGGACCATTAATGTTGGTGCTTTTGTTAGCACTGCTATTGAAAAACGGCTTAACTGGTTGGGTGATTTTGGAAAAAGATGGGTGAGCAATGTAGTCCACTGGCACAAGAGATTTGTTGGTGGATGATCTCATATTGGCTCGAAGATAATTGTATAAATCTAACTCGTTATCAATATCTGATGCAAGAGCCTTCATTGACAGCTTGTCACTTTGTAAAGGAGCGATTAAGACGCCAGAGTTCATGACGAGATTCTCGCTCCAAGTGGCAAATTTTTGAAGCTGGACACTCATTGCAATATCCAATTCCAAAATCAAATTCTTAAGTTTTTTTGAGTGCATTGGTCTATGAATCATCAAGATCTCATCTTTGATCTTGCGACTGTGTGAGACTTTAAGCTTGTAATCCAGATCTGCAGAATCGACCTTTCTTTGTAGTTCATCTTCTTGTTGTTCGGCGGTCTTATTCTTCAAAAAGGACTTCTTGTTTGGGTCTGAGGTTTTCAATTTTTCTAAGTCATCGCACAAATGGTAGTATTTTTGTTTTGCCTTATCAGCCAAAAGAATAGCATCGGAGCACTCTTTTTCCTTGCGCTTGCACTCCTCCTTGATCAGCTTTCTAGACTTTGAAACCGTATTCATGAGCGAGACAAGTTCATCATGCATCACGTTCAATGCTGTTACATATGAGCTTCCCACATTGTAAAGTTTTTCGTCAAACTCCACAATTGAATCAAATTTCTTAGCAAAGTTGTCAGTTTTCATCAGCCTGGACGCCTTCATATTCGAGCGCAAATTGGATGAGTACTTCTTGAGTAGACCATAGTGCTCATCCTCTATCATAGCTTTTCTTTTCACATATTTTGAAATCTCGTCACCTGTGTTTAGCGACTCCTTGAGTCTTGTCAACAACACCTCGAGAGCGCCGTCGCTATTCATGAACGACTGGATAGCTTCCAGCTCCAAAAGTTTGGCGCTATCTGCAGTAGTATTGTTACTTTCCGTTGAAGGAATCTCCGTCGAGTGTTGTGGCATATTGTGGCTGTGGGGACGGCCTGAAGACAATAGGTCAGATTTTCGTGTTTGTTTCCATGCCTTGCTTAAAAGGAAAACCCGTGACTCGCTGCGGCTCACAAGCTTCATGTGCGCATTTCCGCGTCATAAAGACATTCCACGACATACTAAGATTCAGACATTTTTGTTAATTATTACACGCTTTGAAAATGGGTCACTTTACTGTACTTATCTCTCTTCGCCATTGAGCTCTATGGTGTATGTAGCATGCATTTAACTGCTGTCACCACATGTAGCTACGATTGGATCTTTGACACGAGTGTGCACCCACCTCGTACATCATATCAATCCAAGGAATGTAAAAGGTCCTGGAGGAAACCAAAGGACGGGTTCTCTCGCCTCATATTTCGCCGATTTGGTTTCATGACAGCATTCTCAAAACTATCTTTTGTAGAACTATTTCCATTTCTACTATTTTGTAAACCTTAGTTAAAGTACTGGCTTTGGGACTTCTCGTGATTGTCTCCAAAGGGAGTAACTCCTCTTTCGACATTTGCCACAGAAAACTCTAAGTCTTCACTCGTGATCATGTCCCAAAACTTATAGACCATCATTATAGCGAAAGTGTTGCATAAAGTTCCAAAGAAGATACCATCCACATAGTGTGTGAGTCTGGAGCAGATCTGATAGTTGAACACGTAAACCAAAAGCTGGCCAACAACAAAGAAAAATGAAAACAAGACGATCGCACCTAAGTACCAGTAGGAGTCGAGCGCAAAGAACACCAAGATGAGCTGAGAAATAACGTAGGTGACCAAGATGATAGCGTTCAAAATGTATGTGACAACAAAGACACCGGTGGTGTCTGAGTTGGATAAAGAGCCCCAAGACTGGAACGTGGCCAAGGCGAGCACAAAGTTGATCACAAACCACACAATACAGATCAAGTATAAGCCGAACCTGGAAGTGCGTGACCCATCCTCCCAAAACTGAAAGCACAACACCCCGTTATACAATAGACATATACACACAGCCGAAACTATGCCGAGCTGTAATGCCACAAAGTAGGGGTAACTCTCAGATCCTGGCGGCGAAACTCCACAGTCCACCACCAACGACGAGATCGTCAAGGCCATGTAGAGATAGAAAAAACTCAACATTTCTGACCGGCCGATCGCGGTGTATTTGGACCTCACGTTGAAGATGATGATGAGTAGAATGATAAGCGTTCCAATGTGAATAAATGCATTTCCGATTTGGAAAATCATCGTATTGGCCAACTCGACGGACCGAGAGTAGCAGTCAGGAACCACCCCTGTACTGAAATATGTCGAGCCCTTCTCAGCGATTGGAGCTACGACCGAGCATATAGGAAGCCCGGTTTTTCCACAAATGGCTTCAAAACTCCCAAATCCCATGGTTTTATATTTTGAAGATGTAGTTGTGGAGAAAGCGAAAGTATATCTGCTTGAAAAACACTTTGAGGGATTTAGAGAAGAAATCTGATCTTTTAGCTGTGAGGGACAAAATCAACTCAGGGCCTCCTTTTTTTCCCTTTTTTTGACACTCGAACCTATGCGATTTCGCATACCTAAATCAGACGCACGATCGAAAACATTTTCCAATTCACGCCTCGCGCGGCAAGGCGAGTTTCTATTTTTAAAACTGCAATGAAACAATAGATCAAGAGAACTGAGGAAACCGCAACAAAAAGAAAACAATCACTAAAATTTCTCAGTGAAGCTGAAGATCATGTATTTGATAAAATGTAAAGGTTATACAGTCAAACAAAAGAAAATAAACGCAGTGGCCACTGCAACAAAATAACAACAAAATAGGAGAAGAAAATAGGCATAAATAAATCATTTCACGTAACCAAGACAGGTGATGTCTTGAGCTTCTCAGTATTTAACGCGAGGAGCTTGGTAGTATGGCGGTGGTGGATTCTCAAAGCAAGAGTCAACAAGTTTTCTAGAAAATGCCTCGTCATGCTTTGTGCGCAACTTTGTATCGTCAAAGCTGAACGCTGTGTTAAGCTTCTCATTGATGTGTTCGATGTCAACACGATTCATGGACTTTTTTACTCTCACCTTAGCATCGTGTGTCGTCTTTCTCGTGGAATCATTTCTGAGAGGCGAGCCGCATATGGCAGTCCCGGACGCGATATTGAGAAAAGAGCTACCTAAACCAACACCACCAACAAATGAAGAGCTTGTGTTCAAGGGCGAAGCTGAAGCGTGTTTGCTTGTGTGAGTAAAAATGTCATCCTTATGCCCGAGCGATGGATGAATAAGTGGTCTTTTTTGTGAATGCTTGACAGGAGTTGGCTGGTGAATCGAGTTACCCTGGTCCTCATGTACAGTTGACGTATCTGAAAGGTCACTAGAATTGACATCCCCGAAAGTTCCCAGGCTCTCCATAGGACTTTCTTTTGTTTTGTTAACTAGTTCAGAACTCAAGGGGCAATCTTCTGTATTGAGAGCACGATCAGAAGTGCTATCCTTGGAGCACTTTTTGGATCCCTTACCAATCTTGATGATTCTTCTCTTTGCACGTTTCACGTCGGTGTTACCCGATCTGAATGATTTCGTTTGTATCGATGAGATCTCCTTGAGAATATTGTCAACTTGCTTGAAATCGGTATTCACAATGAGCTCAACAGGAAGACTGTTGTCTTGTTGAGAGACACCCAAAGTTGGAGGCAAATTCAAGTTCGAGTATAAAGAATTCGCCAAAGTTGGATAGTAGTCCCTATTAAACTTCTCCAAATGATTTCTTTGAAGTGTTTTCTTGAATTTGGGAATATTCAACTCGAGAGTTTCACGTGAACTATAGAGTTTGGCAAGCTTCTTGAGGTTGCTTGATGCAACATTCTCAAGCTCTAATGGATCAGAGAGAGCGGACGGGATTTGATCCTTAAGATGATCCTTGAGGTTATTCATGAAGTCATTTTTCTTAAATGACGACGTATACTTCAAAGAGTACTGGTGAATCAATGTCGGAAGAGTCTCTCGAAACAAGTCTCTGATCTGATTTTCGATTTGTGTCTGGAGAAAATTTGACAACACCTGGACAGTATCAAAAGTGGAGCTCACTTTAATGGAATCCAATGGGTCATTCCGGAACACAAGCGTAAGACCTTTGGTTTGTGAAAACACAATGATGCCTATCCCAGATATTTTGATGTCGCTCAACTTTAAGTCTAAAGGAATATTGAATGGCTCAGTAGACAACAAAAACTCAGGCGTGACAAAAGAAGAGTCATCAACTAATTCTTGATCGCGGGAGTTATCACTGTAGATTTTCAAAGGATTTGCTTGCACTTGTGTGTGAAGTGTCAAGTGGAAGTCCCCATCATAGTTGATTTTAAAGATGCCTCTAAATCGGTCTTTATCGAGCTCACCGATTTCTAATATTTCGAAGTCAGGGGCAATCTTCCCGAAATTCAAATCCTTGATGGTGATGTCAGAAGCAAGTATGGTAGGCCGTTTCCCAGAATTTAGCGCCCCAGTTAATAGCTCTGTAGTCCAGTTTCTCAAGGAGTCTGTTTCCAATGTGTTCCAATTAACATTGAACGACATGGTGGGTGAAATGAACTGGCTAAGAGTAGGATATTAAGCAGGGAAAGTTGCGCTCTCAACAGAGCATTGAGTTTGTAGTGGGGTTGTCGGCAGATCCAAAAATGGCAAACTCAATTGTGTAGAACACTCACCCGATATGAAAAATAGCTATGTTGGCAGAAATGAAATAGAATGCTGGTTTGCCAAAATGCCAAAGTAATGTAGACTGAAAAAACGCCTTCAGGTATGCAGATTTCTTGGACAGATAGAGGTTTAGAAAGAGTCGTGGTATCCTTCTGGAAGAGGTGGTGAAGGTGAGAGCAAAAAAAAAAAGAAGGTGGTGTACGACCGACCGGAGGCAGGAAACCCCAGACTCTTTGTCGCGGCCCGATGGAGAAAGTAACGCAATAATGGGTGTACTTTCTGGTACTATTTTCTGAACCTTACAATGTTAACCAATTTGATTAATATATGATTTTTCTTTGAAGAAGCAAAAATTGCAAGAAAAGTGTTTTCTCTCTTATAATCTAGAATTCCTTGCAGCGCAATGTATGATTTACAAAGGCCATTTTTGAATAAAAAACAGATTATTTTCGCGTGTTGTGTTTATTTTTGTTCACCAAGTTTGATCTTTTGGCATGACAATCTCATTTCAAGGTCAAAAAGCGCAGGTACTTTCACACTTAAAACTTATTTCTAACTTCTGATTCCCTACTGCTCGATTCTGCTTACTAACACATAATTTGTATGAAAATTGACTATAACCAACTCGTTTAAGAAAAGACCCGGCCTACCCCGGCCTACCCCGGCGTTACAGTGCTCGATTTAAACTTTTCTGTGGACTGAATAAGCACCTTTTTTTATGGCCGAACAACGAGTTAAACAAGTTCATTCAAGAAGAATCCACATGTAAGAAAAAAAAATTGTGGAATTCTGAAATGGCTTCATGAAGACTTGGACTACATTGCTTCACGTGACACACGTGACCCTATGAGTTTATGTCACTTCCAAACTGCGGGACAACGCATAATCAAGTGGATATATACATTTTCATTCACACATCGAGAGATGCAAGATGACACATTTTACTCATTGACCGCAAGTCATGTACCCGGAAAAACATACAGCTTTGATCTGCTAAAAGGCAAGGTCGTTCTTATCGTTAATGTCGCTTCTTTATGCGGTTTCACCCCACAGTACAACGAGTTGCAAGCTCTCTACCAGAAGTATCAGGGCAAAGGACTTGAAATATTGGCATTCCCATGCAATCAGTTCGGCAGTCAAGAACCATACGATAATGCTCATATACAAAAGTACGTCCAATCACATTTTAATGTCTCTTTTCCAATTCTATCCAAAGTGCTTGTGAATGGTAGAGGAGAAGACCCTATATACCGTCATTTGAAGCTGAAAAAGGCAGGGGCTCTAGGTTTTTGTGGGGTTCGTTGGAACTTCGAAAAGTTTCTTGTCGATCGCAATGGCGATGTTGTCGCCAGGTTTGATACAGTTACACCTCCAAAAACACTAGAACCAATGATTGTTCGACTCCTTGCTGCGTGATGTTATGGGACGATCATGAAGTCATCGTACAGATTAAAAATTCATGTATGTATTCATATGCTATTTGCCAACTTTATGTCTTAACATGGAAATGAAACTATCTTGCCCTGCTCCGCTTTTTCGGAGCGCTCTTGGCAGTACTTGTCTCCAGCTTTCTCTTTGTCTGTCCTTCCTTCTTTGCAGATATGGTCTGATCAGGATTGATTTCCTTAGTAATACACGCAAGCAATGTTGTACACCTTCTGGATAATTCTGATGTAGTTCTCGACTGTAGGAAGAAATCAAATCTAAGAAGTGGACTCAGTCTGATAGCATCGCGAATTCTCTCGAATAAATCTGGGCGATCCAATCCGAAGCGATACATCTGTACGATTAAAAATCGATCTTCTTCCTCTGTGAATGTCTTCTTGGTTGTGGCAGCCGGAGAATATTTGAGAACAAGCTCTTGTAAAGGATACCTGTAAGTAGCAAGTTTCCGGCGAAGGCTTTCTTTCTGAAGCTTGACTTTGGCAATTTTGTCCTCGCCACTCTCTATCTGACTGATATATCTTTCAAAACCATCGATTTCCTCATATCTTGTCCAAAAAGCTTGAGCATACTCTCGGACTTCTTCAATTGTTTTTTCCTCGAATTCAGCAGCGATAAGTGCAATTGCGTTTCTACCATATTTCGATGAAGTCAGAATAAAATGAGTAAAATCCCGTCTGTTCCAATGACCAAAACCTTGAGTCAAAAGTTCTTCCTTCATCTGCTTCTCCTCATCAGTCAATGCTCGAGAATTGAGTATTTCCTCTTGCTCCAACTTTTGTTCTTCTTCTCGCTCAGCTAAATCTTTTGGAGTCCCGCTCTTCAAGGGGACGACATAACCAATTTGTTTGCGGTAAAAATTCTTTTCCATGTCGTGGAGCTCTAAAAGTTTGAGGGGGAGGAACTGATGATCATAAATCACTAGCTGTTTTGGTGGTCTAGGACCACTCTTTTGAGCTGGTTTGGATCCTGCGCTTAAAACGTCCTTGTAGTACAGATCAATTGAATAATTTTCTTTTCTCTCTCTCTTTGCTGGGTTAATCCAGCCGTGACCGATAGCCGTGATGGCAGTAGGTTCTTTTTTCTTGAAGTTCTCTCCATTCCACTCGTACACAGACTCATCATTTGTAAAATTTTGAAGAGCATTCAAGTCCAACTTTTCGTACTTCTTGTTAAGTTCTTTGGTCTTTTTGTCGGATTCCGCAAGTAACGCCTCGATGTCAACGTCCCCCTCTTCAGAATCATTCTGTGAATTAAAGATTTGTGCTGCACCAAATTGAATCATATCCAACAAGTCATCCTTCGATGCAACTTTACTGTTTTGCTGACCACCGGAATTTATGCCACCACTGTTTCTTCCTTGTTGAATCACAAGTTGATCTAATCTTAATTTTTGAGTGGCTCTCTCCAAAACCTTTTCCTCGATGGCATTTTCGGTGATAAATCTGAAGACTTTCACCTGCTTGGTCTGTCCAATTCTATGGGCCCTATCCATTGCCTGAAGATCAGCTTGTGGATTCCAGTCACTGTCAAAGAGGACAACGATATCAGCCGAGGTCAAGTTGATACCCAAACCACCAGCTCTGGTAGTCAAAAGAAAAACAAATTTGGACGATTCTGGTGCATTATAGTCATCAATTGCTTGCACTCTGTCCGCATGATCAGTTTGTCCATCGATTCTGCAATACTCAAAAGATCTGAACATGCAATAGTCCTCAAGAATATCAAGCATTCTCGACATTTGAGAGAAAATCAACACTCTCGATCCCTCTCTTTGAAACTTCTTCAAGATCTTGTCCAAGATAATCATTTTTTTTGAATTGTACACGAGATGCTCATCTGTCGTGAATGGCGGGCCTGGCTCTGCGCCTTCGAAAAGATAAGGATGATTGCAGCACTTTCTCAACTGCATGACAATGTTGAGCAATCTTGTCTTGGACTCCTTCTTCCCGTTGGCTCCGTTGACAGCGTCCAAGTCTTTTTCCAACAACTTCTGATACCATTTTCTTTGCATGTCAGACATGGCAATGTAAACATTCATTTCTTGTTTCGGCAAGAGTGACTTCTCGACGTCTGACTTGATACGGCGTAGCAAAAAGGGCTTGAGAACCTTGTGCAATTGCTCGACAATCCCTTCCTGCTTCTCACTGGTGGCTTCGCTTTCCTCGGGATTAAACCACAGGTCAAAGGCATTGCTATCACCAAAAACATCAGGCAAAATGAAGTTAAGCAACGCCCACAATTCGTGCAAATTGTTTTGTAACGGAGTACCCGTAATCAAAAGCCTGTTCTTGGAGTGGAACAACCTGATGATCTGAGACAACAAAGACTCCTCGTTTTTAATTCTGTGGGCCTCATCAATAACAATGTATTGCCAGTTGAATTTGCGGAACGATGATTTTTCACGAATGACGATCTCGTACGAGGCGACGACCACGTCAAAATCGCATGCCAACAAGCGATTGGCAATGAGATCTTGTCTTTCTTCCTTAGTGCCCTGTAAGACCAAGACGCGAACGTCTGGGGTCCACTTCTGGAATTCTCTAGCCCAGTTGTCCAAGGTCGACTTTGGAGTAATGACGATATGCGGTCCCTTAATGTTCTTGTGGTATCTCAAAAAACCCAAGAATGAGATGGTTTGTAAAGTCTTTCCAAGACCCATCTCATCAGCAAGAATGCCCGAGAGGTTATTCTGATATAGCGAAATTAACCAGTTCAAGCCCTGGATCTGGTAGGGACGAAGTTCCCCGTGGACATAGCTGGGGCTTTCGGTAAACTCAGTGATGTCGCTGGACGCCTTGTCTGTTTTCAAAAGTTCAGCATCCTCCTCCTTCTCGGTTTTTCTTCTTCTGTGTGATCCGTTAGCAGCCAGTTGGCTTGGCTTGGTGTCGTTGTGCAAATGCTGCAAGACTTCTGCAAACACAGGGTCGGATTTTGCTCTGGAGTCAATGAAATGCTGGAACAAATTCGTCAACCCCAAGAGATACTTAAACTTGGAAACAGTCTCGCCCACATCGATCTTGGGCTTGTGGTCGGGGGCAAAATAATGCTCCTTGTTCTCGGGCTCGATGTTCGAGAGTTCGGGGCCGGTGCTCGACCCGGAAGTCACCACATCTTCATTGACGCTCTGTATGAATTGTTAGTAATTTTGTTCTGAGGGCCAAATCGGCTTTGGCGCTTCGAAGCGTCGGTGCAAACAGGCTACGTACCTCCAGAGGCGAGCTCACGTCTAGCTCTTCGATTGGATTTGTTTTTTGGTCCAGCATCATTGGGTCTGTTTCTGCGTATGCCTGGAGGAAAAAGGCGGCACTTTCTTCTGTGCTTTTTGCGATAAAAGAAACCGGGGTAGCAGGGGCGTAGTTTTGAATTGCCCTATGGAGTATCAACTTTTGCAAAAAGTATGTTTGGAAAAACTAGAGAACAAGGCCCGAAGACTGCCAGGCGTTGCTAGCTATGCGCGCTCGATCTCACTCTATTGCAATATCGGTACGCGGCCGCCTGCACAGTGGACAGTTTGAATCTGAATGCCTGAGGCCAGCTAGGATTTTGGCACTGGCAAAAAGATTTAACTTGCGCCAGAAAAAAAGGAAAAAAAAAATACTCGGAGGCATATGATTGGAGTTAAATAGTGCTTGCAGGTTGGTTCATGCAAGCTCTTCGTGAGGAAGGTTCTTATTGACCTGGCCACAGAGCAATACTCCTGTACCCTGGAGGAGAAAGCGGGTCACATGATATACTTCAGGTCCTAGATTGGGTTTGGAAGTTGGCCATAAATGGCACAGATATAGATTTCGGATTGACCAGGTCGCTCTCCTCGCATGGATTATTCGTCATGTGCATAGAAAAACCAAGTAAAACGCAGATCACCGCAGGCCGGCTATCGGGTCCAGCGGCCTCAGAAAACCCAAATCTCCATCCACCGGGATCACAGCCACTACTGCAGCCCGGGCAGATTCCTCCTCTGCGCCGAAAAAAGCCCAGTGGTGCTGATCCGTTTATCGAGCTGTATGTAAAACGGGACTGCTCCGAGTTATCTTTGGATGTGGCCCAAACGCAGCCGTTCTGGAAGTTCCATGTTCTCAAGTTTGGCCACTGCCTTTATCTCACCACGAACCCGACCTTGCGGCACTTGCACTGCCGAAATGCGCCCGGGTACTTTGTCCAAGTTTGTGACGGCCCTTGCGGATTCTCCATGATATTTGAGGATATTTCCACGGGCGAAGAACTAGTGAAAATCGATAAATTAACAGACCGTTGCAGCAACCAGTTCATGTTCCACGTGCGGAAAAACAGACACGTGAAAGACGGCCGATTTCAAAAGAGCACAAGGAACGGTAATGCTGAGTCTCGTGCTCTGTCTGACATAAAATCAGAACACACCAAACCTTCACAGCTCAAAGAGCCGGAACATACAAAGCCGGAACATACAGAGCCAGAACATGAACAGTCACCGCAACTACCTCCCAGAATTCCTCGCCTGGATTGGCTGGACGCTTTTCTGGGGGTAATGAAGAGAGAGCCCATTCCTCAAGAATTGCTCCCGGCCACTCCAACTACGCCGATGCTCAGCTACTCTAGCCAAATGATTGACGGGCTTCTGTGGAGCGTCGGGTCACTTCCCCAGTACCGCGAGTCCAGAATCAAGTCCCAGGAAATCAAATACATCGCGAAGAAAAACGTGTACTTTCACCGGTGCTTTGGCGATATATCCCGATATCCTGAGTATGATGTGCCGCCTGCAATGGCTGTCTTCCGCGAATGTGAGTCTGGGTCGAGAAAACGAGCAATGAGGCAGTTGAATCGGTTTCTGCAGGCGGGTCACGAATTGTCTTCTAAACTGCTGAAACTCCCTCCTGCCAATGTTTCGCCTTATGCCGAAATCACGCTGTACTACAAGGGTGGGGACGGAGTGTATTTCGACAAAGTCCCTGCTGATGACGAGCCAGATCACCACCACAAACTTGGATGGGTCACAGTTTACGATGACCCGCATGTCTTTAGCAAACAGGGGATGTTTGATCTAGTCGTGGCATTGACCACGGCCATTGGCTACGAGAGGAATCTTGCATTCGAAGCCAGTAACAGTAACTCTTCGTGAGGCCTTTCCGGTCTTTAAGCAAGCCATAATCTATGAGAGAGACGTTTTTTACCTGAGCTGCAAACGATGCAAAGAGAGAAAACCACCATGTAATTTGTCATGAGACGTGACTGGGTCATGTCAATATCCCTAGCTTAGGTTTAGTCTACTCGTCGCGGGAAACACGCACGTCTAGGAAATGTGCGTGGGGGGCATATGCATTCTTGACCCGAGCAAACAAGATCCACTTCTTCCACATTGCTTGCTTTTCATTTGAATATATGGCCTCTATTTATTTGTCAACCATCTGTTCAATTTTGGAGATCCATTGAGTTTCTAAAGATTTCAAAAAAATGGCCAGCGAAGAAGAAAATCGGCGTCCTGAGCGTCTTTGCCCCAGAGGTAAATGTGCCAATTCCCGTCAGACTCTACGCGTCGCTATAAACCTAAAAACATTGATCGATCAGGTGGTCCCAACAACACTTCACGAAAAAGAAATCACCGATTCTCATTCACCCGTATTGAATAGAAATGTGATCGAACTCGTCTACCGTGCCGCAGGCGGGGCTGGCGACGGGAAGAAGGGCACCACATCTTATAAGTATAGATCGTGTTTGGTGTTTTCTTTGTTGAAAGTTACTGGATGGTACTGGCAACAGGCAGAATATGAGCTATCTGATAACGAGCTTTATTCTTTGAGAGCTACCGCCGCCCAAACGTTAGCTGCAATTCTCATTGAGGAGGCCCGAGACGACGAGTTCCTCTTTTTGGCCATGCTTTGTCATAGATACCTGATGCACGTGTGCGAAAAGGACTCTAGCCCTGTAAGCGCGTTGGAACTCGCTGTTGATATGCACTCTACGATTGTAATTGGGTCCTCAGGGTATCAGAGATGTATAAAGTGGCTCTGGAGGGGCTGGATTGTACAATCTTCTGAAGACCCACAATCTTACGTGCTATACCGAGGGGTTTCCTCGTCTCGAATCTGGATTCATTTCAATCCTGAGAGAATTAAAACACCTGCGTACCAGAACAAGTTGGAGATTATTGTCAGCTTCTTATACTTGACTCTTTACACCTTTATTCTCAATACCAACCAGGTGGAGACCAGTCCGGTCAATATCGCGGAGGGAATATTTTATGTGTTCACGTTGGGCGCAATATTAGACGAGTTGACTAAGCTTTATCACGTCGGGTTAAACTATATTGGCTTCTGGAATGTCTTCAACGATACGATGTATGGCATCATAAGTGTTGCTATTGCCTTCCGTTTTGTATCGTTGTCAAATCACGGCAGGGTGAGAGATCACTATGATGAAATGAGCTTTCGTATACTATCATGTGCAGCGCCCTTGATGTGGTCTCGCTTGTTATTGTATTTGGATGCACAACAATTTGTTGGTGCAATGCTTGTCGTCATCAAGACAATGATGAAGGAATCCATTCTCTTCTTTGTGTTGTTTGCAGTTGTGATTCTTGGGTTCTTGCAAGGGTTTTTGGGTCTAGATGCGTCCGACGGAAAGTCGGAAGCCACCAAGAAAATATTGGCATCGTTGATCAATGCCGTTATTGGGGAGGCTGGGTTGAAGGACGTGCTGGACCTTGTGCCTCCATACGCCTCGGTGTTGTACTACATCTATTCATTTGTGCTCACTGTTATTTTGATGAACATCCTCATTGCTCTTTACTCGACATCATATGCAGCCATTGTGGAAAACGCCACTGACGAGTACTTTGCATTGGTGGCGCAAAAGACATTGAGGTACATCCGGGCGCCAGACTCAAACTTGTATGTGCCCCCTTTCAACCTCATTGAGACGCTTTTCATGCCGTTGTCTTACATCATCTCCGCGAGCAACTACAAAATCCTCAACCATTACACTATGCTCATTCTATATTCGCCCATGTTGATGTACATAACGGTGGATGAGCTTTCGAACGCGAAAAGAATCCAGTACAACCGGTTCAGGGGTGTGGCAGACGATGCCAACGAGATCAATACCGAATGGGACTTGACGGATGGCTTCGACGATGATATAGACGGCTCGGGATGGGAGAACATCCGAAATCATTCTGTTGAGGTCAACCGCGTGGTGCAGAATCAAAGAGCAGCAGAGGCCGAAGATCCCGAGTTTTCAATCGACCTCGATGAGTTCCACAGGGATATTCAGAAACTGGCTCAACCTGTAATGAAGGCTAGCGATATGGGGATTAAATGGGAGTTATTTGGCCTCTACCAGAAAATAGAGGAGCTTACAAGCTTGGTCTCGGCCGTGGTAGAAGAGAACAAAGTGCTCAGAGAGAAGGCCTCGGGCGAAGGCAAAGATTCTGCTACGTGATCCCCACTCTCATTATGAGAAAAAAACAACAACGCTAAGAAGTCTAGAGTTATTTCGACCAGAGACCAGAGAGCCATACTTGCTTCATCCAGCACGGGTCCTGTTGCTCGCGGATTCAGCGCTGCGCGCACCTACTTCCTAAATGGGGTAATACTCCTGCCAACTTCATGAACAACCCGTCATTTTCTTGAGGATTGATGTGTTAATATTCCTTTCTGTTGATTGCGCTCTCAGAGATTTTAGATATATGTTTCCGTCCGCGGAGCGCCAAGTTGTGGGCTCCTTGCGCAGCGAAGTCCACACTAGTTCCCACGTTCCTGGCCCTGGGTGCCGTCTCTCACTGCGCCGCCCCGCCCGAGCGCTCGACCTGTAGAGCGCGGTAAGACATCCCTACCTCCACATACACACACCTAGTGAGAAGTTCACACGAGAAAAGCTTTTGTAGGACGTCATAGAACACTCCATCAAAAGAGGCCGGATTTCCCCTTTCTTTCATTTTGGACCCAGTGTGACAGGAACTCTAGAACTCTGACGGCAGCTACGCTTCTCAATTCCTCACGGCGCCACACACACAGGTCCACGCTCGCCTGCCCAAAAGCAAAAACCAGAAGAAAAAACTCAAATAGGCACATCCTCCGGAGAATGCCATGAAGGAGCACACTCAAGGCAACCGCTTGATCACCGGCTCAAATTGCTACTTCGACTATGAGACCCTGGATGAACACAAACACACGGGGCAGCCGCTGCAGAGGCCCCCGCCGCCACTGGAGCCCATGGCGCCACGAATGCCTCAGACGGCCGGGGCCCTAGAGCCGAAAACGCCCACGAAAAAGAAGAAAAAGAAGAAGAAAGGCAAGTCTGCCGCCGACGCCACGGGCGGCACTGTGCCGGCAGTCACAGGTGCGCAGTTTTCGGTCAACGACGTGTCTTTGGCAGATCCCGACGCAGACTACCCGGAATCGCGGCTCATCAAAGTGGGCCCGAACGGAGACCTCATAGTGGAAAGCCTAGACGACGAATTCCCGCGGCAGCCAGACGAGGGGTTTGCGAAGAGAATGGTGCCGCCGGTGCTGTCGATCCCACGGAAATTGGCGCACAAGATCCTCGCCTTTGACGGCGATCAGCAGCAGTTCTGGGATGAGTTGTCCGTAGAAGCACAAAAGCAAATGTTTACCATCGACGCTACAGCGATCACTGAGAGTGTGCGCCAGCAACAGAAGGACCTCGCTTCCCGAAACATACAGGCCGACGGAGCACCTAGCCATGAGCACCTGTGGACACATAACTCCCACTCCAAGTGCTATTGCTCGCGATGCGAGCGGAACGACTTGCATATCCTCAACATCATTGACGAAGGGTTTGACACGTACATGGAGGAGCTCATCGAAGGCTTGTGGGAACAGTTCGAACTACAGTACCACGACCTAAAGCCAGGGACCAAGTTCATTGACGTCACATCTGCTGAGAATGTTCTCCATGACAAATACATCGAGGCGCAAAATATTCAGCGATTTGCTGAGATCAAGCAAATTGAAACTGCTGGGGCCAATGCAGGGGAGATGTTGTCCACTGTGCGGAACTTGGAGCTCTTCTACTATATTGAGAACATCATCATTCCGATGATCCAACGCGAGTTTACAGCCCAAGCACTCACGACGCGGCTATCTGCTGAGGACAGGAGAGCTCAGTTCGATACCCTCAGCTGTGTTCACCAGATTCTACGCTTAATTCAGAGCCGAAATGATAGAAATCGCTTGCTAAGGGAGACCCAGGGAGAAGGTGTGCGCCCGCTAAGCCCCAAGGAATTCCGCAGAATGGCTGTGGCTGATAATCTTATTGACTGCCTCTATACGTTCCTGAAAGAAGGACTGCCGGGGATTTCAAAAGCTATGGAGTTCGTGAAGATCTTGTCCAGTGTCGGTCGTGCGGGAAGCCTCCAGTTTCCAGATGTCACTGAACAAATGTCTCAATTCGCTGACATGTTCGAAAGTGACGACAAGGCATTTATCGATTTGGTTGCCAAATGGAAAGCTTCAGAGTCAGACGAACACTTGGAACACGCAACTGAAGGTGAAGACGAAGGGGAAGAAGAAGAAAATGCCGAAGAAGAGCACTACGCTCTCAAAAATCCCTTCAGTCACTGCAAATGTGATTTTCATAACCAATTGTCTCACCAATTCACATCTGCACGAGCCAAAGCTTTAGCAGGAAAGCATGAACTGAATTATAATCCGGAATTTGAAGAGCACAATGATGTGGACGAAGAATTTGACGACGATCATGAGTGTGAACATGATCACCATGATAGCGATAATGAAGAAGATGACATTGATGATTCCATCGAAGATCCGGGTACTGATGAGGAAGAAGCCGAAGAAAGGCGATTTAAGGAATTGCGCGGGTTCTTTTTCATGGAAGCACGCAAGATCATTGTGAGAAGATTCCAGGAATCATACAAAAAGAGAGTATCCGACGACCGCACCAAAAAATTCATTGAAGAGCTCGAAGCAGAGGAAAATGCGAAGAAAGAAAAAGAACTCAAGAAGTTGAAACAAAAGGAAAAGCAGAAGGAAAAGAAACGTCTTCAACAACTTGAAAAGGAAGAGAAACGCAAACAGAAAGAAGCAGAGGAACAAGAGAAGGCTGCTCTCCTCAAGAAAAAGCAGGAGGAATTGCGCGCTGAGCAAAAACGTCGTGAAGAAGAATTGAGGCTAAAGAAAGAGAAGGAAAAATTGAAAAAGATCGAAGCCCTCAGACAAAAAGACCCTCCATCAGAAACCAAGAATACGACTGACACAGAAGCTCAAAGCAACTCACCAGCTAGAGATCATGCGAGTGACAGCTCATCAGTTGTGCTTGAAACGAAGAAAGCCCCGGGAAAGGAAAAGAAGAATAAAGTTACTCCAGAGTTGAAAACATCCACTTTCCCCCTGGAAGACTTACGCCATCCTCTAGACACCTCTACATCTTCTAGAGAGTCACCAGTTCCCTCGATTCCACAGCCTATATCTTTGAAGGAGCCACTGAGGCAAAATTCTGGGATAGATCCTCAACAACTGCTTTTAGGGAGCGATAAAGCTAAAAAACAACCGAAAGAGGAGGATAAAGTTTCGTTTATACCTCCCAAGAATCACTTACTTGAGCAATTATACCACGCTCGCCCAAGGACTGTCTCCACGACGTCCGGCGACTCCATTGATTTTCTCAATGAGCCTGGCACAGCCTCTAGGATGGGTACGAGCTACTCACCATCGAAAAAGTCAGTATTGGCTTATCAGCCAGACACATGGATTGCTGGTAACACCAACCTCTTTCCATCAGATGCTATAGTCCCCCCAAGTTTGGAAAGACCCCAATTTTTCGGCAACTCAAATGGTGCTTCTAATACGTGGACTGCCAGAAACCCACAAGATGCATTCAGTGTGCCCCTGCTTGCCTCTCCTTTGATGTCAGGTTTGCCATTATCCTCTTTGTGGAATCAGAAGTACCCGAGAGGTAATTCAATCTGGGGAGCCAGCAGTCTGGTCAATGCAGAAGCACAAACACAAAGTCTTTGGGGTTCGCAAACTTCACAGACCGACATACCAAAATCCAGCGCCTCGTCGAATTTCAACAAAGAGCTGGTGCAGTCTGCCGCTTTCAAAGCTGTCCAAGAAGTTCACAGTTCGGCAGCAACGAATAGTGGATCATCACCTGCGATGAGGATATTTCAGACAGTAAAAACAATTATGAATGACTCTTCTATAAAAATGTCCGAGTTTCTTCTGGCTCTACACTCGAGCACGAAGTACCAGTTTGAAATTGTTTATGATGACTTCGGTAGCGTGACCGACATTCATGCTAGTATTCAGCCCGAGCGCATATTTGGAGCATCTTCAGTGGTGAATAGATCGCCGTCACCTCAGCAGACTCATATTCCTCCTTTGTTTCACTCTCAGCCAACTTTCAATCAACGTGAACATGGCGTCAAGTTTGCCGGGTTTGTGCCTAGTCCGCTACCGGTGAGTCAACCTATGAGTCAGCCATCTTTTCAACCGGGTTTGAACCCAGACCCGTTTCCACCTTCCACAGGGCCCTTTCAACCATCGCTTGCGATGAACCCACCATTTTTGCCAAACACCCGCGCCCCCAACCTGCAGATTCTGGCCCCGGAATCCTCCAGGCTTCAGCAGGGCTCTTTACACGGATCTAGCGAAAATGTAAGTCAATTTGACTCCAGCATTTCGGGAACTATGCAAGGTTCTTTGAGTCAGCTTGGGATTGCCCAGATGCGAAACGGAATTTGGTGATGCTCAATCTTGATGACTTTCAATCTTAATGACTTCAGGCGCTGTTTGATAGGAGAACTGTGCTAATAGATATACTACGTCTGCTCTTGTGAATCTCTAAATTATACGCTATTAATTTAATGCCAGAATCTCCAGCTTCGTTGATTTGTTTTAGATTCTGAGCCACAGGTCGCGAATCTGGCCCTGTGCCGCGCGTCCTGAAGTCAGGTGACGACCCGGCCCGCGACCCTCAGCCGCGCAGCAGCTTGTAGACTGGGAAATGGAGCGAGACTTACACAGAGTTCAAGTTCTACGAAAATAATCAGCTGAAAAGTTGAAAGAGTTGGTATTACGCTTTTCAAGGGAATCTTTTTCCCACTTTCACATTCTGCCTTCATACGGATCATTGTTGTCATTGTCCTGGGGACTTATTACTTGCAAACCAAGCAAAAGAAAAGCCTCTGTTTCGTACTTTGAAAGCTTTTCTACGTGTTTTCATTGACGGGCGACTGCATTCGACAAGTCTGAAACATCTACTTAGGACAACGGCCGAATCATATCTGTAGAGTATCCTGCAAAAATGCAAGATGCAACCCGAAGGAAACTTGTGATTGTTGGGGATGGAGGATGTGGAAAAACGTCACTTCTTTACGTGTTTACTCTTGGCGAATTCCCAACACAGTATCATCCCACAGTTTTTGAAAATTACGTGACGGATTGTCGGATAGACGGCAAGCCTGTGCAGTTGGCGCTATGGGATACAGCCGGCCAAGAGGAGTACGAAAGACTACGGCCGTTGAGTTACCACAACTCTCACGTAATATTGATTGGATTTGCCATCGACGTGCCAGATTCACTAGAAACCGCCCGCACGAAATGGGTCGAGGAAGTTAGACGCAGTTGTCCCGAAACGCCATACATTTTAATTGGCTTGAAGAAAGATCTACGTATAAGCGTGCGAGACCGGGCGCGGTTCGTTCAAGCAGACTCGGGTGAGGAAGTCGCGAAGCAAATTGGGGCCAAGCAGTATATGGAAAGCTCCGCTCTCACTGGCGAAGGCGTTGACGATATCTTTGAGGTTGCTACACGCTTAAGCCTCGTCCATGGCGAGGCACCAAGTCCTTCATGCTGCGCAATTCTATAGGACCGATTCTTTAGGACGAATTCTTTAGGACCGGGGTCGAGGACTGGAGGTGGAAACAAAGGTCGTATCGGTGAGCTCTCACTGGACCTTGGATTGATCAGGGCGCGGAACTCTATGCACCCGCATGGTGAAACAGTCCACGAGCAAGCCGCGAAACTCCGGGTCGATTTTTTTCCATGGAACATATTGGTTGCTGGGAAAACCGCAACTGCTGGAACACCAACGTCATTTTTCGGCACCGCCCAGAACAGGCGGATCATGCTTGCTTGGCTCCGCCCTCGATGTTTTTGATATTCCTTGAAGAACGACTTGATTTTTATTTCCGAAATACAGTTGCCAAGACCACGACTGGCGCGGACGCGTGGATTTTGCAGTCGCTTGAATTGCTCAAATGATAGCGTTCTGAAAGGTAAGACAAGGTTGTATTCGTATTTCTGCATAGACCGAGCTCAGCAATACTTTCGCAGGCCTCACGCGCCAGGCGCTCTTGAGCAGCCCCACATGACGTCTTTATACAGGGCCCTCCTTATGGTTGCTATTACGATGCACGAACCAGTAATATATAAATAGTGTGGCTGTCTTGTGAATTCATTTACTCCACATTTTTCACATCAGCTCAGACAATCTTCACAAACACAAAAATAACAACACTCACACAACAATGGTCAACGAATCAGTCATCAACAAGGATCTCGGTGCTCTTCCCACCAAGGGCCCTCAAACCGGCAGACACATCAACGACCTCTTTTCCTTGAAGGGTAAAGTTGCTTCCATCACTGGTTCCTCTGGTGGTATTGGCTGGGCAGTCGCTGAGGCATACGCCCAATCCGGTGCCGATGTCGCTATCTGGTACAACTCCAAGCCTGCCGAAGACAAGGCCGCATACTTGGAGAAAACCTACGGCGTCAAAGCTAAAGCATACAAGTGCAATGTATCCAGCTTCGAGGACGTCCAGAAAACAATTCTTAGCATCGAAAAGGAGTTTGGCGGACTCGATATTTTCGTCGCCAACGCCGGTGTTCCATGGACTGCTGGTAAGTCGGTAGAGGCAGAGAACCCTATCGAGGAGTGGAGTAAGGTCATTGACTTGGACTTGAGCGCTGTGTACTACTGTGCTACCGTGGCCGGAAAGATTTTCAAGAAGAATGGCAAGGGCTCATTTATTATTACCGCTTCCATGTCTGGCCACATTGTCAATGTTCCACAGTTGCAAGCCCCATACAACGCAGCAAAGGCCGCATGCATCCACCTCTCCAAGTCTCTCGCAGTCGAATGGGCTGCCTTTGCCAGAGTCAACTCTGTGTCTCCCGGCTACATCCGCACCGAGATCTCTGACTTTGTTCCAGACGACATTAAGGGTAGATGGCATTCTTTGACTCCTTTGGGTAGGGAAGGTGAGACCCAAGAGTTGGTTGGTGCTTACGTCTACTTGGCTTCCGACGCTTCCACATACACCACCGGCACTGACATTTTGGTTGACGGTGGCTACACTTTGCCATAAGCAAAAAAAGGGACTTTATAGAGAACTTTAATCAAACATTAGTATGGCGTACTCCCTCGCTTGATCATGCGGCACTTGGCCCATTTCACGTAGTGAAAAAGCAACGAGCCACGCTAGATTCGCTTCTATCAAATGAAACTTGGTGTCTATGCAGAATCCCCAGTGGAATGTCTAGTACGTTACTCGTCTAGTGACCTGCTGTCCACAGAACTTCTCGAGCCGCGCCTCTCTCGGACAAAGGGCGACCCGTTGAGACATCCAAAAAATATTTGCAGTTCTTTTTTAAATTATCGTGTTCTCATTGATACTTTTTCGAATGAATATACTACGCTAGACATGCTTCTCCACCTGTAAAGCTCCAACGAAGTCAATAGCACATTACCCCAAGGCTCAGGTTTATAAACCTGCATACACGTTTTCTGTTCACAACTTAGGTTACAGTTCCAGATCCACATTTATTCTTATCGGAACATAAACAGTCGGCCATGGATGAAGATTTAACAGCCTCGCACTGGGGAGACGTGCTAACAACCACGGAAAACAACTTTGGTAGCTCCAATTTGGGTCTGATTTTCGACTCGCTCAATTTGGAAGACCCCCACCGAGAGCCCTCTCAGGACGAGGAAGCAAACAACGCCAGACTTGACACTCAAAGCGAGGAACCTGGTGTTCAAGCCGAATATGAACCTGTTATTCAAAGTGAAAGCGCAGGGTCCTTTAATGGTACTTATGGCTTGCTGCAGTCACCCTTCCAAGCCTCCACAACCCTAAATGAATCCGAATTGGACGAACTAAACGCCATGAGAAAGCAAGAACGCGATACGCACAAGTCGTCCTTATTGATGCAACTTACGGAAGGCGCTGAGGATTCAATAGGCGGTGATAGTGCACTCCCACCTGTGACGCTCTCTGTCTCACAATCTCTTTTCGAGGACAAGGGTTCACCCATCAAGATACAGCCTTTAGGTAGTTCCGTGTCAGAATCTAATGCTAAACCAACCTTGGCGGGCTCGGTCGTTTCACCTTCCAAAGCGACTCAGTTTAAAAATGGTCAGTTTAGGGCTCCTCGAGGTAGAAAAGTTGCGGCAAAGACTATAGTCAAACATCTTGGGGACGGTCAATGTGGCGACTTAGACCCATTGAGTTTGGCTAATACGCCCCAAAATACAGAATCTGAGCCCAGTGCGTCTCTGGTGGATAAGACAACGAAGCTTTTTCAAGCTATGGATCGCCCTTTATATGATTTACCAAAGTTAAAACCCAAAGATGAAGTGCCAACAACTCCTGCTACTACGTCTACTCAACCCGAATTCATGGACAATGCTGTCAATTCTGAGCCCTCTTCCAATGATTTGGAAATCTCTCTAGGCGACCCCGTAAAAGTGGGAGATATTACCACAGCGCATATTGTCTATGGTATCAAAACCCAAAACAAGAATCCGGGATCAAAGTCTTTTCCTGAAACGAGTGAGCCGATTATTGTTTCTAGACGGTACAAAGATTTTAGGTGGGTGTATCATCAACTCCAGAACAACCACCCAGGAAAAATTATTCCCCCACCTCCATCCAAGCAGACTTACATCGGGCGGTTCAATGAGAATTTCATCGAGAATCGAAGGATGTCATTAGAAAAAATGCTCAACAAAATCAGTAAGACGCCTTCGCTTGTGAATGATAGCGATTTTGTACTTTTTTTGACAAGTTCGAACTTTGTGAATGATGCCAAGGAAAGGGATCAAGCGAGTGGATCTGGTGCGTCCCTCCAGGCAAGCAACGGTGACGACGAAAGCGATAAGTCAAGTACTTCAATTGTATCAGGAACTGGGGCCGGAGGCTTCATGAGCTCGTTGTTCTCCATGACCGTGAAACACCCGGAACCTGACGATTTCTTCTCCAAGAAAAAGGGATACATTGAGGATCTTGAACATAATCTAAAAACTTTCTACAAGTCATTGGAATTGATTGCCACTCAAAGAATTGAAATTACATCTGTCGTTGAGGAAATCGCGGACATTGTTGAGGAATTGGCCGCTATTGAGATCCTGAAGACCACCACGGATCTCTTGTCGGCATTTGCGGAGGTACACACAAAGCTTAAGGAGAATCTCGACCGAGTCAATTTGCAGGATCAATTGACCTTGGGATTCACGATTGAAGAGTACCTTCGTATCATTGGCTCGGTGAAGTATACATTCGAAACGAGATCAAAGATATATCAGCTCTACCAATCGTTTAAACAGGACTTGATGAAGAAAGAGGAATCTTTAAACAGGCTTAACTCGCGATACAAATCATCTGTGGACAAGATCAATCAAGTGAGCTTCGAAGTCGACAAATTAAAACAGAAAGTTTCGCATTACGAGGACAGCTTCCAAACAATAAGTGACACAATAAAGGCGGAGCTCGATAACTTCGAAATGGAAAAGATCAAGGATTTTCGCAATAGTGTGGAAATCTTTATTGAAAGCTCTATTGAGTCGCAGAAAGAAGCCATCGAGCTTTGGGAGACCTTTTACGAAAGACAGCACCTCACATCGGTCTAGCTCTGCTCGCAATCGGACGAATTTGGGGCTATCAAGAAGTGTGGTTCCGGAGTTTCTGGTGTGCATGTGCGGGTATACGTACTGACTGATGAGTCGCATTTTCTGAGACATAATTAGTCACGATGAGCACATGAGCTGAGTCGCAAGCATACATTTCTGTAATAAATTGAGTTCAAACCCCTTTTTTCCAATCAATCAAAGCTTTCATTCCAACCTACAGCCTATTTTTTGCGAAACTAGCATGAGCGGCCAGGTATACTTGAACCCATCGCGATTGTCCATACTATCAATACCAAGAGACAAAGTTTGGTTATTCTCCTCTGCCATTTTAAAACTTCTACATCAAGAAGCAAAACAAGCTCCGCAATCAAATTTCAAGTCCGATTCTAAAAATGATCATAGTACCTCTGAAGACCTTCTGGATCTGGATGCCGGATTTACTGATGACAGCACACTGTATGATAGTGAAGAAATTAGCAAGATGACGTCAAGTACACTTTCTGAATTATCTCTCAGTAAAAGGGCCTCAATTGCTAATCGTTCCTCTCTGACAGATAATTCAAGTAAAGGTGGACTTGCATACTCATCGTCTGAAAGCTTGGTTGCACTTGAAAAAGAAGCAGATCTTTCTGTCTCTTTGCCGCTGATATCCGATGAAGACCATCATTTCTTCCACATAGCGTATACACCCAGTGAGTGCACAGTCATATTATCAACATACTTGAGCTCTGAGCTCTTTATGAAACCTCTTTCCGTTTGCAAAAAGCTAGGGTACAGCGATGTTATTTTGCTAGAAAAGTCTTATTTAAATTTACAGGTTGATAGCGAGGGTGAATTCAATAACTCTGCCAAGATATTGGAGCTTACAAAACCATTTTCTCAACACAACATTTCCCTTTTCTTTTTATCGACTCACTTCACGAATATTGTGTTGATTCCATATGATCTTAAAGATCAGGTGATCGAAATCCTAACTGAGAACGACTTTGTTTTCTCTGATGTTTCGAATAGTTACATTCTGAGTCAGAACTATTCAAGTCTTTCAAAGACTTATCCTAAAGACACAGTTGTGTGTCCTGCTACTAGTGAAGTAAACAGAAGAGATACAATGAACATCTTAGCGGACACTAAAATCACGCCAAGAATCCACCGAAAAGTCAAATTACTTTTGACGGGAGCTCGTCCGGGACAAGTCAAACAAAGTATTGTAAAAGCTTCGCAAACAATTGCGGCTGACGCTGTTCCTGATTATTTTGCAATCACAAGGTCTTCGTTCAATGAGATTTCATTAATTCTACCTGGATCGTCCAAGCAACGGGCACTCATGGGTTTTGATTTTCGAAGTATTATAGGATCTGCTCTGGACGTCATCATTCCAGTCACGGTAGACTTGTCCAAATTACCCATTGACTCTGCCGGAATTGTTGCTGGTTTAGCCAGCAGCTTGTGGGAGAGTGTGCGGTCTCTTAACGAGCCTGCTACCGAGAGATTTGATATGAATTATCTATCTATGGCAAGATCAGGTGTCATAATGATTCCTCGGGAAAACCTTGATGTTGTCACGCGAATGGTTAAGAATATGAGAACAGATTTGAAGAATAATGTTACAATATAATATGAAGTCATTCACACGTCTGGGTGTTGGTACAGTGCTCCTAAACACTCGCTTGTATTGTAGACCTAAGTTAAATATGTATAAGTTAACGATATTTTCCTGCTTCTACATATGGCTTTAGTTTTTTCTGCCCTTCTTTTTGGACTTCACACTAGTGCTCCATCCTTCATCATCGACAGCGGGAACTTTGTCCGCGCTGGAGATGATTGCGCTGGACCAGGATTCTGGAGCGGATGGCCCGACTTGTTTTTCAACTTGTTGCCTCTTCTTCATAAACTCTTGGGCAAATCTTCTTCCATCCATAGTGGCCGACGAGCTGTAGATTGTTTCAGAGATCAATTGAGCAGATTCACCATATAACGGCAAAGTTGTGAAGACCTCGAGAAGGTCATTTTTGGAAACGGAGGGGTACAAGTTGGTCATGGCAGACCGTGCCCACACTAAAAAGTCCTCCTTGATTGCTTGAGTGTTGACGGAAACGGTGGGCACTATTCCTGATGATGCGTGACGTAAAGCTTGAGGGTTGATTGCTCCAGAAAGAGAAGAATATGAGATGGATGGCTGCGCAGGAGTCGAGACTTGTTTCTTCAAAGTTGGCTTCTTCGGGGTAACAGTGGTCCATGCACCTCCATTTTCCTTGACGGGAGTGCTGGCTAAAGCAGTGGCTAAAGAGACCTTGGAATTTCCTGAACTAACAGACTTCGCAGATCTCAGCTTGAGAGCTTCTGCTTCTTCTTCTTTCTGAATCTCCGCCAACGTCTTTTTTGTGGCCAGGGGCTTAGAGGTCGCCCAGTTGAAAGTGACTTTCTCTGGGGTCTTTTCCTCTAACTTTGAAGCCGCAAGCGCGTTAGCTAAAGCGATTTCTTGCTTCATCTCAGCCTTCAATTGTTTTTCTCTCTGCAAACGCTCAGCCTCTAGCTCTTGAACTTGTTTTAAAGTAAGCGGGGGAGAGTCCTGCTTGGCAGAATTTGCCCAAGGAGCTTTGACTGTGGGGGTTGCTGCAGAACGCGAAACGTCTTCAGATTTGGAGACCGCTGATCCATCCTCAGACTTCAAATTTTCCGAAGAGTCAACAGAGGACCCGGTCGCAACTGGCTGGGGTTCAATCGTTGCAGCATCGACTTGAGTAGCATCGCACGCGAGCACCTCGTTGGAGGCGATTGCAACAGGGGCAGTCGATGGCTTCTCCGATTCAGACTGAACACCATTGATATTCTGAGCTCCTGAATGAACATTGCTTGAGGAGAATTCGGACAACAAATCACTGGACAAGCGCGTATGATCTTCATCTCTCAAGATTCCACTCACCATGGAACTATGAAGGTCTTGGAGCAAATTGTCTTCCACTTTCTCGCTTGGGTCATTAGCTAGTGTAGAATTAGGAACAAATGGAGAGCTCACACGAGACATTGTCTGGACTCTGTTGATCCAAGGAGACATCGAACCAGACTGACCTAAAGATGACTGACCTAACAGGTTTTGACTCATTCCCAATGGAACGGGCGCAGGTGCAGTGGTTGGTGTCGAAGGAAGACTGCCTTGCAAAGAACTGTCTATGCCCCATCCACTGTTCGATCTGGACAACAGAGGTTGCTGGGACAGAATCTGTTGCTGAAGCAAGGACGGCATATGCAATTGATTGAAGTTAAGGTTGGGGTTCATGGCATCTATGCCAAACTGGTTTCCAGATGAATATGGTGCATTCATCAACGGGTAATCGGACTGACCCATGAAATCAAATAACGGGTTAGAAGAGGGTGTGCGAATGTTAGCTGCACCTAATCCACCGTTTGGCAAGAGCTGCGAATACATGTTTGCTCCAAATGACAGTTGCAGGTGCTGCGGGGCAGCAGAGGGCACCCCATTTTGAAAAGCCCCCTTGCCATCAAATGCACTGCTGTTCTCAGCGGGCAAATGAGGGTCGTGTGCCTGATGCTGGAATGCCCCAGACATAGGCATTTGAGTAGACTCCGAGGCCACACGAGGAAGAGGTATCTTGAAGGGCTGAATGAAATTTTGCACAGCTTCGCAGAACTCCTTCAAAGTCTGGAAGCGTGTTTCCTCTTGTCTGCGAATTTTCAAGTCCAAAGACAAATAGCCATCAGTAAGCCACTCTTGCATTATGTCCCCCGTGAACGGACCTTGCTCGTTGCCCGCAGGGTCAAGGTAGACCCAGTGGATGTTTTCCGGTTGAAGCAAGACCAATGGCGGTGATTCCTGGGTCACATCCTGGGCAAAAGAATTGGGTTTTGAAAGATTGGGAGGAAGCCCAGGATAAGTATTTCCGGTGGACCCATTGGCATTCTGTTCAACTGAAAAAGCCAGCTCTGCGCCATCTTTAGACAGCGGGATGTCTTCGGAAGAGTTGTGTGAAAACTCCAAGTGGTAGATGGGCTGAGGCTGTGACTGTTTGTAGTTTTCACCGGCCTTGACAGCTACCGACACATCCGTAAGGATACTGTCTTTGTTGCCAAACCAAATGTTAAACGCCTGGTTCATAGTATACCTTTTGCCTTCTTTATTGGGTGGAATGCTGGTAGTATGCTCAGTGGACCCATTGGTTGCAGTATTAGAAGTGAGATCGCTATCTACACCATTGGGCTCTTTGCGTGGCCTACGCTTGTTAGTATAAATGTTTAGAGAGTCGATATCTAGCCTTTTAAAATCATCATAGGAAGTAGGCCCTATGAAGTCATAAGATGTCCGATGTATGTTTTTGAAGTTATTCTGTTCATTGGCACGACGAATTTAAATGTGAAAATGGCATGAGATCTCGCCAGGAAAGACATACCAGGTTTGCTGAGTCTGTTCGAATTGCATTGCGTTGATTTTTGTCTCGGGTCGGGTCGATATGGGTTCTCGAGATATGGATTTAAAAACAAATGGAAGTTTTTATATCGTAGTCTGGGCGAAAACTGGTGCTTTTTTTTGTTTGATGGGTTCTAGATGATGGAAGAAGAGTGAGACAAAGCGGCGATGTGGAAAAAATTCTACTGGTGCGACTGGCTGAACCACAAGCGCTTTTTTTTTTTTTTTGCATGATTATTGGTACCTCCCAATGTATGCAGAGTTATCAGTCTACTTGATCGTTCCAACAAGTACGTGTTCTACTTTTCTACGACAGGATGTGTGCCTATTACACCCAATTAAATTGTTTTCAGGGAGGTGTATGTCTTTTCACTGGCAGACACGTCTATGTTAGGGCTCGTTGGGGAGTTTACCTGCCGAAATGTACGCGAACGCGTTTTCCCAATTCTGTTTCATTGACAATATACGTAAAAATTGCCTTCCATCACTCTGTTGACTGGAAAGCAGTACTTGCAATCGCTAGTTTGACGACATGCAATCCAAGTCTTCCGTGAATATCAAATCAACACAAATTCGGTTCCGACCCTGAAAATATACCTAGCAGGTTCTGGCAACCGGTGCAACTCCCAACTCGTATCTTTCATGTTCGATGCGCCTTCCAATCGTCATATCACATTAAATACCAAGCTTTCTCTCCATCTCAGAGTGGAAGTCCTGGACATTTCTGCCGGACTCAAAGCCTCCTTTGTACACATCTTCCCAGTCGACCGTAGCCTCCCTGTTCAAAAGGATGTCTCTGTGCAAACTGTCGGAACCACCCAATACTTGTGGCTTGAAGTCAGTGGCTTCCACGATGTTCAATTCCATGGATCTCTTGATCGGTTCACCGGCACCAAACACACGTCTGTACATTTCCAACTTGGTATCCTGCTGTGTGCTTTCCCAGCTTTGAATCCTGCCTTCAAGCGGATGACGATTATTTAATTGTGAAGCAATATTCAAGGGTCCTTCTTGGGCCCTCAATGTATCTTGCAAGGCTGGTGTGTTCTCGGAGACTACACCAAAGGTGGTAGTGCTCACCGAGGACAATTTCTTGTTTTCTGGAACTACTTTCAAGGACTAGGTTGTTAGTTTTGTTCTTTGAGGTCACTCCTGGGACAAGAGAGCAGGCGACATACCATTTTGTAAATGTATTTGATGTTGATTATATGATTATAGATTTCGATGCGATCAGTTGTCGAAGTAGTGTTGGTGGCGCACCGGGGGTAGCGCGCACGACCGACTGTGCACACTATTATTCTCAGAAGATTAGCTTCAGCCATAGAGGGTAGAGTATTTGAGAAATGACTTTTTGCTACCTGACCTATAATATCTCGTTGCGAAATGTTTGGTCTATTGACTTAAAAAATGGGACTATGAATTCTGCCATTCTTCTTTAAATTGTCTCTCTGTATTGATATCGCCTCTGTCTCATCCGTCAACTTCCTCTATCTTACATTCTATCAACTGGTTCATCGACAACATCGATCAATCTCTCGTTGCTGTGTTCCTTGTCTTTCAAAAATCCTGGCACCCAGCTCCAACTCTCTGGCTGGAGCACCCCATTGAAGCATAGGGTTCCAAAAACCAAAATGGAAAAACCAAAAAACTGAAGAACACGGAAAGATTCCCATCCGAGGCACATCGCCACAAGCCAAACCAAAAGGGTCCGACAACTATCAATCGTGGACCTCGAAGTGGCAGACAAGTGGTGCGTTAGCGATATACCGCAGAAATTGAATGCAGAAATGCACACCATGATAAGAAGCGAAGAGCCCAAAATTGCCCACAGGGAGAATGTCTCTGCAAGCGAAACTTGAAGATTGAGCTTTGATTTCGCAAACTCACTCTCACTCTGCAAAGTGCTAGCCACAAGATGCGAAATCACCAAGGTCGCCACCAAGATTATGGAGCCGGAAAAGCCTTCTGTGTAGACCAACTTCAAAGGCGTGAACAGATAATGACTAAGAATCTTTTCTTCGACAACAAACTGCACAGCTTGGAGAGCCACTGCTACGATGATAAGAGACATTCCAAGAGAAATAAGTCTCGGGTCCTCCTTACTGGTGGAGCCGCTGGAGCCACTGTACCCCACAACTGCAATACCGAGCGTGACAAAGATAAGCGCGATCCACTCCAATTTCCTTATTCTTCTCTTCAAGAACAACACTGACATTATGGCCACAAATAACACAACGGCACCTCGGGTCATTTGGTAAATTGATACTGGAGTGTAAACCAAACCAACGTTCATGAGCGAGGTGGCTAACATGTCGCATACCGACGGAATTGCAAGCACGACGCTTTCACGGAATGAGGGCTCTTGAGCCTGGATCTGGACGTACTGGGATCTTTTCGTCCACGGAGCCTTGTAGAGGCAGTAGAACACAAGATATATAGCAGACTCTCCAATAAACATTTGGAGGGTCTGGATCCCTGGCTGCTCGTAGAGCTGGTGCTTGGAGATGTCCGGATTGTCACAGTGGGCAACGCATTGATTGTCCTGAAACTTGGTCAAGAGTGAATTGAGGCATCCACAGATAATTGTCCCCGACACGATGGCCGTGGTGAAAGACATGGCAGTGAGAAAAGGGGGCAAATAATGGGCGTTGTATACCTCAGTGAGACCAGGCCAGGTATATATGTTTTAGGCTGATGCGGCTCCGTGGGGGCCGCGTAACTGCGAGGCCTTTGAATGCCCAGTTCAGATAGTGCGTCGCGCTTGCAGGACCTGGGCAGTCTGATAACCAAGTTGAGAGGAGAGTGTGGAACAAAAACCACTGAACCCCGCCTGAATTTCATTTCAATGGGAAAAATGCCCTTTGTTTGTGTGAAGACGTACACTGCATCGATAACGCACACCCTTCACTCTTCGTCAGAGCGAAGCAATAAATCACCTTCCCAAAGCGGCAATTCCACGAGCCGCACGATGGTCATCGGTGGTCGAAGCAATGAACCACGATATCTACACTTCGCTTGACTTTGGCATCGTTGTCTTGCTATCGGTCGTCTTGAATCGAGCCCCAATCACCATAGCTATCTTTTTTTGGTCATTTTACGCTCGAGTGAAGCCTGAATCGGTCAAAGTACACGATTCTGAGGATTTGGACTCATCCTGCCCTTATGTCCACTCATGATGCCTCTTAAAGTTCCGGAAAAAGCCGCCAACCAGCAAACGTGATTCCGTTGGCTACACACAGTGTCATATCTTCCCGCGTTCTCCCCATGTCGCTGGTCTATGTCCTGATATCCTCCCATTCGTTGAGCTGGGTCAGAGGGGTTACCCGCACGCAGTCCGCCATAGAAAGCGAAGGACAAAAATTTTTCTCGCTCCATACATTTTTCCAACACTAACAAACAATCCAACACATAAATAAAAATGGCTTTTGGAGATTCAAGAGGCGGTTCTAGAGGTGGTGCCCGTGGCGGCAGAGGCGGATCCCGTGGTGGATTCGGTGGTGGCGCTCGTGGTGGAAGAGGTGGTGCCAGAGGTGGTTTTGGTGGTGGCCGTGGTGGAGCCAGAGGCGGCTTCGGTGGAGGTCGCGGTGCTCCCAGAGGCGGTGCTCGTGGCGGTGCTAGAGGTGGCAGAGGTGGCGCCAGAGGCGGTGCCAGAGGTGGTGCCAAAGTCGTCATTGAGCCCCACAGACATGCTGGTGTTTTCATTGCCAGAGGTAAGGAGGATTTGTTGGTGACCAGAAACATTGCTCCAGGTGAGTCTGTGTACGGAGAGAAGAGAATCTCCGTCGACGAGCCCGCCAAGGAGGAGGGTGCGCCAGCCACCAAGACCGAGTACCGTGTCTGGAACCCTTTCAGATCCAAGTTGGCCGCCGGTATCATGGGTGGTATCGATGAGTTGGGCATTGCCCCAGGTAAGAAGGTGTTGTACTTGGGTGCTGCCTCCGGTACTTCTGTTTCGCACGTCTCCGATGTCGTTGGCCCAGAGGGTATGGTCTACGCCGTTGAGTTCTCTCACAGACCAGGCAGAGAGTTGATCAGCATGGCTAAGAAGAGACCTAACGTCATCCCCATCATCGACGATGCCCGTCACCCTCAAAAGTACCGTATGTTGATTGGTATGGTGGACGCCGTCTTTGCCGATGTGGCCCAGCCCGACCAGGCACGTATCATTGCTTTGAACTCCCACTTGTTCTTGAAGGACCAAGGATGTGTCGTCATCTCCATCAAGGCCAACTGTATCGACTCCACCGTCGACGCCGAGACTGTTTTTGCCAGAGAGGTGCAGAAGTTGAGAGAAGAGAGAATCAAGCCTTTGGAGCAATTGACCTTGGAGCCTTATGAGAGAGACCACTGTGTCGTTGTCGGCCGTTACATCAGAAGCGGTTTGAAGAAGTAAGCTCTTTGGACTGTTGCATCCTGTTCTTCTCCCTGTATTCTATTTTTATAATTGCATAGCTTTGAAAATTTATTTGGTTTAAAACTGTTCTACTGGAGTCAGGCAGAAGACCCCCAGATTCCCTTGGGCCATGCGACACGGGCGCAGAGGCACAAGATAAAAATAGACAACATCATGCACTTTTATTTCCAGAAAACATTGGGGATCGACCACGCATCAAAAGTTTGTTCTTGCTCTTGTCGCCGCTGGAACTGATGTGCATAGCAGTGTTTCCGAGCAATGTGTGGTTTACTGCACCCGGGACCTCAGTTTGCATCCGCGAAGGCCTCGACTTCCTCTGGATCACTCGAGCACTTTCATACACCCCCATACTAGGCCCGCGACTCCAAGTCCTAGTGGCGTTCTACAAGCCCACTTTGCTTAAAGTACACCCGGCATATCAAAAATACTCTCGAGAAAATCTCAAATACTCATTTTGCACCATCTGCTCCGTTTTTTTACAAGAAAAAAACCACCCCATCCGAAATACCAGTCCTTTGTTTCTCCCACTTGAATGCACTAAGTGCGGTCCCGAACAAGCGGTCGATTCATGAGCGAAAGAGCACAAACCAAATCTCCGACGCCGCAAGTGGTCGAGGTTGAAAGTGAGGACGATCTTGGGTCCCCTGTCTTTCCGAGCTCAAACTATGATGTGCTCCGACAAAATAATGTTATTGAAGTCACCAGTGATGCTTCAGGTGATGAGGACGTGGAAATTGTCGCAGAAAATAGTACTCACTCAAACAACGACGACGTCGAAATTACTGGTCACACAACGGCGGACCCTCCCATGTATGAAATAGAATTTCCTGGTGGGCCTCCTAGTCGACCCCGGTCCATAGAGCCTACGCTATCTCGACCGACGGTGGGTGCTCGTTCCCTTGATACCCCGTTCTCACGAAACGTTCGAAGACGCCCGAATCCCAGACAGAACAGAAACTTATACCAAGCTAGATTCTACCCCAGAGTACAGAACCCGCTATGGCTTAGCTATGATGATATTCCAGCCTTCTTGGCGGAACATAGTCCTCAAACTCGACTATTCTTCCAGGGCCAAGGAGACGGTGATATATCCTCAGCAATCATGGACAGAATCAGTCGTGAGGAAGAAAACTCTCTTGATCGTAAGATGGAGTCCGAAAACAGGCACAATAGAAAAGTTCTTGAGAAGAAAAAGGGAGTTGCATGCGACGAACTAGACGGTTACACAAATGACATTGCTCCTGATGATAACGTCATGTGCGAATTGTGTGGTATTGTTTTGGGAGAGGGCATTCCAACGGACTTCGAGCCCGACTTGAAATATGACGAGAACCTCGAGGTACATGCGTCATCATCACAAGTCATGGCGCCGTGGTATTGCATAAGACAGTGTTTCAGTACAGACAGAGAGCTTTCTAAACGGGTATTTGCTGCAAAATGTGGCCATGTTTTCTGTGGTCGTTGTATCAAAAATATCGGAAACCGACCGCCATCCAAGCGGGGTAAAAACTCCAATCACATGACTACACTAAATCCCCAAATTTCGGCTCCTCGAAAGTGCCCGGCTGAAGAATGTGGCGTTGCATTCAACAAAAGCAAAAAAACTTTTCTAGAAATTTTCCTATAGGCTGAAAGGGGTTTAAATAGATGGTGGTGATGAATGGGTAATCATATTGCATAATACAAACTGTTGGAATCGCTTGAAACTAAAGAGTTGGTCGAAATAAATGTAGTCTCCTTAATCCACTCTAGCTTCTGACAACGTCAAAGGCTTGATATTGTTGGAGAATATCGATGAACCACTCTTGAACCTGTTGATCTTCTTAAGCTTCTCCCTCACAACCATGACCGGAACAGAAGACTTAGTGACCAAATAATTTGACAACGACCCTAACAAAACTCCCTTAATGGCGCTCAGGCCTTTCGAACCGACAACAACGAGTGTTGGCTGCAAATTGTCAATGCACTCTAAGATCAAGTGGCGGGGAATAGGATGGTGTATGATCTCAATCACTATATGAAGCTGCAATTTCGTGAGCTTGAGCAAATTCAAAACCTGTTGTTTTGCTCTGTTAAGCATGTTCAATCGAGCACTTTCTCTTGCAGATTCATTCAGAGTGTTTCCTTTCAATTGGTGATTGGTGTCGTTGTCCTCAATCACACAAACGATAAAAAGAACAGATCCATCCACTAAAACAGTTCCCAAACACCACTCAAGAGCGAAAATAGATTCGGGACTAAAGTCCATGCATAGCAAAAACATCTTTGGTTTGATTTGAGGATTGATAAGTTGGAAGAAGTTCCCTCGAGTAATCGTTTGGATCACCCTTGATTGAGAAATGTTGGAATCAACTTCTCCCTCTTTAATCGTCTCATTGAGCTGGAATGCAAACTCAGAGTCCAACTTATCTTCCACAGCTGAGGTGTATGGTATCATGAATTCGGAAGCATCTGACCCTTCAGTCGTAGTATCGTCACTTTTCTTGGACGACGGTGATTGACGCCCCCGTAAGTTGTCATTTTCCTGGTGGATGATCTTCCTTCGATAGGCTTGGTAAGCCTCTAATTTCTGCCTCCTGGATTCAGCATCTTGATCTGACTTGTTAAGATCTAACTTGTCCTGCCCGGTTAACGCGTGCTTGTTTTCAGCTAGTTTGGCCACAACATCATTGTCTACATTTGAACCAATCTTCTTAGCGTTGGCCACAGCCCTTTCATTTGCAGTGAGCTCCTCGAGTTTTTTGATGGTTTCCTGGTCATTTAAGTTGGAATGTTCCAAGATCGATGAGATTTCGGTCATCTTCTCGTCGTGGCATGCATAGTTAGGAAGAATATTCCCCGTTCCGTTGTACTCAAACTTCTCACCCTCGTAGTCGTCACTGATGTGTTCCTCTTCGCTATTTTCGTCGTCCCACATTTCCTCGCCTGCTGCAGCTCCTGTCGAATTCTCTCCTTGGATCCTTTCCAGGGGGTCGTGATTGATGATAGACCATTTCATTTCTCTATTGTTGAAGTCATCGGCCAGAGCAGACGAAGATCTAGAGTTATTCCCCGATGGAGAGAGAGACCTACCTCTGTTCGACATAGATTGTTGAATAATAGCCAATTTCTCAGCCTCTAATTTGGAGAGACGACTGGCCATTTTGCTGGGGATGCGTGGTCAAGAATGATAGTAATTGTTTTTTTTTTTTTGATAATAAGTTCAGAGCCTGATATGTCGGGTTTTCGCTGGTCTGAGTTCTTCTCCTTTGTTTCGTCTAGTTTTAGTTCTACTTTATCAGAGATAATTGCCGCTTTAGAGAATAGCCTGTTGTACGAGCTAAATCTGACCCCACCAAAATTATGTTGTAGCGTACCGCCGCGTGCTTCGGATTAAACCTCTACCTCTCCAAAAGCTTGGCACACGATTAGCGTGATAATGAATGCAAAGGAGGGCGCAATTGACGCCAAAGCATTGCTATGCTTCAAGCTTTGGAATCACTCACTGTATTTATACTTAGTAGTTTGGTATAGATTCATTTCTACTATCTTCAAACTTCTTGCTTCCTCTTGCCTCTTGTGATCGGAAATATACTTACTGCTTGAATCAGAACGACACGACTTTCATGAAGAATGCGGAAAGTACTATTGGTGAGATTTATAGAGCCTGACTTCTAGACAATTTTAATAACTTTGAGTTTAAAATCTGACCAGGATTTTCTAGAGTATACTCTGCAGATAAAGAGGAACAATATACAGTGAGCCTGGGAAATTAAATCCAAGTTTTAATTTTCGATTATCTTTCACACATTATACAAGCAGTCGCATTCTTAGGTTTTATTAGACACCATGGGGATAACGATGTACCAAACAGAAAAGACAAAAAAAGATCGCAAAAAAATAACAACGGTCCTCATATATATTTTAGGGGGCTTCAGTCACTTCATAAAACATCTAAGAGACTCTTCATACCCATTTCATGTAGCAGGTAGGCATCACACGTGATAAGAGTTGTTCTAGCAACTTTAGTTAGAGGGGCGCATAGCTCGTAATATTGTTATAATACATGAGCCATATAAAGTACATAATCTACCACTATCTTCGACTAAGAGGAAAACATGATCCCGTATTTTCATGCTTGATTCAAACGATATCCATGTCTTTGTCTTCACAATCAACATACTCGAACAATACATTGTCTCCAGAACCAAGATTACCAAAATCCTGTATCGTCTCTGTAGAACTGGGCAAACAATATTTGGGAAGCGGCTTGAACAACTCGAAGGAAAACTTAAACTGATCAAGGAATTCAGGCACGCTCATTTGCATTGGTTCAATTTCTTTTACTTCCTGTTCATCAATTAAAAGAGTTTCCACAAACAAGTAAATCTCACCCATGGCACCTTCTTTGGGAAACTTTTGCAAGATTCTTCTTCCATCCGGTAGCTTAATGGAAATTCTTATAAGATTGCTTGCTGGCACACCATCCACCCGACCTTCGAAGTACTTTGTATCATGAAGATACTTGATGAAACCCTCTCTGAGGGCTTTTAATTTCATCTGGGCTTCTTGTTGCAAGCGTTGATTTTCTTTCTCAACCTTTTTAACCTTATCGTTTTCAAGAGACTCCAAATAAGCCTCGTCTTGTTTTTCTTTTATAATGCGGCTCATTTCTATTTCTTGTTTGTCAAAGCGCTTAGTGACAAGTTGTGGGTTATAGTCGTTTGAAATCTTACAAAGACTATTGACCGTTTTTCTGATCAACGCTGCTTGTTCCTCATCATCGCCAAGGATACAATTCGCCTTGTATATTATCGACATTGAGGACATCACCGATGGATCCTTTGATACATTGCCGATTAAGAAAATAAAAGGGAGTTTGCGGCAGTTGTATGTAGACGCTACTTCGAAAGCTTCAGGACTCTTATCCACGTTATTCACAAATAGTTGAGTGTCTTTTAATTGTCCCGTCTTAGAAAAGACATCTTTGAAGCGTTGGGTTTCAAGCAACTTTTGCGTGAATTGAACACTACTGTCATCGCAGAGTATCCCCAAGAGAAAGTGGAATTCCTGTTGGCTGGATGCGTGTCATTCGTTGAAGTTTTCTGTCGCGATGTTGTAAGTGCTTGAAATCTCATTGATCAAGAGGCTGTCTCGAGCGTTATAATTTTCATCGTACGCTTCGAAATCAAATTTTGAATTGGGTGCACCGTCATACCCAATGGATAGATTGAGCCCGAATAGATAGCGAAATGCCGAGTATAGGAAAGAAAGCGTCTTTGGAACGAGAAGAAAGATTATCCAAAGGAATGTCAGTTTCTTGGGCTTCGGATGTTCTGTAAGTAGATCTTTCTCCTCCGTGCTTTTGAAAGCTTTACGAGAGATATGTATGCCCAAATCTAGCTGCCACTTGGTGGAGATTCTGGGTGCTTTGGCCAATCTCGGCAACACGTGGACCATGGCAAAATCGCCCTGCAAATTACTATAGTTTCTCTCATCGAACCGTTCTAGTCCTGTAGCAAAGAAATCACTGCTTGATTCTACTTGCAGCGAAATGTTCTCCGTGGGCTCTGGTTCAGGCTCAGGCAAAGCGAATCCTTTATCAAAATATGCGAGCACTGAGTTGTTCAAGTTGTAGTTGTTGTACGAGAGCAAAGCTATGGCTTTGGACTTAGTGTCAGCGTCATCTAACGATATGCCCGTGACAACCGCAAATTCACTAAGGGTTTCTTGTTGCGAGGCAGTTAAGTCATCCATGGTTCAATGCAAATCAGGTAAAGAGTATCTGCTACATTGCAATTGGGGTGTGCGCGGAAGTATAGTGTAGAGTGAAGAAAGAGTGTGCAGGGCACCAGGCATAAAGTTCCAGGTGAACAGTCTCAATAGTTCGTGCCCAAACAGAAGAAGTTACAGCAGAAAAGCCCCAGGAAATCTCTCATTTCGCTGCTTTCAGAGAACTATACAATATTTTGAATCACCTCATGGTTGAGCACAACTGGGTATGTCGCTCCAAGTCCTCCTCACGCCGTCCAATAGCCAGAAACAGATTCGATTCCGTTAGATACGACGGCTCTGCAATGGGATGTCCAATTCCAGATGATACCTTCCATTTGATGCGCTTTCTGGATGTTCGTTTGACGCAACTTCTTAGTTTAGGCGAAATTGTTCTGCGAGGGCACCACAGTTACTGCGGCGCAATTGTCGGAGGGTGATGCGGAGATACGCGCATCCATGGTTGATAGCCATGGCCCGGCTCCCCACGGCCCCCAACCGCAACTCCTCATTCGGCTCGGAATAAGCGCCAGCCGTGCACACAACAAGCAAACGAAAAAAAACGTGATGCGAAACTATGCCAGTGAGTCAAGACGTCCCCTCATTCCAGCTTCAATAAGGCTTCGTGCATGAGTCTTGCTTTTCTTTTTTAAGCTTGAAAACTTTTCACCTGCATCCGTCTGACACATAGCCTCACTGAGCCTTGAGAGCTTAATTGGACCGTAGCGTGGGCTCAATATCCGGTCCAGAAATCGGAAGCCCGTGGTCACATGATGCGCAATGCTCCGCTGGTGCGAGCGTGGCACATCTTAGGGCCGAGGCTACGGGAGCCCATTGGAGGGCCGAATATAGGCCCAAAACGCCGAGCCGGCCCTATACTTTTGGCAGGGCCTTGCTGATCATTCTTGATCATCACTCATTTTCCTTTTTTTTTTTTTGACCTGTTGTGTCTCACGTCATCGCTACGTAAAATTTTCATCATCTAAAGCTTCACGTGTGCTTCAATAGGCTCCAAGGTCGAAATTGCACACTAGCCCAAATTAGAGGGTTAAGCGCCGCGACAAGCGTTATGACCACTGGCCCTGCATTGTGACTTTCTCTTCCTCGCCTTGATCACTTGGCTAAAAGTCTGTCTTGAATGAGCGCAAAAGAAATTAAAATTTCCGGGGCTCACAACTACTGGAGGCGACACGAAAAAGTCAAGATTCGTAATTTCACACGTAATCTAGTGCTCTGATGGACGCCCAAAAGCTGGTCTGGAACTTGGGGTTTGCCGTTCCGACGCGGTGCCTGTATCAAGAAGAGAGCCACGGGACGCAGCCTTCCACGCCCACCTACATATTATACCGCGACACTGTTTAGGCCGCTCCGAGTATTTAGCAAGTAGCATATAATTTTTTTTCTCTGTTGCTCATTGCTATTGCCGAGCTTTTCCGTGACCCACCCTCTATATAACAGTGAACCTCTTCGCTCGCGAGAAGTTTAGGCAGTAACAAAAGCTAGACTATGTCACGTTTTTTTAAATCAGCTCTCGCGAAAGCTGCCTTGGCGACTGGCGGTGCCGTCGGAGCCTCGGTCGTTTACTTAGATTTCGTGAAGGCTCCCAATCACTCGGAATTTAACAAATCTTACAAACCATTGATCACGTCTCTCGAGGCTCCCCCTTCAAGAGACGATCTTTTGAGAAGATTAAAGAGCACCGAAAAATTCGATGTTCTAGTCATTGGTGGTGGTGCCACCGGCACTGGTGCCGCTCTTGACGCCGTCACCAGAGGCCTTAACGTATGTTTGTTGGAGAAGAATGACTTCGCATCCGGTACATCCTCAAAGTCAACCAAAATGGCTCACGGTGGTGTCAGATACTTGGAAAAGGCCATTTTCCAGCTTTCAAAAGATCAGCTCGACTTGGTCATCGAGGCCTTGAATGAGAGAGGCAACATGCTTCGCACTGCTCCTCACTTGTGCTCGGTTTTGCCGATCATGATCCCTGTTTACAAGTGGTGGCAAGTCCCATACTTTTTTGTTGGTTGTAAGATGTACGATTGGTTTGCCGGTCACCAAAACTTGAGAAATTCCACCATTTTCTCCAAGGAGACCACGGCGTCTATCGCTCCAATGATGGATCACTCCAACTTGAAGGCTTCTTGTGTTTACCACGACGGTACTTTTAACGACTCCAGAATGAACTCGACTTTGGCCATTACTGCCATCAGCCATGGCGCCACTGTATTAAACTACATGGAAGTCAAGCAATTGGTAAAAGAAGAGGGCAAACTCGTTGGTGTTTTAGCCCGTAACCGCGAAACAGGCGAGGAATCCCTCATTAGAGCTACTGCTACTGTGAATGCTACTGGTCCTTTGGCCGATAGGCTTTTGGAAATGGACGCCGATCCTCAAGGCTTGCCTCCAAAAACCCCGCAAGCTCCAAGAATGGTTGTCCCCTCATCCGGTGTCCACGTTGTCCTTCCTGAATACTATGGCCCACAAACAATGGGATTGTTGGATCCTTCTACTTCTGATGGTAGAGTTATGTTTTTCTTGCCCTGGCAAGGAAAGGTGTTAGCTGGCACCACTGACACCCCATTGAAGTCTGTTCCCGAGAATCCTGTCCCAACTGAAGAGGAAATTCAAGACATCTTGACTGAATTGCAAAAATACCTCGTTTTCCCTGTTCACAGAGAAGATGTGTTGTCTGCTTGGTCTGGTATTAGACCATTAGCCCGTGACCCATCCAAGTTGCCAAAGGGTAAGGAAGCATCTGGCACCCAAGGATTGGTCCGTTCGCATTTGCTTACTCAATCAGAGTCTGGTTTGGTTACCATTTCGGGTGGTAAGTGGACTACTTATAGAGAAATGGCCCAGGAGACTATTGACCACGTTGTAAAGCACTTTGATTTCGGTGAAACCCAAATCGGTCCTTGCAAAACTAATGAACTCATTCTCATTGGTGGTGAAGATTACTCCAAGAACTACTCTGCTAGGTTGATCCATAAGTACAAAATTCCTTTGAAATTGGCCAAGTACCTCAGTCATAACTATGGTTCCAGATCGTCCCTTATCTTGGAATTGTACCAGGAGTCTGACTACAATAAGTTGCCAGTCACATTGGCTGCCACCAAGAGCTTTGAGCCTTCTGCTGAAAAAACCACTGACGACAACTTCTTGTCTTACCAATCATTCGATGAGCCATTCACTGTGGCCGAATTGAAGTATTCTTTGAAATACGAGTACATCAGAACTCCTCTTGACTTTTTGGCCAGAAGATCTAGATTGGCATTTTTGAATGCCAGACAAGCCTTGCACGCTGTTGATGGTGTTGTTGAAATCATGAAAGGTGAACTCAACTGGGACGACGAAACCAGCGAGAAGTTGGCCGAGGAGGCTAGAAAGTATATCGGGCAAATGGGAATTTCTTCTGAGAAATTCAACGTCACTGACTTCGTTATTCAATGATGAAGATGCCCCAAAATCTAGCCGTTCACGAATCACGTTTTGTAATTTATTAGCCACTCGCACGAAACCCTTCAAGATTAAAGTATAGAATATATAGAACGGAAGCGAATCTTAATTACGGTTCTCATGATAATTTCACGCACTATTTTTTATTTGTTAGCTGATTATCCTGTGTATGCTCTTACGTAAGCCTGGCAATTGTTCTACACTCAAGGTATTGAAGATGTGTGCGATAGTGTGCTTAAATATATGAATAGTAAAATCCAAGACTACTTTTCAATTTGAAGTTCTTCGAGATTCTGTGATATCTTGTCTTCTCTGGCCTTTTTCAAGTCGTTGGCCCTCTTTTTGTCCGTCTTCGCAAAACGCTCCACGTCTGTCTTAGCATTTCTGCTGAAACCTAGATCACCAAGCGTTTCTTCATCACCAGCGCCATATTTTTGTTGATATTTAGAGCCGGGCATTTTCAAAAGAGCTTTTATTTCTGGGTTCTCCACGAGTTGATCATGGAGGCCAAAGCCGAAGCACCACTTGAGATGCAACAATCTGAAGTATAGGAACCAGCTATTGATGGACAAAGACTTGGAACGCGACAATTTGACGTGCGTAGAGCTGACAGAAGCTGCCAATAGCTCAAGTCCTGTGGGCGACAACTTGTAAATCTCTTCCCGTTGTTCCGCATTCGTATAGTATTCTATCGTCTTTGCCACTTCTTGGAACACAGAGTTTGTATCCTTCTTCTCTTTTTTCCCGACCCTTCTCGATGAGAGGTTCGAAAGACGCATGCACGTATTGATTATCGCCTCTTGCTCATAATAGGGGGAGTTGTAGTTGAACTCCGTGTCATCGTCATCATCATCTTCAGAAGCACTTTCGTATGTATACGATTCGTAGCAAAGCGCCAATACCTTAGCTGCAGCTTTGGAAATCTCGACATTTTCATCGTTGTCCACAATCGTAACAAGATCCGTTGCCAATGTACTGAGAAGGTCGTTGAGATATTCTCCTTTTTGAAGCAACGTAACCAATACGCCAACGCCGTGAAGGGCAGAGACAGCGACATTCGCCTCAGCTAGATAGCGAGATTCTTGCTCATCTATCAAGCGCTTGTCCTCACTCTCATGCATCAAAGTGGAGTATTCTCTATCGCCTGTATTCAACTGTAGCTTCAAGTTGAGGGAACTCTGAACGAATCCTTGGGCAAGCTCCAAAAGCCACTTTACCTTGTCGTCGACGCCAAAAGACGAAGTCCCTCCATAAAGGATTAATAACAAGCCGCAGTATCCCGTAATGACACTGGCCTTATTCTCATTATTGATGAGCAGATTGGCAGGTGCCAGGATGAGATTCTCCAAGGTTTCGATAAAGTCCAGACTCACAAGCTCACCAAAATCTTCAAGATCGCTTGCAAGAAGAGCAATTACTGATCTGTAAAGAAGAATGAATTCGGTAGCAGACCTATAGTCTCCGGTTGTTAAAAGCTTGACGAATGACAGAACGACTTCTTCCGTCACGTAGCTGTGGTTATCGGCCACTTCTTCGTTGAAAACTGGAATAGGTTTTGTGACAATTATCTTGTAGAGTTGAGCCAAAAGCAATTCTCTAGACAGAGATGAGACGGACGATCTGGAGTGTTGCAAGGACAGAGCAATGTCATTTATCGTGGTCGAACCGGACTGAATCCTGGCTTTATTCATGGAAACTGCATTTTTTTGTCTGTAGTCCTGTGAGTCAGCTACCATCGAGTCACGGTTTTCAGTTTCTTCTGCCTCACTCAGGAGTAACATGGATTGCAACGACTCAAGTTTTCTCGAGATTAATTCCTCGAGCGTCAGAAAGTTAACATCCAAAGCTCCATTCTCCTCACCATCTGGAAGCGGGGTTCTTACACGAGACACTGACCTCGATGAAGAATTGGAGAGAGGCTCTTTTATTAGCGATTTAGCGTAAAATTGCTTCGACATGATTGTGGTAGCAGTGAAAAGTTGGCGTTGAGTCTGGAGAAAAGTGAGCCGATTATATGACCCAGTGCGAAGGAGCAATAGTCACGGCCTGCGTGAAAAGGTTCCCCACTTGCTGAGAGTGCGGCATAGTTTTCTGGGGAAAAAGGTTTATTGTCCCTCGACCAATAATCAAACCTACTATCATTGATGGTGAATGGAAGATTTGAAAAATTACTCACAATCAGATTTGGCCAAATTTGAAAACTTATGGGGCCAACGGCTTTCATGGGCCGAACTGACCAACCAACGAACCCAATGATCCAGACTGATATCATAAAGCAGCAGTCTTCTCCCATGATTGGCGCATGTACATCTCGCATTGTAGATCGCTTTATTTCGAATCCTATGTCTGGTGCATGATTTAAAATGTGACCTCGTGAGGAAAAACGTTAAATTTCTCCCCATTTTCTCTCACTGTTTCTCTCTTCACGTCTCGGGGAAGAGCTTTTCGCATGTCGAAGGCATCGACATCATCGTTTACATGATCCCGGTCAGTGGGGTACTTGTCCCCGTAGTATCCAATGACCCGCCGGTAAACCAGATATCCCAATTTTTCGTATAGCTGTCGGGCAACGGTGTTTGTGACTTTCACAAAGAGGTCTACGAACAATGCTTCGTGGGGTGCGATCGCCGTGATCTGTTCGAGATGCGTGCACAAGTCCGAGGCTAATTTTATACGTCGAAAATTGCGGCCAATCGTTACTGCTGTGATATGAGTATGCCACTCTTTCATAACTAGTTGGCCTTCCGTTTTTCCCATCATATACCCGCTTATCTCTCTCTTAGCATTCCCCGTGTCTTCTACAGACTTGAAGAATAGCGTGGGCCAATCACAGAGGTACTGAAGATAGAACAGAAGATTGAAATTTTCAGTGAACGGATCAAGGTTCACACTATTCAACTCATATAAATCCTCCATCTTAAACGGTTTTATCGAAGTCATTTTGAAGTTATCTAAACCCTGCTACCAACCTACAGTAGTCCATCTTCACATTGCAGGTCTCTACCTCGCAAAACCTGCCGCAAAGTCGCACCACGTGACGTGCACCGAGAAAATTTTAGTTTATGAAGCCAAGTTTGCTGCTCGGACCGACAACACCACTTATTGTATATAAATTATGTTCGGCGGACCAGGTGCTCAACCCTCTGAGGAGCAAAAGAAATTGCAGGAACAATATGCGTACAGCACTTTGCAAACTGCTGGCTTGATGGCTGGTGCCTTGTGGATCACTCCAATCATTTTCCACTTCGTCAAGAAACAGCTCTCATAGGCTTAGAAATGCCCGTGATCAGTCATTTGAAATCCTATTACTTTGTACATATCTGACAATACTAAATGACGTTCTACTTATTGAAGCACATTGGCTTAGTTGTAAGCACACCGGTTGCATTCTAATCTGACCATTACTCCTCCTCATTTTCCTCCTCCTCGTCATCTTGCATCTCCAAGAGTTCTTCTCTTAATTTGTTAATCTTGGCCATGAGATTCGAGAAACTATGTCTTTCAGCAATCTTGGTGGCTGCAAGTAGGGCCTTGTCATTTTTGATGAGCTTGACGACACTAAATGCCTTGTTAAGCCGTGATTCTTCACAGGCACTGTTGAAGAGCTTGAGAAGAGACTTGTCAAACACGAGACTGTATCTTTTCAATGTGTCCATGGTTTCTTCCTCGTCGCCTAAATCACCAAGAGAGGAGGCCAATAGCTTTCCTAATGTGGAAACACGTAGAAATTCTTCTTCTGGGTCGTCGTCCCTGATTTTTTGTAATTTCCCTTCAAGATCATTGCTTCCAGTGGCAATTTGATCCTCTTCAGCTTCGTCGTTATTCTTTTCGTTTGCTAGCAAACTCTTGAAGCATCTTGTAGGAAGCCTTAGGTTGAATTCAATAGGTAGTGGGAGCGGGAAGCCTGGATAAACATCATTGTTTTTCAAAATCAAACAAACCGTTTTATCACCCTGAAGACCAAGAGGCCAACATTTCCAATTTTTCTTGGTTTCAGTCAATCCAAAGTCGGAGACAGCGTTGTTGTAGTTAAGAACAGGTACCCATCTCGCATTTCCTGTTTCTCTCCAGTGAGAAAGCACAACAAGTGTATCATCATGTCCAGCAACAAGGCATGGGTCTGAGTGATCATTGAAAAAGAGGCCCTTGATCAAGGGTAATCGTGAAGCTTTGATCGGTAAATTGCACTCCTGTTGATGAAACTTGTAGTCGTCTGGTACGCTGATAATCGAGTAGCTGTAAGTTTCCTTTCCTGATTGATGGATACTGAACACAGTGTTGATGGCTGATGAAATGAGAGAGATAATTGGGGACACCTTCATAATGTTGATGCAAAGACCATAAAGGTTAAAGAATCTAAGGTAGCCAAAGCTAGTACCAACGACAATAATCGAGTCACCAGAAGTATTAGAAGTGGAGCTTGTGATGCAAATAGACGTGATATACTCAGTCTCTAAAAGAGGTATTTGTCTATCCCACGAATCACTTGTGTTGATATGGTGTCTGTAAAAAATACGTCCCTTGTGAGAACTCGTTTCATTCTGGTGTCCAGAGCACCCAAGCAAAATACCTCGCTCGTTCATAGAGCATAGGTCATAGTCATAGTAATCAATGAAGTGATAATCCTTGTTTACGGATCTGTCGAAAAATGAAATTGTTACACTCTTTTGGATGTTTGACAAGTCATCAGAGTCATTTTTCACCGACCAAGAGTACCCAATCGCATTCATGAATAGGTATCTTCTCTTTGTGGTGTTTGTACTAGCATTGGCAGACTTAATCCAAGGGGTCGATCCTGGAGAATATGGAGTCAATTCATAAGAAGGCTCGTCTAATAATGTTGGAATATCCGCCAGAAAGCGAGCTCTCTTCCGCCTATTTGAAAGAATATCTTTCACGGGCCTGTTGTGGTACTGATACGGGTCTTGCTCATCCTCGTCATCATCCTCGTCTATAATCATTGAATCATCAAGAGCGTCTCTTTTCTTTGAGTTTTCCGCGATTTCATTGATCTGCTCGGAATCAGAGTCACTAGCCTCTTCGAGAAAGAGCTTTTCAACTTCTGATATAGTTTTGCCCTTACCTTCAATGTCTTCTTCAAGTGAGATTTGTATCGAGTGGAGCTCACCCTTGGTTGCTCCAACGAAGATTGTATGTTTCGACCAAGCTAAGCTGATCGGTAAGGTGTCAGCAAATTCGACGTTCAAAGATTTAATGAGAGCGAACTTTTCAAGATTTTGTATATGAATCACTCCGTTTTTGAAAAGCAAGGCAATGAACTTATTGCAAGGTGAAAGATCAAGCGCAACAAGTTGTTCCGTATATGGAGAAGACTCAGCTGCGAGAGACCAGTCGTCTCTAGTGAAAGATTTAATGGACCCGAAGGAAGTTGGTAAATATATGTTTTCTCCGGTCGGTGACCACAATGATTGAGTGCAAACTAGCTCATTGGCATGGTCACTATGATAATCAATTGACAGATCCGACGACTGATGTGTTTTTGGTGGCACTTGGCCTTCTATCTTCTCCATAAGCTCGGGTTTTTCATTGGAAACAGAGTAAACGAGGACATCCCCATTGGCTAAAGCAACAGAGACCAATTCCCCCAAAGAATTGTAGGAAAAACTGAGTACGTTTTCGGCAACAGGAAGTTTATCCACTTTGTTTTCATCCAGTAAATCAACGATTATAATTTCGTTAATATCTCCTCCGCAGATTATCCGGCTTCCCTCATTGATGATTTGTGCATCTCTCAAAGGCTTCAGCGATTGGTAAATCACCTCGTGTGTTTCATCACCCACCACTTCATTTCCCAAGCTGAGTACAGCCAACTTTCCTTGCGTATTGGTGAAGACAACTTTGTCCCCAAATGTTACAATGGATGTCAAGAATTCGAGGGTGTCCAAGGACACAGGTTCCGAGTCTAGTTCATCTGGATTAAAGATCTTCAAAATTCCGGAGTCATTCCCCACAAACAAACGATTCAGCTTCCAATCAAAATGTACCAAATTGTTACCGTCAATGTACGCGGGAATTTTAGTCAGCATTTTCTTGATCTGGACGTAACGTGTCTGTCTGGGGTGAGGATTTCATCTGGTCGAAAAACGCGTTCCCAACGCGTGCCGCGTCTTGTTCACGTGAGCAGGGCGCTATGTTTTCACAGAGCGTTCAATACTCTCACCCAACTTATATTCAAAACATTCTTGCAAAAAAGCGAGCAACGTGTAATAAATGTAGGATTACGAATTTATATAAAGGTTTCCTTGATCAAGACTCAATTTGTCCTTTTTTATCTTATTGCATTATTGACTCCAAAGACATGTCTTTTGTCACTCAACAAACCGTCTCAATTCTAGATAGTAAAATCAATGGAGAGAACGATATTCAATATATCCTTTAAAATCACAAAACCCCCCTTGCACCTTAGAGGAAAAATGAAAAAAACAAGAAATATACTTCATCTTGTGTTTCTGAATGAGAAGTTTTTGAATTATAGTGATTCATTTCTGGAGGTGACTGTTGTTGGTATATTACCGGCAATATACGGGCAATATATATTGCAAAGAAACAGAATTAGCTCAATCAAGATAGCACAATGTCTAAATAAATGTTGGAATGTTCTTGAACAAGTGTTTTTTATCACAATAACAAACGGTTTTGCCATCACCAGGAGATCGTATGTGGTATAGTTCGGTGAGAACAAATACAATGCAATTATGAGTCATCCTCAAATGGGGCCAAGCACACAAGACAGATCATTGAAAGATGAATACAATTATTAATGCACTGCGAGCGACTAATTGTGACCTTTGTCCGCGACGTCACATTGATCTCGCATGTTGTGCTTTGATTCTCGAATACTTCATACTCGCCGGGCGAAGCATGCCAAAAAAGTTCAAGTGTGAAAGTTCAATTTCTAAGAAAAAGTATGTTCTCCGAATATTTTATTCTAATATTCATAAATATAGCAACAATGCCCACGTTTCCCTCGTGTATACTGTGAGATGGGCGAATAAGTCGCTCACATATTTCGAACTCGAGAACCTGCAGTTCGGTAGACGCAGAGAACATGGCGTAGGAACTGTTTTGAATTCCACACACCACCTCACGACGAACATTCCTTTGGAAAACATTTTTTAAGTAAATCAGTTGTCCAAAAGAAAGTCAAGTCTTTGAGTCATAAAGACGGGCAGACACATGAGCTGAAACGCTTGAGTGATCAGAATTCCTCCTAGTAATTCTTAGTATCTATGTATAAGCCCAAAACAAGTACCTCACGAGATTCACTATTCTAAACGGAGGTCACGTATGCAATAATGCTAAACTGAAAACGGTTTCATCGATTCTCTGGTCGTTTGTTTGCAGGCATAAAAGCGTGGAGGTGCTGGGCAATAAAGATCTCAAAAACTCTGCATAATTATCGGGGTTTCGAACAGAATCATGTATTTACTAGAGAAAAATCGGGGAGCACAAGCTAAAAGACAATAACACACTTCAAAGCACAGACAATCGTGTCAGATACGGTGAATTTTTTCAACCAATTTGGAACAAGAGAGTCTCGTCGCCTCTGGCATGAAACGACCTCGCTGGCTGCGCGATTTTCTTGCGCGAATTACTTTGCGTGATTTTTGGTTTCCCATATTATCGAACATTACTACAACGGAAATTCACGCAATGTCAAAGCATCTTTAGTCCGGCAGATTTTTTTGTTGGCCAAATTGCAACTTTTTTTAATCCTCTTCTAACAATCTCGATGCTTGTTAATTGTACTGGCGACCTGAGTATCCGCTTCACATACGCCATTTAAAATGATAGACTCTAGCCAGCTCTGGATCATCGTTTTGGGGAATAAGCAGAAATTACCACAATAAATCTCTGAAGAATCTGGCTATAATTTGGTCTACAATATCATGCGTTGAGGCTAGGACTTCAATTGGAATGACTCTTGAAGCCGCGCAAGAGCCATTCAGGAGATATTCCGTAGTGCTTTTACGGTACGCGGAGTGTATATAGATAGTTGACGCGCATATTATTTTTCCGCTGAACTATTTGCAGTTGGAGTATGAGGGATTTTCAGCATTCGTGCACACTGGAAATTGATGCTGGTGACGTACAGATCTACATCCCGAAAGGGTAGAAACTATTTGTAGGGATGAGATATTAATTGTTTTGTCAATTATCGATAATTTGTATATAAATGTGAAATCGTACTTTTGGCAAATATTCGCTACCTACTTTTTCACAGAGTTGCTGTTGTCTTGACTATCTGTGGACAAAAGGAAAAGTTTACTGCGTTATAAAAGCCCACATAGAACATATAATGATGGCCGAAAATACAGAGCCGGCCAAGACCGAAGACAAGGAAGAAACCGAATTTTCTGAATTGGAAACAGTCGATCGCATTTCAACACAACATTCAATCAAAAACACCCTCATGCTAGCTTACTCATCTCTTGGTGCTATATATGGAGATATTGGAACTTCGCCCTTATATGTTTTGAGCTCTATCAAGTATCCAAATGATGTGCCCGCTCAGGACGACATTTATGGAGCAATTTCGGCCATATTTTACTTTTTCATCATTATTGTCCTTGTGAAATATGCTTTAATAGTTCTCACATATGGACCAAATGAAGGAGAAGGTGGACAAGTAGCTATATACGCAAAACTTGCAAGGTCTTTAAGGACTGGGCCAAAAGGCGTCATTATTCCTGGGACCCCGGAGAGGTCGGATGCAGAGTTATTAAAGAGAACTGAGACAACAACTAGTTTCATTTCCAGTAACAAAGCTCCTGAATCTTGGGTTAAGAAACCAGCAGTGGTACAGAAAGTATCTCTTATATCTTTGTTTGGCTGCTTTTTGGGATGCTCCTTGGTTTTTTCCGATGGATTGTTGACTCCAACTACTTCAGTCTTGAGTGCCATTGCGGGTATTCAGGTTGCAAAACCAGATTTCGATTACGTTTTGGTGGTTTCAGAAATTGTTATCATTTTTCTTTTTTCTATTCAGCAATTGGGATCTCATAGAATTTCTCATTTATTTGCACCTATTATCACCCTTTGGTTGGGCGGTCTCATTATTTGTGGCATTATAAACATTACCCAACACCCTGCCATTTTCAGAGCATTATCTCCATACTATGCTATAAAACTTTTCAAGAACGTGGGAATCGATGCTCTAGGAGGTGTAATGTTGGCAATCACAGGTACGGAGGCGATGTTTGCTGATCTTGGACATTTCGGGAGAGCACCAACACAAATTGGAATAAGCTGCGTCTTTATTTCCTTGATTATTACGTACTTGGGCCAAGGTGCCTACTTGGTGAACCACCCCGAGAATCTTTCTAATGTTTTCTACCTATCAATACCGGGAAATACTGGCAGTAGTCAGTACTGGGTAATGTTTGTATTGGCTACGCTCAGTACAATCATCGCATCACAAGCCTTAATTCTTGGGGTATTTAGTATACTCGCCCAGCTTATCAATCTTGATTGTTTCCCGAAGTTAAAAATAAAACATGTCTCAGCCAGCTACGTCGGAAAAGTTTACATCCCCGTTGCAAACATATTGCTACTCATTGGGGTCTGTGCAACTACTGCTGGATTTAAGAATTCCAATAGGGTTACTGCAGCTTACGGCTTGAGTATTTCCTTAGACTTTTTGGTGACTTCAATCCTCATGATGATATGCATGACATATGTATATGAATGTAAGTGGTATGTCACCGCTCTATTTGGCTTGATTTTTGTTCCGTTGGAGCTCTGCTTGGTGATTGCAAACATGAAGAAAGTTCCCCGTGGAGCATGGTTCCCCTTGATGATGTGTGCCATCTTTTTAAGTTTCCTCCTCTTCTGGAGGTATTGCCGCGACCGAACTGTTTCTAAGCAACTCTCATCGAGGGTCAGATTGACAGATTTATATCCGGACTACATGATAAATGATGTGGTGGACTTAAGAGATCACACTTTGAAAGGCTCTGATGAAGCAACCCCTTCTCTGACTGACATCGATCACACAAGCAATCCGATTGATCTGTACCAGAAAGTTCGAACGCGATTTGGTGTCATGAAGCGAAATTTGATGCCTGGTGCATGTGTCATTTACTCAGATACGCCGCATCAAGATATTGTTTCTCCAAATACTGTGCCTCAGGTATACGCAAAGATCATAAATTACTTTGGGTCTATCCCAGCTTTAGTTGTGTTTTGCAGAATAAGAGTTCTTTCCATTCCTACTGTGCCGTCCGAGGAAAGAATCGTAGCCAGTGCTACAAAAATTCCAGGACATCTCAAGTGTGTAATTCGCTTTGGATTTATGGAGGAGGCTCAAATCAATGAGGAGATAGGTACTCAGATACTTGACGAATTCATCACCATTGAACACCTACAGAATTACGAAAATAGTAAAATTCCCCTTCTCCACGTTTTTGAAAGGAATGAAATTAGGGCCAAAGAATATGGGGTGGACCAGCAAACCAAAAATCCTTTAATTCTGGTTTCGCGATTTGTGCGGCAGTTATTGATCAACCATGTCTTTGGACCCATTGACGCAGTTTTTCAGCATAATGACCGCTGTGTGTCGTGGCCCAACCAGGGCGACGATGGGGAAAAGATATTTATCGGAGGAACTACAGTGATTTGAGCGACTTTTTATACAAAACATACATGATTCTGCAGTACATTCAAATTAAAGTTTACTAGATTTAATCACAACTTGATCACTTGCCTCATGGCAATCGAACCAACGTCATTTTTTTTTGTTTACGTCTTCCCAATTAGGAACTCGACGATTCTCAGGTTGCCTTTGCGTTTCGCAGTACCAAAATTCGGTGACCATCAAATCGCCCCCATGCGCCTCAGCGCGCATTTTTGGTTTAAGGGCACGCGTTACATCAGATTCTACGCGACTTGGATAACATAAAAACCAACTACGCTTTCATATCAGCTTGGTTTCTCTGGATATTCAAATATCGGAAACTTTTCATCTGAAATTTATATCCTTGTGAGTTTGTACTTTCCGGAAAGCTACAACACTCGTGGTTTCCGCAGATCATTTTTATCATAGACGCGACTACACCAACCATGTCAGACAATGTGGAGCAGGATGAAGACGCGTTTTCGGGGCCACTTTTGATTGAGCAACTTGAAGGAAACGGTATATCATCCGGGGATATCAAAAAGTTGAAGTCGGAAGGATATCACACTGTGGAAAGTGTGGCGTACGCGCCAAAAAAGGCATTACTCACTGTGAAGGGAATTTCTGAAGCAAAGGCTGACAGAGTAAGCCAGGAGGCCGCAAAACTTGTGCCCATGGGATTCACTACCGCATCAGAGTTCCACAGTCGGAGATCTGAGCTCATTTGTCTTACCACAGGCTCGAAGCAGTTAGATACTTTACTTGGCGGAGGTGTGGAAACAGGCTCAATCACTGAGATATTTGGAGAGTTTAGAACAGGTAAGTCCCAGTTATGCCACACTCTAGCTGTGACATGCCAGTTGCCCATTGATATGGGAGGAGGCGAAGGAAAATGTCTTTACATCGACACAGAGGGTACGTTCAGACCTGTGCGTTTGGTGTCAATTGCCCAGCGATATGGGCTCAATCCAGACGATTGTCTTGATAATGTCGCCTATGCAAGGGCTTACAATGCTGAACATCAGTTTCAGCTCTTGCACCAGGCTGCGCAAATGATGTCTGAATCCCGGTTCTCTTTGCTTATCGTGGACTCGATTATGTCGTTGTACAGAACAGACTACTCTGGTAGAGGAGAGTTGTCTGCCAGACAGACACATGTTGCAAAATTCATGCGCACCTTACAAAGACTTGCAGACGAGTTTGGTATTGCTGTCTTGATCACAAACCAAGTCGTAGCTCAAGTTGACGGAATGTCTGGGATGTATAACCCAGATCCTAAAAAACCAATTGGTGGAAATATCATCGCGCATAGTTCTACAACAAGACTCTCCTTCAAAAAAGGGAGGGCGGAACAAAGAATTTGCAAGATCTATGATAGTCCGTGTTTGCCAGAAAGTGAATGTGTGTTTGCTATTTATGAGGATGGTATCGGAGATCCTAAGATCGACGAAGATGAAACCTAGATATTTGGAACATAAGGAATTGTTTTCTTATTATTTAAAAATTTACTGTGTGGAATGCTGCCATTGGCCGATAGCTTTAGAAATCTACATCGTGAAACTCTCGTACTGTCTTCTCAAGAGCTCTTAGTCGTCTTGCTTCTTTGTTTCTAAAATGTCAACAGCGCTAGCGGCGCTTTCGAATGATACTTGGCGCACGCATCATAACGGAAAACAAGGTGATTCTGCAGTCGTTGCTACCGTGATGTCAAACTCTTTCAATGCTGCAGTACCCTGAAAATTTGTCATTGGACAGACAAATTCCAAATGCTCGTCTGAATCCTCTACACCTTTTCAACACAAAACAAGGAATGCGTCTCTAAATTAGAAGTCAAGAATTTGTCAGCTGTATGGCCCGGTTGCCGCTTCTGTCTTCTACCCCTAACTCATGATTCTCTAGCTTCGGCCGGAAAGACTCCTCATTCTAGTCTAATATCCAGTTTTCCCCAGGAACGCTCGTTTCAGGATGAGTAGCTAGCTCATCAGAAAAAAAAAACGCAAAGAGGTGCTCATTTCATCCTCATTGACACCGTTTTAGTAACATGTCTGTATATACCCGAATTTCGCAAGGTTTTTCGTCATGCTCGCGCCCGTTTTTTCACTATAATCTAAGCGATCGTACACACCTTACTATGCCGGGCGCGCTCCTGCGTGATCCAGCTATCTTTTTCATCAACTACCGGGTAACCGCGGTGCCCCACGCAGTTTTAGGTCGAATTTTTCTCCTCCGGTTTCGCTGGTCTTTGCTCACCATTTGCAATCAGACTTCAGCCGTATCAACACACACACAGTTTGCTTTCCCGCTCACTGTGCTTTTTTGAATTACAAGCAATACCATATATACTCTGAGACGCAAGTACCTAAATTTTGTTCAGCTTACATTCATATATATCCGAAGCAAAACCCGCAAGAATTTGGAAGATCTCATTTTCATAAAGCGGCCAAGTTAATATATTCTCTGGCCGTGTTAACCTCCTCCTCGGACACTCAACGCCATCCGCGATAAAACGAAGTCACTAAAATGGACAAATCAAAAATGAAGTCCATTCTACCCAAGCCTTCCGGGTCTATGCTGGCTGCACCTGCCTCCATGATGGGGAGCAAAAGGAAGTCCATGTCTTCCGCAGAAATATACTCAAAGAGGCCCAAGCAATCGCAGTCCTCGCCGTCGCCAACATTCTCAAGCTCCATGATGGACTCAGTGCAACTTTCTCCAGATGATGGCGAATCCAAAGATCACGACGCTTCACACTCACTGAAGCAGGCCAGACCTGTGACCAGTTGCACGTTCTGCCGGCAGCACAAAATAAAATGCAACGCATCTCAAAACTTTCCGTCGCCTTGCACCAGATGTAGCAAGTTAGGGCTTAAGTGTGAAATCGATCCCCAGTTCAAGCCCAAGAAGGGCTCTCAGATCCAAATGTTGATTGGAGACGTTGAGGAGTTGAAAGCCAAAATCGAGACGCTTTCTCAAAACGAGCACTTGTTGACACAGGCTTTAAACCAGCACAATCGGCAGTTCCTGCAACCAGGCATATCCGGTCCGCATCCGGCGTCTTTTCCTGGGTTTTCCAATAGAATGCCATTTTCAGCAAGCAACACACCAAATTCCGCAATGGACCAAATAACAGGACATGTTAGGTCGCCTCTTGGATATTCTCGCGTGCCTTCCTATTACCCGTCTCCCTCTGGTGTTATGGTGAACGATGCAACTGGTCCCACGTCTGCCGTCACAAGTTTAAATCAAGTATTGGCCGTGAATTCGGCAGACAACTCACCCGCGACTCATAGAATCGACACATTAAATAAAGAAAATGCTTCACCCGATGTCGAAGGGTGTGCCATTCCAGAGTATTCTGAATTCATACTTGGAGATGTAAGACTTCCCTTGAAGAAGGCTGAAGAGCTTCACGATAAATTCATGACCAAACTCGTTCCTTTTTTACCCATAATATCTTCTAGGAGTGCATCACAGCTATATTATAACTCGCAGCTCTTGTTTTGGACTGTCATGTTGACTGCATCCCTCTCTGAGCCGGAACCCACCCTATACATGTCTTTGGCGTCTTTGATTAAACAGTTGGCCATTGAGACTTGTTGGATTAGAACTCCACGCTCCACACATGTTATCCAGGCGCTAATCATTCTTTCCATTTGGCCATTACCAAATGAGAAAGTTTTGGACGACTGTTCTTATAGATTTGTGGGATTGGCGAAAAACCTTTCTCTTCAGTTGGGATTGCATCGGGGTGGTGAGTTCATTCAAGAATTCAGCAGAACCCAAGCAGATTTAGGGCCCGAATCTGACCTTTGGCGCACTAGATCATGGCTCGCTGTATTTTTCTGTGATCATTTCTGGGCTTCAACGCTTGGCTTGCCACCATCAATCAACACCACTGATTATTTGCTTGAGAATGCTCGAATAGACTATTCTCTTCCTACAAACTTCAGATCTTTGATTTCGCTATCTATTTTCCAGTGCAAGTTGGTAAATGTGATGGGTATTTCCGTCACAAGATCAGATGGTTTACTCGAGCCACTGAATCGTGCTGCTTCTTTGAACATACTCGACCGTGAACTAGAACGGCTCAAATTCAAGCTAAACGTGATGGAGGGCTCTTCGGTTGAAATTTACAGTCTCTATATACGATTGATGATCTGTTGTTTTGCATTTTTACCGGGAACCCCAATTGAAGATCAAGTCAAATATGTGAGCGCAGCATATTCGTCAGCCACCAGAATCATTACCATAGGATCTCAGATTTTGAGCTTGAACTCGATCTCTTTGATCGAGCTTCCGATCTATGTCAGACAATCCCTCACTTATGCGGCGTTTATTTTGTTCAAATTACATTTGTCGCGTTACCTCATTGATAAATATGTGGATAGTGCAAGACAATCTATTGTCACTGTGCACAGATTATTCAGAAATACGCTATCGTCTTGGAAAGATCTTCAAAATGATATTTCAAGAACCTCTAAGGTGCTTGAGGACTTAAACATTGTGCTATATACATACCCCGAGATTTTCATTCCCAACAGCACACCGGATTCTAGCGGCAGCATTATTAGTCGCATGAGATCTCATTTGACCGCATCACTTTTTTATGATTTGGTGTGGTGTATTCATGAAGCTCGAAGACGTAAACTAGCAAACAAGAATGGCGAGCAGCAAGTGACAAGAATCAAAGCGGAAGGCGAAGAAGAAGGAGAGGTTGGGCCACGACCACAGCCTTTGCCTTTCTACAATCAAATCACCAAAGATGATTTCAAAACTATCACGACAACTACTCCCAGTGGCACCACGATTACAACTTTGGTTCCAACCGACCAGGCATTACATCAAGCCAGAAGTACCCATCAACATGGATCGAATAAGCCGCTTGAAATCAATGGTATTCCCCTCGCGATGCTCGAGGCAACAGGTAGCACGAAGGATGCGAATTCGGTAAAATATGACAGCGGTGCGCCCTCGCAGTTTCCTGTGGCAGGCGCTGAAATGCAAAGTGTTGAGGCTGAGTTTTCACAACCAAAACAAACTCAGATGGAATTGGCACTGTACCTGGCCATGACCAAAGACAACATGGATATTGCAAACGCACCGGTGCAATTTGAAGACGCGAGATTGCACACAGGAGGCTACCCGTACAATGCCAACTCTGCGCCCATGTCTGGCATGGCAGATCAGTTGGATAATTTTTTCCAGCAACAATCGCATGGATGGCTCAACAACAATGGCCAGGACGACGACTTCCTTGGGTGGATTGACGTAAACATGATACACGAAAAGTGAGGCCTGTACATACATTCACTATACATACGATCCGCCGAGCTTGTGCGGAGATTGACAGTCACGTGAGATGGAGCAACAGAACGGCAAATAGATGCCGGCATGTAGCAACTGTCCTTTCTCCCCGTGAAAATCTCGTGAGAAATTTCCCATCAAAATCACCTATCCGCAAATTCGTAGTAATATAATGATCAGCAGACTCACCCGCTTCGTCGCAGCCCCCCAGGCATTCGCCAGACCTTCTATGGCAATTGCCAGAACTCAATTGTACTCGACCTTCAAGGCCGAGGAACAGCCAAGAGTGAGAATTGGATCCGTGGCTCCAGACTGGACCGCCAACACCACGAAGGGTGAGATTTCTTTCCACGACTACATCGAGAAGAGCAAACAATGGGTTGTGCTATTCTCCCACCCTGCTGACTTCACCCCTGTGTGCACCACGGAATTGGGTGCTTTCTCCAAGTTGGCTCCCGAGTTCAAGAAGCGCAATGTCACCCTTTTAGGATTGTCTACTGAGGACGTCGACAGCCACAATGCCTGGATCAAGGATATCGAGGATGTCACCGGCGGCAACCCATTCTCCTTCCCCATCATTGCCGACCCAAAGAAGGAGATTGCTTTCAAGTATGACATGGTTTCCGAGGAGGACTTCCACAAGTTGGCCAACCAAATGGTTGCCACCGTGAGATCTGTCTTCATCATCGACCCATCTAAGAAGGTCAGATTAATCATGACTTACCCCGCTTCTGCCGGTAGAAACTCTGCTGAGGTGTTGAGAGTCATCGACTCCTTGCAATTGACCGACGCCAAGGGTGTTGTCACGCCTATTGACTGGACCGCTGGCCAAGATGTCATCATCCCACCAACTGTCTCTGATGCTGACGCCAAGGCCAAGTTTGGCGATTTCACCAAGACTAAACCGTACTTGAGAACCACTAAGGCTCCTCAATAAACAAGAGGTTTCGATGTGCCTTTTGACGCTCAAGCTTCATTACATAGAAACTAGAATATGAAGATACATGTACTTGATCTTGTAGAAAATTTTGTAGTTGAAAACACTGAACGTTGAATTGACGGGTGCATTGGAGATACTCGAGGAACATAATCGCACCTAACAAATATATACTCTGACAAGCTAAAACCACCAGGTCACATTCCAATCAAAAGTAGAAAATAAGCGAGGCGTGCCGACTGGCTTTTTCTGGCCGAATATTGTCATGTTAAATTGCCTTTGCAAGGGCTCTGGATTTTCGAAAGTCAAAAGTCTACCACCGCGACTGCATCTTCAGGCGCAAATCTTTCCCGATTCGTTAAAGTGGACGCGTCCTCGCGCATCTTTTTTGCCCGTTCTGTATATCTGCGGTCCTTTTTTCTCCTTTTCTTCCAACAAACTTTCTTGAGGCTGCACGAGAGAAACTTGGCCAACACATCTTTTAATCAAGCTTACCACAGGAGAGACATATATCCTGTCAAGGCCTTGGAACCCACCAAAATAAAAACACTGCTGGATATAAAAAACAATAATTTTGACCAATGTCTCATTTCGTATCTTCGCCCAGAAGTATTCCTTCCGAGGCGGCGCATCTTCTCAATTCGTCCCACATATCTTCGTCACTAGGCCGGTCTGCCATGTCGCCGCTGAGTGGTCAGCCCAATGTTTCGTTTAGCGATGTTCTGCAAGGTCAGTCCGCGCGTGAAAAAGACTTGAGAATGCCGGCGTCATTGAGAAAAACCGTCGACGTGCCAAAAGTCGTGGATGTTACAGGAGAGAAAGTCCGGGAATCTTTTGAACAGTTCATCGAGGAGTTTGTCGATGAGGATTCCGCCGAAGACGAATGGCAAGGCAGAATATATATGGCCCAGCTTGAAACCATGCGCGTGTACGAGTACAGCACCTTGTACGTGGACTACCAACATTTAGTTGGCAGAGAGAATGGATCATTGGCCACGGCAATTTTGGAGCAGTACTATCGCTTTAATCCGTTCTTGTTGAGAGGTTTGCGCAGACTTTTGAAGAGATACGCTCCCTCGTTGTTGTTCATGAACTTGCTCGGCTCGAACCAAGCAGACTTAAGGGACTCAAAGCCAGGCGACGATGACTCTTCTAGCTCCTCCGGATCAACATCCAACGAAAGAGTGTTTCAAATTGCCTTTTTCAATTTGCCCGTCACTCACAGAATCAGAGATATTCGAACAGACAAAATTGGATCCTTGATGGCTATCTCTGGCACTGTCACGAGAACTTCCGAAGTCAGACCCGAGCTCTACCGAGGCTCTTTCACATGTGATATGTGTTCTGCAGTAGTGGATGGAATTGAACAGGTTTTCAAATTCACTGAGCCCACAGCGTGTCCATCATGTACCAATCAAAGCTACTGGACTCTCAACGTGGCCAAGTCTCAATTCATTGACTGGCAGAAGGTTCGTATTCAGGAAAACTCCAACGAGATTCCCACAGGATCCATGCCTCGTACTTTGGATGTTATCATCAGAGGTGAAGCTGTAGAACGAGCTAAGCCAGGAGACAAGTGTAAGTTCACAGGTACTGAGATCGTTATCCCCGATATCTCTCAATTGGGTTTGCCGGGAATCAAGGCGCAGAGCATGAAAGAGAATACTGCCACAGCTTCCAATTTGAATTCCGGTGTCACTGGTTTGAAAGCACTCGGTGTTAGAGACCTCACATACAAGCTTGCTTTTTACGCGTGTCACATCAGCTCTTTGGTGAACAAACTGAGTGATAGTTCTGAACTGGCCGAAAGAGAAATTGAGTTTCAAGGTGCCAACGAACAAGAGATGTTCTTGAGATCTTTGACTGACGCAGAAATTTCGCAGCTCAAAGATATGGTGAAAGATGAACATATATACGATAAGTTGGTGCGCTCAGTTGCTCCAGCAGTGTTTGGTCACGAGACAATCAAAAAAGGTATATTGCTTCAGCTTCTTGGTGGTGTGCACAAGAAAACTGTGGAGGGAATCAATTTGAGAGGTGATATCAACATCTGTGTTGTTGGTGATCCATCTACTTCTAAGTCGCAGTTCTTGAAGTATGTTTGTGGCTTTTCGCCTAGAGCCGTCTACACCTCGGGAAAAGCTTCCTCTGCTGCTGGTCTCACCGCTGCTGTCGTGAAAGACGAAGAAAGTGGTGAGTACACAATCGAGGCTGGTGCGCTCATGTTGGCTGACAATGGTATCTGTGCCATTGACGAGTTCGATAAAATGGATATCACTGATCAGGTTGCAATTCACGAGGCTATGGAACAACAGACTATTTCTATTGCCAAAGCTGGTATTCATGCTACTTTGAATGCTCGCACGTCTATATTGGCTGCAGCCAACCCAATAGGCGGAAGGTACAATAGAAAAATGGGATTGAGAGCAAACTTGAACATGACAGCTCCTATTATGTCAAGATTTGATCTTTTCTTTGTGGTCTTAGATGATTGCAATGAACGGGTTGACACCCAATTAGCATCTCACATCGTCGATTTACACATGCTCAGGGACGAGGCCATTGACCCACCATACTCCGCTGAACAATTGTCAAAGTATATCAAGTATGCTAAAACTTTCAAGCCAAGAATGACGAAGGGAGCGAGAGACTTGTTGGTTGCCAAGTACAAGCAATTGAGAAGTGATGACGCCCAGGGTCTTGGCCGGTCGTCCTACAGAATTACTGTTAGACAGTTGGAGTCCATGGTCAGATTATGTGAGGCCATAGCTCGAGCAAATTGCACAGAGGAAATCACCCCCGCCTTTGTCTCAGAAGCTTATGGTTTGTTGCGTCTGTCCATTATTCGAGTTGAAATGGATGATGTGCAAATGGATGACGATGTGCAAGTGCCACCACTCGATGAAGAAGAAATTCTTGACGGGGATGGAGGCGACCAAATAGACACCCGCGATGATGGATTCTTGAACCAGGCCTCCACACAGGGCCAGGTTGATCCGAACGCAGCAAAGCGTCCGAAGGTCACTATTACCTACGACAAATACGTGGCGATGATGAATCTTGTGGTGAAAAAAATATCTGAGGAGGACGCAAATGGGGGCAGCGGACTCGCAAGAACAGACATCGTGAAGTGGTATTTGGAGCAAAAGGAGGACGATCTTCATACGGAACAGGAGTTTCTTTACGAACGAGAATTGGCATACAAGCTTTTGAGAAAGTTGGAAAAGGACAAGATTCTAATGAGCGTGACCCTGAACATAAACGAAGATAACATGATGGATGATGGCTTTGTGGAGGGACAGCAAGCGACGCGGACGGTGTACATAATACACCCCAACTGTGCCATTTTGGACTTCTTCGATAATGAGGCACGTGATGAGGACGAGGAAGTTACTGAGAATTGAAGGTGGAGCTTTATAAGTAAGTAAGTGGGTCGTAAACGTGCATTTAAGAAATTAGAAAATGTGACGGAGATTCAAGTATTATTCATCTGCCACACTGGTCTGTTCTTTTGGAGAGGTGTTTGCTTTCCACTCAGCTGGAGCAACCTGACTGGCGCAATCCTCACAATGACTAATAAAACTTTTGGAGGTCAGAAACAATTTTTGGCACGCTCTGCACCATCCTGGGTCTGCGGCGCTATGAGCTTTGTCCTTGTCTTTGATGTAATGCACCAAGCGTAAGTGTCTTTTCAACACATCTAATCGGCTAAAAGATCCGCCGTTTCGGTGACATGTGGGGTCATTCTTCCAATATGGACAATGAAATCCTGGGGCGATGTGCGACTTAGCGTGTCTCCGCAAATCGGACTTTCGAGCAAAGGACCAGTTGCAACCCTCAGAGGCACATACAAACGGCTTGTATTCAGGTGTCAGAGCGCTTGTGAACTTCAACCTGTTCAGCTTGGCGTCTTTGGATGCTTTAGAATGTTTAGAATGAATGAATTTAGGAGTATGGTTGTATCCGTCTTGTTGGGGAGATTTTTCATTTTCAGAATCCGATGAAGAATACCGGATCTGCTTGGAGTATGCTGGTTCTGAAGATGTATTAAGGGTGGTGTTCCCGTTCGCTACGAGACTTTTGACCTCGAGACTCTGTGTAGGAAACTGCGGCGGAAGCAGATGGTTCTGGGGTGCAAACGCTTGGAAAATGCCTTGAGGAGGCTGGAAGACTTGCAGCAACGCTTTGTCGTTGACGGCAGGGAATTTTGGTGTCGATAACGGAAAGCTGGTTTGCGGTAGGTTTTGTAGCGAAACCTGTGGGAGCTGCGGAAGCTTTGGGGTGGCAGGCCCTTGTGGTTGGTTCAAGGACGGGTAGTTGAACGAGTCTACCGCTGGGTATCCAAATTTCAGAGGCGGTGCTTTTATGTTGGGAAGCAGCTGAGCGCCGAGATTCTGGCTGGGGTAGTTTAATGGATGAGGGTAGATCTGCGACGCGGCTGTCCCAGTAACTAGGGGCGCCTTTTGCGGCGGGGGAAGAGTCAGGATCGTGCCCAGTCGCAGCCCATATGGTGGTTGGAGGCTTGTGTGTGCTTGGTCCAGCGCGTATGTCGGGCTTTTTCCATCGTTGGAAATGGAGCTATTTGGAGTTGAAGACATTATGTGAGAAGAGCCTCAAAACGGCGTGTTTCGCCTTTCGGACGTAGACGATTGCGTGGAAAGGTCTTAGGGGATTAAACTGTGGTGGGTTTGGCACGATAGGTACTGATGCCGCCATGCAAAATAATTTTGCTAAGCAGATGAGATGAGGTTAGTGCTTGATGTTGGTGTACAGTTCAGCCGGCCAGGGCATCTGATGAAAACGCACTTATGTTTTGCGCGCGATGACCTGCGATGCGTTGTATAAAGGCCAGAAGTCCTATACAAAGTAGGGCGGTCGCTCGCGGCTCTAGCTCGGTAGCGCCACACACAGCGAGCAAGCCAAGATGAAATCCTCATCACGCGGAATTTAAAGATGACAAACTTGCACATGAATATACAAACACGGGAAATATTGGCGATAAAATGAATGATATTTTCAGCAGTAACTATAGGATTAATTAGGTACTTAGCTTGGTATTACCGTGTTGGTGTGATAAAGTTTCAACACCTTGCGCTTGTACGGATGTACTTGTGATGTACTTCAATTTGGGATAATAATTCGGCACAACCGCATATTTACACACAACTAAGACAAATGCAGAAACCAACAATTAGGTGAGCTTACTTTATTGTCGGGGAGCGGATTGATCGGACAAATTGAGAGTTTGTAACGCTCTTGATTCATATAGTGGAAAGCATCAACATGCATCAGTGTAGACCGAAGAAGTTTTTAGAATCATCTTCAGAAAGGGAAAAGATTAAACTGGAACGAGCCATTGAGCTTTCTTGGCGCTACTACCTCTGGGGTGAAAACCCGCACATTTCACCCTCACCTTTGTCGCTTTTTACTAATTCCGTTACGTCAATATTTGTAACTCGGAGCCGCGCATATCTAAGCAACCCCGGAGTATATATAGCCCTTGCTGCCCCCACGATTCATGACAAGCCAAAGAAGCAAAATACACCACCACAGCAATGTCAGAAGTACGTCGTTATCGCTCTCTCGATTATTGGTAACATTACTAACTCTTTTCCGAAACTCGAAATCTTAAAGTTCGCCGATAAAGACGGTGCCTATAAGAGACAAGCCTCACAATTTCGTGACTTCATCTCGAGCAAGGTCGGTGCAAAATTCCCACCAGAGGCCAAGCGTTATCATCTATATGTATCTTATGCCTGTCCTTGGGCTCACCGCACTCTTGTCACTAGGATTCTCAAGGGTTTGGCCCCATTAATCTCTGTCTCTGTTGTCCATTGGCACATGGACGATAAAGGTTGGAGATTCCCTACTGAGGACGAATTAAAACAAACAAGCGCAGGCGATGAGTCTTTCGGAACGGTGGATCATTTGTATGGTTTTGGCAGGATCAAGGAACTTTACTACAAAGCAGCCCCAAAGTACAACGGAAGATTCACTGTGCCCGTACTTTGGGATAAGAAGTTGCAGACTATTGTCAACAACGAAAGCAGCGAGATTTTAAGAATGTTGAACTCCGAGTTCAATTCCATCATTGACTCCAAGAATGCAGACGTTGATCTCTACCCTGCAGAGTTGCGAAGTCAAATTGACGAGCTCAACTCTTGGGTCTACGACAATATTAACAACGGTGTTTACATGTCAGGATTTGCGACCAATCAGGATGTGTACGAGAAGGAAGCCCGTAACTTGTTTGTTCACCTAGACAAGGTTGAGAGTATCCTTAGAAGTAACCAGGAGAAGGACCCCAAAAACAAGTTCTTGATTGCAAACCAATTGACAGAAGCTGACGTGAGGTTATTCACCACCATAGTCAGATTTGACCCTGTCTATCACCAGCACTTCAAGTGTAACTGGAAGATGATAAGGCACGATTATCCTTACATCCACGACTGGTTGAGATTGTTGTACTGGAAAATCCCAGGTTTCAAGGAAACCACGAATTTCGAGCACATCAAGAAACACTATACCAAGTCTCACATCGCTATAAATCCACATGGTATCACGCCCATAGGCCCGGAGAAGAATATTTTGCCCTTATGAGCATGCTAGTGGTCATTCTTGAGCTTGGTATATGCGTTCTTCCATTTAAGTATTCAATTGCAAGTTTCTTATTCCATAAAAACGTAGTGAGCATAAACTGAAGCGAAGCAAATTTCGCTCGTAATTTACAACAGTGTCTTTATTGTGTATCGGTTACTTCCAAAACAATGAAGCTAAACTAGCGAATTTAGATGAAACAGTATTTGACTTGGGAATCCTTCGAGAGTTCTTCACTATTCCATACAGGTGGTTTTAATTAATCGCTTAAAAAACAATTGAAAGAGCCTGAAATACCTGGTAAAGTGTTCTACAAAGTATGCACCTATTTATTAGGGTATTGAATATATTTCGCCATTTATGCGCGTACTGAACTCACAAGTCTGCCAATTCTGCAAACCATGGGACTTGTTTCATTGTGGAATCGTTGGAGTGGCAATGGGTGAAAAGAGATTTTCGCTCATTTATGTAAGATATATATATTTCTATACATATATATAAAGGATTTCTACTTTTGCTCATGTCTTGTTCATTTTGTTTTAACAGCAGAATTCACTTGAAACGTATGCTTTGCGGCGCCCGGTCGACACTGTGCCCTTGCTTATCTGCGAGGCTCACAGTATGCGCGCGAACCCGCATACGTTTCTAGGCGAACCCAACGGCAGAATGAAGAAAAAAGCTGCCGAAGAAAAAGCTTTCCAAACCAAGTATTCGCCAGATACCACAATTGTCTCGTCACGCATCATGAGAGGTATGTAGTAATTTTCGTCTACCGATTTGGCGTGTCTAGGGGAATGACAGAGGCCTATATGTGGATCAGAACACGAGCCCGTATTGTATACATTTACTTTTGATCGGCATACTAACATGTTTGAAAGACTATAAAATTGTTGTTTTGGGAGCTGGTGGTGTTGGAAAGTCTTCCATCACTGTACAATTTGTTCAAGGTGTCTATGTTGAAAGCTACGATCCCACTATTGAAGACTCTTATCGAAAACAAATCGAGGTCGATGGCAGGGCTTGCGACTTAGAGATATTGGACACGGCCGGCGTGGCCCAGTTCACTGCAATGAGAGAATTATACATAAAGTCAGGCAAAGGCTTTCTCTTGGTGTACTCTGTAACGGATGAAAATTCCTTGCAAGAATTACTAGCATTGAGAGAACAAGTCTTGCGTATCAAAGACTCAGAAAACGTTCCCATGGTTTTGATCGGTAACAAGTGTGACTTAGATGAAGACCGTGTTATATCCATAGACGATGGTATGAACGTGTCTCAGCAGTGGGGCCTTGTTCCATTTTATGAGACTTCAGCCATGTACAAGACCAACGTGGACGAAGCATTTGTCGATGTGGTTAGGCAAGTAATGCGCAAAGATGCACAGGCGAGTGCAGAAAAGAAACAACAGAAAGAATTGCAAAAGCAGCAGGCTGCAGAGTCGACTAAAACTGAAGTCACCGACGCGAACGGTAATGAGCAGATGCAAGGCGGAAGTCTCCCGAGCAGACATAGAAAAGCACAGTCCGTGAAGTCCGCATCTCTGCCTAAAAGCTCGTGTTGCGTCATAGTGTGAAATTGCGATCTGGCTCATAGAAACACTCTCTTGGCTCTCTGTGCTTGATATTTAACTTTCGAAAATTGCCATCGAGATGGGCAAGATAACCGCTCACCTGGTCACCTCAAGATGGATGAGCTTAGGTACGATCCGAGAACTTTTGGAATTGTTGATATCCATAATTTTTTGCGATGGGTAAACCAAGGTGAGCCTAAGCAAGACAGAATGAATTTGCTATTGCATACAATTCTCTTCATTTCCTTTCAATAATTCAATAAAGAATAACCCTTAAGAGAACACCATGTAATTTGAAGCAGCTGGGCCAGTGTAATAATTGGCAGGTCTGTGTTTGATTAGCACATATTGCTTGTGCTGAAGGTCATATATACAATGTTCTTTTTTTGATTACCGTACGCCTCTCACAATGAAGAGTATCTATACGCACCGCCTCGAAGTACTGCGTCAGTTATTCATGTCGGACATGTGTTGTTAGATGATTTAAGGCATGAGTTGTTGTTCTCTACCTCAGAAACTTGTTTAGTGTGCCACATGCGCACATCTGGATTCTCATTTTGGATAATTATTTATGCGCTTTCAACTCAATGTATGAGGGAGTATTCACGTGGTACCATCTGACCGTGATTTCCCATGTTACGCGAGAACCAGCAAAATTTAAAAGTAAGATTGGATAGCTTGCAGCATTACCACAGTATAATCTACCTTCGAATAATTAGAAAAGTATAATTCTTCATGAACACAACCAGAGTATAATTCTTCGTGAACACAACCAGCGTTTAATTTTTCACACTTATCATTTGCATGTTTTACTGAGTAATCTAGCATCCTGGTAATACTAGTACAGACTTCCAGGTGCTTTCAGTGTTCGTGCGTATGCATAGTCTTAAGAATTGAGCAATTCCACTTCTTGCTCGAAAATAAACGACGTGCTTTGTCCAACTCGTTTCCGACAAACTGACTGGTTGAATTGCGATCATTAATAGCGTGTATTTAATTTGGTGCGCTTATCCAACTCAATTACGAATTTTAATGTCGGTGACCTAAAGCCCACGGATTGAGTTGGAAAGAAAAAGAAAAAAGCGGTATATAAGCAATATTATGCTTTGGCTGGTCGGCAACTCTCTGCTTTATTCTCCACTACCTTTTTAGACAATATTTGTTCTGTGGCACTTTTTGAGATTTTTGTTTATGACAACTACGTTATGATACACCTCACTTTTCTTTTACCCGATTCTTTTCATAAGACTGACTCTATATTTCACTGCATGATCTTTTGTATTGTTCGTCGGTTCTACTTTTTCGCAGAAGCTACATGTGAATTTTCGTCGTATTGTTGGAACCTCCATTTTCATCACCAATGGATTATGCTGCATTTGATACTCTCGCATTCAACAGCTGTGATTATAAGCTTTTTTTTTTCTTTTTTTTTTACATAAGCTCATTCTTCCCTTTTCCTCCTATTCTTACCCTCTCCTATCTCCCCTGTCCCCACTCTCCTACATCAAAATATGTCATATGTTGCAGGTAGGCGAATACATTAAAGAAGCACATGATTAGAATCGTATACTCGATATATAGATGATTTCAAGGAGACCAGGCTATTTCGGCTGAATCGCGGAGAAAGTTCATACAAAGTTTTTGAATTTTTCTCGAGCTTGTGCTTATCATTCCCCTCTTCAACTCTCATGAGGTCATGTGCCCAATATACTGCGCACAGCTCCAGAAAAGCCGAATGTTAACGGTACACCTGCTCATGCAAACGCCACGAGTAAATGTCAGCATCAAAAAATGTCAGCAACCTTGGTGGTACTTCTCATGACCAGCTGATCCAAAGAATTTCTAAAGATCTTGGGGACATCGGTCCAAATGTTCCAAGCAAAAGAATGGGCTCCCACGAAGCCGTCTTCAGCACAAGCAAAGATCTCATTACATATATTTTCCCGGACTTCAAAGCCGTGGATTATTTCCGTAGGGACTTCGTGTCGCTCAATGAGTTTCATATTTTGGAAAAGACAGAAGCTAATGGGTTTGAAATTTATCTTGTTGACCAGTGGATTAGAGACCGGAAGATCGGTTCTGTTGCGTCTGTCTTCACGGGAAATTCACACTCGAAGGTGAAAGTCTGCAAATTCACCACCACTAAAAAACAATCCAGGAATTATCCCCCTAGGTTCCAAGAATATTTGAATGAGCTTCTCCTCAACCATGCGACATTTAAGCGGATGGATCTGGTACCAAACGCTAATCCCTCTAACTCCTCCGTTGTCGAGGATGGTTCAGATATCGCCGCATATTTATTGGTGACAAATATCTCTGCCATGCCACATAATTTGTTCTTGATTCCAATCCCCGAAGGTGATGTTCGTGCCGTTGGACACAGATACATGGTGAACTCCAATCTAAAGAAACTCAAATGCGGGGGCCGTTCTCTTTCTTTGTTGGCAGAAAAGGTTTCTGATGCTTCGGAAGATAAATTCAGGCAAATGTACTGTATACTCAACGAGTCTGTTCCCATTCAATTTGCAATTCTAGAATTAGTCAACATAATTCAAACTTGCCTCTTCTATTTCGATCTTCTTGATGCGAAATATGCTGATGGATTACTCTGTCATAAGACTGAAGATGCTATAAAAAACTGGTGGAATCTTGTTGGATTACCTCACTTCAATTCCAAACCAAATCACAAATCAGGAGTGCTATGTTCAAAAACGGTCGCTGCCATCATTAGTTTAACGGTCAGTGTGAAACTTAGATTGCAGTTGATTGGCGGATGTGATGTCCCCAAAGATCCGTTTGAAGCAGAAAGCTTCTTGATATCTATTGGCCACTTTCAAAAACAAGTAAAAATCGAAAAAAGAAGAAAGTTGAATTTACTCACACTCTCAAGATTGTTTTATTACACGAATCAAAACGCTCTGTCGGAAAAATCGAAGTCTTTTTATTCTCCTTTTGGGAATGAGCTATCTTTTGACGACACAGAGCTGGCCACTTTCTTTGATCAATCGTATGTTAGTCCATCTGGAGCTAAAAACAATTCAAGTGCTTCTCTACCAGGTCAAGCCGCTTCTGCGTATCGCAGAAATAAGATATATTATTCTAAGGAGCTAAAAAAACTCACAAATGTGGTGAAGAACACTGTACAAGATCATATCATGGTTAAAGAAGATCAGGATGATTTGTACGCGGATACTTCGCTCACCAAGCCAACCACTAAATTAAGAAACAAAATAGGCTTCAAACTCTCGGATAATCTTGTACCTGCAGATATTGAGACTACCGACATCGAATTATTTTCAAAAAAATGTATCGTTGGAAAAGTATTACAAAGATTGTGGGTTGGGCTTTCGCCAAGTGATGTCAAATTAGCTATTGGTCAGGTGAGTGGAGAAAAAGAACCAAATTCGAGCTTCATTTCGGGCGACAACGATGGGTATACTTTTCTTAGCTTTTGTGATGCGTTTTCCGCCAATCAAGATCTTCACCAAGTAGCCGATAAATCAGGTCGTCTTGGAAGAATGAAGCTTACCTTTCAGAGTCGTAAGACTACAACAAAGTCAGACACAAATGAATCTCAAGCAAATGAATTTCAAAACCCTCCAGCGAGGCATGAAACATATGGCTCCCTTTTGGATTCCGAATTACGAAAACTATCAGATAGTCTGTCTCCTCTTGAAATGAACACGGATACAAATTGCAACTCTTCTGATATTGTAGCGGAAAAGCGCGATATCAGCTCCTTAAGTCGGAGAAATTCGTATCCATTCGTGAAATCATTCGGTGAGTCAAATCTTAGAACGATTACAGCTACGCAACCAGATGGCCACGGTCTCAGAGCCCATAATCGATACTCGAAGAGAGCTGTTAGCTTTTCGATTTTAGAAGATTTCTTCAATGATTTTTCGACATCAATTTCTCATGAACGAACACGAATGGATTATCTATCTGAGGTGTCTCGCGCCATTCTGTTGGAGAATTTAAGGAAGGGATGCGAGAATACACTTTCAACCGAGGTTGCACCGAAAGAAAAGCTCATAAATCTCGAGCTACAAAAAATTCTGAACTCACACTCTATCATGGTACATCGAAAGCTGCGATTCGAGTCTGAGTACGGGGCTGTTCTCGATATTAGAATGAAGGACCTTGCCGATAACTTGGACAAGATGGCTTTTCGCTCAAGGGATCTTCTCAAGAAAATTGATGAGTTGGATGAGCATTTGGAAATTTTTGAGTCTAAATTGCATTCCGAAAGCATGACTAAACTTGACTCTATTATAAACCGGGTTTTGCACTCCGCAAAATTCGACTGTGTTTTCGAAGATCGTGACGAAAAGCTTCAAATAGTCAAGTCACTCACAGGTGCGGATCAGTTGCATGATGAAGAAAAATTCAGCAGCAAAAGCAGCTTGTGCATTCGGCAATTCATTGTCTTCTTATATCAAATCGCATTGATGATTTTGCAATTGTTTCACTTTGACAGATCGAAGATGAACTTGGACAGAATTAGGGGTCAGTACAGGAAACTCGATCCCAACAGAAAATATATCAGAAAGATTTACAAAATCATTGAGCGGGAGCCGCAAGATGGAGCCCCAAGTCAGTTCAGTTCAGATAACAGCGAAGAGGCTGCATAGTTTATCAATGTACGTTCTGCAGGAAATCACAGGAACTATACGCCTTTCTCGGTAAGATCATTGAACTTTTTATTCAATTGTTGGATCACTTTTAAAAGAGCCTCTTGAGACTTTGGCGCGAGCAAATGGGTTTCCTCGGACTCGATTACCTCTAGTACTTTCATGGCGTTATTGTAGAGTGCAGACTGTGATGCTTCTAATCTGGAAGTGTTGACACGCAATAGATTCTTAATTTGTTCTAGTGCTGTACCATCGAATTCTTTTACCTCATACCCGAGAGTTTCTTGCAGTCTGCTTTTGTGAAAGCTGTTGTAGTACCTCTTGACACTTGACATTAATGTCTCGCACTCGCCGACCATTTCCTTGAGCTTTTGCGAAATGTAATTCTCTTCCTGAATATCCATGACAAGTTGGAGGCGAGATTTTTCCAACTCATAGATGAATATATCTTCGTCATCTGATGGAATATCATCTTCTAGTTCCGTAGTATCACTAACGACCTGGCCCCGGGATAGTAGTTGAACATTCTGCTCCAACGACTTGATCTGGGCATCTGCTTCACATATCTGCGAGTGCAAAATAGTAGATAGCTTTTGTATACTGTCGTGTATATTGTGTGGCTTATCCATGACTAATAATTCAGACTTCTGCCTTGGTATCTTTAGCTTAAGTTTCAGACGCACCAAGCATATGGTGCGAGACCCGCGGCCATATTAAAAGGTCGGATTCAGCGAACACGGTGCGTCGAAGATACATGATCAAGTACTCGGAAACCAGAATACTAGACCGGAATTATTAGGGTAGAGCACGAACTAAATCTAGCATATAGGTGAGAGAAAGATGTATCACAGAAACAGCTGCATCAAATCCAACAATCAGATTACATTGTGGTGTACGGGTCTTAGCTTCAAACACGTCCGCCATAACGTTGCCCACAGTCGTCGTGCTGAACTAAGTGGAAGCCGCAAGCTAGAATTCACACAAGAATGGTTACAATTACCGATGCACATGAAGACTTGATACACGATGCTGTGCTAGATTACTATGGGAAAAAGCTAGCCACTTCTTCCTCCGACAAGACGATAAAGATCTTCGAGATCGAAGGCACCGACAACTACAAGTTGGTCGAAACTTTGATTGGACACGATGGTCCCGTTTGGCAAGTGGCCTGGGCACACCCTAAGTTTGGTTCTATTTTGGCTTCCTGCTCGTATGATGGCAGGGCCATCATTTGGAAAGAACAGCCTGAAACCCAGCAATGGTCCATAATCGCTGAACACTCCATACATCAGGCCAGTGTCAACTCGGTCCTGTGGGCACCACATGAATTGGGTGCTGTTTTACTATGCACTTCCTCTGATGGTAAAGTATCTGTTGTTGACTTCAATGAGGACGGGACTACATCTCATGTGGTGTTCGATGCACATGCCATTGGTGTCAATTCCGCGTCCTGGGCGCCTGTGACGGGAGGAAAAGACCACGGCCCTAATCAAACAACTCAGCCACAACGGAGGTTTGTCACGTGTGGCTCAGATAGCTTGGCCAAGATCTGGAGGTTTGACACCGCCACCGGACACTACGTGGAGGAGGCGAAATTGGATGGCCATACTGACTGGGTCCGTGATGTCTCGTGGTCTCCTTCAGTCTTAGTACGCTCGTACATTGCCACGGCTTCTCAAGACCGCACTGTGCTCATTTGGTCACAGGATAGTAACGGAGTGTGGCAGAAGCAGCCATTGACTGAAGAGAAGTTCCCAGATGTGTGTTGGAGAGCGTCGTGGTCCTTATCGGGAAACATATTGGCGGTTTCGGGCGGTGACAATAAGGTCAGCTTGTGGAAAGAAAACTTGCAAGGGAAGTGGGAATCAGCTGGAGAGGTCGAACAGTAAGATAAGAATGTACAAAAGATAGTGGATCAAATAGATATCTAAAAGATATTATACGTCCCTATTTGGGCATGACTGTTTGGGTTGTGTGTGAATAGACTAGTAACCTCAGTGTCCAGTAGCCCCCCACATCGACTACAATTCGTTGATAGTGGCCTCGAAAATACGCTGCACGTCTTTTGATGCCTCGCTTGCGCTCTCCAAAACCTCACTGTGAGAGGCCATGCCGTCGCTCAAAGCCTTTGGCTTCTCGTCATAAACGCTAGGAGGCTTCTCGCCAACACCGGCATTGGTAATTAAAGATAAAGACAACACTTCCATATCGCAGTGACGCGCCACGACAACTTCTGGTACAGTGGACATTCCCACTGCGTCGCCCCCCAAGGTTCTGATCATTCTAACTTCGGCCCTAGACTCAAAAGTTGGGCCCGCAGCAAAGAAGTATGTGCCTTCATAGATTCTGCGTGTGACTTTGAGGCTCTTGGCTGTCTCAAAAAAGAGTTTACGTAAAGAATGGCTGTATGCGTCCGACATTGGCTGGAACCGAGGACCAAACTCTTCCAAGTTAGGCCCGCGAAGAGCATGGAACCCTGCAAGCCCCGGAAGATTGATGTGATCATTAATGATCATAAGATCGCCTGGCTTGTAATTCTCATTGATGCCACCAGCAGCATTTGTCACCACAACAGTCTTAACTCCCAACTTCTTGCACAACCTAATCGGAAAGGTAGTTTGCTGAAAGTTATACCCTTCGTAGAAATGTAATCTTCCAACCATACAAATCACTGGCACCTTATTCTCCCCGATGAGCCCCAAAATAAGTTTCCCAGCATGACCAGCTACAGTGGACGTCTGGAATCCTGGAATCTCATCATACTTTATCTCAACTTTGGGCTCGTTGTGCAAGATATCAGCGATACCTCCCAACCCAGACCCGCATATGATGAGAACCCGTGGATTTGCTAGAGGTGTTCCAGTACACAGCAGCAATTTAGTTTCTATGGAATGCTTTGCTTCAGACAAAAGATCGAGGTATTCATTTGGTGGTAAATTAGGAGAGAAAGACATGGATGTGATCCTGTGTAATCAATGGTTGGGCTTGCTTATCTTTTTATTCGCGTGAGTGACGTTCCGCAACTCTATGTGCACCCACGAGCGATAAAATATTGAATCGTTGGTGTGATTTACACTGACTTCAAATACAGATCATGATCAATCGAGTAGCTCACTAGAATTGAGAGAAAACATTGGAATTGCATTGAACAATAAACCTTCCTTATCACAAAGAAAAAAAGAACCGTTCAATCTAACAAAAAATTAAAGCCCGATGCGGGGCTCGAACCCGCAACCTTTTGATTGACCTTATGATGTTTAAGAGTCAAATGCTCTACCGATTGAGCTAACCAGGCTGATATGTTTCTTTCGTCTTGATGAATATTTATTAATTAGTGTTTGTGGTTTTATAAACGTATCAACTCAACTCAATAGTTTGATTTACCCAGCCACTTTTTCTCATTTCTAAACCAAGAAAAAAAAGATAATAATAGAAGAAAAATTTAGACATGAAGTCCTTACTTTGGCGAACTTAACAAAATTAAATTGGTTCGTCACCACGATCTTCAAGGTCTACACCAGAAGGCGAGGCGAGTCGCAGGAAGTGGGCACCTTAAGTCCGCTACAACCAGCCGAGTTGAAGCGACTACTACAGGAGACCTATCCTAGGAGTCGATGACGTAATATCCAATACGTAAACAGATACGTGCCATGAGGACTGTCCAGGCCGTGACTAACGGAAGGGGACGGGCCGAGCTAAGACACTTGGTACGTAGCTGGGAGCTGTTTAAAGGTGTTTTATATATATTCGTTATATAGTTTTGCCCCTTTAATCAGATGAATCTACCAAAAAAAAATGGCAAATTATTTAACACTAGGTTTGTATTTGGGACTTTTAAAGGTTTTAAAATTATTTTACAGTGTTACTCCTTCAATTAAAGGATTCTGACACAAAAAAAACATTGAAATGATAAAACTAAATGAGAAGGCAGAAATTTTGTTTATTCGGAAGAGCAACATGTATCGTCTTTGCACATGAAGTCCAAAACAACGGAGACACTATGGACACTTTCCCAAGTCACATCCACAACGATTTTGAAACCTCCAAATCTTAACTTTGCCAAATCTATGAGTGTAAGTTTAATGTTGGCTCTGGTCGACAACTCTTTGGAGAATTTGATGATTTCAAAATGGTTGGTCACCACGATCTTTAAGATATACATTTTGAGACGCGGCGAGTCGAAAACAAACAAACTACCTCCGCCTTTGTTGAAATCCTGAGATGTAGCGGCGACTAGTCGGTAATTGTCCAGTTCACTCTTGGTTTTGATTTCAACAAATTGTGATGTGTGTAACTACATCCTGTTACATACAGCGACATCCTATTTTGCGATACGTCTTTGAGAATTATGTTGGTGAAATAGAAAAGAATTTTGAGCCAAACCCCGAACAAATTCGTGATAAAAAAAATTCTAGGCTTTGCGTAATGGAGCAATGTCGACGATGACTAAGATGTTACACTTAAAGCAAGGTCAACCTTCTTGCACAAAAATTTGACGACTCTGCTTTTTAAATCAGACGCCTCCAGCTAGCAAGGGCAGGTCCAGTTTTTATCTTTGTAACTGTAGTTTATGACTGATCTATCTGTATATCTAAAATCAAATAAGCCACAACTCTCTATAATTGGGAATTCAAGCGCACGGTTTTTGGGTCTCTTCAAAGACCTCACTTTGTGGACTTGATCTATGACCATTCACAAATGACATGGTGGTGTCAACTCTCTTTGCTTTGACAGCAGGGGATGAGCTCTCTGAGAACTTCGAACCGTGATCATTCTGAGGATTTGAGAGAAGAGGAGATGATGGCATATTGACGGCGGAGACGACATTTTTTTTGTCTTTAGCTGGTGAGATTGCCGCCCTCTGAAAGTCAAACGCTTCGTCTTCAAAAATTGGCGTAATACCATTATTGATGACTTGGGCAGCACTGTTACCATCTTTTGGAGTAGGCTCGCCAAAGAATTGAGCCCAGTCGTTTTGATCATTCTGCTCTGGGCTTGATTTCAGACTAAAAGACTTGATCATCATTTGTTCAAATTCAGAATATTTTGACGGTGGCTGATTCTCCTTGTCTTCTTCGTCTGGACAAAGATTGATAACTCTCGTATTAGATTTTGTCGCAATCATAGGGGGTGTCACTCCCAGGATTTCTCCGGCATTTTGCGAATCACTGGGCATGTCTATGTCTGTGAGAGGCCCACCAAAATTGTTCAACTGCCTAACGAAGTCATTGAGATCTTGATAGTCCTCATTAGTTTGCGGAGTTCGAGCATATCCTAAATTTTTTGATGCTGACTGTGGGAACCTGGATGAACTGCTATTTCGATTCCGTATGACCTCACTTATTGCAGATGGTACATGAGATGGCGTAGGAAATTTGTTGCTCTGGCTGGTGTTGGCATAAAAGGGTGAGGAATTGTTGTGTGACTTCACCGTGCCAGGAACACTTGATGAGTGTTCTTTCAATTTGAGTTCTTTTTTGTATTTTTGTTGCTGCAAATACTTTTTAACCACAGCCTCAGGCCGCATGAATCCTTTGTTTCTCAAAAATAAGTAACAAGCATTGCACATAGGTCCAAACATCCCATCGAATAGTTTCATATCTATTGGATTTGAGCGAGGGATATTGAGATAGCTTGGGTGAAAATTGGTCTCAAAATATCTCCATGTGACCGAGTCCATCGCTGCACAATTTCTATTGATACACAACATATCGTGATCTGGTGGGAGTTTTTGGCTAGGAATGGTGTGCGTATTTTTGCTATCCAAGTCTTCAAGATCAGGAAGCGACTGGAATTGGTGACCATCAGTACGGACGATTGCAGATGGTGCTGGCTTCACGTTGACACTTGGTCTGTAAGGAGGCTGTTGAGGCGTAAAAGGGGAAGAGGAATCTTCATTGTTGGCTTCGAACTCATCTTCTTCATCTTCTTCCTCCTCCTCCTCAATGGTTCTGCTGTTGTTATCGTTGTACTCCGTATCATCTGTGGCCTCGGACAAAGCTTCCTCGTTTATCGGCGAAGATATCATTGGCTGAATGTTGGAAATCATAGACCTTGTCCGCATTGCCCTTTGGGGCTGAAGGCTGCCTGAGCCTTGAACGGTAGGAGTCAATGGGATATTGGACCGCTTGCGATATCTTGACGGTTTGTCAATAATTTTTGCCAGGAGAAATGGTGCCAGGTTGAATCTTTCCAGAATGCTTTTGCTGTCGTACTTCGGAGCTGCGTTGAGCTTGTCTGCATTGATGATGTTCGATATTTGCTGGTTCGGGGGGTGGCAAAATATGGGTAACGACTTTGTCCTGGTAGCTTTGATCGCCGCCTCAGAAGATGCACCGGCATGAGGACGTTTTCTTCTCGTGGTATGTTGTGGTGTGTGTGAATTAGAAGAAGACGCGGCTCTGCCAGCAGCCTCCACCTCCGGATCTTTCGGAGAAGGCGCTTCTTCACTTCGGCTTGTGACATGAAATTTCAACCTAATTTCTAGGGTCATTGCTGAAGCATTTGCCTGGTCACCAAACAAGAATGAGGCAGATAGGTTCTGGCAGACTCTTCCCGGTATAAGATCCGGTTTGTTGCTATTGAGCAATGATGAGATCGCCCCATTTGCCACAAAGGGCTCATCTGGCTGCTCGGTGATATCTTTGTGATACACTGCATAGTCCTCTGTCTGAAGCTTGAAGTTTTCAGGGGAGCTTTTCACCACCTGTTGGATACAACTCTTTAGGTCGAAAGCGCCGAGCGTTATGAACTCGTCGGTTTCATGCGTCGATGATGCTGGGATCTGCGCCACTTTCACAGAGTATTGGTTCTTGGATCTCGACAAGAATACTGTCGGGCTGTTGTCAAATGAATACAAGACTTTCACCTGCATTCGCCTGTGAACCTGGTCTTGCAAACTCATGGTGAAACTTGTGAAATGCAAATAATGGAAAGAAAAAGATGCTGACTTCTTGAGTATCAATTCTCGCAGGAAGCACTTGGGAGCAATATCGAAAATAAGTGATTCAAGATTTTGTTCGTTTGCTGTGGGTGGCGGTCTGTCTGTAGGAAAAACAACAAGACTTGAAGCTATTGAGCAGTATCCTGGTGGTCAGGTTAAAGGATCGAGTGAATGCAATGATCTGGACTGTATGGGAATGTATAATTCACGAATAAAGAGACAAGGAGAAACGACGGAAACTGTATTCTTTTGGAATCAGGAGAAAGTTTTTTTTTTTCCCTTGCGCAATTTGAAATCGACTCGAGGTGCTCAGCTATTCGAAGTTCGCATCACGGTAAACAACGCGACGCGCCCCATTCTCGCAACTAAAGACGTGAGCGTCTCGCGTCTAGCGCGTCCTCTGCATCTATAGGCCAACCACCTGCTATTCGAGGAACATTAGTATCACGCAACAATAAACATAAGGAAAGCTAATGAAGCAGGACGAGATATCCAATAGTGGCTGTGCATTATGTGGATAAGCGGAGAGATTTATGAGGCCCACTATGGGAAAATTAGATGCGGTCACCACTGGCCTACGAAAGCCTAATTCATGCGCAATAGCATGTTACCCGCTCTCAAATGTCACTGCGGCTGGACGCGTAAATTGTGATGTCCAACGCCTACTGCAGAAATCGAATTTCAGAAAGACTCACGTGAGTTAAATCGTGAACTATTCCAAACGATTATCTAAAACTTTATATACAACATGCAACCTCTCCACTGCATAGCTCAATGGTTCATCGTGTCATTTTCGACTCGAAACAAATGGGCTACAAAAGCCCTACCAATCTCTTAATCTCTTTTATGTTCACCAGTGCTATTTCCCTGGCTTTTGTTGTGCCTTCTGCACACACGGCGTCTATGTAAGACTTGTCAGCCATCAAATTGTCGTACATAGTCTTTGTCTCTTTGAACTCCTCCACGACAAGCTCTGTGACATAATCCTTCAACTGTTTGTGGCTTCCGACCCAAGCCAATTCTTTCACTGTTTCGTCCACTGTCTTATTCAACAAACCAGAGATGATATTTACGAGGTTAGACACGCCAGGTCTGTTCCGAGGATCAAATGTAACTGGTCCTTGCACGGAGTCGGTCACCGCCCTACGAAATTTCTTAGCAATAGTATCGGCGTCGTCATTGATGAAGACAGATGAGCTCTGGTTGGCGTCCGACTTGGACATTTTCTTGGTAGGATCACGTAAAGCACCTATTTTCTTTGTAGGTGTCAATATTGTTTGTGGCAAGGTGAAGAACTTGCCATATTTGTGATTGAAAGTCGATGCTATGTCTCGCGAAAGCTCCAAGTGCTGAGACTGGTCCTCTCCCACTGGCACATGAGTTGCATTGTAAATCATGATGTCAGCGGCCTGGAGCACAGGGTATAAGAGAAGTCCGGCCTTGGTGGCTCCCATGGCTCGTTCGCTGTATATATCTGCGTCGTCCTCTAGTTTCAGCTTCAGCTTCCACTGCGTCATCCTGTTGAGAGATCCCATACTAGTGAGACATGTGAAGATCCAATACAACTCTGCATGTTCAGGAACGCTTGATTGATGGAAGAGAATACAACGCTTTGGGTCTATTCCAGCCAGCAAAATGTTTGCAACAGCCCCATATCGGTTTTCATGCAACGCTGCTGATGAAGGAAGTTGCGTGACTGAATGAAGATCGGCCGTCCCAAATATACACTGTGTATCCTCAGGCGCTTCTGTTGAAATCTGCTTCCAGTTCCGGAGCGCACCTAGGTAATTTCCTAGATGAACGGCGCCAGTTGGTTGTATCAAAGAGAAAATTCTAGAGCCACGTGGGAAGGCCGACAACTTATCAAGCGTTGCCACGGACGAGAGACTTCTGATATAACTCACTGTTTGCGGCGACATTGCTTCACTTTTGCCACACGTTGAGTCAATGACATGCGAAATTTGTAGAGTGCGCAGTTCTTCATTGGACATCTTCGCCAATACTTTGTGCGTTGAATGCCACTAATCAATCAATCGGCACTACAGTCTGTGTGAAAAATTACAATGGTGAGAATTAAACGTGTTCTGAATGCTCAGAAAGACTTGGTGGAATTTTGGAAGTATCTTCTAATGTACAATTTACCTATTACACGTACGTCACGCCGCCCCAAATTCGTCAGCTGTCTTGTTTTCCAGCATCAATAAAGCCACCATTAGTGTTAACTATATTTATCCCTTTTGCTTGAAGCCTCTTTTCGAGCTTCTGTCTCTGCAAACATCTCCATCTATCCAACTTGGAGTATTCGTGTACCTTGAAGCCAAAAACCTTTGGGACATAAGTTTCCTTACTATGGGCAGGCACAGCTTGGGGGAAGTTTTGAAAGAACATTGCCGGGAAGGATGTTCCAAAATAAGCACCGTCGACCACCGCATGACGCCCCGATTTTGGGTTGTACAAATCCTCGCATTTGGCACAGTAAAGTTTTACCGGCATCGTTCTCGACTGGTCAGTAAGACCTACGGGTAATAGCGGGTGTAACTGGCAGTTAACTCTCGGACAGTAGCCAAAGTCACCATTTTTGTACTTCTCGAACATTTTATTCAAGCCTCGTTGTGTTAAAATGTATCTGGCATGAATCAAGCCATATAAAACCCTGGCATTTTGTTCCATGTCGTTACGGGCATCTTCAGGCTGCAGCTCTATATCAACCATGTCTGTGATAATATCCACTAAAGTTGGCAATTTTCCCACCTCCTGGTTCAACCCGGTGAGATTAAATCTATCTCTAATATAGTCATCGTCGATATCGCAAAAGTACTCGTTGCCTTTAATCCCCAAGAACAAGTCTATCCAGTATTCCGTAAAGTCAGAACTGGAGTCACTGTACTGCTCATTATCATATGACATGTTTATCTAAAAAGATTTTCGGTTGGATTTACGACTATTTGTGCCAGCAAGGGGTGAATCTTGCACGTTCGTACGTGTGTACGAGTGAGATGTTTTCCGCTCTTCTTTTCCCTTATGTGAAGGATGCTGCCTCACCTTCGATAGTTGAAGATACACTCAAGTGAAGGGCATTTGTTCGTTCACAAAGATTGCTGAGTATTTTGTGTAATCAGTCGAAATTTTTGGAGACATTCGAGTTGAATGAAATATGGGAAATTTGTGTATCAGTCGTTGTCGTTTTTTAGTACCTTGTTTTGAAAAACGAAAAAACCTTGTAATATATGCGAATACTAAGAAACCTGAACTCTAATACTATTTCTATTCCAAAGTTTTTGCTTCTTCTTGTTGAAAGCCCCAAAACGCCTCAATATATTCTAGAGTAGCTGAAGATTCTAAAAATGAATAAATTCTTATCTCAAAAGTAACTCATCTTCAACGCATGCACTGAAATGAGTACCCCTCCATATGTTCAGAACATTCATTTCAATAAGCTACTGTACGAGACAATAACTTCAAGCATATATATATGGAGCTGAAAAACTTGAAAATGATGCTTTTCAGAAAAAGAGTCCCAGAAAGCTGGTAGAAGGGTCCAAAAGATTTGGTTTTCTCCCCTGAAATTGATCAACATTGTAAACAAAGTACTAGAAAACTGAGCTCCGGCATTTGGCGCGGTCTGCTTAACGTATGTGCCCTTGAGCAACTGCAGATAGTGTTGGAGAAGCGAAGCACTATTTTCTACTCAAGTTGCATTCACAAAGGGTCAGAAAGCTACTTCAAAAAGAAAAACAGGAGATGAGGCTCCTAGTTCTTCCACAGGAATTTCATAATGGTGAAGTTCATACAGTGGATATAAACCTGGAAAATGCTTTGGTTGCGACCGGTGGAATAGACCAAAAGGTTAGCGTATGGAGGCTAGAACAGTTTACCGATTCCATAAATAAAGAACCACCCAATTTGACCGAAATAGAACCTCAAAAAACGATAGACTGTCATCACGCAACTGTAAATTTCGTGAAGTGGTCACCAACAAACGGCAATCAAATGATCTCTGCGGATGAAAATGGAACGATTGTTAAAACAGACCTTGACGTCGATAAATGTGAAACAATCTTCCCAACTCCCTACTTAAAAAGGCTACAAAAAAGTACAGCTCTCGATGGGTGCTGGTCCATAGATGGTCGCTTATTTGCCTGGAGTACTGCTGATGGCGCAGTTCATATTTATGACGGGGTCAGAGAGACACATCAATTCCTAATACCGCAAGCTGATATAAGTGCTGAAAAAAAGGCAACTCTACAAAGAAGTGTTACCTTTGATCCTAATGGTAAGTATTTGGTGACTTTAGGTGACGATACTATGGTAACAGTGTACCAATATGAGTATGACAAAAACAATGATTATAGGTTTCAGGTTGCCAATAGAGTTTCAAAACTCATGAGCAACACCGTGACGAAATCATCTGGAGCCAATTACAGAAGAATTTCATGGTCTTGCGACGGAGAGTTTTTTGCAGTCCCAAACGCAACCAAACAACTGACTTCGGTTGTATCTCTTCTTTCTGCTTCTCTGGGATGGGATAACAACATTAGTCTAGTTGGGCACGATATGGAGTGTGACCTTGTGAAATTTGCGCCTCACATATATCAGAGAAAAAGCAAAAGCGAACCCGCCTCTATCGATTCTGACCTCGAGATCTTGGATTTCGAGGTATATCATATCATAGCTACTGCTGGCTCTGACAGCTCTTTGGTGTTGTGGAACACAACAAAGGAAACACCTCTTTTTGTCATGCACAATATATCCCCTAAGCCATTAGTGGATTTAGTTTGGGACAAAACAGGCAGCATTGTGTTAATGTCGACACTCGATGGGAAAGTTATTATTGCGGGCTTCTCAGAAGAAGAACTTGGCCAAAAATCTTCCTCTGAATTTTTGAAAAAGATTAAAGCGAGTCAAAATCTAGCAAAGAAGCAAAGTCTGAACAAAAGTTCCAGTGAAACACATGGTGCAAAAAAGTCAAAAGTCCCTCTAGAGTCCATCAGTCAAAAAGATGCTATTGGAGTCCGAGACGAACTAATCATCAGTGACCAAAATGATGAGCTAGTTTTAGCCGATCCCAACAATTCACTAGTAACCAGCATCTCTCAACCAAGCGAGGTCGTTCCTCAAGTTTTAGCACCAGGACTCCAACTTATGTCTTATCCTGAGAATGATTTAATGTCTAGGATCGAAGAGAGAAAGCCCACTGTTACCCCCAAAAACCAAGAACAATCACCGAAAGTGGGAACACTGAACCCATCTTCTGTTCCAAAAGTAACCTTGAAAAACGGAAAGAAAAGAATTCAGCCAACGACTTTATCAAATGGGACAACAAATTCTGTAACTCAACGAATGTCAGCAAAGGATGTAACCTCCGTTGAAGTTACCAAGATGGGTATGGAATTCGACAGACCTTCCTACACTGTATCCGAAGAGATGATAAAAGATAACAAACGGCAAAAAACATCAGATGACAGTCACTTAAAGAAAAAACCCAAAAGAGAGCTAGAACCAGTTAAGTTTATTGGATCTGTAGTGGCAAATCTAGCCACAACATTTGCTCAAGTGCGATTGTCGGCCCCAAAGATACGATCTGCGTTCAGAGTTTCAGATACGTCTTACACGCTTGATATAAAAAACGGACTGGGAAATGAAAGTGCACCATCCAGAGTTACTTGTCTCAAGAATGAATCGCAAGTTTGGTCAGACTTCATTCCGCAATTCGTTCAACTTGCTACCAGAGGAAATTTCTTCTGGGCTCTATGTACTGCTGATGGCACAATCCATACATATTCAAGCACATCTGGTAAGAGATTATTCCCTCCAATAATAATGGGATCTCCCATATCATTTTTGGAGAGCAAAAACCAATACTTGATGGTCGTCACTTCAATAGCAGAGATACTTGTGTGGGATTTAGACAAAAAGAAAATTCACATGAAATCGCCACTGTCTTTGGCCGCTTTGCTCGACTTAAACAGCAAACTTCAGGAAAACACTTTGAGCAAGTCTGATAATATCACTATGTGCTCCATTACCTCAAAAGGGTTTCCTGTGACAACTCTATCTAATGGTTCCGGGTATATTTACAATATTGACATGGAAGTTTGGCAGACTGTCACCGAAGCCTGGTGGGCATTTGGATCGCATTATTGGGACTCTATTACTGATGACAAGGTTTCGCCGGTCTCGGACAGCCCAAGAACGATAGGCGAACGCGAAGGCTCTTCTTTAATCAGTATGTTAGAGCACAAAACAAACGAAGAATTGCTAAGGAAAAGCAGAACAGGCAGAGGCAAATATTTCAACAAAATTTCGAAGAATATGATGATGAAGGAAGGATTTGAAAATCTCGAAAACACAGTTTCCTTGTCTCACCTAGAGAACAGAATTTTGTGTTCCGAGCTTTTGGAAGAGCTGGAAGACTTTAAGGATTTTCTCATCACTTATTCCAACAGGCTTTGCGAGTTGGGATTGCAAGCAAAACTTTTTGAGATGTTTGAGACGGTTTTGGGTGAACAAGATCAACTGGCTGACACTGACAAGTCAGTGAACTCTCGAATTTGCGGTCTTAACAGACACGATCTTCTCAAAGACATAATCCTTTCTTGCGCAGAACACAGAGACGTACAAAGAATACTTGTTTACTTTGGTACCAAGATTGGATTAATATCCCGAGATTACGAATAACTCAACAATTTGTGAACAACAATATATCATTCGCTGTTATCATGGCCCATTGAAGAGCAGTTGCCCCTTTCAACCTCAGACGGTCGCTTGTGGCGAATGCGAACCCCATTTTTCACTAATAAGGACCCATATTAAAATTAATAATACCGTGAGAAAAATATCAAAGAGAAAGCCGCTGTATTGATTGCTTAAGATATGGCGAGTGGCCATGAATATGTTTTTTGATGATTAATTAATCAACTATGGAACGCAAAGGCCCCTTTCGTAGGCGGCTGACTAGACAACTATATCAAATACACTAGGACTAGATACTTACACCCAAAAGATGACATACAGGTTACATCTAAGTGCTTTCGTGTCTCGAAAGACACTACAAAGTATAGTTACCTACATCCCTGGTGTACTGATGTTACATTGCGTCGTTGGTATGGCTTGCACCGATTTGAGACGACATAAACTGGCTGAGTCGATGCGCATACTTCAACATAAAGTTCCATGACTAAATTACTAAAGACATTAAAAGCCCACTCAGATAAAGTGTGGAGCGTTTCTTCCCATGATAAGTTGCCTCTTTTAGCCACTGCATCTAGTGATAAGACTAGTAAAATTTATCAGCTATCCTTGGAGCACAATTTCCCGCTCATAGGGGTATTGGAGGAGACCCACAAGCGGTCTGTGCGTAGCGTCGCCTTTAAACCACAATTACAATCATCCGAAAATGAATTTATCGACTTGCCAGCACTCTCTGCTGGGTCATTTGACTCAACGATATCTATATGGGGCATTGATGAACCCGAAGACTTATTAGAGAATGAGCAATCAGACGAAGAAGACGGGGAAGAGTCCAGATTGAAGAGAGAAGTGGATATGTTAATAAGTCCAAAAAATGAATGGAATTTAATGGCTTTGATCGAAGGCCACGAAAACGAAATCAAAGCAGTGGCGTGGAACCGGTCAGGAAACTACTTGGCATCATGCTCTAGAGACAAAACAATCTGGATTTGGGAGACAGATCCCGAGACGCTCGAAGAATTCGAGTGCATATCTGTTTTAAGTGATCACGAGCATGACATAAAACATATTGTATGGCACCCAAAATACAATATCTTGGCCAGTTCGTCTTACGACGATACCGTGAGATTGTACCAACAGGACGCCGATGATGAAGATTGGTCCTGTGTCGGAATTCTCAGTGGGCACGAGGGAACTGTTTGGTGTTCTCAGTTTGAAAACCCTTCCAGTCCCACCGCTTCAAAGGACAAAATCAGACTTGCTTCTTCATCTGATGATTCAACAGTGAGAGTGTGGACATGTGACAAACCAGGCGATTCCTCTCGCGAAAATTCCGACCTTCCAAGCTCCATAAAGCATGAGTCGGATGAAATGCACTGGCTGTTAGAGCAAGTGCTTCCACAAGCTCACAAATATGCTATTTACTCTGTCTCTTGGTCAGCCAAAAGCGGAAGAATTGCCTCTGCAGGAGCCGATGGTCAGATTGTCATTTACAAAGAGAGCAACGGCGAATGGGAGATTGAGAGTTCAATAAAATCTGCCCATGGGGTATACGAGATAAACTGCGTTTCATGGTGCAACTTAAGCAATGGAGCGGAGGTTTTGGTGTCCGCAGGCGATGATGGAAATATCAATATTTGGGAGGCTTGAGCATAGATTAGCATCGGAGTTTACTCAGATGATGTGATGGTAATGGAGAAGTTTGACAAAGACAAAAGAATGGAAAAAAAAGGTTGAGTTGAATGGAATATAAATACACCATATGGCGCTATATCAGAAAATGAGTCCGATTAGTATCACCGACCCAAAGACACCAATTAAAATGAGAAGACAACAGAGCATTCTACCACCCGAGCGTCTCTGATAACGCTCCGCACGACGTAGTTCTCTGGAAGCGCCTCGGGCATCAGCACTATAACTGAGGATATTGTCTTCAATAGTATCGACTTGGAATTGTTGTTCCTGTACGATATCCTGCAAGTTCAGGAAGATCTCATTGATTTCACGAGTATCCTGCGAAATTTGCTGAATCTCTCTTTCTCTCTCTTCCACCATCAACGATTGCTGTTCAAGTTCCTCCGCATTGATGGGTTCATACGTGATTTGCACCTGATTCTGATCTGTTCCATGCTGAATCTGGCCGGCCAGAGACGAGTCAGTAGCAGCAACCGCAGCATGACCGGTTTCGACAACCTCAGTTTCAAAAGCTTTGAACTTACGCTGGCAGCTTTGAAATTGGCGCAAACTGTTTTTGACTAAATTGAGGGAAAGCGCCTCCTTTTGTCTCAAGTACCTCAAAGTGTCTTCATCCTCATGATTTGCCTCGCATTCATTTAAATAAGAGTTAAGCCTTTGTGTCAATTGATTTATACTCTTGAACGCCTCGGTACATTTTCCAGTGAGCCCCACATATTTCCGGCTAATAACACCCACATTTTCGCCTTGTGCTTCTCCAGATTCTCGTAGATTCTCGTATTCCCGGACTAGATTCCGGATGGAAACCAACTGATTCAGATTGATGTCCTGGAGTGTGGAGTCTATGGATTTGGAGATGGAGTCGAATTCGGGAAAGTCTTTGTAATGAGCGGAGACGACACTTGCAGCCTCTAGGTCTTCTGAGAAAACATTGCTAAACGACATGTGGGATATAGGGATTGGTGGCACAAGATGATAGAGGGGTCTTGGCTCGACCAGAGATAGCGTTGCACGTGATCATGGATCAGCGCGAAGCATGACGGATCTTGAGGCTCAGCCAGAAAGCAAACTACGGTGTCGGGAATCTCCATGATATCAAATTATAGATAAGCTTCTGTATATATTATATGCTTACAATCTGGCCAAAAGTCAGTCCTCTTCCTCCTCAAACTTGGCGAGACAATCGAGGGCAGCCATGCAACCGGTACCGGCAGATGTAATGGCCTGTCTGTACTTGCTGTCTTGCACGTCACCAGCAGCAAAAACGAAAGGAACAGAGGTAGCAGCAGTGCCCGGAGTCGTCTTGATGTAGCCGGCCTCGTCGGTTTCCAACTGGTCCGCGAAGATCTGGGTGGCTGGGATGTGGCCGATGGCGTAGAACAAACCGTTGACTTGAAGAGACGACGTCTCCTTTGTCTTGTTGTTGACAATGTCCAAGCTGTTCAACAACTTGCCGTCGCCCTTGGCCTCAACAGCAGAGGTGTTCCACAAGACCTCGATTTGCTTGTGCGTGGTGGCTCTCTTTTGCATGATGGGAGAGGCCCTCAAGACGTCTCTTCTCACAAGCAAGTAAACCTTGGAGGCGTACTTGGTCAAGAACAACGCCTCCTCACATGCCGAGTCACCGCCACCAATGACGGCCAAAGGCTTGTTTCTGAAGATTGGCACAGCACCATCGCACACAGCGCAAGCAGAGATACCCTGTTGCCAGTAGGTTTCCTCGCCTGGGATGTTCATTCTCTTGGCGGAGGCACCTGTGGAAATGATGATGCCGTCGGTGGTGATGGGCTCCTCGTCCTCGTTGAACTCGGTCCACAATTTGAATGGTCTCAGAGACAAGTCGGCCTTGGAGATGGTCTCGGTGATGATCTGGGTGCCGAATCTTTCACTCTGCTTTCTCATGTTGTCCATCAATCCAGTGCCGGTGATTCCCTCGGGGAAGCCGGGGAAGTTCTCGACCTCGGTGGTGGTCGTCAACTGACCGCCGGCGGCAATGCCGTTGGCCAACATCCCTTCGTACATGACGGGCTTGGCCTCGGCACGGGCCAAGTAGATGGCCGCGGTGTGGGCGGCTGGGCCGGACCCGATGATAGTGACTTTGTGGTGAACCATTCTGAAGATGTTTTTGGTGAAGCTGGTGTTTCTGATAAGCTGACTTCTCATGCGATTTGTGGTGAGAAATCCGGGTGTTTAAATAGCAGATTTGAGCTGAGGGTCTGGCCGCGGCTGGCCTGACAAATAACTGCGTGGCACTGCAGACGGCGCGCTTCTTATTAATTTTTCCACGCGATCGATAAGTCCATTCTTTTTTCCCAAGGCGCTGCATGCGGAGGCCGAGGCTCGGGGCCCTAATTCTCGGGGGACCTCTGGCGCGGCCAGCCGCTTACAATTGGCAGGGCCCGTTTCGCGGGCCAGACCTGCGATTTTCTGTCGCATTCACAGCTGAGTGATAGGAAAGGCAACAACGCAAGGACAAATGGTGGACCGCGCCTGTAGATGTCCCGTGCCTGTAGATGCGCCGTGCAGTTGTCGCATGATTCTTCACCTCACATTGTGTGGGACGCCCGTGTCTGATTGTTCATGGAAGGTGGGTTCGCTGCGCTTCACGGGAAAGTCGCTGGGGAGCTGCACATGGAGATTTATAAGCACGGGTTGAACATGCGCTTTTCGGGGCCCATCCTACTTTTCTACTTGAGGACGAAATCAGTGATGATGGGATCGTGCTGATATTTTGGGTTGAGGAGCGTGTTTGTCAAGAACCACTGGAGGCCCTTTCTTCTATGCTCGAGCCAGCTCTCCAGCTGCCATGCGCGCAGCAAACTGAAAGTATCCTTTGGGGGAAGCACCGGGAAAACGTCGTCCTTATAGGCCTTCGTGAGGGCGTTTCGGAGCTTTTCGATATCACTATACCGCTTATATAGAAGAATCAGCGAGTGTAGAGCGTTATCAATGACCACCCTAATAGACCACACAACGTACAGTCCCGAGAGCCCGTCTCCCGAGATAAGGTGCCACTCTCCGACCATCACATCGGTGATGTGCGAGGCGTCCGTCACGTGGTCATGCGAGCTGACGCCTTCAGTAAGCTGGATGGGCGCCGGGGCGACATGTTTTAGCTTAGTTGCTTGTTTTTGCGGCGCCATTACTCTGTCCAGTGAACTGCTTATGGTGTTCTTTCTGACAGGATGATGGGAGGTGCGGGTGTGGCTTGTCGCAATTTGAAGTGGGGGGCCTGAGGCAATAATTCCTCAGCGACCGAACTTTTGGTTGCGAAGATCAGCAGAAAATTTTACTATCAGGTATATCTACAAAGCACTCAATCAGAAGCGCGCGTATCTGAAAGGTCTCTGCGGCGTTGACAATGCCACCTAGAGAATTCGATGGCTCATTCAGGCCCACAATTTCCACAGCAAACGTCCTGCACACAACGCCCGATTCAGCACGGAGTCACCGGCTGGCTCTCCCCCCGGGAAAATAAAAAAAGCCGGTGGCTCGCCCCTCCACTTCTTTGTACATAAACAAGATATATAACATAAAAAATGGTTAAAGCAGGTATGTTTCCACTCCTCCGACTATGCCCTAGGCAATACAAGTGCCTAGACTGTCACACATCTTTTGCAGCAATCAATTGCGTGGCTCACCATATGTTAACCACTGGGGTGAGCAAATTATTTTAACTAATCGGTACACCCAAAAAGTTGACATCGGCCACTCTCCAAAACACGCATTCCAGGTGCCAAAAGAGCCAGGTAATGGTCCAATACTAACATGCCCCATAGTTGCAGTTCTTAGAGGAGACAAAAGCGTTTCTGGTGTCGTCACTTTTGAGCAAGCCACCGAGGCAGAGCCCACGATTATTTCTTGGGAAATCACCGGCAACGAACCCAACGCCTTGAGGGGTTTCCACATCCACACTTTTGGAGACAACACCAATGGATGCACCTCTGCCGGCCCTCACTTCAACCCATTTGCCAAGACCCATGGAGCACCAGAGGATGACGAGAGACACATTGGTGACTTGGGTAACATTATCACGGATTCCGAGGGTGTTGCCAAGGGCACAAAACAAGACTTGCTTGTCAAGTTGATTGGTGCCAACTCGGTTCTCGGTAGATCTGTCGTTGTCCACGATGGCACTGACGACTTGGGCAAGGGTGGTCATGCCGACTCTTTGAAGACTGGTAATGCCGGTGGCAGACCAGCCTGTGGTGTCATTGGCTTGACAGAGTAAGTTTAGGTTACGTAAAATAGGTTGATGACTAATGCAAAATCTCTTGTTTTTTAAATCCAGATTATGGTCACCAAAGTGTACGGAAAACATCGCTTTCGAATTCTCCTTGCACAGTCTGTTCGTTTTGGATCCTACACAGCAATGGAAACCGAACCGCCACACCTCAAACGACCATCACCTATGACCTGGATTGTATACCCTCTGCTTGTTTCGTTTATTCCCATGATTAGCCCTTCATCAACATAACAAGGTTCGCTATTCTTGTACCTGAAGTCTTGGATTGTTGTATTGGGGTGCAACGACGAAAAGAAATGTAGCATTGCCAGCACCAAGAATGGTCCGGAAACAACTATACCCTTCAATTCCTCTTGATGACAGAATTCTGCATCGTAGTGAATTTTATGTAGATTGTATGATAAGGCATTGAAGCGCATGAGTTGTGAGAGACTAAACTTGATGTTCTGCGAGTGCAAAAAGCCTTTGGTTTCGGAAAATCTTGATGCGTTTTCACGGAAGGGCTCATTGGTGTATAAAAGTGTTCTGTATTCTTTCATCACCATCGATTCGTCTTTGCGGAAGTTTCTTGAAATATTGACAAATGCATTAGGCCCAAGACACCTCACTGAACTGACGTTTTCCTCACATACAACCACGTCGCCACATACTGGCGGCAACTTCAAGTACTCGATGGACCCACCAACCCACATTCGGCGTTTATATAGCTCATTATTTTCCACGTCTAACGGAGCCTGGTAGTTATCATATCCATCAAGGCCAAGTTGGGTATTTGACTGCGTGTTGAAAATAAAAAGCGACCCATAAAGGGGTCCAGAAACTTGAGAGCGCGTGGAGATAACCTCGTTCAATAACTTGTTCAAGTGATTGTGACCGCCGATAGAATAAGTATCTTCCCAAATCCAAGTTCTTGGTGCAATTATATCAGCCCACCTTCGGGTTTGCGCTTTGATTCTGCACATTGTTTCAATCAGGTTTGGCAAGTGAAATTGAGGAGGTACACCAGAACTGGAAAAGCTGTTTTAGTCGTAATTCTTGAGGCTAGTCATCGAGAATATTTTAAGTAGTCCATGATGCATTCTTCGGATGACAGTCGTTGAGCGCGAAAAGTATGTCTCACTGATGAAAAATGCTGTAGTTGGCTAAATCAGTTCCGATTGATTCCCGTAGGTTTATAAAATATGTAAAATCTCATCGCCAGCACAAACTTTGAGCCTTTGTCAACAGAAGAAATCGATATTTTTATGCGTATTCTCCTCATTATAAGTGAAGAAACTGTACATTCGCCCTCCTACATCTGCAGGTAACATTTGCGATCACTCACCGAAGTAGACCTCTGCCGATTCACTATCACCAACCCATCGAAACTGCCCTTAAAATGGCAACCGTGTCTGGCGCATGTGTAATCTCCAAAGTGTCTGGACTTCTCCAGATATATGAGGATACAACTCCTTCGAAACTCATCTGGAAAGCAATTGACCAAGACAAGTCTCTTGAGATTCCCTTGAACAAACTATCCAAATTACAGGCATCGCCCGAATCGTCACCCAAAATGCTTCTCCGGCTTTTCTATCAACTTCCTGACACTCCTGATGTCAAAGATCTCAGACTCACATTCAATAACCGTCAAACCATGACAATAGTCAAGGAAACTTTGCAAACGATTGTGGCGCGTCAAAAAACTGTCATTAAGGACACACCCACACCTGCCCCAAATGCACCAAACTCTGCTAATGGAACGCCCACCCCGGGTACTGATCAGACTTCTGAAAATTCACCTTCTCCCGGAGACCCTTTGGATTTCTCCAGCCCACAATCATTGAGCGATGCCAGTCTACTAAAGAACAGGCAGCTTCAGCAGAAACTTCTCTTGGAGAATAAAAATCTCCGAAACATTTTTACGCAATCAGTAATTAAGTATAAACTCTCGCCGGCGATATTCTGGTCAACAAGAGTCGGCCAGCTACGGACATTTGCATTGAGTATTTGTCAGCATAGGGGTCCCTACAATGTGCTTTCAACAATTAAGCCCGTCGCCACATCCGACAACCAAGTCAATGTCAATGTAACGAGAGATACGATCAAGGAGATATTTGAAACGTACCCCATCATTCGCCGTGCGTGTCATGAACTAGTCCCCGTAAAACTAAACGAGGGCGAGTTTTGGTCTCGTTTCTTCAACTCTAAATTGTTTCGGAGACTACGTGGAGACAAAATCAACAACACGAACACGAGAGGTGATACTGTCATCGATAGATACCTTTATGTGGATGCAGATTTTGTGGAGGACGAAGAAAAGGGCGTGGATGGTAAAATAGCTCAGGCCGCCAAAGAAAGGAAGGTGAATAAGTTCATTGATTTACTAGGCAATGAGGTTGACAACTCGCAAAAGTTGGGAGTGTCTCCAGACTTTACAATGAAGTTTTCAGACGAAACAGACGGAAAGAATGGCTCCAAATCGAATGCCAGAATCGACCCGTCTTCTGGTAAACGAGAAAACGAGATGTTAGTGTTGATGAAGAACATGAACAAATTATCTAGTAAAATGATTGGGTACAGCAACAACAACCCCTCAGATAATAAAGCAGAAGAAGCAATTGAAGAAATGGAGAAAGAAGTGGAAATCACTGATCTTAACGACGCGAGCGAAATTCAATATATTGAGCTTAACTTGGATACCCACATTTCAAAACACAACTTGGACATCGAGCGTTCCTTGCCAGTACAGGAGCAGCCGAACATTGTCTCGCTGGATGTTGAACACTATTTTGAAGAAAATATATTCACGGCTCTACCACAAGGTATTGACTTGAGTGAAAGTTACGAGTCTCGATGTGACGAAATAAACAGAGCCAACCATGACATCACTGCATTAGTTAAGCACAACTTCAGAGTGTTCAAACTGACCCACGGCTATAAGGATACGAGACAGTCATCCGAAATCCCACTTCTAGACGACCTGACTATCCAGAATATCATCAGTTTCAACATCACTCTCACTGAATTCTTACTGCATTTCTGGAACCTATTTACGAACGGTGGAAACCCCGTTCAATTGAAGAAGTTATTTACTGCCTTGCGTAGCAGTCAAACAACATTGACAGAGCTTGAAAAACAGCTCAAATCTATTATCCAAGAAAATCCCCAGGCCAAAGAAAATGAAAAATTGCTTGAAAAATACCTTAAGGATTTAGAAGCATGCATACATCCGTTGACCTCTTCGCTATCTAAAGCGATCAATGACTACGTTACTGCTGTGCGCGCTGCTAATGAAGAATCGAGTCAAGAAAATTTGCTTAATGAAAATGGGAAACGGCCGCTAGCGGGGTAACGCATATTTGATATAGCTCAAAAATTGACAATGACTGTACATCCATGTCGTGTTCCCATAACAATGCAATATCGAGACATTGCAGCCGGAGGGCTCAAGCGGGTCTTTTGTGCACGCCTGGGATGAGGGTTGCAGGGCCATCGCGGAAAAGAAGCTGAAAAGCTCCACGCTACATATTCTTAATATTAAGACCGAAATGCCCGGGGAACAAAAAACCAACGAGGTGTTGAAGAACATTCGGAATAAGCAAAGACGACAAAAAGTCTTTGCTGCTATCCAAGCTGAAAAGGCGAAGGAGAGACATCTGGCGAGAGCCACCCGTGCCAAAGAGGAAAGGGAGAACCCTCAATTAAAGGAAGAGAGACTTGCTGCTAATATACCAGAGACCATTGAGTCCAAGAGAGTTTTTGATGAAACTATTGCAGCGGAAGTAGAAGGAGAAGACGAGTTTGCTGAGATTTTCAGCAAGTCCGAAAGGGAGCCTAAGGTCTTGATCACGACCAATTCTGGGGCAAAAAAAGCAGCGTACGAGTTTGCAGATATCCTCACTGAGTTCATTCCAAATGTGACTTTCATCAAGAGAAAGAGAGAATACCTGATGAAAGAGATGGCAGCTTATTGTTCTAACAGAGAGTTTAGCGACTTGATTGTCATCAACGAGGACAAGAAAAAGGTCAATGGCCTTACTTTCATCCATTTGCCAGAAGGCCCTACTTTCTATTTCTCAGTGAGTTCGTTGACGACAACCGAAAGAATCAAGGGGCACGGGCGTGCCACATCGCATATTCCTGAACTCATTCTCAATAACTTCAACACGAGACTAGGTAAGACTGTTGGCCGCTTGTTCCAAGCCATTTTCCCTCCACGTCCCGAGATCCAAGGAAGACAAGTCATCACATTGCACAACCAAAGAGATTACGTTTTTTTCAGAAGACACCGGTATGTCTTCCGCAACGAAGAGAAGGTTGGTCTCCAGGAGCTTGGGCCGCAGTTCACATTGAAGTTGAGAAGACTACAAAAGGGGATCAAGAATGAAACGGAGTGGGAACACAGACCTGACATGGAGAGAGACAAGAAAAAGTTCTACCTTTAGGTGATATTTTTTACTTCACCAGGTGAACTTTATGATACCTTTGAGCTTTTCACCAAGCCATGGTATAGGTTGGCTCTCAGCGGCGGGCGGCACATCTGAGCATCCGCCTCGGAACGCGCGTGATGCGCGACCGTTCAAGGCTTGGATAGATAGAGTCTAGCACATCCACCATGGATACCATAGAAGTAAGACATGTAGAGAATTCGCCAGGATTATTTCGCCAGGTCAGCTCTCCATGAACATAAACACGCTGATACGAAACGAGGCTCGTGCCGAATAAAGTGACGTTTTTGGCACCCCGGAGCACATCCGTACATCCGTCACGCCCCGTGCTTTGTATTGGGACCGAACGGTCGCCCGCCTTTGATTGCACACAAGCAAGTGCGCTGCCTCACACGAAATATGTTTAGACAGTAACGCAGTTAACGGATACTCGGCCATTTTCAGATCGCACCGGCAAGTATAACAAGAGTCTGTCACCACAGAAGCTCTGCTCTGCCTTTTCTCATTGGAACACTGCGCCCTCCCCGTATATTCCTGAACTATTCACTTTTTCCATATCCCCGTTTTATTTCGTTTTCCTCTGGACTTCGTTCCATACCCTATCCGTTCCAGAACATTTGAGCGATTTTTTTTCAAGACTTCAGGTAAACACCAGCCAAGGCCCTCACTGTGGATTCAACGATTGGCAATACTAGCAGCTGTCCCAAGCCAACCATTCTGAATTCTTTGAAGACGCAGATCAGGCACATTGAGAAGGATGATGCCCATAGAAAATGGCGGAGTCACCCGCATTCTCCAGGCATTAGAAGTCACCTACGACCCGAAGTCCACCAATGCTACTAGAAGAGAAGCACAGGTATTTTTGGAATCTGTCAAGGCCAGTGAGGAGTCGCCATTTTGGGGATTTCAATTGGCGCTTCCCGAAAACTACGGCTCCAACTACATCGTGCGGCATTTTGGGTTGTCGCTCCTTCAACATGCAATCAGCAAGAAATTCCACACATTCGATCGCTCGAAAGTGCTTGTGATTAGAGAATGGATTTCAACGCTTGCAGCGAAGACGCTCGAGGACGACTCCCATTACATAAAGGAGAAATTGGGGTTTTTATGGGCGTCGCTTGCCAAGCGTATATGGGGCTCTTTTCTTGTGAAGGCAAAACTGGAGTCGCAAAACGACCAATTGACGACAGAAGATGCTGAAGATGGTTGGGTTTCCATGGATGCAGATTTGTGGAACCTCTGGAACAGCACCACGCAGACCAGAGAGTTATCTCTAATCATCTTGAGGACATTGTTTGAAGACATTTATTTGCTTGATGATCCTGTCGCCAGCAAGCGGACAAATATTCTCAACCAGATTAGTGTTATGATCATCACACCCGACTCAGTGCTTGAACAGATCTACGAACCGAGCCCGACATTATCGATGTGCAAATACTCGAAAGATGGATGGTTTGTTGAATGGAGCAAGTTTCTAGTTGAGACGCTAACGAAGAACGACTCCTCTTCACCCGTGGTGCAAAAATTTGCCCCTAAAATACTCAGTACGTTTAAGACTTGTTTGCATTGGGTTCAACCCTCTGTATTGAAAAGCGAAAACATCTTGATGACCTTGATAAACATCTTGACTGTGCCCGATATGAAATTGAAAACTCTTGCAATTGACTGCTTGCATATACTCTTCACAAGATCTTATAACGATGCAGAGGACTTCGAATTTTTCATCGGGAGCATTTTCACACGTGAAGGTATTGAGAAGCTTTCGAATTTCTATATTTCTCTCGTTGTTGATCCAGATAACCTTGATGAACAAGCGTATGCCTTGCTTAAGAAAACAGTCGAGATGATTGTTTCTCTAAGCGAATATTTACAAGTACTGCTGCCTGCAAAGTCCAGGATAAACTGGGACAAGTCGAGCGTTGACCTCTATCTTCAACTTGTGTTGAACACCACAAAGCATCCAAGCCCAATAATTTCAGGTCTCTCCTTGCAAATGTGGGTCACAACGCTCAGAGTTGATGAACTAAGCTCAAAACCTCAGGTGGTTCAGTTGCTCATGGATTTGTTGGAGATTTCTGCGGATAGAATAATTGATTATCTGGCCCTTGACGAAGAAGTCCCATCGAGGAAATTTCTTGATTTGGATTTTGACTCAGCGGCTGACTCTGCGCCATTCTTAGCAAATTACAAAAAGTTCCATGAGGACATCGTCAGAATTACCGTCTGCAAAAAACCTGAAGAAGGCATGGAATGGTTGGAGAGAAGGCTTGAGGCGTTTTTCAGTTCCCCATTGGGCAATCTATGCATCACACAGCCAAAACTTGAAGAGAAATCAGAGGCATACAACTACGCTATTGCACAATTCAATGTTATCGAGAACAGCATTCGGGGAGTGTCTCGTTGGAGAATATGGTATACTGGAGAAGACTTTGAAGTAAGAAATAACCGTTTAAACGGATTGGTCGAGGAGTTGGGAGAGAGACTCTTAGCCATGCAGCTTGCATCGCCATTACTCATCCGAAAGCAAGTTCAAACCATGGTTCAATTCGCCCCTCTTTTGAAAGACGTCAGCCCATTGATGCTCAAAGTTTTAGAAAAAATCTTGGTGACTGCAACTTTTGAATATCAGGACAACATATCCGACGAAGAAAGAGAGATCGTACGTGATTTAAGGACAAGCTGTGGAACAGAGCTTAATAGATTGGCATATATCATGCCGGAGTCCCTTAAAAACATATTTGGTGACCTCGAAACTGTCATTTCTGACATTTTGTCTTCCAACAAGGTAAGCAACCACGAGAGCGTTGCTTTCAAATCCTTTTTATTAGTGATCGCTTCAAGATCATCTATAAACGATAAAGAAGAATTATTTGCCAAAATTGTTGATCCTGAACTATCAGCCTGGTCATCTCCTGAAACTGAGAAGGGTCTTATGGACTTGCACTGGTTCATGGAAAGAATTGGAATTGTTGAGATTGCACAATACTTCCAAAAGAGAAATATCCGAGCTGACACCAATCTTCTTGAGGCAGAAATGGACGACGAAGGACGTGCCTTGAAAACTCAGTTAAAAGAGCGATGGTCCTCCATTTTCCCCATTCGTGCGACTAGAATTTTTATTCAGTACAGCATTGAAAAGTTGAACCATGAGTCACCAGAGTTCATTAATTTGTTGAGACTTTGGAAACCTCGAGTTAGGCCCATCGTTCCCCATATTCTACAGCTTCTCACACAAATTCAAGCTTATCACAACCCAAACAATTGGCGTGACTTGCCGGATGCTGTATTCAGTTTTTTGCGGTATAGTCGCATGGAGAGGTTTTGGCAACAGGGTGTTTCCATCCAAAGCAAAGAGACATTCATTGAAGAAAGTGTCAAGGCAGCCTTGACTTTGAGAGAATTTGCTGATAGTGTCGGTCATTTAATTCGTTACACACGCGAATACGCGTATTTAACAATTGGCTCCTTGTCTCAGTTGGAAGACACCCTCTATGAAATCCCAGATATCGCGACATCTCTATGGCGTGCTCTAGCAGGAGATGTTGTGGGTGTCACTCTTCACAGCTGGAAGCACATGATCAATAGCTGTCTTCGCAGCGTGGTGAAAAATTGCCCGATAAAGTATGTGGACATTTTTATGGCGGAACTTTTGCCCAGAGCTCTTCAGGATATTGACAAGCTTTTGGTTGCAAGATGGGAAAAGGTTTACATGACTGGATTACAGCTCCAAGGAAATGAAAATGACACTACATTGAGCGAAGAGATGATGGAGGAACATATGCTTAGGCAGCTCACAGCTACAGTGGTCAGACTTCTTATGGATATCGTGCCCCAAGTCAACGCCAAAAATGTGACGGACACTCAATTTGCGTGCAAAAGACTAGTGACCACCGACAAAGAAGTGATGGGAGCCTTCTTACAACTTTGCTGTCACATTATCGGATTCAAAGACACCAAATGCTCCTTCAACACAATATTGATTACTCGCAATATTCTTCCCAGTATTGTTTTCAAGGACGACAATGTGGATAAATATCTATGCGAGACATTCATGAAGTCTTTGTTGAATGTGATTATGGATGACTACTTCGTCGAAACCCATTCAGAAGCAGCAACGGCTCTTACGACGCTTTATTGTGCTTTGAGGTCCAAGAGTGACTATCCCGTTCAGATTCTTCTTGACACTCTCCCTAATATCACGTCGCAGCACATGAGCAACTTTGAAACATTGTTGGTGGGATCGCGTTCTTTGCGCCACCAAAGATCAGCCCTCCTAGAATTGATACGAATTGCAAAGACAAACCAGTCTGAAGTTAGTGAGGAAGAGGAGTTGAAAGACAGAAAGAAACAACTTGAAGAAGCAAATCTTCAAAGGAAGAAGAAAGAGGTTCCTAGCGACATCATGAACGATCCCTTTACAGAAAACGGCGCATTAAATAAGCTTTTCGAGAGCGAGTGAAATAGTCATATACAAGAAAATAGTCCGCAAGCTTCATCACTTGGATGGATAAAGCAGTAGGATCTCCCTTTTGAGTTGACCAAGATTGTCGCTGGTTGCATCAACAGCCATGGACGAAGGTTTCTTGGAGCTTAGATCGTCCAAGAACTCTTTAACAGATCCACCCACGCCAAAGTAGTATTGCTTCGCAGCAACAAGGCCCAAGTAAGTTTGCTTGTCTGCCAACAAATCGACCAACATGGACAGAACTAGAGGGAGCGACTCGGGTGAGTATATGGTCTCGGAGGTCACGATGAGGTCTGGGGAGTAGGGAGAGACAAGCTGCACGAACTCCTCGCCCCATGAGCCAGATATGAAATGAAGCTCCAAATTCTTCTCCCTGAGCGCAGAGACGAATTTGGCGAGGAGCGCAGGTGTGAGGAGAATCTCGTCATTGCCCAAGGGGATTTCCGAGTCCATGAGACCATTCAAGACGTCTTCAGCTAGCGTGGACGCGTAATGCACCAAGATGTTGGGGAGAGTGACCAAGCGCAACACCTCAAGATTGAAGTCGGAGAAGACGAACGTGGACTGCTGGGAGTGCGATGGCGCTGCAAAGAGCAACAGCAACAAGTGGCACGTCGGAAGCGCAGTGCCACAGCCAAGCTCAAGGACCGATCGAAAGGCTTGTATTTCGCCGGATTCATGTAGCGTGTGCAACCTGTCCACCAAGTCGTAGGAGCATTCCCACAGCTTGAAGCCTCCTTCGTAGACGTTCTTGCGCACGTCCACCTCGTCCGAAGAGTTGCCGATGAGGATGCTGTGCACTTCGTTGGCGTCCTCCCCTTCCTCGGTCATGACCTGGTGCTTGATATCGAAAAGCTGGCGCCTGTAGACAAGGTTCCCCCCCGGGGTGTGGTGGTTATCAAAGGAAAGTCTCACATTGGCCAACGACAGGAGCAAGTCCTCGAGCCGGTGGGCCTTGGGTGGGAGAGCCACCAGTTGGGGCTGTTTGTTGGGTGGTGCTTGCGGCGGCGTGGCGACCGGGCCACATGCAGACTCGCTGTCCGAGAAGTCGTCGCCGCTGAAAGCAAAGGAAAACAGCATCTTGGGGTTGGAGGCAGGCGGGGCCGGCATCGTAGCACTAGAGGCATCGCGAGGCCCAGGCAGGCATATAAGGCGGCATCACATGACGCCTTTTAGGCGGGGCAGAGCCGGGTCCCAGGATTGGCCCGGGGCAGGCAAGCCGGGGGCTGCAGCGTCGGGAGGGTGTCTGGAAAAAGCGGTGATGTAAGAAAAAAAGCGATGTCTACAGAAAGCCCAGTCGAGCCAGGGCCAGCGATAGTAGCAGGCTCGCCTGCCCCGCACTTTATGTAGGGCCAGGTGGGTCGCGGTGCGTGGGAAATGACCGATGGGCAGAATGCCCCGGCCGTTTCTGGGGCAAAAGTGTTTTTTCTTGGTCCGTTTGCCAGGGCCACTTGAGATACTTGCGGCGCCGGGCATGTGGGGCTTTCGTCGCAGCATAGGCATTAACATAGGCAGTACCAGGAAGTGCTAGGCAGTACTAGGCAGTACTATAGGCATTTACATAGGCATTAACATACGCATTAACATACGCATTAACATACGCATTAACATACGCATTAACATACGCATTAACATAGGCATTGACATAGGCAGTATTGTAGCCAGTATTGTAGCCAGCACTATAGAGAGTATTGTAGCCACTATTGTAGCCACTATTGTAGCCACTATTGTAGACAGTACCATAGCTAATATTCTAGCCAGTATTACTGCCGTACTATAGTCAGTACCATAGGCAATATGATAGCTAATATTATAGCCAGTATTATATCTAATATTATGTTTTGGCCAGTAATAGCCAGTATTGCTGCCAGTATTATGGCCAAAACTATAGGCAGTATTACTTCCAGTACTGTAGGCAGTGGCATAGCCAGTATCATAGCCGGAAGTATAGACAGTATTATAGCTAATAATATAGCCAGCACACTGCCAGCGGCACAAGCAGTTCTATAGCTAATTTTATAGCCAGTAGTCAGTATTACTGCCAGCATTATAGCCAGTACTTCTGCCAGTGCTATAGACAGTACTATCGACAGTAGCATAGGCAGTATTATAGACAATAGCATAGGCAGTATTAGCATAGGCAGTATTAACATAGGCAGTATTATAGCTAATCCAATAGCCAGTATTACTGTCAATATTATAGCTGATCTTATAGCCATTATTTCTGCCACGGGAATAAGCAGTAATACAGCTAATACAATAGCCAGTGGACTAGCCAGTGTTACTGCCAGCATTATAGGCAGTACTCCGGCCAATACTATACCTAGTAGCATAGGCAGTACTATAGCTAGTATTATAGCCAGGAGCATAGCCAGTGCTTTGGCAAGTACTACTGCTAGTACTATGGCCCATATCATGGCCCGTGTCATGGCCAGTATTATGGCCAGTATCAGCCAGTATCAGCCATTATTACCGTACTACGGCCAGTACTGTAGGCAGGATCATAGCTAATACAACAGCCGGTATTACTGCCAGTACTGCCCATACCGGCAGCACCACAGCACCGCCTCTCTGGCTCAGCTCACACCCACCAAAAAGGCACCGCTGCGTCGTCCACGGCCCGGGTTCTCCGCCTGGCCCAGGCACCCCCGGCCGCGCCGCCACTAGAACACTAGAATTAAAAGAGTGTGTACCTAGTAATAATTATATCTGTGTTGTTAGACAAGTTACGATACCCGGTAAATTTCGACCATTGGGTAGACCAGCTATTGATGATAGATTAGTTCAAGAAGTTATTACGACAATTGTTGAGCCTATTTTCGAGTTAAATTTCTCTAATCGATCTTTGGATTGAGGCCTAATCGTAGCTGTCATACAGCTGCTGAATAATAAAATACCAATCTAAGGATTCGATTTGATATATTGAAGGTGATAATAAGGTTCTTTTGATCACATGGATCATAAGATTCTGATGAATATAATAGAAAAAAGAGTTCAAGACCCTACAATTTTAAGCCGGATCAGAGCTGGTCTAAACGCAAAATATTTGAAGGTGGAATAGTAAGTCCTCTATCATCAAATATCTGCTAAGTTTTACTTGATAAACATATATATATATATATATAATATATCTTATATATATATGGTGACTTCTAAATATCAAGGATCTGCCCTGCCAATGCGACACGGCCAGGCAGACCCCTCCGCGCGCCGTGGGTGCAGGCCTCCGGCTAGCCCCATTTTCGCTAGCCGGAAACACACGAGCCTCGCCAGGCCAGCGGTTGCCGGATCCCCAGAACCCCCTCCACGCCACCGTTTCTGCACCTCCGTTCCGCCGCCATCGCCCCGGCCCGACGTCTCCTGCACCGTCCTGCCCGCCGCCCTGCCAAGCCGCAGTGCCGCCAAACAAAGACCCCCCCGTCCGCTTGCCCCGCCTGCTCGTGGCCGGACCCCCCGCCATGACCGAGCACGCCCACAAAGACGCCGCCCGCCCGCAGAGGCACCGGTCGCTTTCCATCTCCAACGCGGTGCTCGAGCACCTGAGGCTCGCGGGAAAACACGTGGCCTTCAACAAGAAGGGCGACGTCATCGTGGGCCTCCTGACCATGTCGCCGGCGTCGCCGGCGTCGCCCTGCTCCATCTCCGACTGCGACGAGGAGGACGGCGCGGCCGGCGCCGCCGCGCACGGGCCCAGCCTCGCGCACAGGCTCACGGCCGTGGCCGGCGCCGACGAGCGGGACCTCGCGGCAAGGAAAATCTCCATGCCCAACTTGACCCGCTTCTGCTCGCACCCGCACCCGGGCACGTTCTCGGCCAGCCCCATGCGGCTCAGCGCGCTGTTCTACTCGCACCAGAGCTCGCACGCCAACCTCCCGGAGTTCAACAAGCGGCCGCTCACCGACACGCCCATCGTGTCGAGCGTGACCTCCCCGGAAACGAGGTGCCAGTCCAGCGACGACGAGGACGACACGCTCTTCTCGCTGTTCAAGACCCCGGGCGACAGGATGCCGCAGCCCAGGGCGCCCGGCGCCGCGCCGCCCGCGGACGCGCTCCGCAAGACGAAGAACATCTCGCACTTGAGCTTGACCGACCTCAACGCCTGCTCGCCCGCCGCCGCGGGCGCGCCCCCGGTGCCTGCGAGCAGGTCTGTTCTGCCCAGGAACACCGACGTCGGGACGCCCCTCTCGCCCTCCACGGCCATCGACACGTCGGGTCTCCAGGCGTCCGAGGACGTGGCCACGGTCAGAGCACAGCCCATGCCCGAGCCCCCCGGCGCGCCCGAGCCCCCCAGCATGCCCGGCAGGGCGACGTCCGACAAACACGTCCCCGTAGTGCGGCCCCTGGCGGTGAAGGCAAAGTCCTCGGTCAGCTCGGCCGAGCTGACCCGGCGCGAATCGTCCCGACTCGACCCCGACGTGTTCTACCAGCTCACGGAGGACCTCATCCAAGACGCGCCGCCGGACCTCCAGAACCAGTTCGGGAAGACCCCGTCTTTCGAGAAGTTGAAGAACTTGCTCTTGCTGAAGCCTTTCCCCAAGGCGAAGAAGGCGTACACGCTCAACATCCCGGGCCAAACCTCCTCCAAGATCTCGCCGGACGGGAAGATCGCTTCGGTCGATGTCGGCTCGAAGTTGGTCATTGTCATGGTGGGCCTTCCTGCGCGGGGCAAGTCTTACATCACGAACAAGCTCACAAGATACTTGAACTGGATTCAACATGATTGCCGAGTCTTCAACGTGGGCAACACCCGAAGAATGGACAAGGACAATGCCCTTGGCCCGGCCCATCGCCCGTTGCCGGACACTAACACCCCCCTGCCTTTCAATGGACAGTCGCCTCTGTCGCAGCCCATCTCTCCCACCTCGCATTCTGCCGACTTCTTCAACCCGCAGAACGAAGCTTCAAACCACCTCCGCGAAAAGTGGGCCATGGATACCTTGGACAGTCTCTTGGACTGGGTGTTGAACGGCTTCGGCTCCGTTGGCATTCTTGATGCCACAAATTCCACCGTCAAAAGACGGCTCAAAGTCCTAAAGAGAATCCAGGAAAGGACAAACGGAGAGTTGAAAGTCTTGTTCCTAGAGAGCATCTGCTCGGATCCGGCCATTCTCGACACGAACATCCGTTTGAAATTATCGGGGCCTGACTACAGGGACATGGACCCAGAAATAGCCTTGAAGGACTTCTTGGGCCGTTTGCGGAACTACGAAAAAGCATATGAAACCATCGATGAAGTCGAAGAGGCAACTCCTGGGTACCAGTACGTGAAAATGATTGACGTGGGGAAAAAGGTCGTGAGCTACAATGTACAAGGCTTTTTGGCTTCCCAGACAATTTACTTTCTATTGAACTTCAATTTGTGTGAGAGACAGATCTGGCTTACACGCCACGGCGAGAGTGTGGATAATCTCATCGGAAGAATTGGCGGTGACAGTGGCCTCACGAAACGTGGCCGACAGTTCTCAAAGGCATTGAACCGCTTTTTGAGCTATCAAAGACGTGAGTTTCGCAAAAAGCAACTCGAACGATTTTCGAGCAGACTCGAGCTCAGATATAACGAGCTTACTGGGAAACAAACTGGGAAGGGTGCTCTTCAAGATAATCATCCGGTGGAAATACCAACCGAACCAAACTTTTGTGTATGGACGTCTATGTTGGTGCGTTCTGTTGAGTCTGGAAATTGCTTCAATGACCAGGAATATAACGTCAAGGCTATGAGAATGCTCAACGAGCTCGGCGGAGGTAAGTTCGATGGAATGACATATGATGAGATTCGTCGGAAGCATCCAAAGGAGTACGAGAGCCGCATTAAAAATAAACTTTCCTACAGATACCCGGGTGTCGGCGGTGAGTCATACCTTGATGTTCTAGTGAGATTGAGACCTTTGATCAACGAAATCGAAAGGACGACGGATCATTTGTTGATCATATCCCACAGAGTTGTTTTGAGAGTTTTGTTGGCCTACTTCATGAACTTGGACAAGTCATCGATTGTTGAATTGGATGTGCCATTGCATACGCTCTACTGTTTGGAGCTGAATCCTTATGGAACAGATTACAAAATGTTTGAGTATGACGAAGAAACTGATTGGTTCCGCAAAGTGGAGCCAGAACACCAAAAGAACGTGAAGGAAGTTGGTGTTAATTTCAGAGAGAGAAAGTACTCGGTCATTCCAACTGCGCCTCCACTGCTGGGAAAAAGCAGAAAAGAGGTTGCCGTGGACTCAATATCAGGAGGTCGGCAGCCTGCCGTCCATTTCAGTATCCGAGCTAGTCTTGGCCAAGGCCTGGAAGAGAAAAGGAATGACGAAGAGAGAATATTGAGTCTCAACTCTTCGTCCTCGCGAAAGCTCGCAGACTTGAACAAGATGCGCATGCCCTAGAAGTAACCTTGCAGGCATCAGGGAAGCATAAAGAGAGGTAACAACTACGGCCAAAAGAGTTACCTTAGTGGCAGGCGCGTGGATAATCAAATGAAGTACCACAGAGGCATACGATGATTGTAAGGTAGAGATAGAATAATGGGAAATTTCGTCCATAGTTAATATTTTGCATAAATCACCACTCGAGTAAGCCGTCATTTGTGAAAATAGGTATCCAACTGAGGATTGGTTCGACTTGGCTCTCCGCGGTGCGTGTTGCGGTCAAACATAGCCTTTTTCGAAACATGCTGAGGGATTGCAAAACTTGTCTTGTTAGTGACACATTTCAAAGACACCCTTCACATAAAAGAGTTATTCGTACTATATTTCACTTTTTCCTTTCTTCACATTTTTTTTTTCTCAAATTCTCTGAGAAGAGTTTACCGACTTCTTGTTGTATATTGGAACAAAACTCCGCAGAAAGGTGTATACTTTCCTCCCCACTGGCGTTTCTCTCATTACTGTAATTTGCGCGCGCGCTCGCAACCTCATCTAAAGACAAGTCGTCTTGCCATCAGGTTCCACTTAGTTCATACTCCATACTCGAAGGAAACCTACGAATTGAAATCAAGTCTCTCGCAGAAAGAGACCACACAAACTACAAGGCATAAAAATTATTTTGACGGAGCGTAGAAACAGGTTTTTCTGGCTTTAAGTCATTTGCGGGCTCTGCTGTCGTTCACGCCAAATCCCCACACACTCGCTATTTATCCAGCAGACAACATAATAGGGTGCTCGCGAAATCCACCAAAACTTGACGTCTTCATCAAATAGAACGTGGGCTCACACTACAAACTCCAATTTCTGCTCGAATCTACCATACAAATTCCCCGCTCAGACAAGTCCATGTCTCATTCGCCGAAAAAGTCGTCCGTTGAACGCCGGCAGTCTGCGGCCAGCTTACCTCCACAGGACGTATCTCAACATCAAACACAACCAAGTCAACAAGAGGAAACTTATCACGTGGGAAGTGAGCCGAGAAGCCACAGCGTGTCACACGCGCTTGGGATATCGCACTTGCCTAGTTCGTCTTTTGCGGTCACGTCAAATTCAGGCACAACGCCGTCTTCGGCCGGTGGTAACAAAGGTGTCACTGGCCCCAGCATAATAAACAAACAACTTCTATCAAAGCTCAATAAATCGTTGAAGGAAAAACAGAAGATCACCAGCGCCCGGGAGCCGCAAGCGAAGAACCCCACCTTGATTCAAAATGTGTTGTCGACGTCTCCCAACATGTCTGGCACTCTGAGTTCGTCGAACATTGATCATAACAATGTGTTAGGGTCTGCACAAAATGACGACTCTTCGAAGTTGGACACCAAAGATTCGGATATTTTGTCTCCAGCACCTTCTGCACTCAATCAAGGCAAGGAGAGCGCGGTCAATTTGAAGGCAAAAAGCAAAAGCAAGAAAGTTTCGAAGCAGAACTCAACAAGAACTGATTTCTTTGCGGCTAAGCTAGCCAGTGCGGTTGATGACGTTGAATCATCCGACAGCGACGAGACATTTGTTTATGAAACCAATGCTCAAGAGTTTGGCAACGAAGATGATGACTCGCCTCCTAGAAACTCTGCAGGTGTAAGCTTAGCTCCTCCTGCAATCAGAAGCGTGGAGCCTATTTCACAGGGAGACAATATTAATAATGCTCCGTCTTCTATCCATATTGTGAACGATAATATATCCGTTGCGGGAAGCTTGAGAAATGCTGCCCACGAAACCAACTCAGGAAATCTTTCGGGTGAACAAAAGAAAGAAGAAGATAAGGAAACGAACTCCTGGGTTCAAAGTGTACATGCTGTGGGGACCGAGTCAATACACTCGTCTCAGTCTCTGAAGCCCAACCCCCGGGTCTCGCTACACGAAATGCCACCAACGATATCAAACGGAAAAGCTCATCAAACCCATTTGCAAAGCGAGTGCTATGCATTCTCTGATCCTTACATCGATGCGAACATGCAATATCAACGTCACCCAACGAGAAAAAGCAGTTCTCACTCGATTTTCAGTGAAGAAAGAAAAGAACATCCTTTTCATTCCCCACAATCGCCGTATGCAACAACTAAGCAACCTGAAAACTCGATCTATGGAATATCTGAACAATCTCATAACCCGAACAGACCTCAGCAAAATGTACCTTATGTGTATGGAGATGAGGATGTAAGTGTGGATGGGGCCTCCTCACATGGGGACATCAACCTGGTTTGTACCGAAGGAAATTCCCATATCCAAGTGTCTACAAATATAAATCAGGGCGAGGTACCCGATGCAGGGTACAAGCTAAGAAGCAACAAGCCCTCCACCACGTCATCAAAACTACGATCAACAACATCGAAGTTGTTTGACAAGAAAGGGGCACAACCAAGGCGCTACAGCACTATCCCAGATGATATCGATATCGAGGATTTTGATGATGAGCTCATTTATTATGACAACAACAATATTCGGTTTCCCTACTACAGTACCAATGGCAGTTTGAACGAGAACTCATCTCTTCTAAACGGGCACAAATTGCCTCATCACAGATCTTTGAATCTTAATTTTAACGGGAAACGGGCAGCAGCAAATCCCCGAAATACACGGTACGTCTCACTAGGATACACTCCTCCTGTTTCTTATCCTAACGGAAACAAAAAAACCGACATTTTCCCTTTTCCATACCCAGATGGAAACCATCAAAACTTTTTTGGCTTCGATGAATATGAGGAGGAGGCCCAAATTCTGCCTGATAGTGGTTCAGTTTCCAAACATTTTCAAGGAAGAACGCCTTATTCACCAGGTAACACCAGATTTTTGTTGCACAAAAGAATTTCACAAGACCAAGGTGGCAATGATAAGCTAAAAGTTGTCAGGAGTGTGATCTACACGCTTATTGGGATAATCTGTATTTTGTCAGTGGGATTTATTCTGGGGTTTTTCCTTGCATCCACAAAAGACTTGGCCAATGTTTCCATTCTCAGTATCGACCATGCTACTGTTAGTACAGATGAGTTAGTATTTAACGTTGTGATTGAGGCTCTCAATCCAGGCTGGCTTACGGTTTCTTTGGAACAATTGGAGCTTGATGTGTTTGCGAAGAGTGGTTATTTAGGAGACGATAACGCCATTGTTTCCGTTGAAACAGTACTATTGGGAACTGTGCTCAACTTCGAGTCTACGCTATTCTTCGAGGGAAGTTTCTTCAGTAGGCAAGCAACCCAACAGACTGGTGAAATAAAGCTAATTGGCCCTGGAAAAAATTTCACAGGATCTCTCGGGACGGCCAGATCTATTCCTGGCACAAAGCTACTAGACAGTAGTGAAAAACCAAGTGACCCGCATGTCCCACCAGACAACTCAGAAAAATGGGCGATAGTTTCTAAGCATCCATTCGATTTGATTTTACGAGGTGTTCTCAAATACAATTTACCGTGGTCAAATTCCGTCAAATCGGTAGTTGTCAACAAAGTGGGATATATTGATCCATCACAAACCTTTTGAAATAATACGATGAAGCTCGTCAAGCCCTTCACTTTGCCGAGTTCTTAACGAAATACGAAATTCCTTTGGTTCGATCGATGTTGCTGCTGGGTTTAAGTTGGACCGAAATGCATCGGGCTCCATATTCCACTTTTTGTTCCTTGGCTTTCCAATATGAAATGTAAGTACAATTCTGCACAATAGTGAGTACATTTCCCTTAGTGAAAGCTGATCACCGGCGCATTTCCTTGAACCAAGACCGAAAGTGTAGTGCGTCACTGAGTCTCTGCCCTTGAGTTTTCCTTCTTCATCTAGCCATCTTTGTGGATTGAAGTAATTAGGAGAAGAGAAGTATTGCGGATCATGATTGGCAGAGAAGACATTCATAAAGAGTACGGTGTCTTTTGGTATGGTGAGATTTCCTAGCCGAAGCGGTTTTGTCTTGAGTCTAGGTAATCCCAAAGGTAGGACGGAAAAGTTCCGCAAGGCTTCTTGTATGATTGCAAGTGCTAGATCACAGTCAATTTTAAGGACCGAGTCATTCCAAGCTTGTATAATGTTATTGTCACTTTTGGCAAGAAGCTCGTGAAATAGCTTTTCTTGCATTCGGTATCCCCGCCTTGAGCTTGAAAATTGGCCGATGATATAGTTCATAGTGTATCCTAAATTATCAAGACCGGCACTGATCATCGTCAAACATATGCTGCGAGCCTCTTGATGGGTTAAAGTTTTTGCATTAGACCTCTGACTCAATATTTTAGCGAGAATGGAATCTGACTGAGACAGATTGTTGTTTTGCAATCCTTTTTCAAACTCGCTCTGAAAGTAATTGATGTACTCATCTCTTTCTGATTTCCAAATTCTTGCTTCGCTTTGGAAAAAATTACTGAAAGGACACAGTCTCAAGATTGGGAGATAATCCTGATAGTTTGATATATAGGACCTGAAGTTAATTATATGGTTCTCTGTCTGGATAATTTTGTCTGCCAAAAAATTGTCCTTACCTTGAGTATCTAAGCAAATACCATATGTTAACATGATGGCGCAACGTAAGACGTAGCACTGAAAATCACGCAATAAAGATACATCTGGGAATGGAACATGCGCAGACTCACTTAAAGTCAACAAATTCCCGATCACGTATTCCGAACATTTCTCAATCGCAGAAACATAATTTTCAGTAGAAAGACTTTGTGCAGAGAGGCACAGGGATAAGAATTTTCTCTTTCTTCTGAACGAAGCCCCTGCTGGAGTGGTGCCAATAGTGGGGCCCTGTGTGGCTGATATAAGATGATGGAAGGTGTGCAGAGCCGGCCTGGAATTAAGAGATGTTGGATGATGGCTCCATATGTATTCTATGTCTTTGCGGCTGTTGACAATAACTACTGGGATGGAACCTAGGTGTATGACAAAAGTGTTGTGTTTATATTTCGTGCACCAGTCCATAAATGTTTTGCTCGGATTGTTCAACACCTGGAAGGTGTTGCCCACAAGAGGATATCCGGGAATTAGAAAACCACCATGAATATGTGACTTTTTTGAAGTGGTCAAAATTTTCAAAATTGAAAGAATAGCAATACATGTAAGCAAAATCGATAGCAACATCACGGAATCAAAGTGACTTCCTTTTTGTACATATGAGCCTCACGCTTATCAACACATTTTGAATCGCATGAGAAAAAATTGACTTTTAGAGTTTTCTTTCAAGAAAGAAAAAAACACACATAATACTAATCTCGATATCAAAAGAACAATCTTATTAATATTATAATTATTATGATTTTTCATAACCTGCGATTTGTGGATTGATCTTTCCATCTTCTCGGGTGTTTCTACTCGTGTCTCTTTTAAAGTTTGTTGGCAATCATCTATCAACAGCTAGTATATCTGAGATCACATAATTCGAAGTGGGAAATATCAAAAAAAATATGACTGGGTGCTTGATTTCAAAAAAAGTGGAATACAACACTGTAGACGTTGATACCTCGTTGATCATGGACTATATCGTTTAGGTAGGTGCATGAAGAGGGTTGATAATAAAACATTTACTTTGCGCACAGATTTTGTGACTATGCGAATTTTCGAGGGGTTTGCTGATTGAACCATTTTTCCCAAAAGCCACCTAGCTGCGGTGATCGTACATTTTAGCCCCTCTACCTGTCGTGTGCCTTTCGAGGATACTACTGTTATACATTCAAGTACCAGTGATCGAAAGAACATTGCTCAGCTTTTTTTTCGGAAGAAGAGCGAGATTATCGGACTTACTTAGATTTGTAAATTAGAGACAAAAAAGTGCTTAAGTATGGATGCATATTTCATCGGCTCTTAGTCCAACGTATCTCGTATGCAATTTGTGCGCGGTCCCGTTTGTTTTGCATATTCGTCCGCTTCTGAAGTTCATAACGCCTGCGTGAGAATCATCGTCGAATGACAAACTGACAAAGGCTTATGGCTTTTAAAGCTGCATAAGCAGACGTGGTCCGATCGCAAATCTTTTAGGAGCATCTCAGCAGATGATGTGTCCAAACGTTTGATGAAGTTATTCTTATATAGGAACCGACTCAAAACCTGATACGAGTGCGGAAGCGTGCACCGAAAGTAGCAAACTAGATACGAAGATAGACGTGCTCGTGAGAAACAACGGCATACAGATAAAAGATTCTGCGTTGTTGTCTTCACATGCAGAAATGCACTGCCGCAGATCCAACAGAGTCAGATGCTGGAAAATCATGTTAGTGGAGGAAGAGGTAAGCAAAATTTGACAGTTGCTCGTCTCATCAGCTTCTTTCATATCCGTTTGCCATTGGTCCCCAAAAACAAATCTGAGGATACACGGAAACGCACCCCTGAGTCTTGCTCGCCATACTTCTTGAGAAAGAAGGTGGGGAACCCTGGCAAAAAACACAAGTTTCGTATAATATTTAGTGCGCACGCGTATTTCCTGAACGACAACGTTGGACGCAAATATTTCCTGAGTTTACTTCCTCCGCCCTTACCTTACGCAATAAATGTTTCCATGTCCAACAGTGACTCCGGCAATCGACGTTCAGAATACCTGAAAAATGGTTGCAGGGAGTGCAAGAGACGAAAAATTAAATGTGACGAGTTTATCAATCCGCCGCCAGAGGCATACCTGAAAATCAATCACCAGGGCCGCGAGCTGTGCTGGCATTGTACTCGGCTCAGAAAAACATGTGAGTATCCTATGAAAGGAGAGAGAGTGGCACGTCTCTCGAAAAGAGCTCTACTAGAGAAAAGCAAGGAGAACAGCAGCTTGTCCGCCGAGGAATGGAAGCCTTCCCCCGAAATTAGCTCCAGCAAGCCAAAGAAGCCAAAGAAGCCTGTTCATCTTGATGCGAACCTTTCAATGGCACCGCCCCAACATTCTGAGATTCTCTCATCTGCGTCTCCAAACCACGTCAACCATGTTGTTCATCATCGCTCATACTCTGTACATGATACAGGACCTCGAATTCACGCAACCCCGCACGACAAAGGTGTTCACCTGCGCTTCACTCCTGGTTTAAATCCTGGGGTAAACTCTGGCTTGAATCCGGGACCGTATCCCGGCTTGAACCCTGGCTTGAATCCTGGGTTTAGTCCTCGTTTAAATTCCGTGTTTAATCCTCGGTTTAATCCTGGGTTTAATCCCAGCTTCATTCCCGGAATCATAGATGGGCTTCCTGCAAGCGATTCAAGCTGGCCTCGAATCATACCAGGAAATCGGCCTTCTGGGCCTGACCGAGCAAACATGATCTCTAATACCCTGTCACCAAACACCAGCTCCGCTCGGTCGAGGTCGTATGACTCAGCTGATCTCACCTTGATTGCTACCGACTTGAACAACTTGGTGAGCGATATGATCGTTGAGGTCAACAGTGATTTAAAGACCTCCAGCGATGCAACATTAAAAGCGCCACAAATGCAAAAAGTCAATCCAGAACCTGAAGGTCTACACAATAAGAAAGCGAAACCGTCTAACCATATACCAAGGAATATTGGAATAGGAATGTTTCATGTCACGCAAAAAGAAAGGATATACTTGCAAGAATTCTACCTGGGATTTGCCAGCGTGATCCTTCCCTTCAACGCTTATGATCCAGTTCAACAGTCTTACTATAACCCTATGCGAGACATCTTGTTTTACAGTGCATTCAATGAATCTTTTATGCTAGCGGCTATTTTGGCCCAAGGAGCTCGATCCGTTTTCATGCAGAGTGAATCTCCTGATGATGAGTTTGCCTATTACATGTACTTACTGCAATGCCTCGAGCTTCTAGGCCCTGCGTTGGGAGGCCATATGTCAAAAGCTCAAGTGGCTCTGCTTCCCGATATCGAGGCCGTTCTCTTGACTGTTCTTTTATTGACTTCCTCTAATGCGGCAAATCTGAAGCAAAATTGGAGGCCTCATTTGCGAGGTGCAAAAGACATTCTTCTCAAACATACCACGAGCCGCAAGGGTCCTTCCAACTCAAAACTTCTTCTTCTTTGCAAATATTGGTTTGTCTCGTTCGAAATCTTGGCGGGCTTGGGTCTGAAGTTTGGAGGAACTGTGGAGGTAGAAGACGAACTAGACTTACTTTTGGGATGCCTGGACAGGAATGAGATACAAGTCTTGAGAAATCTTGGCATGCTTTGTCCATCAGGATTTTATCTCATTGGTGGCTATCACATCGATTTAATTCCCGCATGGAAAGATCTCATCAAACTCCTAAACAGAAAGAGAAGAAATATTAATTATAAATTGGATGAAACACTTGAATATTTAAGGCTATTGGCAATTTTTGAGCGCCTGAACGGCATTGAATTTGTGAATCGAAAAGCGTTGCTCAAGAACTCTGATTTTCTGGGGGGTTTTGTCCCCGCTGGACTCTTACTAGATCTAATAAGCACCAGTCAAGATCACATTATAATTAGCTGGATGGATATTTCGCATCAACTATATTGTATTGCGGCTACTATCACAATACTAACTGAATTCATCGAATTGAGATATGACTCACCGCAGATACAAAGCTTGGTTTCTCGTCTAATGTCTCTTCTTGAGTTTCTTTCGGAATTCAAGGAGACACCGCCAACAATCAAATGCGCCGTCATGATGATTCAATGGCCAGTTGTGGTTGCAGGTATTAACCTGGTGCGAAATAAAGACAAAAATCTCGTCTTTAAATTTTTTGATTTGGCAATGAAAGCTGGGGCCGGTAGTGCAGGATACTCTATTTCACGAATCAAAAAAATATGGAAAAGTCGTGAGGAAGGATTTACAGGTTCGATTGACGATGAAATTGACATTGTTCCCTACTAGAATTTTAGTCAAGAATAGTACACTGTATGCTGCGTCATTCTTACATATGGATACATCTTTTCAAAACTGAATATAGGGAATTCTTGTGTAAAATGCTCGCCATCATTAGCATTCAACGCTTTGTAGTACCGAGTATCTGTTCTCCTGGTTGAGTGCAATTTTAAGACTGGTACTCATCTGTGTGTGGCTGCTTCTGGTGCTGTTGTATTCATCTTGTATTTTCCACCCAACTCTTTCAGCACCAACTCTTGCACCGTCTAGATTTGCAGACGTAGGACCAACACGAAGGGCGGCATTTTTGCCTACCATATATAAAGGCAAATCTTTGCACCATCGCAAGTCATCGGTGAGACATGGAAGTCCACCAACAAAATCAATAGGATAATCTTTGACGATAGGTTGAAGGAACTCCAAATTAGAAACGTCTGGTTGAATTCCTGTTGCACAAAGGACGTAGTTTGTTGACATTTCAAATTTACGAGACTCCTTGTCCGGACGATTTTCGCATATGGTAAGATTCCATCTCCCATCTCTGTGTTCAGCGTTTGTAATTGTGCTGTAGTCTAGAATTCGAAGCATTCCACTGTTCACATGTTTCTGAATTTTTTTGTGATACTCCGGGTTGATCAGTCCCCCCTCTCTAGAATCATGAATGAGTTGAAGCTTTTCTTCATCTGTATCAAGCATGTAAAACGAAGACTTCTTCAAATTCTTGTATTTGGTGACCCAGTCCAAATGAAAATCAAAATGCTTGATCTTAATGAAGCTTCTCAAAACTAAAGTTACCTTGACACCAAGATTACATGAAATATGCGCGAGCTGAGCTGATGTCAACCCGCCCCCAACAATAACGATAGACGCCTCTTTTTTCTGGGCTAGCGTTTCAGAGATAATAGGAGGTGGGTACGAAATTCTTTTTGAAAAAATGTGTGTTGTATGACAAGCCTGGTTCAAGCTAGCATTTGCATCCGCCAATCCCAGAATTGGATAGTTGATAATACCATCATGTCCACTTGCCACTACACAATTTTGACAGCCATAAATTTTTCCGCTCTCAGTCTCAACAATGAAGCCTGTCACAGTTCTGTTTTCTTCCATTATATCAAAATCTCCATAGTTTAAAGAAACAACTCGGTCTTTTCTAATACTGGACGCAAGCTTATATCGGTCAACGATATCACCGCAAAAGTCCTTAAAAAATTTTGTTGATGGTCGATAGTAATCTCTGTAGTCTCTCATATTTATATCAATGAGACCAGGTCGGTCGTCGTTGCGAGATTCCCCCTTTAATGGTGAAGCCAATTTTTTTGTGTTCTTCTTTATAACGCGCTTTTGTTGATGCTTTGAATACTCTTTTCCAACAACATTTTGTATCTCTGTGAGGTCTTTCTCTCGTTTATTTTGGTAAGCATAAGTAATCATTCCGTCAAGGTTGACTGGATCTGGGTGAAAGAACATAGGTGATCTCAAAGTAGGTACTTGACAGCTCGCAAATTGATTGTCCCACTGACCCATGAACGAGTCTGAGACAGCGTCCAACACCAAAATCTCCGAAGCTGAGAATTTGCTTGGCAGCTCGAAATGTGCTTCTTTTTTAGCACCACGAAGTACTTTCCCAGATTTGGGTCCTCTTTTTTTAAGCCAGTGAAATCTTTGATGCTCGTCTTCCGTATAAATTGAGCCAGCAGTAGCTTCGCAGAGCCTTGCGGCCACCGCGAGACCACAAGGACCTCCTCCTATGATCACAACTTCGAAAAAGTTCTCTATTGATATGATATTATTAGATGACATGATGATTGCTCCAAAGAACCTTTTTGTAGAAATCAATGCGATCATTAAATACCTATATAGTTATATCTTTGCACCCAAACTTGTCATGCAGGTAACCCTAGAGGTTATCCTATAACCACCCCGCGGATAAGCCATGCAATAACCACCTCAGTATCCTGAGCAAAATCCCTCAATGATTGCCAAAAGGCCCACAGCACCGGGATCTGGTATACCGCCATCTTCCTTGAGATCAGCCTCGCTGACATAGGATGCACGTCCAAACTTTGCTTCCAAGTTCGCCGTTTCTTCGCACCCGCGTTTTGCTGCCTCGATCAGCAGCTTGAGATCTAGAGATTGGGCAAACTCATCCACAAATGGCTGCAAGGTGTCCACAAGAGTACGCCCTCCTTGACGGGCTTTGGTGTATTTGAAAAGGCCATCGTAAAGAGCGGTTTTCAATGCTTGCGCTACCAGTTTTATGTCCATATTCTTCAGATCCAGCAAATTCTTAACCAAGCTCGTTAAGTATATTGCGTAGATGCCTCCAGAGGTACCACCCATGCTGTCTTCAACAATTTCTGTTATCACACTCAATGTGGCAACAGGATCATTTAAGTTCTCCTGAAACTCTTTGTCGCAGGCAGCCTTCTTTAAAATAGCTTCGGCACCATTTTTCAAAGTTTCCCCACAATCACCATCCCCAACTTGAGTGTCGTACTTCGTGATAAGTGGTTCCTTCTCGATCACAGCTTTCAAGCCAGCCTCCAAAGCGCCTTTAAATTTTTTTCCATCTATTTCGAAGTCAGACTTTGGAATCGTTGCGTGTTTTTCTGGGGATTCGATTTCGTTGGTGGGCTGTGACCATGCATCGGCATTGAACGCCTTCGGTTTCCATCCAGGAGCGTCTGTCTCTTCATCCAAGAATCCCAAGATATCTTTCTTTGAAAATTCTGATGTAGAAGCTGCATCAACATTCAAGAGAGTGATAGAAAAACCGGGAGAATTAAGCGACGTAACAAAGTCTGAGACCAATACTCTCAATGGTTTTTTCTTCAAAGGACAACGCTCAATAGCATATTGAGTGATTGCTAGCAATTCCAATGTTGATGTACCACCAATGTTATTCACAAGAAGCACGTAATCTCCATCGGATTCAAAATTAACGTAGTGGCGCTCTTTGTCATTGATATCCAACAAACGCTCGAAGAGGAGGTCAACTAGGTCTGTGATTTCAGGAATCTTGATTTTCTGGCCAGGCTCATTGTGAATGCCTAGTCCCAACTCTGCAACGGTAGGGTCTTCGTGATGTTCGCTTTCTTCTTCTCTTCCTGGAACAGAGGTTCTATCCAATGAAGCACTCATTGTCACCAAAGAGTCATTTACCCTGCGTCCTAATTCAGCTACTTGAGGCAAAGTAGCACCTGTAGCAGCTGCCGCACCAACGACTTTGTGTACAATTGCAGTTCCAGCAAGGCCTCGTCTCCCCACCATTTTATTTTGGGTTCTTCCAACAGCGACATCGTCTGATACACTCACCAACTCAACGTTAAAGCCATCGCGCTTGGCTCTTTCAGCAACAAGCCCGAAGTGTAAGACGTCCCCCGTGTAGTTTTTGACGATAATCACCGCACCTCTTTCTTTATCTGCGGTGGCCTTGACGGCAGCCATGATCTGCTTAGTGGAAGGAGATGCGAATATGGCTCCAGACACTGCAGCATCGAGAAGGTTATTTCCCACGAAGCCGGAGTGGAGCGGTTCGTGACCTGCGCCTCCTCCGCTTATGACAGCAACTTTCTTATTTTTATTTGGAACAAATACGACCTTTTCCGAAGGAATGAAGCTGATGTTGGGGTTCGAAGCTACCAAGCCTTTGAGTGCAGTCAAGACGATGTCTTCATTCTTCGGATATTTCCAATGTTTTGCAGGAGCCATTTTCTGATATATCACTCAATTGATGAGTTCCGTATACCGCAAGGGATTTGGTGCACCCTTATATCTCTAATTTTTTCGGGGCAAATATGCAGTTACTACGATCATGACATCATGGGAGACCGCAAGCTATCCGCGTTCGTGGGGTGGTACGATGATGTTATGCTAGTCTTCCTCTGTAAGTTAGCCCTTTCAATTTTAGGCACACAAAATAGCAAAGTCATATTTTCATATTTTACATGGAAGTACATAAGGCGTTGGCATTATCCGGGATAGCTTATATGCGCTTAAGTTCTGTGACATCGTATTACTTGAAGGCTCAGTGAGAATGGAAAGACTGCCCGATGCCCATAGGAAATACCTTCTGAGCCCCATCGCCAGTTTTATAACCTAGAATGAATATTCTTTCGGAATAATAAGCATAATCTGGTGCGAAGAATCAAGTGGCCTAACCCTTGGAAAATCAGCAATTTAAGTAAGATATTGTTGCAATAGTGAGCGTTCTCATTCACCTTCACTCTTCTTCTGACCTCACCATTGCCGTTTCGCGCTCACCTTCCGAAAGGAGCACCAAAAACAACCCCATTTTCTGTAGCAGTCAAATATAACTTTGCATCGGAGAGCCACAATACCCAACCTGACTGGGTTTGTTTCTGAAAAACAAGTGTTGCTTTAACTCAAAATGCAGGGTGAAACATCGATAGCTGTCCGAAAACGGAAGTCAAAGACATTTACTGGATGTTTTACTTGTAGATCCAGAAAAATACGATGTGATCTCCAGCGACCTTTCTGTCAAAATTGTAAGAAAGCAGGATGGACCTGTGGTGGGTACAATATAAAATTGAGATGGCTGACACCGGTTCAGTTCAAGAGAAATGGAAGAAATCCATTACAGAAACCTGTTGTATTTGAAAAGGAAAAAGAAGCCGAAAACGATGCGGGCACATCAGCATTCTTTCAAAGAAGACATGTCGGATTTGTCACCTGGAACGAAAAGAAAAATTTCAAGCCGTATGAGACATACGAGGAAATTGACCAGGATTTGAATGCTCTACGAGGCTCTGATAAGCTATCCGATACAACACTCAAGGGCCCCTTTGGCGTTTTTGCTCCCAATGGTATTCCGAAGACCACGTTGGCACATCCGAATTTAACAGATTCGATATCTTCACCTGTGACGAAGCAAATTACACCTGGTCTCCCTGATATTAGCAATCATGGAAATGAGCACATGTGGCTTTCTAATGAATTGAGAGAGCACGCCCTCTTGACTGCAGCAGCACTCAATGGAGATCCCCAGTTTTTGGACCTTGATGTCCAGCCTTACGGCTACCAATCTATTCCTGACTCTCTGTCTGATCTCTTAAATTTCTTGTTTCATAAGACTTCACAAAATCAGGCTCTGAATTCGCATTCCAATCCTCTCGCTACACCCTCTAACCACGTCACATCTCAAGCACCCTCAACAAGATATAGTCCCAGTGTGGACACAATGAGCATACCTGAGAAGCAGGGACTGGAGAGTGTGGCCATCAATCAAGGAAACCAGCACCTATTCTACTCCAACTTCAATAACTTCTACTACAACAATCCTTATCAACCTAATGAAACACTCGAGATTCAATTACACGCTAGCTCCCTGAAACATGACGACGAGTCGACTGATCTTGTTGAAGGTGACACTTCACAAACTACACAAATGCCAGAAGCTCTTATGTCGATCGTAAGAAGCCCCTTACAGCCAAAGTTGGGCTTTGATGTGTCTTTGCCAAAAAACGGAGTTTTGTTACCGACAACAGCACTACTGGTCGAGCCCCTCACCCGTTATCTTTTAAATTACTATGTGACACAGGTTGCGGATTTGATGACAGTCATTCCTCTCACAGAAAATCCCTGGAAAACCATCTATTTCCCTAGGGCATTAATGGCCATTGGAGAACTCTCGGCTCTTGGGAAAACTTCAATCGCCAAAAATGCTTTACTTAACGCCTTATTGGCGGTATCTGCCTTCAATTTGCAGAGTAAATTCACTAAAAATTCCAATCAAATGAAATTTTATCTCAATTTGGGAATTAGGCTCCGGAATCAAGCCAGTTTGTTTGTCAAGGCATTACTTGACTCGCATGGGAATACACAAAATGGAATAGCCCAATGTGTTGCGTCCGAAAAATACAAAGATACGCTTTGCGCCGTCATGTCGATGATATCCGTGGACTTGGTGTGGGGGACCATGCAAGATACGAATTTTTATATCCGATGGTGTGAGAAGGTCATCTACACCAAAATGAAAAATAAGAAAAAGCTTTCGGCAAAGGGCAAGATTTTACATCGGATTTTCCTGAGTCTCAAGTTAATTCAAGATTCTACTTGCCTCGACGTTGGCAACATTAAAGACGACTTTAAAATGACGTCGCAATTTGGATATGATGTGAAAACAAGATTTGAAGTTGAACTACAAGACAACAAGACGAAAAGTGACATCAAATACATCATGGACGGATCTGTCAAATCTTCGCCTATGTTCGTTAACATGAAACTTATCAACACCAACAAGAATGATGAGAATTTTGCCACTGACGCATTATATGGCTTACCCAACTCTCTCATTTCACTTTTCAGTGAGACAGTGCAACTTTTACGGAAAAAGATTTACCATAGGGATCTATACAATGCAGAGCCAGAGAACTTCCAGCAGCAAAGCTTCAACTTGAAAACTAAGCTCCAAAGCTGGAAATTGGATTGGAAGCTTTACGAAGGGAATGATGCAAACAAGTCATTTTTCACATCAATGCATGAGGCCACATTTCATCACATCATGTCCTTTTATCACGCGTTGTCGATATACTTCAATAGACTTATTATGGAGACTCCGCCAGAAGAAGTCCAGGACAAGGTCGCGAAGACTTTAGGGCACTTAAACCTGATACAAAGGCTTATAGCGAAAGACGAAGCACATATAATTCCCTTGTTTTGGCAAGGCTTTATTGCAGGCTGTGAGGCAGTGTCGCCAGATTTGCAGAGTGATTTTAAAAAGTGGGGTGCTGATATTGCACAATATTTGGGAAGTTATTGGGGTGCAAGACAAATCATGCTCGAGGTTTGGCGAAGGAAGAAAGTTAAAGAAACAAGGGACGATTGGGTTTGTGTGATCCAAGACTGGGATATGAATTTAATGCTCAATTGAACAACTATTCGGCTCTTCTATTTCCAACTCGAATTGTTGAAGATCCTCAGCTTGTTTGCCAAAGCTCGATAGACAATAGCTAGTCACTTCAGGATGTATGGGTATTAGAATACATGTATGACTGAATTGTGAGACGCGTTTTCGTAGCGTGTTTTTGCCAAGTGTAACCTCGTGGACACAATAGTCCTTCACATTAATTGGGGCGGGGACACGAGATGAGCGCGCACCTGATTGAACAACAAACAAACAAACAATAATTAGATCATGGGCCAAGCCTCGAGCCATGCAAGTGCAGGTCGTCTTCGCGATAGTCTGCACATAATACGTGAGGCCGCATGGTTTGTTTACACAAAGACAAAACAGTTCTGCACCTATGCCCCAGACACATAGGTAAAGAACACGCTACTTTCCTACAGATGGCACGACACGTCGCCAACATGGGAATGACAATCGAACCAGGGGGTGGCAGAGAGAGTGCGTTCCTTTATTTTCGAGACGCGTCTGTAATGACGCGATTCTCCGTCAATCATTCATTTCGAATATAAAAGGCCTCGTGAAGGCCTCCCAGAAAACTTCTCAAGAAAGTATTCATAGTCACTCGTTCCTTAACTGACATTCCCTAACAATCTCTTAAAAATGAAATTTGCTGCCGCTTCCTTCGCTTTGGTCTCATCGGCTCTCGCTGCTTCCAGTTCTGCAGTCTCATACGAATACGAAACCGTTACCAACTTTCACACAGATGACATTACCATCACTTCTTGTGCCGATAACAACTGCGTTACCACTGTGCAATCTGTTACCAGCACTGTTGTCACAGCTACTGTCGACGGTGTCACCACAACTTACACTACTGTTTTGCCTGAGTCCACGACGTCAGCCTCAGTCACTCCCCTGATTTCCTCAAAGCCAACTTCTGTTGCTGCCGAGTCTGATGTTCCTTCTCTTTCCGAGGACATTACCTACGTTGACATCACCACCACCCCTGTCGTCACTGCTTCTACTGGAATTGAATCCACGGTGTACCAGCAGTCCACATTCACTTCGGTGTACAATTCTTCCGCATCTGCGACTGCGTCTGCATCAGTCATCTGGGCCAACGATGCTCCAAGAAACGTTCTTGCTGGTGTCGCTGGTGTCGCTGGCATTGCTGCTTTGTTGTTGTAAATTATTGATTAATTGTATAAATAGGCTGGGATAGATAATAAAAAAATTAAGGTACTTCTAGAACTCTTGACATTTACATGGAATATGAAATGACTACCGACACAAGAGAGCCCGTCACTTGAGATATTACAACTGGTCGCGTGTGCTCCATGGGAATATATTTTGCAGGATGTACCGGAGCAACTAAAGCTCGTCGTCTATGCTCACAGTTGACGCAGGAACGTAAACAGCTTTACCAATGTAAACATTCCACCAACCTGAAACGTAGTACATGGCTATATTGTACATGGTTCTGGGAAATTCCACATAGCTTTTCCAGATGAAGCGGAGGGCAGTCTTGACATCCTCGAGCTCCTCATAGAAGCCTTGTTTCGTCTTCTTCGGAGATGAAATTTCTCCCTCATCAATATCTATGTTCCCATTCTGTTCGACGCCTTTGTTTCCCGTGAAGCCTGAAGGATTAGACTTTGACTCTATAGGAGGATCCCATGCCACGAACGGAAATTCAATTCCCTTATCGTGCAATGGTTCAAATTCTCCATGTTGGACGCGCCCTGCAGCGACGTCCTTCAAATGTTCCAAGTACATATCCTTGAAGTTATTGATAGAAGCCACAGACTTTGAGAGACGGTCAAAAGTATTGAAAAGTGCAACCAACTCGATCCGGCGGAACTTGAGCAAATGCTGAGTTTCCGGGTCTTCCAGTTCAAATAACACCTTGAGCGCGGTACCGTATCCAATAGTTTGTAGTTTGCCCCACATCCGACATCTATCACAACCGACACAATCCATAATGGCAGAAACGTTTTTGAAACGAGAGCGGAATTCATTCTTCAACTCTGGGCCAACGAGAGATGGGTCAAAGAGCAGATGGGACACGAAAAGAGGTTCTATTTTGAGCACATCCGTGATTTGGTTGACCATAGTCGTGTAATCAGACAACGAAGATGAGTCATTGTCCAAAAGCTCACTATGATTGTTATTTGGCGCCGTTTCGCCTTTCACATAGTCAGCAACATCCACCAAGTCACCTAATTTTACAATGGCTTGTGAGACGAGCGCGTAATTAAAGTAGATGTTTGCCAAACGATCATTGAACTTGCCTACTCTCTCCATGAAAATCTTGAGATTTGGGCCGAATGTTTCCGTGGCAGAATCCAAATACTCGTTCGACAAGTGAACTGCAATCGATGCATGTAAACCTGAAATTAAACGGTAAAATAAGTTCTTCTCCACACATTGCTCAGGTTCTGAGCCAGCTGACATAGACATTGGATTAGTGTTAGGGAAACAGTTTTCCGAGTAAATCGCCTTCCACACGTCAAAAGATTGAGCACCTCCATACCCTGTAAATCTTTCTGGATTAGCAAGCAAATCGACAAACACACAGTTGTGGCCATCGTCAATGTGCGAGTAGTCTAAGTCTTCGCATGTTGCTGGTGCTTCCAGTGATGCATTTTTGTGCTTGATCTCCCCGAGTTTGGAGGGACGGAACTCATCATGAACCTCCGCCCAGTTGTACTGGTCTTCGGGAAGAACTTCGACGGCACAATTTTTTGTTGCGCAGAAATGCTGTGCGTTCCAGAACTTACACTGCTTGTCTAAATCGAGCTTGAAATATTTGAAAAAAGATGTCTGGACCAAACGCAGTAGAACTGGGCGAATTTCAGCATTGATCGTGTCGATATATGAAAAGGTTGTATTACAAGTGGGCGTAATAATTTGCAGGCAGTAGTCGGGTGAGTCGAATGGTGAAATGGCAGCACCGACTAGTGTTATGATGGAAAAAACCACCGAAATGAATAGGGTTTTCATATTTGATAAAAGCAGCAGACGTGTCCAATTTTTCAGATTAGTAACGCATGCTCAAAATGGTATGCTTTGCGTAGCGTGTCACGTGCCTTCGTTCTCGTCATCGCCACAAATAGTGCGAGGGTGGCGTGTACATTTTCGGTATGCGCTTCCATGCCAATCTACGAACTCTGAACGCCAAGAGATAGCAGTGCGAGCGCTTAAAAATGTATTATGACATAGCGTAAAAGCGGAATAGAACAGGTCAATATTTCTTCAGAATGCTTGCAGGTGTATCTACACCATTTGGATTTTTATTCGTAAAGGTTTTCATAAACGGTTTCGTTATGCTTGTTAAGCTTTGCAAATCGCAATCAATTGTCCAGGGTCATCTCATGATTGCGGAACGACACACGGAGATGACAACACGACAAATGTACCAAGCGAAGGATATGAGACCAATGAGAAAAAAAATTCACAGGATACTCTCACAAATTAACGTTGTCTTCTAATCGATTCTATAACTTCTAAAGCCAGACATAGCTGTCTCTCAGTATGTAAAATGCTATGTGTTCCTATTTAATCGTCAAATTTGATCTTTTTGGCGCTCTTTCCCTCCATGTCATCCTTGTAAAATGCTCCGTAAACAGAGTGTGTCTTCTTTTTGGTGTGACCTCCAAATTTGAGCAATTCATCAGGAACGGGTTGGTTGGCACCACGCAAGATGTTCATCAAGGCTCCACTAAGATGTTTTTCGTGCTCTGTGAAGAGCGTATGCGCAGTACCAGTTTTACCGGCTCTTCCAGTACGACCGATTCTGTGGACGTAGTCTTCAGCAGTCAATGGGAATGTCAAGTTGATTACAACCTTTACATTGGGAATATCCAAGCCTCTCGCCGCGACATCAGTAGCCAACATCAATTGTGACTCGCCCAGCTTAAATCTCCCCAAAGCATTTGTGCGTTGTTGCTGGGTTAAATCTCCATGGACAGCAGAGACGTTGTAGCCATTTCTCTGCAAAAGACCTTCCACGCGCAGTGCTTCTTTCTTATACAATGCGAAAATGAGAATTTTGTCGTTTTTGTTGGCTCCTGACTGGTACTTTTTGAGCAATTGCAAAAGCTTTCTTTCCTTTTCACGAGGGTCAATCACTTCCACAATTTGTGTAATTCTCTTGTTGGCAGAAAGCTCATCACGGTCTCCAACTGTGACCTTCACTGGGCTTACCATGAACTCAGAGGCGAGATCACGCACTTCCTTTGGCCAAGTAGCAGTAAACATCAAAGTTTGACGACTTGTTTTTTTCGGAGTGCAGCCGATAATCTTCTTGATGTGCTCCTCGAAACCTTTGTCCAACATTCTGTCAGCCTCGTCGAGAACTAGGTATTCCACTGTTGACAAATCAACCAAGTTGTCTTCCAAAAGATCGACCAAGCGACCAGGAGTGGCCACGGCAATACTGGCGTGTTTGATTTTTTCAATCTGATCTTGCTTGCTGACACCACCGTAGATGGCGACACTAGAGATTGGGGTGTTTTGCGTCAATTCCTCCAAGTTGTCGTAAATTTGCAAAGCCAACTCACGAGTTGGCGAGAGACAAAGTACCTTCAACCCCTTTTTACTATGTCTCAAGATACTGTCAACTGCTGGGACACCGAAAGCAAAAGTCTTACCCGAGCCTGTCTCTGCCACACCAATGACATCTTTGTTGCTCAATAAGTAAGGCCAGCTCACTGCTTGAATAGGCGTGGGGCTGGGAAACTTTGAAATTGCCTTTTGAACTTCATCAACAAATGATACTTGGTCAAATTTTAATACGGGTCGCAAATCTAACTTGTGTGGATCGTCAATGGTAATCTCATTATCTGTCAAGAAAGTCTTGATGTCTGATTCCAGAACGTCTTTCAACAATTTGGACTGAACATACGGGCTTTCGGAGGTAGATGTGGACTCCGCAGCAAATTCATTGGTTGTGGATTTTTCTTCTGTTTGTTTCTTTTCCTTCTTTTCCTTCTTATCCTTCTTATCCTTCTTCTCCTTCTTGTCCTTCTTGTCCTTTTTTTCTTTCTTATCCTTCTTATCCTTCTTGTCTTTCTTCACTTTCTTCTCGACATTGACAGCCGCTTCGGCCTCTTCGAGTTTTCTTTTCTTATCTTCCTTACCCATCTTGCAAAATCAATTGGTCTTTGAATTCCTCAAAAAATAATACTCAGAAAATCTCTTTTCTAGCCGCACGATGCCATCGAGGTGCACTGATGTGTGGCACAGGACTTATGAAGTACTTACAAGCTTCCAGCAATTGGCTCTAAAATGTCTAAATTATCCTAAATACATTCACATTTCATCCAAATCTGACCGACGCCCCTCATCTAGATCAATTTGGTCTAATTTCACATACTTGGTCTTATTGATCAACTTCAAGCATAGCGTGAGAAAGACGAAAAATGGGAGTAAAATGTAAGCGTCAACAAAGTCTTTCGCAGAGAAGGGCTTGAATGTAGACCAGCCTTGAATCAATGCGAGGAATATGTTGACTGCGATACCAAAGATTGGCAAAACAGGATACCACAATCCTTTGTATGGAAGGTCATCCACCGAACGTCCTTGTAGGGCCCAGGCTTTTCTGAAACGAATGTGATATACATTAACCGCACCCCATACCACGAAAACAGCCACACCCGATAAGTTCACAATATACTTGTAAGCCTCCGCAGCGCCAGTGCTTATATTCATGAGTGAGAGCAATCCAAAGAGATTGAACAATATCACAGCATTGTATGGCACACCCCATCTGTTCACCTTGGATAGAAATCTAGGCGCAGAGCCCTCATGGGCTAAGTGAACAATCGTTCTTGAGCCAATGTATATGGAGCTGTTTACGGCAGAAATGCAAGTCACGAGAATAAAAGCGTTGACCAAGTGAGCACCTCCTGCCCAACCTGCTCTAACAATAGCAACTGACATTGGAGATTTCAAAGTGTTGTCCGAGGAATTGAGTTCAGGAGCATTGTATGGCACGGTCAACCCGTAAAAGAAGGCAATACCCATGTAGATGATCAAAATTCTAATGAAAGTTTGCCGAATGGCACTTGGAATGGCTTTTCCAGGATTCCTTGTCTCGCTTGCTGCGATGGCAACAGCTTCGGTTCCTGAATAAAAGGTAGATGCATAAACAAACGAGCTAGCAATCGACTTGAAACCATGTGCCAAAGGGCCGGGATCATTCCAGTACTGAAATCCAAAGGCTTCTCTGCCTTTAACTCCACCGGAAACATAAATTATTGAAAAGATGTAGAAAGCAACGATCCCCACAACCTTAAACAAAGCAAGCCAATACTCGAATTCTCCAAAAGTTGAGACTCCCAAAAATTTAAAAGCCAAGAATGCAGCCCAAAAGATCAAAATATAACCGTATAAAGGAACATGTGGCCCCCAAAATTGCATGATAGATGCAACCATGTTATACTCGTTGGCCAACACAGCAATCCAGATGATGCAGTAAAACCAGCCGACGGTCCCCCCTACAGCTCTGTCTATTAATTTGTTTCCCAAGGTTGAAAAGACATTTCCCAGTGGATATAATGTAGCAAGCTCACCCAAACTTTGAATCATTGAAAAGGCAATCAAACCGATAACCCCGAAACCAACAATCAAACTGAGGGGGCCATTTGATGTTGGGAGAGCGGCACCAACTAAAATTCCTGGCCCTATGATTCCCGCAAGAGCAATTAGGGAAATATGGCGGTCTTTGAGACCTCTTTTCAACTCGACAGTTCCGGTTTCCTCATCTGTACTATATTCAAATGTTGCTTTTTCATTTGTTAGAACTTCGCCAAAGGTTTCGACCTCTTGAGACGGACTTTTCGAAAATTTCATGTTATTTCAAGTCTGGATCCTATTTCGATATAAAAAAAAAGTTTCCCCTTTCCCGATGTGCGAGAGGCAAAAAACTGAGCTTCAAATGATGGGGCTTATATATATTCAACTCAAATGTAAAACTGGGTGCCAAGCTAGCAGATGAGTGCGACCCGCACTGTTAGCAAGTGCGCGACCACGCGTAACCATGAAGCATGCACGGCGATAGCTGGAAAGGGCTTGCAAATCGTGGTCTCGCAGATGTCAAGAATCGCTTGTCGAGAATAATTCTCGTCAATGCAATTTTTGATGGAGAAAAATAAATACCAAGAAGGCTAAAGTCGATCAAATAGGATGTGGATAACTGAATGAAAAACAATTCCTGAATCGCTTGTCTCCGAAAGTCATCCCAAGTTATTTTTCGCTACTTATGCAGTCACTTACTTCATTCAGGCAACTTCTACGCAAGATGCCATCGGCATCGCAGCAATTGCTTGCGTCATATCTGCAGACAAGGTTATTTGGTCAACCATTTGAGGCAAAAAAATCTTCACGGCAGCGTGGACTTCCACATTTGCTGTTGCCCCTAAAAATATAAAAAAAAATCGATTTTACTGACGACAAATCATAGCGATGTTCTCTAGGTATAGCTTAAAGATTACGCAAGTCATTTGCCTTAATGTGCATTTTCAAACTTAAGTGACCGTAAATTTCGCTTTAGAATGTTGAGGGGACCGATCAAGAACATAAACAAGAGAAATGAACCACACAAAGCGTTATTCAGGATAAACATGATTAAAAAACGCACAAGCTAAGTGAAATGTAGATACAGCAGCCCGGCATTGGTCCCAAAAAGGGTAATGCCTTCCACGAACTACTGACAGCACGATCCCGTCAAAAGTATCAGCGAAGGTTACAAAATTTCATTGACCCGTTGACGAGCTTATTCTTCTCCATTAAACAGAATCCAACACTCAATGGGCATGAGTGCAGAGCAGAAACAGGAGTGTTTTTTCCTACAAATTTTGTGACTCAATTATCTTTATTGCAATATCAATGATGAAAATTTTTCGAGGGAGAGCGGAATGCGCAATCTTTTATACTTCTTGGGAGGTTACCCGGACACATCCTCGGTTTTGATGGGTACGTGGAGGGCTTTGAATGACCACACTGAAGTTCTATACCAGCTAATGTTACTCTAATCTACGTCCTATTCTTTGAACCCATATTCGCCTAACCCCTGAATGTCAGATCGAACACAAGCTTTAAACTTATACGTGTATTGATCCTTATTTTAGTAGAATTGGAAGCAACTGTACCTGCATTTCCTCCCCAACTCCATCTTGGTAATCCGGGTTTCTATTTCTAGCACTAGTAGCTTATTCTTCTTTTCTCATGTCGGCTCTCCTTGGTGCTTCTAAAGGATGTAACTGCGCCAAGTAGGTGATCGCCCACATTAAGTAGCACATGGCTAAACCCAAGATGAGGGATGATCTCCAGACGGTTCTATTTTCCCTAGGGGCAAAGTTCCAAGCCAAGACACTCAAGGCAACGGTCAATAGCAAAACCACAACAACAGTATAGCTAACATGTTAGTTGAAAACAAACCTGTGGGTTCGTACTGCTATTGTACACATCTGAGGGCACCCAGTCGTTCGGAGACAATCCAGTGAGCGAAAGCTGAAGTATCTTCACATCTAAAGCAACGCTTTTTTTTAGTTATCAAGATACATACCCACTCATTTCTGATTGTCAACGACTACTTGTAGCGTGAATTCCTTGAGCGAGATAACATGGCACAGACCCGTACCTCCACGTCTGTATGTTCTTACTTGTGTGGACACACTTTGCTGATGATTGATGAATAGACAAACAGGTTTTTAGGGGGCCAAAAAAGTGGGATCATATGAGAAGGATTCTTTGGCCTATGTCTTAGTGAATTAAGAGATATTGAATGTCTAAAGCGTAATTTATTGGGTCAAGAATAGTTACACATCCTTAATATGGACACTCTCAAAATTTTTGTGAATCTGGTGCGAATCTCCATTAAAGCAAGTGACAAAATTGTGGATTTGCGAAAACTACTGTTCAAGATCATACTCAAAAGGAGCACGAAAAGCTCGAGGTACCACACAAGTCTCTTTTTTAACTTTTTTTAAGGCAATTACGAAGCAATATAGTACCAAACCTTCGATCCTAGGTTCGTTGCGGCTTCTTTGAATTACCATGTCGAAAGTCTCGAAGAAAATAACTAATTGGTTATACAGTGTTCTTCAGCCCCAGTACACTCATCCTGAAATCGCATACAAGGACATTTATCAATTCCTTCAGGTCTATATAGATCAGGGGTTCAGGATTCGAACAGCTGTCTATACGTCTGTACACGGTGGCTCGGAGTTATTGGTTAATCTATATGGTCCTTTGATTTGCGGGAATAATGTCTTTCAAGTCAGTATTTGGATACCCTTGAACTATCCTTTAGCCGATACATCGGGTAAAGCTTCAGGATACGACGCAAACGGTGTTCCAATAACTTTCGCAGTGCCCTCCAAAGGTCAAATTATCCGTCCTGGCAATAATGTCGACTCTCAAGGTAAAGTTTACCATCCCTTTCTCGTAAGCTGGTACAACTCAACATCCACCAGGCAAATGATGGACCAATTCAATTTACTTCTGTTGATGGAGTGCCTAAAGTCGACGTTCGAACGAAGTTCACCTATTGGTCTCGCTCCACAAACTACAGGACCAACGTTGCCACCGAAGTCTCCGAGCAAGATTAACTCACCCCAACAAGCACGTATTTCAACTCTTTCGAGTGGGCCACCACTACCGGAGAAGTTTGCTCACTCAGGGAATTCCTCGGAGCTGATACCTCAGAAATACAGAGGACCTCCTCCTTTGCCAACTTACACAACTCAAAATCAGTGGGTTGGTATTGATTCAAGTCAAAGTCAATCAGCCATGATCCAATCTCCAGGTCAGTCTACACTGTTGGTACAAAATAGTGGAATAAACCACAATTGGCCGACCGAAGAGCCGAGATCCCCTAGTATGCTCGCTGGAATTTCAAGCACGCGTTATCTAAACACTTTAGATCGGGCGACCACCGTGAAGGGTGAAGTTAGTCGACCCAGACCCTCCGTTGAAACAAATCAGGGGGAAACGTCTGTTATTGAAGATCTCATGGATAAAGTGACTCTCGAGTCCAAGAAAGAGAATTCCGACCCACGTGAATTGCAGCGAATTGCTCAGCATATAAACAGATATTTAAACCCTGGGAATCCTGAGAGTGTGAATAACAAAATTCCACGAGTCAGGAAAACACGGAACATAGCCAAGGCCCTTTATTCTCAACTTTTGCACCACAAAAATCAAGCTAGAGCCAACGCCGAAAATCTTGATAAACACGTCCAGTACCTAGAGGACCAAGTTCAGACGGTAAGGTATTCGAATCAAAAACTAAATGATCTTACAGAACTCAATAAGAAAAGCTCCACAGAAGTTGTTTTGAGTGCATCTGAGAATAGAAAAATTGCTTTAGATGATCTTGTGCTCCCGGACCTGATGTTGGTCCGACAACTCTACGATTCTGTCGCCGAAATCAGGGGATACAAAGACGCAATAAGGCTTGTTGGCGGAACTTTCAAATCGGAACCAGAACTTATTAACAACCTGACTTTAGAGTCTTGCATTCGGTCTGTCAGAGCGTTGTCAAGAGAGTTGTTTTGGCTCGAGGTTACAAGAGATGAAATAGGTAGACTCATGAGCTTACAATTGTAACATATAATGGCATTTACGAATATTCTAGAGAACGAAATACAATGAGATATCAATACGTTTCGATGCGAGTTAGCTTTCTCCCACTCCCCAGAGCCTTCTGCTATTGAAATTCGCAGTAATGCTCTTTTGAGGAAAGCTGAGATGCGCCGCACGATGCTCAGACAGTGCGAAAAATCCTACCGAAAAAAAACGCAAAGATTTGATGAGGGAAAAAAAATCTCACCCAACCTCATTGCCAACCACGTAGAAAAATGTCTGAGGAGCATATGATTAAGCCAGAGAGCGTTGCTCCCTCAAAGGACACTTCGGAATGGCCTCTTTTGTTGAAGAACTATGACAAATTGTTGGTTCGTTCGGGACACTACACTCCCATCCCAGCCGGCTCTTCGCCCTTGAAGAGAGATTTGAAGTCATACATTTCTTCCGGTGTGATCAACTTGGACAAGCCATCTAACCCTTCCTCCCACGAGGTTGTTGCTTGGATCAAAAGAATCTTGCGCGTCGAAAAAACTGGTCACTCCGGAACCTTGGATCCTAAGGTCACTGGTTGTTTGATTGTCTGTATCGACAGAGCCACCCGTTTGGTTAAGTCTCAACAAGGCGCGGGTAAGGAGTATGTCTGTATCGTCAGATTACACGAAGAATTGGAAGATGCGAAGGAAATGGGCCGTGCTTTGGAAAACTTGACCGGTGCTTTGTTCCAGAGACCACCTTTGATCTCTGCGGTCAAGAGACAGTTGAGAGTGCGTACTATCTACGACTCCAACTTGATCGAGTTTGACAACAAGAGAGGCCTTGGTGTTTTCTGGGCCTCTTGTGAGGCCGGTACCTATATGAGAACGTTGTGTGTTCATTTGGGTATGTTGCTTAGTGTTGGTGGTCACATGCAAGAATTACGTCGTGTCAGATCCGGTGCCATGGGCGAGAACGATAACATGGTGACTTTGCACGATGTTATGGATGCTCAATATGTTTACGACAACACCAGAGACGAGTCATACTTGAGGAAGATCATTCAGCCTTTGGAGACATTGCTTGTCGGATACAAGAGAATCGTTGTCAAAGACTCCGCTGTCAACTCTGTTTGTTACGGTGCTAAGTTCATGATCCCAGGTTTGTTGAGATACGAGGAAGGAATCGAGTTGTACGATGAAGTTGTGCTCATGACTACCAAGGGTGAGGCTATTGCCATTGGTATTGCACAGATGACCACGGTTGACTTGCAGTCTTGTGACCATGGCGTTGTTGCTAAGGTCAGGAGATGTATCATGGAGAGAGACACTTACCCAAGAAGATGGGGTTTGGGCCCAGTTGCCCAAAAGAAAAAGCAGATGAAGGCAGATGGCAAGTTAGACAAATTTGGCAGAGCTAATGAGAACACTCCAGAAACTTGGAAGCAAGAGTACAAGGACCATGCAGATGAGGCTGCTCCAGCTGTTCCAGAGTCCAAATTGGTTGCTCCAGAGGTTCAATTGCCCAAGAAGTCTGAACCTGAAGTGAAGTCCCAGGAAACTATTGTCGAGAAGGAAGAGAAGGAAGAAAAGAAGGAGAAGAAGGAGAAGAAGGACAAGAAAGAAAAGAAGGACAAGAAAGAGAAGAAGGAGAAGAAGGAAAAGAAGAGAAAGGCCGACGATGATGAGGAGCCCGAGAAGAAAAAGAAGTCCAAGAAGTAAATCCAGCATATTCATTTTTGTCACTCGCCCCTTTTGTACATTGCCTTTCGTCATAAATCTTCGAAATAAAACATATTTTCAGTATATTCTGCCCACAAATGTAAGATATAAAGTGTCCATGGAGCTATCTCCCCACACTCATGCAAGCATGCTCAAGCCTTTTAATACAATCACGCTTCTTCATCAGGAATATCTTTTCCACATCGCCAAGCATTTGGGTGTTTTTTAGTGAAGATTTTGCTTGATCATCGGCCAAAATCAACATGCCAACAAGACAAGAATTATCGTCCCCATTGACTATTCTGTGAACGACTTCCTGAAGCATATCAGAACTCTCCTCGAGACTAGTCGAGTATTTATAGAGTAAGTAAGACAACAAAGTCTTGAAAAAACCTTTATCTTCAACATCTAGTTTCTTACCGCGGATGAAAGTTAAGTCTTCCTTCAATTCTGGACTCTTTCCATTTGCAAACTCTTGACCACGCTGGGCCATAAGCACAATCTTGTATGTCGAGTGCAAAAGGGTCGATTTACCAAGATTTTTGTATGTATCATCACAACCGTTTTTATCAAAAGCTTGAGACAATTCGGAAAGAAGATCACCCAACAAGCTATGACATGAAACAATTTGCGATTTGAGCTCGGGCGTAATCACATTTGTTTTCGCCATTACCTGAAGATCATGTTCAGCGATGAGGACAAGATGAAGAGTCAGAAAAAGATAAAGCTCATCCGCATCCAATTTTGGAAGCAATGCGTCACATCCAATGCCAAGAGTCTTCTGAATACTTGAAATGGACGCATCTTCCACATTAATCGTCTTCTTGGATCGACTTCTGATGCGCAGAAAATAGAATCTTGCTGAATTGAGATCTCCGTGTGACTGAAAATAAGTTGCTGCCAAGTAAAGAAATTTCGAAACAAGCAACTTATAATAACACATCTCTTCTTTTGTGAATTGATCGCCATCGAAACAGTCGATAAAGAACTGAACAGAGGAAATACCACCAAAGTTGCTCTCATGCATAAATTCCACCCAGAGCTTGTAATATATCACCGTATAGCGGAGAAAATTGAGTCTGACAATTTTATCAGTGAGAAAGGAGATGCCGAATTTTTTTGTTTCGGTCTTGGCCGTAGTAAGTTGACTGAGCTGGATGTTGATGATGTCGAGACATGTTGAAAATACTTTTTTCGTTTGCTCATGTTTAGAATGATCGAGAATGTCGAGCAAACCACGTAGAAAGTAAAATAATATCACAAACTCATCAGAGTTGAGCCATTGCACCTCGAAGATGGAAACGTCCAGTTCATCATCAAGTAAAGGAACATAAATACAGAATATGCCATCGTCCCTCCAACCAGCCCAACTCGATTTGCGTTGAAGAGAAAGAAACTCATTTATTTTTGCCGCAGCCTCTTCGCCAGCTACCAGATCATTTTCTTGCACACAACATGCTAATTTTGTTAAATATAGTAATGCCATAGTTTGTGGGGAAGAATCTGGCATGAAATTTAAATTTTCAGCCTTTTCAATCGAGTAATTCGCTGAAGCAATTGCACCACGATATATATTTGTACTGGCTTCACAAAGGAGACTCAAGAATTTCACAACAGGATTTGTTTTCGTCTTCATGCTCAATGTATTAATTGAAGCAATAGCCAATGAGCCATCCCCGAGAAAAATGTGATTCGTCCGCAATAATGAGAATAAATCTGCTATATTATCGAGTCCCCCCGCCTCGTATGCCTTTTGTTTCTCGCTGAAAAACGAAGGTAAACCTTGTGGGTTAATGTTTTCGAGAATCTCGCAATACAAGAACTCATTGATTACCTTTAGTTTGGTCAAATTATGTGTGTTTGCCAAAGATATTGCCAAATTAACGAAATGCTCCGCCTTGTCCAAGGATTGAGTTTCTTTTGCGTATATTATTCCAAGCTTGTGATATATTACCAGCTCAATGATCGGGTTCAAGTAAGAGCTGTATTTTTCGATGAGAATATGCAATGCCTTGAGAGCCAATTTGATGAGACTATAGTAAATTTTTGTACCTCTTGTGTCGTTTGACTCAAGCACAAGCGAATGAGCCTTCTTCAAGAAGCTATCAGATGCACGTATGAAATACATGACGTGAAATTCATTCTCCTTTTCGGAATGAAGAAGAATATCCAGCATATCTACTTTGGGGTCATCTGCTATTTTAATCAGTTGGCTTGCAATATCTTCATCGTTAGAGTTGGAATCTTTTGGAGAGGTTTTATCGTTGGGAAATATAAGTTCCAGACTAATGGAATCCAGCTCCAACGGCAGAAAATCTTCGCTGGTATCGACAGGTACGAACTTCTGTAGGCTTTTTTCATATTGCGTTTCCAAGTAAGACTTTGGCTTCTCATAGAATCTAGATGTAGAGATTTGAGCGATTGGTTGAGAGGTTTTCTTATTTGTGGATTGCGAAGCTTTTGTGTCTTTGCTGGAGGAAGGACGTGACGATGTCAAGATCAGTACCAGGCTCAGTTGCGAGGATGACGCTTGGGGATCCTGGACTTTATTCCTTTTCTTCTTCTTTTTTTTTTGCGGGGCCTCAAACAGAACTTCTCGCCGAGAGAGCGCCATCAGTCGTTTCAAAGGCCCCCCTCCTCGTAGTCCAGATTGGAACAGATATTCGTGCATTTCTATCGCGTCAAAGGCTGGTGGGGTGTTGAGAATTGCGTATATGTGGAGTAACAAACGCGCGATGCGAAGCCGGGTCAACGCGTAAAGTTATATAGCTGAAATCAAGACTTCTCTAACTTATGTTTTCGCAATGACTTCAGATGAAGAAAATTCAGACCATTACTTGAACTCTAATTCTTGAGAATGGGAAATTTATATCATTAGTTGAGAGTATATATGGTCTGTTTATCTTTCGTGTCCCATTTGCTGCAATTGTAACTCCATCCCGCGCAGTCTAGCCCTCTCCTCTTCTAATTCCACTTCATATTGATCTTGTATATCCTCCACAATTTTTTTGAACTCTTTTCTCAAAATCGCAGTGCTCATCATTTTCAGCCGAGTGGGCGAGGCAGCGGAGCTGAGTGTGTGATCTTCCTGTAGATCATTATCCAAAGAGGATAGTAGAGACGGACTTATAGCGCTAGAAGAGGCTATAGTCTTATTGCCCATCACGTCAATTTTGAGGCTGTTTAATTCTTTCCGAAGTCTTAAAATTTCTTGATCTTTCAATTTTAAGGTGTATTTTGACTTGAAAGAATCTTTGCTATTTTCAGGCGGGACTGAAGAGCGACCTTGAAGCCGGCTTAATTCTTTCTCTAGGTATATCTTCTTCTTCCGATACTCCAGAATCGTCTTTAGCGAGTTTTCTTTCAAATAGTTGTATTTTTTCGTGAAATACTCCTGAGAAAATCTCAAATCGTTCAAAGCTATTTTGTACTCTGACAAAACCTTTTCCAGGTCTGTAGCTTTCTTGTAAGTACTTTGAGGAGTCGCCGATAAGAATGAATGATCTTTAATAAGTGAGTCATCATCTACCACTGTGAACTCAAACTCCTCTGTATCAGCAGAAGATGGCGCAGACGCACCAGCCACAAGAGCATTGATACACTCAGATGCCCATGATATCTTTTCTTGTAAAGCGACAGTATCTGATTCCGAAGGAAATATCGGTAAAGATACGTTTTTCTGTGCGGCAAGAGACACTATATGCGAGAAGAGAGCTTCAAATGCACGCAGAGACTGTACATCATCATGTCTGGGTGATTGGGATGACATGTCGAATGAGCTACCACGGGACATATTTGAGATTCTCACGTCCTCAATATACCCGGAAATAAGACACACCAAGTTGTGGTTGTTGAGCTGAAGATTAAGATCATCGAGCTCCTGCGAGGTCTTGATCAAGCGCAGTTGAAGGTCACTGATCTGCTTTAATACTTTGAGTAAAAGCAGCGAGTCCAACTCCGACCGCGAAGATTCAGGAGCGGAAAGAAGCGTTGTACAAAATTGATTCGATAGCAGACATTTATCCTCCAAGTACTTCTTGAGCTCTGTTTTTTCCGCTATGCTTTCCTTGACATCTTTCAACGTGGATAAGGAGAGAATGGACTTGGAGGATATCTGTGAAGCGTCAAACACACTGTTCTCGATCAAGACTCTCATATTTGGGTAGTCATACATTTTCAGGTCGGCAACAGTTTTCGACAAGTCCGACAAGTCAGACCTTGGGGTTAAGCTACCCGATGCTTCACTGTCCTGCAGAAATTCATCGTTTCCATCGGTGTCTTCTTCAAAGAATAACGAGTTTTCTTGAATAATGTTTTGAAGGTGGGTATTGAATGAAGATTCAGCAAACAGAGACTCTAGAATATGTTGTGGCTGGAGCTGAGAGCGTACCTGTTCCTGAAGCTGAAACTTTAAGAGCTCAGGTGTCGTGTTGGAAAGATTGTAGGAGACATCGTTGCAAACCTTGAAAGGACTATTCTTCATGAATGTTTCGGGGTCCAACATTTTCAACACCTCTTACAGATCAGAGTGACTTCGGCTTTATGTGAAGTTGGCCTCTCACTCAGATGATTCTGTCGAACTTAAATTCCGGCCAAGCTAATGGAAACAAGTGCTCTAAAGTGACGTTTCGAAGAACTTATTGAAGTGACAAGAAAAAACCAGACCTGCGGGCGGGCGAGACATTGCTCTTGACGCGTCGCGCACTAGAAAAAAAAAAACAAGGTCCTTGATGCGGCTCTGCATTCCTGAGCTGTTATTAAATAAGCTGATTGTGGACTAGCCTTCATATGTAATTGTTCAGACTTAATGAAACAATAAGGAAAAACAGGGAATGATGGCCTTGAGCCCATAATTTTTTTTTTTTATTTTTGGACGATGTATTCCGCTATCATGTTTCCTCTCTTGCAACAAGATTTCGCGTCTCCGCGTGTGATTCAGAATCAATTAAACTTTGCCCAGCCCTGTCCAAGTACTTTTTTGAACGACCGTGGGCTGGAAATTTCGAATCAGTCTGAACCAATCTAATCTTGGAGTCTTTTTTTTGTCGAAAAAAGCCTCTTAAAACAGAAGATCCACCTCGAGTAGCGAAGGTCCTCAGTGACATTGATCCTTCTATTAATCATCGACGTAGGGACTCATCGCTCAAAGACGTCAAATTCGCTTTCGGTGCGTTTGTTATTAATCACGTGCCAATTTGTAGGGCCTTGGTGCGAGAGTTGATCGCGACTTCAGATGCGGAACTCATCACCATGGACCTTCATGCACAAGTCGGGAGGGAAGAATCTGGCTCTGCTCGCTCGTGAGCCCCAAAAAGCTGGCCTGGAGATAAGATATTTTTCGTTCAATGTGAATGGAGCAAAAACGTTATTCAACTATCATCCATGGAACCAGCTCCAAGGAAACTTCAATGCATTTCTTAGGGCCGTAGATGCGGACATTATCTCACTCCAAGAGCTAAAAATTCAACTGGACACAGTCACACAGTTTGGCCTCAACAAGGACTATAGATCCTTCATTCTGATCCCAAAATTTAAGAAAGGCTACAGTGGGGTCGGTCTTTACGTGCGGCTTCCTCAGCAAGATGAGTCTCCCCAAGTACAACAGGCTCTCACTGTGGTGGGGGCCGAGGAAGGAATAACCGGCAGGTTGAAGGACAAAATAGAAGGTGTGCCCTATATGAATCTTCCAAAAGAACAGTCGATTGGAGGCTATCTATTGGCAGAGGACATTGCACAACTCGAATTGACTGAGCAGGACATGCTTAATCTTGACTCTGAAGGCAGATGTGTCATTGCTGAACTAGCAAACAATACCATAGTTGTCTCTCTATATTGCCCTGCAAACTCAATGGGTACTCCTGAGGGCCAGAGCTTTCGCTTGAATTTTCTCGAGGTGATGTTTCGAAGATGTGCTAATCTAGAAGCCCTAGGCAAGAAGGTAGTTGTGATGGGGGACATCAACGTCAGTCCCGATCTTATAGATAGCGCAGAAACTATCAATGAACTCATAAAGAAAAAAGCTGTGGTCAATAACTTGATTGAAGGGGGCTCCGAATTCGAGATGGTGAATCGGGAGGCGTGTTTGAGCTTCCACTCGTCCACCTTGCACAGATCTTTACTACACAAATACATTTTTCCTTCTTTGGAAGGGGCCCCGAATTGCAAAACCCAGTTTTTATTTGATACCACCAGGGTTGTCAAGAAACGAGAGCTTGCCTTATACACTGTTTGGAACACAATGACGAATTCGCGACAATCGAATTTTGGCTCTAGAATTGATCTCATTCTTATTAGTAGCGAAGAGGACTTGCGGCAAATTAAAAGGGCCGAGTTACTATCGTTCTTACACGGCTCAGACCACTGTCCCATATTGACAGATCTATGTGTTGCCCACCAGGAACTTCATCCCATAAAACGAGTCAATAATCTATCATTCGAGGCAAAGAAGTTTTACAATCTAGTGAGGCACCGTGATATTTCAACCTTGTTCTCCACAGCAGCTATTAAGCGATCATCTGACTCAAAATTTTTGGATACTTCTGATACCTCCGAGGCGGAAATAATGAACAAATCTGAATTTCAAACTCATGCAAAAAAGAAAAAACCACCCGCGTCTAAAAAATTATACTCTGGGAGAAAAGCTGCAACTTCAAACATGTCGCAGCAGCCAATTCAAAACTTCTTTTTTCAAGTGAGACCTGACAACTTACGACATGCCCCGCAAGATCCGGGCCCTCAAGAAACCAAGCCACTTGAAATAAAAAAGTCAGAAGCTGTAGACGTTATTTCGCAATTTGCAAACCTTGTTTATGATAATCCTCCACTTTGCCATCACAACGAGAAGTGCATTCTAAAAACGAGCAAAACGCAATTTAGTAGGGGCAAGAAGTTTTGGTGCTGTGCACGAGCTTCCAAAGGTTCCATTGAACTTGGCGATCACAGATGCAACTTCTTTGAGTGGACAAAAAAGCCCACAGATTCACTAAATTGAAGTACAAAACAGACATTCATGAATGCAACGTAGATTTGTACATGCCTCAAAGAGGCAATAATGATGAAAAACTAAAAATACATAAACCCTGACAAACCATCCTTTCCCGCAATTCTATCGATGCATCCCGATTGGCCTCATTCTCTCTTTTTTCTGATTTTTTAGTGAGATCCCGCTTCCATTAGAACTCAATTACGATTTACGGAATTCACTCAACACAGGGTAGATAGCCTCAAAAGCAGCATAAATCTCTTCTCTTTGTTTTGCACCTGTCAAGACAATTTTCCCCGAAACAAAGATCAATAAGACAATCTTTGGTTTAACCATTCTGTAAATCAAACCAGGAAACAATTCAGGTTCATAAGACGAGAAAGTTCCATGCGAAAAAGCAAGACCCTCTAATCTGATAGGAAATTTCACGTCACAAGAACCAACAATGTTCTGAATTTTGAAGTCGGTGAATTTAGCATTGAAACCCAACTTTTGTATGATACGTGCGTATTTCCTCGAGGCAAGTTTGGAGTCATCTTCGGACTTGGCACCAGTCACAACCATTTTACCAGAAGCAAAAATAAGTGCTGTGGTTTTAGGCTCTCTGATACGCATAATGACCGCAGCAAATCTTTTAGGATTGTATTCTGCATTACGAGCATGCAAAGCAATGGTTTTCAAGTCTAAGCGACAGCCCAAGTTCACAGTAGCCACAATATTTTGAAGTGTGGGCACAATTCCAGACATAGCACTGTCCTCATCATTCTCGTTGGGTTCCATGACGCCAATATCTCCATCCTCACTTTTCTTCACATGTGTCACGGCTGAATCAATACCTTGAGGGAAAGACAAAGAGCCAGGGGCTGTGAATGTGGATGCTGATGCAGCTGTTGTGGGGAGTTTCAATGAATCCATTTTCCAAGCTGGATAAATCTATTATATATGTTTTAAATAAACGAAATGAAACCAAAGATGACAAGTTAATGTATCTTTGTTTATATGAATTTGATCACAAACTTGATCAATCGGGTTTGTTGAAGCCAGGTCGATGTCAAACTATATTTCTGAAAGATATAAATTGAAATGGTGTTTACAGTGAAGATGAAGGCACTGTATGCAATACGCCAGATGACACAAATTCTAGGATTCAAGACCGCGGGGTCGGAGGGGACGCCGCGCCTTTTATAGTCGTGCACCTTTGTCCGGGTAATTGCCATGCTAGTGTCTATATGAAGGACACTCATCTCAACCACAATAGTTTGGCAAGGAATTCGGGAATTTTGAACCTTTATGCCTCAACACTCTATGGAGACGGCGTATTCTCAGAACATTTGGATACACGTCTGATAAGTGTCACTTTGTATCCAAAAAAAAAAGAAGGCGGTGTTCTTGATTCTGTAAGATTGAGAGGGTGCCCTTACAACTCGCGATTGCTCGTTTGGCTGAAATGAAGGTAAAATGCTGAATGATGCCAGTCAAAACATGAAGACTTAGTCTAATCAGCGTTCCCTCAAGAGTTTGTTTCTTTTCTCCTTCTTTCTCAATCTATCAACTTTCTTGGCATGCATCTTTTGAGCGATTCTTTCATACCTCTCCTTTTCTTCAATAGCCTGTCTCCGCTGCTTGACCTGCTCGATCTTCTTGTTTTTCTCGTCTGCCTTTTCTTGTTTCAAACTGTTGATACGCAGCTTGAACTGTTCATTTTGTAGTTTTTTCTCCTCTCTGAGTTTCCAGGTGTTCATTTTTCTCACACCAGCAGATTTTAAACGGAATGCATCTTTTTTAATCTTCCAGTCCTTTCCATTTACACGAGTACCTTCACCTTCATCCTTTTTCACTAACGGATCGATGTATCTCTTGGGAATATCCTTAAATTGTTTCTCTGAAGTTGCACTCATCTTTGCTATGAAAGAATTCCGACCTGAAAAGGATGAGATGAGATATGTGGAAGGTACCCATACGATCGTGCGCGGCACAGAACAATTCGCACGCCTCAGGGCTGATATTAGTTCGCGACTCAGTTTGAACTAATGCACGAGGGAAAGGCGAGTAAAATATCGTTTGGCTAGACGGTAAATACGTCCGTTGATCCTGTAAGCCTTTTGTCAAAGATTATTCATTTATGCGAAGCAATCAAGTATATAGACATGCTCTAATTCCCTCAAAATGTTGGCTTTCAAGATGAGCTCTGCTCGTCGTAAACCTCGGCACGTTTATCTATGAGTAGGATAGCTCGGCGAGTCCATTTGCGCGTCCTAGTATATCTTGAAAACCCATCTTCATATTTTTGATCACCCCAGTTTTTATCGTAGTAAACCCATCCAGTCGGGAATCTAGAGCGATTATACTCAAGATCAATGGACCACTTATCGTCCACCCATTGCCACTGGTATGTGAAAAGGTCATTTTCATACACAGGGAAAACAAATTCCGCATCTGTATGTGGATCAGGGGCCGAGAGCATCAGTTTTTCATAGCAAAAACTTGCCCGCTCATTAGGCAATAAGTACTTGGACCAGCCAAGCCCAAGCCAACGTCTTTCGTTTTCCAAGACATCATATCGTACAACATGTTTAAGCTGCGTCAGGGACACAACAACTTTCTTCAAAATCACAAAATTAATCGCCGCCTGAACAGTGTCTGCGATCGGATTGCTGCTAGCTTGGACCTCTACATCTGTGCCTGACGGACTGTGTGTTCTCGAAATAGTTTCATGTGCACGAGATGTCGGAGACGAGTAATTGCTTCGCATCAAGCGAATGTTTAGGCCTGTGAGATGGTAGATTACCTTTCGCAAGTAAGCAGACCTCCAGAGCAATCTGCGCACAGCAAATGAGAATGGTGAGTGGTATGTAAGCGCAAGCACACCTACAAACCAGAGGCATGTCTGGGGCAGAAAAAGGAACTTGACAATCACTAGATGTATGGGTGAAAGGATGACAGCCCCAAGAACCATTTTGATGTAATTCCGCATCGACATATCGAGATGTTTTGCAGGGCGGAGTAAAAGCTCAAATCGTACAGTGATATTGTGTAGCGTCAGCAAAACCTCATCAATGGTAGGCTTTTCATCAAATTTGGCATCATGCATTATAGAACTCGTGTTCCAAACCACACTCGAGAACACCAACGCAGCAAGAGACGGTATGAACCAATACTTCAAGTATTTCCAGTATAAGACAATCACGGAGTACAGAGCCACGAAGAGAATATTAAGGAAGGGGTCGTCGTTCGTCCAGGTAACAATTTTGAGAGCATTGTCAATGACTAGGAGATAAGGAAAGATGTTCGAAAGTGCCGAGGCTAGAAGTGGATTGTCCACAAGAAGCTGTGCTTGCGTTAAGGTGGATAGAAGCTTGGGTTCCGTGGGCTCAAACAATGCATAAACAATATTGTCGGACATGCTAATATGATATTTGTGCACGGGCCACAGCAGAAGGCTCAAATGAATGTTGAACGAATTCCAGGAACGCTCAGCCTTTAATGCGGAGAAGCTTGGCGAGGCATATGCGAAGTCGCATTCGCAGTCGGGACATTCGCACAATTCGACCTACTCCAACTTTTCCCGACTTCCACGTACTATTTGAATTTTCCGTTGAGATAAGGCTCAATCGTACTTTTCAATCAATACTGGATAGCGTGTGATTCACTACAAACCTGTGTCTACCGATCCATTTATGTGTTGTGATATTATAGTATTTCGTTAAGTGCCGTTTTCGTTATTGTTGATGAGAGTTGAACCTTTGAATTACTGAAACAAATTTGACGACCTCATCACAAAGTGTCTATCCTTATTGCTTCGGCACTTCCGCTTGTGCCTTTGCATGTTGCTGAATAGCCTGCTTTTCACTCTCTTGCTCGTCTAGGTATCTCTTCCACTCGGGCACAGGAGCGGGGAGCGAATCGGCGAGCTTTTTCTCATGCATGCTTAAAAGAAGAGTACCCAACAACAAAACCACAGTGATTGCCTGGGCGTATACTCTTGCCTGAACGGCTTTTTGAGCTGTGGTCATATACTTGTCCTTGTTGACGATTGCCCAGGACCCCCACAAAGATGCTGCCCATGCACCAACGATTATTTTATACTTGTTATCGTTCACTTTTGTGAAAATCTTGTCGCCCGTGGATAAGGTCTCCCAACGCTCGAGACGTTCTTTCTCAACCTTTTCAAGGTAGTCCGATCTGTGAGTTTGTTCATCGAACTTCACGGAGCCATCGTCGGCGTAAAAAGCTGCCATACTGATTGTTGGCATTGCCCACATAGCGGCCTTGATGGATGCATTAAAATTCTTGTAAGGAACAGGATATCTTCTTTTCACACCTGCAACCATGAGGCCTGCTAACCCTGCCCCGACCACTGTTCCTTTGAGACCCTCTATGAGCACTGTTTGCCAGTGAGAGTCTCTTTCTTCGTCATTAAGAATTTTCATCTTCGATTTTTATCTATGGTTTTAACTTCTGTTTGTGTACCAAAAGCCAGAAAATGGGTTGCGGATTCCGCTACTTTATATCGAGGTTGGGTATTAAATTGCTACATAGCGCGCAAAGATATTTGGCCGGCTTTGGCCGATTACTCTGCAATGAGAGTTTCGCATTGCTTGTCGGCCGGCCCGACCCGACACCGATGACCACATGGAACAAGAATGGCGCCATTGTGAACTATATGCAGGCGTTAATGAGGTGGTCTTTTACGAAAGAATTCCAATTGGCCTAGCTTGCAAGCAATGCTTCTGGGGCCAGTATTTACAACTTCTCAAGGAAAGCATCCAAAATACATATCTTATGTTTTCCTATGTAGATGCTGCCAATAGCCATATTTGTTTATTTTCTCGTCTAGAGTCAAGAAAGATTCAATTGAGTTGTTCCGTGGAAGTAAGAAATAACGCATTAGGCTGATGACAAACACCTGCATTATTGGTACGTGTAACTGAACTGCATATGGGCAATTCCGAGGCCGCCTGCAGAAAGTGAAAAACGGGGCAAGCGAGGCAGTCTTATGATTTGACAATGTTGTCTGTTCTGCACGATTCTAGCTTGCACGGCACTTGTGTTCAAGCCATCATTGCTGGAATAGTACGCAGACCTAACACACAGATCTAGTACACAGATCCAACGCAACCTTTAGATTGTAATTGTTCCAATGTTTATGGTAAAGGCTTGCCTGGCTCTGGTACTTTTAAATATGTTTTCGAAATAGAGCCACATGGGCTGATCACATTTTCTACTCTGGGAAAGACACGCCCTCGGATATATCGTAACATTCACAAGTATTCAAGCTTACCAAGATATGTGAATAAAGGTTTGTATTCATGAATTAATTGCGATATAAATTAGGTCTTGTAATCGTTAGATCTCGCAAATCTTCTCTCGATCGTTCTTCTTCTCTTGTTAATGAACAACAACTCATTCAGGTGTTTACCGCCGTCGGAACTAGAGTTCAAGAGGGGGGATATCGTGGATGCAGAGCCTGAGTAATAAAGGTCGTTCTCAATGAGTTTATCGTTTCCAAGATAAACGATTTTTACAACACAACCGAAAGCGATAGCAACAGCTTTGAACCCAAATTTGGTGATGAGAGTTGGCCGCATGAAATAACCATTTTTGTCTAACAGGTCTCTCATTGGGATATCGTATTCTAATATCTTACCGTTCAGCGCCGTGACAACAATTCCTTGCCACTGATTACTGAATATGTGTAATTTGTCTTGTCCTCTGTGTGGTTGCTTTGTACTTTTCCGGTTTCGAAGGGAAGAAAGACATACATCGCCGTTCGACTTGTCAATATCAAAACTGCGATCACCGGAATCGTCAAGTTGTTGTTCATCGGACATCACCTTTTTTATTCCAACGATGACATTCATATCGGTAAGCTCCCACTTTTCAATGTTGTCGAACCAATATTGTTTTTCCACGGCAGCATCGAAACCCAAACAACGGATTTCAAGCGGATCTCTCTCAACTCTTAAGCATATGTTATTTCTGGACTTTTTGTTTTCGAGCTGAAAGGTGTGAACTATAAGTGTTCGATCATAAAGGTCCTCGTAAATCAAAGAAACGGATTCAAATGAAACACAGCCGCAAAATTTGCAATGGGTGGGCTCTGAATGAGAAACGCGGAACGTGCCAGGCTTAAACGTTCCTATGTGAAAAAGCCGTAGCACAGTACCAGTTTGAATATCGATTAGTTCGGCTTGAAGATTCCTTACACGAACAAACATCCCAACGAAATCAATTGTGACAATAGTTGATTCGTTCATAGATCCAAATTTGCCAAGTCCATAATCCACGTCTCGGTGAGCCTCAGTATTTCCTTGCCTATGCATATTTTCGGAAAATATGTGTGACTTGGAGTGCTTTTCTGAAGGCAACCAAGTTCCTCTTGTCATCAAAGGAGGGGCGAAATTAATCAGCGAATTAGAAACAAAGTATTTGTTGGTTTTGAGCTTTGAGAATCTCCAAATGTTGTTCACAGCTGAGCCAATCACAATCTCATCGTTCGAAATTGAGCAAATGACCCGATCATTCACACGTGCTGTTATCAAGAACTTCAGCGAGAGAATTTTCAAATCAGCAGAGGATGGTTCATCAGAGAACACTTCAGCCAACAAGTTGTATACTTTTACCTTCACAGAGTCACAAGAGATGGTAATCATTTCACCAGTTTCCAAAATCATGACGAATTCTTCGCGATTGAAAGCATCTTCGTATTCTCTTCCGGAATTATTTTTTGCCGACGATGAGTTATTAAAGGTTCCAGTCATCAAAGGTGGGGGATAATTTCCATGCATAGTGCAAAGCGATGCATCAGAACCTCGCTTGCTTCCACCAGATAGTTTTTTACGTCTCAGCAAGAGCTCTCTTGCAAAGAATCCAGCAACTGTCTTTTTTCGAAAGAAACACAAGACCGGCTTCATCTTTCTCTGTGCTTGGGAAAGTTCGCTTGTCAAAGATATTTCCCAGACGTACTTTTGTTCATTTTTGCTGTAACACTTAATACGGCAATTTCTGTTATTAATGAGCATGATGTAATCGCCCTCATTGCTGATTTCCACATGATTCACCGGCCAAAACTCTTGTCTTTTCTTTGGTGCAACTATGTTGTTTTCGAACTCAGTTGAAATATCCACCACCCCGATCTCTTGATTTTTTTCTAAGGGAGACCATAATGAAATGTGGTGGTCTAAATCAGTGGTGACAAGGAATGGTGCTTTGGGATTAGCAAAAAGTCCCAACTTGTCTGAAGAGTTACACTCGTCTAAAGTTATCGCTTCAAATTTGCGAGTACTATCAATATGCGACAAGTCGGAGAACTGCATTTCAGTTTGACCCAAGATAACAACGGAATTTAGGTTCTGTTTTTGAGCCTCAGAAAATTTTAGCCTAAACGTGATTTCGGAGATGGCAATTATGATTGTGATAACGGTGAAAAGTTCGAAAAAATATAATGCATCGATCTTGTCCGCAATGATAGTACTTGACTTGAACAAACTCAAGAATTCGTTTATATGTCCTTTCTCCACTAGGTGAGTATGAATAGCAATTGTAACACTTGCACACATACAAAGCAGAGGAATGATTTTCAGCCAAAGATATTTTGGGGAATGCGGTGAAACTTTTAGAAGATAAGTTCCCAACTTGTGATTCCATGAATATTTCCCATCTGATTTGTGCTCGAGGAGTCTAGCTGACAATGGATTTACTTCATGTAAATTAGGTAATTCTAAATCGTTTTCGATTGTCGCTTTTGCGAGAACATCAGTCAAGTCAATTCTATGCAAATCAATGACTATGATGGCAACCATATAAGTCAATTGAAGAAAATGATCAACGATTAGAGTGATGATGGTAAGTCGGAGATATTTCAGGAATATTTCACAAAATGCAGCCCAGACAAAGCTATTCACAAAGAAACGGACGACTAGCGCACAAAAGCCCATCGTTGTGGAAAGACCTGCAATATTGATCAACAATATTATGGTTGTGTTTGGAATAGGGGCCATATAGTAGTAAGTGTCTAAGCGCATCATTCTTCTAATGAAACAACTGACATGGAACACACCCTCAGAGTTTGCAACGCTGCTATTAAACCCAAGATAAAATTTGATTAATCTTTTATGAAGACTTTCAGGTTCACCAAAGGAAGAATCGCCAGCCAAGTCATTCACTGTTCGAAATATATTTCTTGAGCTTAATATCAAGACTGTTAACGAGTAGTATCCGAAAACAAGCAAGTTAATAGGATATGGGGCGTCTGGCCATTTTGGGGAGTGATTGACCCTGGATTCAAGAGCCAAGGAAACAAAACCTGAAATCAAAATACTGTTTAGCCAGCCAATGACCAACCCGATACTGGACTTGACTTTATGACTGTTGAAAATGGACAAGTAAACTTTGAGCACAGATACGGTAAGAAGGAGTACCTGGATCAGTCCTATGGTGTATACCAACCAGTTCAATGATGCGTTTTTTCTAGTAATTGCATTGTAGTAAGAGATAAAATCATGTCCCCCATGAACTGTCGTTATCATACTTTGAGAATTGGGAGCCATAGAGATGCCGTTCCATTCCGGTAAAGCCAAATTGGTTTCTTGTGAGAGGAAGATGACCGAAAGTTGCTGAGCCATATATATAACGTGGTTGCGTTTCCCGATGTCATTGAAGAATACTGATACTAACCTTGACGGAAGATCGTGATTTATCATCTTCAAGTAGCACTTTTCAATTCGTTTCTCATCACTGCTCTTTGTCGTCTCAGTCATAATATTATCCGGCAAGAACCTGAGCGGGGAGACCACAGTCGTAGAGCATGGCACCTGGTTGATCCATTCAAAAAGTTCGAGGAGACTCTCATAACGTAGAACATTGTCTCCGGCAAAAGATACCCTGGTAATTGTCAAATTTGAGGCGGTTGTCTCAGACTCCAAACTCCAGTTCGAGTCGCGGTACGATACATGAAGCCCGTTTACGAGAGTGCAATCATTGAGAAACGTGAGCAAGCTTCCATTCAAAGGTTTGAGCGTGATATCATAAACCGCAGAATAAGAAAGCAAGAACACCGAAAGAATTGGGATCATGATGAACAACCTCGGATGCCTCAAGAGGCAAGCCGTCCAAGTGATCAACCAATCATTGACAGTCTTCATCTCGGCATTGCCCCAATCTGAAAAAAAAAGAATGAGCCAAAAAAACTAGTTCAGCGAAAGTCGAGAAAATGGCGTGATGTGAGTCTATTTTTTGCGACTCTGGTAGCTCGTTCCTGGGTAGGCCTTGTGCGGCTTGCGGCGTTCACGAATGAAGTTCTTCCTCGACCAACCAGATTACTGAGAATAGCTTAATTCTGTTTTCGGAAGAATATGCATCAAATCGTGCCATGTGCCTACAATGAAAGCATCGTGACAGATCAAATTACTAGCTTTTTCGTTTATTAGTTTGAACATCAAGAAATGTCAACATGTTTGAGTGACGTCTTCAAAATTTCCAATGAATTCGCTAATTGTTTTATTGACGTAGCTGATGGTTTACGCAAAGATCCCAGCTGTAGACGTATGGTGGGATTTGAGTGGGTTAACACCTACTCATGAGTTAGCGCCGAAAACGCTTGGTCTGCTATTTGGCCAAACTAGCAATGCTCAAGCCGTTCATTTGTGTGAGCAAGTCATCAATCTTGCTATCCAAGACACCGTTAGCGTACTCGTCCCTGCTTGCCTGGTCTAATTGTTGCTGTACTTGAGCGAGTCTGGAGTAGCCTTCGGTGCAGAACTTTAACTGAATCTTCACCAAGCTCTCAAAAGATGGATCGTAGAAAGGCACACGCAAGCTGATGAGCTGGGGCAATTCTGCTTTTAATTGCTCGTTCAATTCATCATATATTTCTTTTGCCATCGCCAATTCTTTCTCTGCCCGTGGCAACTTCCCTGCGTCCTTAGCAGGCTTGTCCACTAGTCTTCTGACCTTTGCCTTGCACTGGTCAAGATCAGTTTTTTTGTGCGCTCTCTTTTTGACAGCCTCATCAATCTCTCCGAAATAGTTCACAAACTTGGTAACGGGATCCAATATAGTCTCGCGGAAAGGACCGTCCACTTGTTTGACGGTCTCTTCGTCAAGCTCACGCACGGATTGGAGGTAAAAATTACCTGACGTAGAGTACATCGATCCATTTTGGCCAGGATCTTCATACAAGTTGGATACAATCTCAGCAATCGTTACCTGGGATGCCGTAACTGCTCTCAAAGAGTCTAGGTAACCTTTCGACGCCTTTTGCAAGTTTTCTCCTGCTGTTTTCAATGTTTTATATCTTCTCTCCTCGGAGTCAAAATCCTTGTCCATGGTTTTATCCACATCTTTGACGAGCACGGAGCCACCGGCTCTGTTAATCGCTTTCTTAAATCCGTCCCACGACATATCCTTTTGTCTAAGGTATACGAGAAATTAGTAAAGTTTTGTGAGTGACCAAGTTTGTCGTGGGGTAGTTCATGCAGGAATAGAGGCGCTGCACTCATGAAATTACCTTTAGATACGGAAAGCATTGTACTTACCAGAAAGCTACAGCTAAACCAAACAGCATACCAACCATTCCACATGGTGTATGCTACCTTTCTTGACTGAAAGAGTCAAACTATTTATAGAAAAGTGAATTTCATGTAATCAATTAACTGAACGAGCCCTTGGATTTGGCTTTTCCTCAATCGTTTACTTTCATCTTTAGCTGGAGAGAAGGTTAGAAGGATAATCTTCATCTCGCAGCTTAGATTTGCCGACTTGGAAGAAAAAAAAAATTAATCAGATATTTAAACCAGCATATTCAGGATGCAGACTTCTGGAACTTTGTGGGATTCGCACCCAAAATTTCAGCACTCTTCCAAACACAAAGCAGATCCTTCTTTCGATTGACGCAAACCTTTCAGAATTTCTCACAACAAATCAAACTTAGCGGAAAATCCAACATCAAAATTACTTAGTTCACATTTAATGTTCGACGTTAGCCCCGTGAGTTCAAATCTTGGAGCTTCGCAAAATCCAAAACCGGATTTCCGACAGGACCAAAGCTCGGGTTCAATTGCACCATCTGTAGAATCGCTCAGAAAAAAAAACACAAGCCTAAGAGTATTGCATCCAAACACTCCGTTACCCGGTAGATGGTGGGGATCACAACTGCAAGAAAAGAATCCGTCGGGATCATCGAGGATTCCGAAGGAAAAAAAAAACCCCTTTGCGATTAAGAATGCAAGTCTGACCCACCTTGACGACGAAAGTTCCATGGATGAATTTTTTGAAACGGTAAATGAGTTAAGCCTGCTGCAACAAGCGGATCGCTTTTCAGAGTATAGTCCTTTAAGCTCAGCTTTGGAGGACTTTGACCCTGAGATCAGGCCACATATGACAGAGCCTTTGTTACCGGACGGCTCGCCGCTTAATTTTTCGGCTATCAAGCTGTGCCGAGGCGAAACCAACATTTACTCAGCAACTCCTTTAGCCCGAGTATGGGAGTTTAATTCCGATACCGACAAACATGAATACTCTATCCTCAACATTTTGGCTGATGAGTTCGAAAATTTGGACGAAGATGCATCCGAACCAAAACAAAGTCTCTGGAGCCAGTTTAGAAAATTGACAGTTGGACTCAACGAGGACGAGTACAACGAGTGTTACCCTTGGGCCAAATATTGTATCAAAAGTTTGCTGGACGGAGAAGAAGACTCCGAGTGAGTCAGGTGAATAGCTAGGAATAATATGCCTCGAGCGCAGCTGATGCTGTTTTCTCGAAATTAACCCTACTAATTTCCATATGCTTCCACTTGGAACTTTCCTCGTTTAGTAGCGTTGTAGAACAGTAAAGAGATGCTCCAGACCATGCTCCAAGACTTATCTTGCCTGCAACGTTGCATTTTGGGAAGAAGGTAGAGGCCTCTGATAGAAACCTTCCTTTCATTCCGGGAATATCTGACCTCAACCCTGTGAATATGATGTTCGCCACTACGCACGCACGGCAGTCCAATTCTAAAGTCTGAATTAAGGCTGCTATTGCCTTCGGCAAACTGTTTTCAGAAAAAAACGCTGCTTCAAGGATCTTTTCATTCGTCTGAATTTCTATTTCTATGTCCTCGAAGCTTTTTGCATCGTGAGGAATTAGAGGCGAATAATGAGTCGCTTCGCCTGAAAACTGAATATACTCTTTCGCGGGCAAACTCCTCAAATCAACAACAGGAACAACTTTGCAAGATTCCCACTCCAATGAAACCACCAATGCATTTTCTACGCCTGCTCCCACACAGCAACAGGGAGAGTATGGCAAAAAAGTGACGGACGCTGTCGTTCTCATCATCAAAAACTTCTTGCAGAATGTTGACTTTTCCAATGCAGACATCGAACGGTCAATTACGAAAAGTTTCGTCAATAAAGGAGAGACAAGAAGTCGCGTATGTAGTAAAACCTTGACAATCGTGGCTAATGTGTGGAAATTGTCCAGTCCCCAAGCGAACCATTTCAGGTCTCTCTGATCCTTGTTGTATGCCTGGAGCATATTCGAATATGTCTTTGATTCGGAGAGCTCTCGTAGAATCTCAGTTCTCAAGTTGTTTGGAATAGCATGTGAATCAATTTGCAAGAAACTCGGCAGGGACAAACTGGAGGTAATTGGTGGTACCAAATTTTTCCATATCGGGCTTCTCAGGGTCAATCGTACATGCTCTGACGCCTCTCCTGCAAAACCTAGCTTGATTTCACACGAGTTGAATTCAAGGATAACAGCGAAATATTCGTCTGGCATAAAATTTTAGTTAAGGAAACTTGATGTCTGCGTGTGCTCCGCGAGCGCCCTCTTTAGCTACTTACGCGCGTCCATTTCAGAGTGGGAAAAAGTTAGACCGGTTTGACGGTAATTTCAGAATGTAGTTCAAAAAATTAGATTTCGGTAGAGAATAAAAAGTAACTCAGAATTTTGAGAATAGAGAGACGATTGCAAGTTTTATTTATGACTTTGGCTGATAATAAGTGTCTGCTATGGGAGAGCCAAACCTCCGTAGCATTCTACAAAAAGTCGAGATCAGCATCATCAATATCCATAAAGTCATCATCTTGCTGTTCAAAGTCGTCTTGTCGGGGTTTCGGTTCGACTCCAGGCCTATCCAGAGTACTTTGTTGCTGTTTTTGATGAGCTTCGAGCTGCTCAAGATTCCACACAGAAACTCCTTCCTGATCCTGAGGGTTTGATGGCTGAGATAAATTCCTCAAAAACTTTTTCGCCGCAGCTAATGCCATATCTGTAGACATGTTCGTGTCTGAATCGTAAAGCGCTTGCGCAATCCACTTGGGTAGTTGTCCTTTCTTGTTCTTGAATCTCCGGTCCGCTAAAACCATAATACCATAATCGTCCTTTCCACGTAAGACACGGCCTAAGCACTGAGCAGCATGTCTCATCGCATCGAAAGAGAGGAAGTCATTCTCTTTGATTTGGAAATGATCACGCATGAATTCTAATCTTGCTTTCAAAATTCTGGACTCCGTGTACTGGAAAGGGATACCAATCATCAAAACTGTACGTCCGTAGTGATGATCAAAATCGATACCCTCGGACACTTTTCCACGTGCAACTGAAAGTAAAACTGCACCTCTACCGTTTGAGCATGCCTTTCTATATGTTTCTAGTGCCAAAGAGGTCTCTTGGGCATCTGGTGTTTCGACCAAGATCAATTTGTACTTCCAAACTTCATCAAGAATTCCCATGGTTTGCCACATGGAGATAATCGACTCCATATAAAGGTATGAAGGAAAAAAGACCACCATACCGTCTGGGGTGCATTTTGAAAATTCAATAAGCAAGGAGCCGTAATTGCGCACAACAGATGGGTCGTTCCTAATCTCAAATCTAGAGGAGATTGAAGTTTGATCGGAGCCTTTGGTGACAATCATTGGCAAAAATGATCTGCGATCTAAAGTCATGGTGTATGACTCCTGAACCACGGTCTGAAAATTAAGCATTTTCGGATACATGTCTAAAGGCGAAATTGTTCCAGAAGTTATGATCACAGACGAAAAACGGTCGAAAACGGGTTTAATAGCAATCGAAGCATCTAAGCATGTGAAATGTAGAATTGGATTTGGCACCGTTGAGCCTTCGGTTTCAAAAGGTTCTAAAATTAATTGAAACCCTGTCTCGTAAGTGGATACCAATGTCGCAAACGTTGCCACGTCTTTCAAAGCATTGAGATCTTCCACGTCTGCCAATTCAAGTGTTCGTACAAGAAGAGATAACCTCTCCGAACAGAACCGCAATGGCTTGCGGTCAATAAAAGTTAACTCTTTCAAATGCTGCAAGAAACTAACTGGCGTCTCGCTTATGACATGCAATACCTTCATCCTTGTCTTGAGGTACTCCACAAAGCGTTTCAAAAATGAAATGAAGTGTTCAGCTTTTCGAATATTACCTGGAATAGCTTCATCTAGAAGATCTTGGGGAAGAACCGGGTTAGCCATGAAGAGCTCCTCGTCTCTCGCAATTTCATTCTGTCGGAGACCTTCCACCAACTTCTCATATTCGTTTTTGAGTTTTTCGTTGTCTTGGGCTTTCATTACATCAACTGCATCAGCCAATTTGTTAGCACCACGTCCAGCACGTTTCAATGTATCATCAGTGAGATACAAAGATAGGGACTCAATACAAACGTTGTCAATGTTATGAGCTTCATCGAAGATAACAATGCTATCCTTGCTGAGCTCCTTCGAAACACGCTCTGCAATTTTAGGATCAAGCAAATAGTGATACGAGTAAATGACAACATTGCAAAAAGAAAGCATTCTTCTTACGGTAAAATAAGGACAAGTGCCTTGTTGCTTGCAGTATTTTATCAATGACTCAAATGAGTACACACCCGCAGGGATGAGATCATGTTGATCAAAATCGTATAGTTTTTCATGAAAAGAGCAAAGCCCAAGCTCGTCGGCTTTTTGAGTCATTTCTTCAGGCGTGATGCTCTGCTCTTCAAGTTTCTGTTTCAATTGGCCATTGGTGACTCGGCGGCATTTCTCGTCCACCACAGCGCCTTTTCTCTCTTTTGAAATAGTAGGATGCAAACAAAGATTCTTTCTACTCGTGAGCCCCAACCCGCGAAAGTCTTCCACGTACCCAAGTTCGTTGGAACGGTAATCCATTAGATTTTGTAGCTCTATAAGTGCTTTCTCGATCTCTGACATGGTACGGGAGCAATATACAATTTTTCGATGTTCAGGATAATGCATTTGGTAGGCAACAGTTAATGAAAGCAATGAAATGGTTTTGCCGGTACCAGAAGGCATCTCTAGAATGCAGTTGCCACCCACGTCTAAAGACTTCTTGATATCTGACATGTACGCATACTGCTCCGGGTATATCCTAGGATAAGGAAAAATGACAGGCAAGTCATCAATGTAGAACTTCATCTCCAATGCCAGGTGTGTTGATTTTGTTAGGATGCTGAACCCACTGATGAAAGTGTGTGACAAGTGAGGTCAGCTCAGTATTGGCGAAGTCTGTAGTGCGATGAAGCGATTGCGAAGCCGCATAAGCCACAAGTCCTATTCAGTTTATTCAGTGTCAAACAGACGGATTCAAACTGCCTGAAAATTGCACAACCAAAGTTCCAGGTTCAACTGTTTCGTGCATAATTCATCAGTTTTTGACCAAATTGTCATGTGTATCGAAAATTGTGCAATCGTACCATCCTGGTGCACACAACAATAAACACGCTACCTTTGCCTGTCTCGCGTCTTTAGCAATTGCCCAGAAAGGCAACATACGAATAACAAATGACTGTCTATCGACATTTATATTTTGAAACCACTAGATAAGAAGTGCACAGATAAATAAAATAAGAAGAAAACGACTGCAAGATGAAAGCTGATATTGATCAGCATACATCGGCACCCACACTTTACAGATAATATATACAGAGGATTGAAGTATCGAACTAGGCAAATCTAGTCTCAACTAAATTTTTGAGCTTCGGGAAGATGATATCAGAAGAGTCGCCAGAAGCCGTGGCTAAAATGCCCTGCTCTTTGTAGTACTCTCTCAACGGACTTATCTCCTCATTGTAAGAGTCTAATCTTTTCTGAAAAACTTCGGCCGTATCATCACTTCTTTTCAGGAGCGGCTCTCCAGTAATATCATCCTTGAAGGCAACCTTGGGTGGGTTGTAGTCCAAATTGTAGACCCTTCCGGATGGAAGGTGAATCCATCTTGCCTCCACTCTTTCCAAGATAACGCTTTGGTTGACATCAAGCTCGACCACCAAATTCAAGGGCGCACTTTGCTGATACAAGACTTTGTCTAGCTTTTCTGCCTGCAGCAGCGTACGAGGAAACCCGTCCAAGAGCCAACTGGAACGCGCATTTAACCATTTGTTAGCTCTCAATTGTTCCGTTATCAAGCCCACCATGATCGAGTCAGGGACCAAATTCCCCCCCATTGATATATTGAGCTGCTTGCTCACCAAGTGCGCTTCCCTTTGCAAGCTCGGCTCTTAGCGTGTCACCTGAAGACATGGACTTGATACCTGAAAATGACTTCAAGAGTTTCGAGGTCTGTGTACCCTTGCCAGACCCCGGGGCACCGAGCAATAGAAGCCTAATGGGTTTGGAAAGTTTCATTGAGTTTGAAAAAGCCGGACCAGGCACGGATGAGCGAATGTATTCCCAAAACAAAATTGGTTGCACAAGCCAAGTGAAATTTGAAACGATTGGCTCGCACTAGAGTGGGGCAGCCAATATGGTGCAACTCTCCGGGTGCGAGTCAGGCGAAAGCTCGTCACGTGGTACGCAGAGTGTCAATCGAATGTAAAATTGGGTGCCCACATGAAAGACTTGATTTTGGTATTTTATTATGAAAAGATGGCTAATTCCTATTACTCATCGTCAGAATCGATAATTCTTCTCCTCTTGCGCCTGTCCTCGTTGTCGTCAGGTGTTGAAGACTTATATTTGAACTGTCCTTCGGACTTCAAGCTCTTCAATCTCTCGGCACCCTTGTCAAAAGCCTCCTCTTCATCATTTGCGTCAAATCCTTCCCCATCCTCTTCCTCGTCTTCGTCCATCTCGGGTTCTTCGTCGTCGTTAGCGACAAAGTCGTCTTCATCATCATACTCGTCGTCTCCGTACGTCCGCTCAAATCTTTCGTAGGCAGAGGAATAGCTACCACGACTTGGCGCAGGGCTATCGACCTTCCCTAGTCTTTCCTCCTGAAGCCTTCTTCTTTGCTCAAGCTGTCTTTTCATTTTGAGGGTTTTTCTTTCGTCTTCGTCAGCTTTTCTTTGTTTCATCATAGGGTCGTCGTTGGTCAATGTGTTAAGAATCTTGTCCTTCTTTTGCACATTCTTCACAGCCTGCGTCAATTTTCTATGAGTATTGGTAGCAGTTGAAGAGGGCAAGAGACTTGCCGACTTTGTCAACACCGAATCGTTTTGTAAGATCTCGTGCTCAACGTGACTTCTTGCGAGGAAGTTGTCCATGAGAGGGAGATCTCTGAAATCGAAAATTTCTTTTCCAATCTTGAGTGATAACAGGCCATCGTCCCACTGAATGAAGTGCGCGTTGGACTGTTTGATAATCTCGTCGTTTCCACTGTTGGAATATCTCCACCGGATAGTATTCTCATTCAAGAGCTTTTCGGAAATAGAGGCACTGCGCATAGCTGCAGAGTCCAAAGAGCTCTTACTTCTTTCAATCGCACTTTGCTGGACTTTTTCTTTGAATTCGTTGGGGTCAAATGGGTGGGCTTCAACATTTAGATAAACAGGCATTTTTATTGAATAGGTGTCCTCTTCTGGCTTATATGACTTCGCGTGTCGTGGTATGGTAATATCAGCAACTTTGAGTTGTTTCTCAGATTCCTCTTCCTCGTCTTGACTATCCTGATCAGATTCATTATTGACTCTTCTATCATCTTCCTCACTTTCATTTTCGTCCTGCGATTGTGAGGCGATCTTGGAGGTTGTTTGGTCTTCATCTTCATCGTCACCAAATAAGTCTTCAACATCCTCTTCTTTGCCGCCCCGGTTTGATATCTCTGTATCAGACATTTTGGTTTTGTGGTGTGTCGTTGCAGTAGATGGTTCGACAACGATGTTTCGAGGTGAAGAAGTTGAATGAAGTTCGCGTCACGTGACCAGCTATATAATCATCGTTGGTCAATCAAGAAGTCTTGAGGCGCACTTGCGTGGCTTACAACAAGTACCCGTGTCGGGCAAGAGCATACAGTATGACAGCATTCTATGCCATAAAATCCTTCCTTATTGGTTATTTACTTGTGGTCATCTAGAACTACTAAAGGCACTTCGCGCGAAGCTGCAGGCTCAATAAGCTGCTGCAAAGATGGAGCACTCTCCTCGTTCTGGCCTGATTGCCGAGCATTAAACAGATGAAAAGTGGGTATCACATGTTTTCCGAAACCATCTTCATCTTCACTGCTTGCACTGACAAAGTCATGGTCTGTATCGGAGAGCGCAAAACTCCGCATAGGCTTGACAGTGGCACGGTACCCAATAAAATCGACTTCAAGATTTGGAGCCGAGAGAGACTTACTATGTTGTCTTTTGGAAGGGTCTCTTGAAGGAGGTTTTGCCACTTGTTTGCTGCTTGACTCCACAGATGCTGAAGATGATTCTTGTCTTGGTTCGCTATTGGGTAGAAGCTTGTACGAATATTGTATCAAGAATTCGACTACCGATTGAGATAGTGCGTACTCTTCTGGGTCCATGTCATGTGATGGATGCAGTAGAATGGACGGCTGAAATATAGCAGCTAAGTTTCGAGATGACATCAAGTTTTCATTAGAAAAGCTTTGAACCATGGCGAGTAAATCTAGAATGTAGAATAACAATTGCTTTGAGAGAGACGGGAGGTCACCGAGAAGTTGCTTGTAATCTTCAATAGCGCTGTACACATCGCGTGTGAGATTTTTGTAACTCTTGGGTTTTTTAGATGGTTCCAGCTTTGACAGCTTCTTTCCTTTGTCACCCGGAATCGAGATATTTCGTGCCTGCGCATCTTTTTCGTTGTCTTTGACGACGGAATGAGAGGCAAACACGTTTTCTTTCTGGGTCTCCTGGGACTTCTGTGTCAGGAAGGATTGCTCATTCACAGGACTCGATTGGGAATCGGATCTACCAGTCACGGCCGCTGGTGCGACAGATGTCAAGTCACGACGAGGAGCTTTCCGAGAGTTGTTGGCCTTATACTTCAAGTACTTGATAATTCGAAGTCTGGATCTTAAGGGATCTCTAAACTCTTCGTAGAGATCTAGTGGGATTAGTGGTTCAGGCAAAGCATTCAAGTAGCGGCGAAGCACTGATGCCGCGTCATGCACAGTGAACCCGTCCCAATTAAGCCTTTTCCCAAAGTCTGGTGGAGAATTGAATATAATTTGGAGCTCTTTTATCCGTTTTGAAGAGCCACCCACGCGGAATATACCTTCGACGTTGAGGCCGTTGTTTTTCAAATACACGCCACATTTGGCAACCACAATTGGAATGCGCCCGTAATGTAGAACATCTTCGTCACTCAGAGTGCTGGACTCCGAGCCCAAGATCGAGATTTTGGCTGCTGCCTGGCTGATTGCTTTCTCCAAAGGAACACCAAAGTACTTGGAATTCTCATCTACAAGCGGGTTGTTCTGGAGAAACGAGTCCCGGCGCTGTCTGAGCCCCAGACTGTTATCATAATTTGACAAGCTTCGAGATATAGAGTCTGGCTGTGAGTTGACATTGTTCGTTGAGCAAGACTTGTGACTGAGAAGAGGGCGAAGAAATTCAGATGCACCTCCAGCGGCTGGACTTGCACTTATGTATGTTGCCTGCAGTTGAGGGAAATGCTTTTCCCGGGTGGGCGAGGCGGGAAAGGGTATTTGAGAGTGATTGAAAGGTCCTGAATGGAAGGATGAACGTGAGGGGGATCGTGACTCTGAACCACTTAGATCGTCGTCTATTTCATTGACGGAGTCGTTCAGCAAAGCGTTTCGCTTGAGATTTTTGACCCAGCCAAAAATCGAATTTCTGTTCCCGGACTGATTCATTTGACGTGGGACTGTCGGGGGACCTCGTGAGCGAATGTTTGGCTGATATTGGGAATAGCTGACTCACGTGCGTCTAGATGCTATCTGGCGAAGTTTGATACGCGTGGAGTGACCAAGACGGATAGTTGAGTCTGAATACGTGCAGAGTCAGATAGATGTCTGTTGGGCGAGCCTTGAATAGAATTCTGGTAATAATGTGTGAAGATATCGAGATATAGATTAGCCCGTAGCAAGGAAGATGGGGAGCAAAGCGAGGGAAAATAAGAGTACGTGGTGCGCGCAGAATACACTATGATGCATAGCTGGCTGCGGACGTGGACGTGCTCGTTGGACGTGCCGGAAAAATAGAGTGCAATTATCCCTGGCATCGTCCTCCTCTATACACCGTTATAAAATCGGTCGCCGTCATACAGCTTTTTTTTTTTGGCAAACGTGCTGCAGTACAAATCCTTCCCCTCCGTCTGTGCTGAAAAGGTGCATTTCTGTGTCTCATCATTATTGTCCAATTTGGATGAAACGCTTGCACACTAAATCTAGTTGACAAAAGTCGCTAAAAACTCTAAGTTTAGGTACTATTCCTTCTGTTTTTGTTTTGTGGGGCTGATCTTCGTGGCTCACGTGAAACGAGGCGCCTTGGTCATGTCGATCAGGGTTACTCTCTGAAGAGTGACAGCGGACATTCAAAGAAATATTTCAAATTCTTTTTTACAATTTAATAACTAACTTCTTTAACCGTGAATATGTACTTTTCAGGACACAAATCTTTTTTCAACAAACCTGGACGAGGCCCCAGTATCATTTATTTTTACTGGAAATATTCGGTGTGTCAACACAAGACACGGTCGTCTCTGGCTGTATGCAGATTCATGTGGAAGGGAAGTAACCCCTGGAACCTGCGCTACCGAGCAAACCGTAGTCAGGGAACCTGAAACATACTACATGTGCTTATATCACATAGCCATTGTGTGAATTTAAGTGTTCAATCTTACACTGACCGACAATTAGTTGGTGCCCCTAACTTAAGGGAAATACTTGCTAGAAAATGTCGGACTTTTGCGTCGGTCAGATACGTGTTCCCTCTACAGACAGGCATGGCCGCAGTCTCCAAATGCTGGGCTGTGTGATGATTTTCAAGCCATGAATACGGGATGAAGAAAAACACATCAAATTTTAGCCTTTTCCACCTCCATGGAGATTTGAACACGTCGGTGTAGATTATAATCGGCCCCGGTCTTATGCTTGGACAAATCCATGTGGGGAACAAATGGATGATATCATTTTGAGCCAGATATAAATCCTCCTCAATATTTAGCTGATCCGTTGAATATCTTTGATTTTTAAGATTAGCTGCGCGCCACAAAGTTCATTCTACGCTAGGAATGTATCTACTGCCAAGTTATTCGACGAGAATTGAAGCGAAAATCGCCTCTGAACTGCATGCTGCTCCTGTACCCACTACTCGTTGGCTGTCCTGTTGAGGCTTGTCCGTCGGCTAGCAGACGCGAATTAACTTATACGCCACGGTGTTTGGCGTCTTAGCAGCAAGAGATGCTTGAAAAAAACAGCGTATGTCTTTCTACTTGACCATTGCGTCTGATGTCGTACTTAAAAAGTGATTTTCTGTTTCATTTATTTGATGTAAGTCTAAGATACACCTTGGCGCAGGTGGGTCGCGTAGTTTTCGTGTCGCATACTTTGGTGCAGGTTGTATCACTCCCGTCATCACAGCGCAAAAGAGCAGAACTTCAATGTGGATACTATCTTGTTATAATTTTCGAACCAAACATTTCGTGCGGGGATGCCCTCAAGTTAAACGGGCTTTTTGAACTGGAAGATGTCATCAAAAAAAATTGTATCAAGACAAGGGCGTATCAGCTTGCGGGCCACCTCACTCATGTAGAGAGCCCAAACTCCATCTTCGGAAAAAATTGGTGATCAGTGTACCAAGACTTAAAAGTATCTTCATTCAAACTATATGCTCGATGGGAGGCGATTGCAAATCACAGTTGTCGGTCTTTGCCATTAAGATCGTGGGAATAATTCAAAGTTTTGCAGCTCCTTACTATGCGCCTGACTCACCCACTTTTTAAAGACGTATCCTTTCCAATGATCGAAAACTTGTATTGAAGATATACGGAGGTGAATTAATTGAGTGAACCTGTGGGGCCAACTCAATGCTAACGCAGTCGCGGTCTATATGCAGCACGAAAGTGTACATAGCTGCTCCATCAGTGAGCACGTGAGCACAAACCAAAACAAATCTTTGGTAAACAATCAACACAATCTAATCAGCACAAAATGCCTCTGCCCAGTCGGAAGCCGTTGGGTCATATCTCCCTAAATACTGCTGGAAGATTCAGCAGGGGAAGGTACAATCGCAAACCCTCCACTTTTTCTCAGCAAATCATTCTTCATCCAAACAGAAGAGAAGAGCGAAGAAAATTACGACTAGCTGACTTCGAGATAGGGAAACCCTTGGGTAAGGGAAAGTTGGGAAAGGTCTATTGTGCAAGACATAAGGCGTCTGGATATATATGTGCATTAAAAGTTATGTCCAAGAGTGATCTTGTCCGTCATCAGCTTGAGAATAATCTTCGACGCGAGATCGAAATTCAACGAAATCTAGTACACCCATACATCAGCAGGCTATACAATTTCTTTTACGATGACGACAACGTTTACTTGATACTTGAGTATGCAGTGCATGGCGAGCTCTACCATCTACTAAAAATGTACCGTCGCTTCGATGATGTCACAGCATCCAATTACATATATCAGGTCTCCGTTGCGCTACAGTACCTCCACTCTAAGGGAGTGATTCACCGCGATATCAAGCCAGAAAACATACTCCTTTCTGCAAATAAAACCGTGAAGCTCAGTGACTTCGGCTGGTCCGTGAACTCAGAGCTTTCAGGTCTGGGACGCCGACTCACGCTTTGTGGCACTTTGGATTACCTCCCTCCAGAGATGGTTGAGTCAAAAGAACATGATCTTTCTGTTGACTTGTGGCTGCTTGGAATTTTGACTTATGAATTCTTGGTTGGGCGCCCCCCATTTGAGGAGGTCGACAAAACCGCCACGTACAAACGAATTGCCAAAGTAGACTTGCAGATCCCCGGATTCTTGAACGCAGAAGCTGCGAGTTTCATCAAGCAACTTCTACAAAAAGATCCCAAGAATAGATTGACCTTGAAAGATATCGAAAATCATCCATGGATGGTACAAAATAGGCCATATTGGCCAAAGTCCACGTCTCTTGCTTGATTTTAAAGGAGCATGGTAAATTTCATCATTTTTACTATACATATAATACACATCTGGAACATAATAGAAGTCACAGTACAATCATGCCGTATTTTGATGTTGCTGCTGCTGCTGCTGCTGCTGTTGTCTTTGTAGCTGTTGTTGACGCTGCTTGGCGAGTAACTGTTGCTGCTGCAACTTCATGATCTGTTGCTGGAATAGTTGTTGCTGTTGATGATTGTACTGTGCCGTCATAAGAATCGCTTTCAGAGGAGCACGAACTTGATAAATTTCTCCGGGAATGCTCGCGTAGGTCTGAGTATCACCATTTGAAGACTTGTTATCCACATTGATCAAAGCACAACGACCTTGTAATCCTCCAATTGAGCCTGAAATCGCCTGGTTAGCAAGTGTCACGTCTGCCGAATGAGCCAGCGAGTCCGAAGAAGCACTTCCATTTGTAATTAGGGCATTTGCGTATGCTTCTCTCATGTATAAAAATTTGTGCCTGTGCCTGACAGGTAGCATAATCTTTCTCTCTAAGGGAGCAGGACAGTTTTTAGACAACCCCTCAAGAACAAGCTGAGTCTCTGTATCGGAGTCGAGTACGATATGCAAGTTACCCAAGCCATCCCCATTCTCAGAATCACCCACAGACATTCCGGTGAGTTGGGCGTTTTCGCGTCGTTGCGCGGCTAGTGCATTGCTAGCTGCGAGTTTTGCCTGGTTTCTCTTTTGGTATTGTTGGAGAAGGACGTCATAGGGAGCGCTTCTTCCTGGAACGGCTCTCTTGGCTCCCATAGAGTGCGTCTTACATGTCAACGACCGTGCACAAAATCCACCCAGAGGAAGAGGAACACCGCACTGTTTCTCAACGTCCACCGGTCCCTTTGCTTTGGTAGCAGACTTAACCTTTGCTTGCTTCTTTTTCTTCGCATGTGCAGCAGTACTTGCACGGTTGTTGGCAGCTTCAGCAGCTGCCGCGGCTGCCGCCGCTGCGTTTGCAGCTTCTTTTTCCTTCTGCATTTGTGACTTTTTGTACTTCTTTTTGGGCCTCCCTTGGGTGTTTTGACTCGAGGACGGAGTCGCAGGCGTGGGAGACGCTCCCCTTGAAGAATCTACTGAAGAGTATTCGATATCAAGCAACGGGTTGACCGAGCGGCCCCGCTTTCTCTTCGAGACCGCGGATCCTGAAGGGGCCTCCGACTCAGGTCTTTTGTGTTTCATTTCAACACACTTCTGATGATGGGTGGCGAGAATTGCTTCACCAATAGGCCTGTTGCACGAGGTGCAGATTTGAAACTTGATTACCTGGGATAATAGAGATGACCGTGAGAGAATATTGACAAGAGCGCTAGAGGTAGCAGTACTCCCCACAAAGGAAGGGTCCAATGTTCTGTCTAACTTTTTGTCCAAGTACACTCCGAAATCTTTCCAGCTGATCTGTTTTTTCGCCAGGCTGGATGACTCGCTGTGAGAAGCTCTGAGAGCACGGACTTGACCGAGCGTTACTGTTCTTGACTGGCTGCCTTGGTCTGACCTCCTGGACATGCTCTAGTAGGTGAGAATCTTCCGATACCACAACCTTTGTATCTTGACGATTTTCTCTGCTTCTCGCCCGGTAGAATGCGCAGATGCAAGTCTCAAATTATGTCGGTATGAAGCTTCAGGCTAAGTCGGGTGTGTGTGTCTTTTAAAATGTCGCAGCTGTCGCTTTTAGTTCGCGTCCACAGAAAACGACTTGTGGTGCAAGGGTGTACGGGGCTGTTTCTGAGGGACAGCTGCCGCAACACTAATTATTCGGCTTGTACTTTCGTGAATGATTTTGAGAGATACTCTAATTGAAGAGTAAGACACCAACGTTGGATACCTAGAGCCAAATTTTTAACTCTGGTATCACAGAGAATTTTGACGTCTATTCCTTTTATTTTATTTTTTGGATCGGGCAAAGATTCCGCTCTTGACAAAAACTACCGGGATCTTAAGGATAAACAAATGTTTTATTTTCTTGTTAAATATCTGAAAGCAACATCTACTGGCAAATGAGATGAGCAATGAAAAGCAATTACGTGTCAAAAAAGCAATCGGAATTTAGAATCTGTGCGGAATCGGTGAGCGCATGTAGTGTTCATGGGCGATCAGGTGGAATCAATGTTTCGTTTTGTGGAATGTTACCGCCGCGATGTTTTAATGTCACGGGGTCAATCGTGCTAGAGGTGAAGGTCTTGTTGAGGTTCAGGTGGAGCTTTTTGAAGTGACGAAAGTAGCTTAAGAGCGGGTTAGTCTTGTTTTTCCAACAAGCTACTTCAATCACTTGAAAGCACGCAGGACATTGAAGAGCTTTAACTGTTCTTGTCTTTGATGGGTCAGTTGATCTCATCATCCGGTACCGGCCGTAGTATAGTCCCTCGGGGACAACAAAGTTGCTTGCAAATATACCATGTTCTAACGTCATGTGCGAAAGGTAACTGGAGTTTTTGAAAGGGAGAAACTTGACTGCTGGGCAAAATGCACACATGCCACACTTGCTCTCATTCACTGCTTTTCCTTTGGCATCAAGCTCATATCTGTAGTACTGGGGCTCGTATGGGTTGTGTATGTTGAATCTTCCTGATTTCACGTAAGCAATCAGACTGACAGAATTAAGAATGGAAGATATATCTCTAATATGAATCTTCCGTTGTAAAACACCTGAAATGAGCGATATTGCATTTGTTGGACCAGTAGCCGATGGCACCGAGCCAATTAGCTCTTCATGCTCTGGAATTGCATAAAATTCAGTGAGGGGTTTTCTCATGAGACTTGATTTGTAAGCGCTATCATGCTGCTGGTAAGCGACGTTGGTAATTGCATTATTGAGCACTATTTTGGTGATGTTTCCTGTGTAGCCATGATAATCAAGTACAATATTCAAGCATTGCACATACGATGGAACTACTGTTACAGTTCCCATAGGCTGGAAGCGCTTGGCAATGGGTTTTGGCTTGCGCCGCTCTTTCCTCCCAGAGACTTCATCTACCACAAGTCGTGAAGTGTGTTCTCTCTCAAATGTCTCTTTTGGCTTTCCCAAATTCGAAGAACTGGAGCCTGCATTTGTGTTCGCAGTCAAATTGTTGAGGTGGGGCTCATGGACTCTCTTTATATCGAATGTGTGCCACTCCCAAGGTACTTGGGTATTGTTATTTTTAATCTCTTCAGTAGTTTGAATTGATTTCCAACTGTCTTGGTTGTTTAATGGCTGAATTTCTTCAATTGGGCTTTTGTGAGCCATGGGAACAAAATTTTGCTGGAATCCTTCAAAAGTTTGGTGTTGAATCAACCCATTTTGAATTCCGATAGGTTCAGAAGCGATCTCGTTCAAGCTTCCAGAATTGATCATTTGGGGGTTAGCTGAGAGAGTTCTCTCAGTCTCTTGGGTTTCATGGATGTCCCTCGGGTTTTCCAAAAGGTCTAAGCACCACCCTAAACCTCCGTCGACTTCCCCACTGAGAAGCGGATTGTTATAGAACTCTAACATATTTTCAAAAGGTACCTGCTCATAAGATCCGGCCCCCAACTCTTCAACTCCATTGTCTTTGTGTTCTTGGTTCTGTTCGACTTGCCTCGGTACAGACTCGCCGCCACCGCCAAATATTCCCAAGCTTTGGTTGAAAATTGAGCTGGGATTATCATTGTATCCTAAATCGGAAAAGGAAGTGAACTCCGACGTTTCCGAAGTATGATTACTCGAATCAATTCCGGTAAAAAGCATCATACTTTCATCACTAAAATTCCATAGACTTTCTGCAGATAGTGTTTGTTCTCGGTGAATTTGCGGACCGCATGCTTCTTCAAAAATACTATCTGGATTTATGCCACTATCGTCTTCACCCTGTCGCTCCAACTTGATATATTCAGGATCCATGCCTGGCACCTCAATTCTCTTAGTACTTAAGTCTCTGATTAAAATAGAAGTATCTTTAACGGGAAATACACTAATGACAAACCAACGATTGATTATATGCGGCTTGTGGGTGTGAGAATGACCCCTAAGAATATTCTAAAACTAAATGCTGGCAAATAAGAACAAACAATTCAGAGGTTTATTCTCCCAGATTAACACTTTATGTACCTTTCCAGATTGCATAAGCATGGCTTTTTAGTTTAGTATGACATACCTGAAAAGTGATTTGCAGTCCTCCATAGAGAAAATCTGAAGCCCATACTGTATCCGCATATCATGGGTGCAAATCCTGCACCAGCCTCATCACATTTTCTGCCACTTTTCTTTCTCAAAGATGGATCAGACATCTATCCTTTTTGCTGTATGCTGTGCAATGTACACCCTCTCAGGGGGGCGCATTTCACTCGCCATAGCTGTATCAGTCTGGGTTTATATTATCAGAATTCGCAGTCCTTCGACTCTGCCAGAAAAGCCTTCGCCCATTTTGGAGGTTGATTTCACCCACGCCTACATGCCAAATGAGAAGACCGTATTCCCGCAAACCGTTCCCCTCTCAGCAAAGCCAAAGAAAGTTTCAAAAAGATCGAAGTTTCCCAGGGTCTTTAAAGGTACTAAGACGCTTAAAAGCACTCTGGAGACTGCACTCACCTCCAATGCTTTCAAGCTTTTGGAGTCCCCCATCTATATATTCTACACTACGTTGACGGGCTCATCTCATCGCATGGCAAAAACCTTGCACGAAAAACTTTCAAAAATTGAAGACTTAATCACCCCACCAAAACTTCTTTCACTTGATGATGATGTAGACGATTTGGAAGAGTTTTTCTTGAAAACTCCTAAGTCTTCGAAACCAAACATATATTTGTTGGTCCTTCCATCTTACGAAACAGATTCACCTATCGACTACTTTTTGGAGCATTTGCAAGAAACATCGCAAGATTTAAATACCCCTTGCGTCCTTTGGCTGGTTTTGCGGTCTTGGGCTTGGGTGACTCTGAGTCCTGGGGTGGTGAAAAGTTCTGCTACCAAGCTCAGCTCGCAGACAGATGGATGGGGAAGCTAGGTGCCCGTCGTTTATTTCCATTGGGCCAGGTTTGCATGAAGCACGAAGGAGAACCAAAAGCACTCGACTGGATCAATAGATTTGCAGAGCTCTTAGCGGACGACGAGCCTTTCCATGTCGATGAGAACGACGCAGTTGACGACAGCGATGTTGAGGATGAAATTGACATAGTCAACGATGTCGTTGACGTTGAAGATATGGGCACAATCATGAAGGCTTCCAACGGCACTCTCCTGGGGATGGAGCCCAAGCAAATGGTTGCTCAAGACTCTCCAACTTTTAAGTCGCTTACAAAACAAGGCTACACCGTGGTGGGCTCCCACTCTGGAGTGAAAATTTGTCGCTGGACTAAAAGTGCTATGCGCGGACGGGGCTCTTGCTATAAATTCGCCTTCTATGGTATTCGCTCGCATTTGTGTATGGAAACCACTCCGTCGTTGGCATGTTCTAACAAGTGTGTCTTCTGTTGGCGTCACGGCACGAACCCAGTCGCTAAACTGAATTGGCGATGGGAGGTTGACCCACCCGAGAAGGTCTTGCATGGTGCTTTGGAAGGTCACTACAAAAAAATCAAGCAAATGAGAGGTGTGCCCGGAATACAAATGGAAAGGTTTGAAGAAGCTTTCCAAGTTCGTCACTGTGCTTTGTCGCTTGTTGGTGAGCCTATATTTTATCCTCACATCAACGAGTTTGTTGGCATGCTACATGATAGAGATATATCCTCTTTCTTGGTATGTAATGCACAACACCCTGCCAACTTGGAGGCATTGGACAAAGTGACACAGCTTTATGTCAGTATTGATGCGCCAACAAAGCAGGATTTGAAGAAGGTTGACAGGCCTCTCAATTCGGACTTTTGGGAAAGACTCATTGCTTGTTTGGATATTTTGCGTACCACGCAAGCTCATCAACGTACAGTCTTCAGATTGACGTTGGTGAAGGGGTTCAACATGGGCGATATCAAGAGCTATGCAGACATGGTGGAGCGGGCTCAACCTTCCCAAATTGAAGTGAAAGGAGCCACATTCTGTGGGTCGTCGACTGGAAATGGTAATCCGTTGACCATGCAAAACATTCCCTTTTATGATGAATGTAAAGAGTTTGTGGAGAGTTTGGTGGAAGAGTTGAATTCCCGTGGACAGACTTACGAGCTTGCTGCTGAACACGCTCACTCGTGTTGCATTTTGATTGCCCACACAAAATTCCACATAAATGGAACGTGGCATACGCATATTGACTATCCGAAATTCTTTGAATTGCTCAAAAGCGGACAAGAGTTCAACGCTTTGGACTACGTCAAAGAGACCCCATCTTGGGCGTTATGGGGTTCCGATGAAGCTGGTTTTAACCCAGACGATACCCGTTACGACAGAAAAGCTGAAAAGCTCAAGAAAAAGGAGGCAAGAGATGCTCAGGTAGCCCAAGCAGCGCAAGCAAAAGAGGTGCAAAATGGTATATAGTGATTCATGAGCTTTGAATTAGTTATGTGATATTTTCTATGGTCATTAAAACATTGAACAAACTACCTCTCCAGGCTGCGTTCCCCATATGCAAGATCACAGTGCGGAACGACCCTCTCCAATCAATATACGCGTCCAACACAAAACCTCCGAATATTGTTCGTACAGCCATGTCCAAGATCGCTTTTATTCACCCTGATTTGGGAATTGGTGGAGCTGAACGTTTGGTTGTTGATGCTGCTGTCGGGCTTCAAGATCTCGGACATACAATTAAGGTATATACGTCCCATTGTGATTTATCGCACTGTTTCGAAGAAGTTAATGATGGCACACTCGATGTATCAGTTTATGGCGACTTCCTCCCCTCCTCGATCTTGAGTAAGTTTCACATTCTTTTTGCGATCCTAAGGCAATTATATTTGGTGCTTTGGCTCATCATCTCAGGCGAAATAGGTCAATATGACTACTTCATCGTGGATCAATTATCAATGGGTGTGCCCCTCCTCAGCATTTTTAGCAAATCATCGGCCAGAGTGCTATTCTACTGTCACTTTCCTGACCAGCTTCTTTCCAAAAAGGGTGGGTTTCTCAAAAGATTGTATAGGATGCCTTTCGATTATCTTGAAGAGTGGTCCACGGGTGTCAGTGATACGATTGTTGTTAACTCTACATTCACGAAGTCAATTTTTCATGAAACGTTTACGAATCTTTCTTCAACTGACCCGGGAGTTATATATCCATGTGTTAATGTTCAGGATATATCAACGAGCAATACGAATGGCGAAGCAGAACTCTTAAGTTTCATGAATGGGAATAAGTACTTCCTTTCAATCAATAGATTTGAAAGACTCAAAAACATTGGCCTAGCAATAAAATCGTTTGCCAAATTGCTCAAAGTTGTGCCACCCAGCCAAGCACCAAAGTTAATTCTTGCTGGCGGATTCGACTCGCGCGTAAAGGAGAATGTGGAGTATCTTAGTGAGTTGCAGACCATGTGTGATTCTCTCGAGTTGACGCACTATACATTTAGAGGAAAATTGGTTCTTATGCCACGTTCCACACAGGTGATTTTCCTACCTTCCGTGAATTCTGCTATAAAGAACGCTGCTTTGAAGCATGCAGAGTTGTTACTCTACACGCCCACATTCGAACATTTCGGTATCGTTCCAGTAGAGAGTATGTTGAATAAGACTCCTGTACTTGCCATCAACAAAGGCGGACCATTAGAGTCTATTGTGAACTTCAATGATAAAAATTTGAATGTCGCAACAGGATTCAATAGACCGAACGATATTGATGAATGGGCATCAGTCCTTGTCGACTATTACACCGAATTCGAACAGCAGACAAAAACACGCTTGGGGGAGAACGGAGCAAAAAGAGCTATTTCCATGTTCAGCAGAGAGGAAATGAGTCGTGCATTTGAAACTCGGTTGAACGCTTCCAAAGACACTGTTTCTAGAAAGGGACATTTGTATAATGCGCTTACCTTATGGAAGTTTTGGCTTCTTGCAATGTTTTTCGCTTCCTGCGCAATATTCTTCCAATCAGGTTTTTAAAGCATTTCGCAACATCCTCCACAAACCCGTACCCAGATATGACCTCTGAGTGTCATTTGGAGTACTCTCTGAGAGTTGGCGAGACCCAGAACCTCTTGTCTCAAAAAGACCTAAAAGTGAGGTTTCAGAAACATTGCTGGATTTCGCTACTTGCTTGTTGGCTTTTAAATGCTCAATCACGAGAGGTTCAATGTTCTTCGTAACATTTTTAATTTGTGTATCAATTTCGTTGTCCTGTGTGAGTTTCCATTTATGAAGACCTGTCGACGGACATTGCAAGTTGTAATCCCTGACGCCTTTATTCATGGCATCAATTTTTGCCTTGATATACTCCAGATTTCTTTTCAATAACTCTTTTCTTGCGAAACCAGCAAGGAGTTCAGAGTCCGCAGTGATAATGTAATCAATAATATCTGCGTCTACTGTCCCGACATGTGCTGACGCGGAGTCTATGATTGCCTTGATGATCTTTTTTTGGATCTCAAGGCGGAAGACTGAAATTTCCTTATCAATACCTTGCTGAGATTCAATCCAAACGGGGAGACATTCCTGATTTTTGAGAATCTGGTTCATGAAATAGTTCGAGTTTGTAGAATTTGCCAATCTTTCCCGATCTAGGGGTTTTCCCCTCACTTTCTCCATATCAGGTGATTCAAATTTTCCCGTCTTTCGATTTATGACAGAATTGATACGAGCGCTCGCCAAGTTTCCAATCATTCCTGATGCTGTTGTTGGTGAATTGTGACCAGCAAACATGGCAGGGCCCAAGAGTCTTTCCTGATACATTTCTCTGAATTCTTCTTTCTCCTTCTCCTCAGGTGTCAAAACCTTTGACAATTTATAGTCGAGTGATCCTTCTTTCGCATCGGTGACTCTAGTTCCAAGTGTCTTCGGCGCCGTGAATAAAGTTTTGTTCCTATGTAATCGTTTTGGTTTTGGAGCTGAGTCAACGAGCATTCTCAAAGTAGTGTCTTGAACCCTCTCAGTCCCTGTCCAAGGATGAAGGATTGCTTCGCTATCTTTTACTTTAATCAAATTTGCGCTTTTAATCAAGCCAATTTCCTTTTGAAACTTTGCTCCATAGTCCTTGGATTGTGCGTTATTCTGCAGTTGTACCGCTTCAAAAGTTTTGGCATCATTCTCTTTGTGATACTTAGTGTAGAGGTGCTGCAATGTGGGATTCTGGTCGATGAAGGACTTGGTGGATTCATCTATTTTTTGGCTGAGTATCTGTTCAAACCGCTCCGCAAGCGCTGAGTTGTCTTTATGGTTTCGGCAAGTATTCAGGAATGAACGCATGGGCGTCAGTACGGGTGGCAAGCATTGGGATTTGTCTCTCCGAATATAATGCGTGCGCAGTGAGAGCAGGCGTGCGGGGCGGCACTCGAACGTGTACAACAATGGTAATTCGATTACATTATAACATTTGAACTATGGTCTCGTAATATTTCTTTTAGGATTTTGAATCATTTGTTTTATGTCTCAAAATGTCATTTGAAAAACATTCAAGCCCGCTTGATGAGAGGCCACAAGTCGGTCAGATGCGATTCTTGGAAACAACGTAACAATTCTCAAGACATACATAAAAAACCGACCACAATCAGAATACCGACTTATAATAACTTGTGCAGTGTGAGCATAAAACGCAGGAACATATATGCACATGAGGCCAGAGACAGTGTGAATCAGAGAGCATAGAACACAAGAACTCCGCACCCCAAGACTACTGTAGTGAGAAGAAGCATCTTCAACAAAAAGCAACACACACTTGCATCACTTCCACCTGCGCTAATTATGAGTTGCTTCTCCAAGTCCATATCTCTAAACTCATAACTCTTTTTTTCAAAGTAAGGACGGGAGTCTTCGGACATCTGTGAAGTCACCGAGGAGACAGACGCTGAATGGTGCCTTTTACACTCTAACAGTAGCTCGTCATTTTGTTGTGGTCTGCTATCTGTGTGTGAAGTAGCCCGAGCTCTTTTTGGCGAGGAGAAAGTAACGGTAACAGAGGGCATCTTGTCAGGTGTCATCGTTTCTATTTGGTGACGCTTGTCGGGTGCTGCTCGTCGTGATCGACCTGTTACGTTCTTCTAGAAGTGGGTAAACTTAAGATTTGATGATACTCAAATGAAAAGAAAACGAAGAAAATGATTGGGTGCTTAAGGGTAGGTTGCCGTGTAAATGAGTAAAAGAGGAGTGGCTGGCTTTGGTGCAAGGTTCCATTCGAACGAAGGAGGAAAGTCCACCAAAAGCCAAGCCGCGGCAAACGTGGGGTTACACGAATATGATTTAAGTTCGAATCAAGAAGATATACCCCATTATGCAGGCGATCTCCTGGAAATCGACTTTGGATGACACCGATCAGGTAGGTCAGGCATATATGACCCGCACGGGGAGCTTCGCAAGAGGAACGTACTTACTGGTCCCGAGTCTGGAACCGCGCGCCCATATCGCCCTGGATATGCATTATGCCTCGCATGTCTCGTTCATGAAACTGAAATTAAGACGCCCTTAACATGTAGTGACAGAAGTTTTTGCTGCATTCAATTCCATTGCACTTATGCTATGAACTTAAATATACTGGATTTCGTCACGCAAGTTTGAAAACTTTCATGGCACCCTGAACTTAATACTTTTCCCTTAATTAGAGATATCAATTAGCCTTGTAATTTGTGTTTCGCATTTTTGTTCCTGTTATTATATTATTTTGTTATTCATGCGCGAGTTGTTGTGAGGGACCATTGACACGAACGTCCGTCATTGCACATGTGACCTGAGTGTTTATTGTAATCGTGGCATTCACGACACCCGACCAACATCTTGTAACCTTCAATAACTGAATTGAAAGCCATGGTTTCAGATGTCACCAAATTGAAGATCTTAACCTGTAGATTCTAATAGGCCAGGTAATTTGTAAGAAAAATTTTCCCTTATCCTACAAAAAACTTAAACTTTTTCAGTTGCTCAGCAACTTTCCCAACTTTTACACCTCTCTGGAATCAGACTACAAGAAGTAAAAAGCATTCGTTAAATATTTGTCAGTCACCTTTTTATTCTTTATACTGTTTTTCTTTTCAATAAATTTCCGCAGGTAAATCAGATACTTAAATTGAAAGTCTGAAATATTCATTTCGCTTGGAGGCTCTCGCCAGATCCTTGTTTCGACAATTAAGCCTTGGGATCTGAACCAGGAACAGTCGTTCGCTAAACGCGGCACATACCGTTCCTGCGTGAAAATTTTCAAGCCGAAAGAAAAAAACTCATATTACGCGCTATATTCAATTGTTCTCCTATTCGCGGGCGTATTCGGATGAGACCCAGCCAAGCACAAGGCAACATCTATGGAACAATTCTGAGAATCATTACATGACACAACTTGCCTAACAGCCAAAATCAAAATCAAGACCCACTTTGTTTCTAAGATTCCGCGCCTCTCCTTTACGATTGCCCACGATAGTCGAACACCGCATGAAAGCGTGCCCCAACATTCTGCACATTAGTTGCGTTTATGTGTCAGATATTTATGACATCGAAATTAAAATAGTTCAAAGTGCTTACGGGTCTGCTTTTGTTTAAGCACAACAAAGGTATCCCTACCAGTTATGATGCTTCAAAATAGACAGCAAGGGAAAGGATACCAAACCTTTTGGCGCAGAAGCACTCTTCCGATGAGAGGGGTACTTCGGCCGGATGGCTTTGAGGCTTATCTTCACACCTTCATTCTGCACAGTCCCTCACGTGCCCGTTGATTTCTCTGCCACCGATTTCTAGCTTCATTTTCGCAAACCGTTGAGCACCCTAAGATTCAAGCCATGAAGTTTTCATCTGCGCTCCTTCTTTTGGTCTCGTCTTGCTGCCTCACAGCTTCAGCCGCTTCGGCTGTTGGGTCTCCCAAAGTTTCTGATCTCAAACCGGCCGCAGGTTTACCGTTGACCGTTGACAAACTCACCGACGCGGACAACGTGCCTTTAGAGCTGGCCACAGATTCTGATGGTACAGAAGAAGAAAGCCACAATTTCCAGTCACTCTATATGGCCATTTCCATGATCATAGTTTCTGAAATCGGGGACAAAACATTCTTGATCGCCGCTTTGATGTCGATGAAGCATTCGAAATATGTGGTTTTCTCAGCAGGCTTCTCGTCCTTGGCTATTATGACAGTATTGCTGGGAATTGTGGGCCATGCTTTACCCGCATTAATCTCTGAAAGAATCACGAAACTTCTTGCTGCTATTTTATTTATTATTTTTGGCTTCAAGTTATTCAGAGAAGGTAGCGCGATGTCGAAAGACTCAGGGGTAGGAGAGGAGATGGCGGAGGTCGAGGAGGAATTGCAGGCAAGCAATATGAATATTCAAATGACGAGCTTAGAGGAGGGTGTGACCCAAGCACTTCCTGAGTCCGAGAAGGCAAACTACCTATCTCAATTGTCAAACTTGGCTTCCTTCATTCTTTCGCCAGTTTGGATTCAGGTTTTCGTCATGACATTCTTGGGCGAATGGGGTGACCGTTCTCAGATTGCAACGATTGCTATGGCTGCAGGATCTGATTATTGGTTTGTTATTTTCGGGGCCATCATAGGCCATGCTATATGTACCGCAGCTGCCACAATCGGCGGTCAGCTTTTGGCGACAAAAATATCCATGAGAAATGTTACTTTGGGAGGCGCCTTTGCATTCGTCGTTTTTTCGGTTTTGTACTTCTATGATTTTCTCAGTATTGATGCTTCTGACTCACTTTGAAGCTGTCTGAGATCTCTGACAGGATACCTTCGCTTAGTATGCCAAAAAACTTGTACTATATGATACTTATAGATACGCTGCACTAAGGCTTAGTGCTATATAGACTACTTTCAAATCATACTGTTGGCCCAATATCCATCACTCAATGACACCGTGGGTCATAAATTTCATGACAACGTTCGGGTCCATTGGGGGTTTCGATGTCACAAATTGTGCTGCTCTACCTCCTTTATCTATGTCGCCCGTATTTGCATCCTGGTCTGTCTCCATAGCACTCCTTTCGTCCTCTGTGAGAAAGCCATCGAAATTATACTCATCTGCCAATTCTTTGACCTTTAACTGACACCACTCCGCGATTTCATTGTCTTTATCTACGGATATTTTGAATGTTTCACAGCTTTTGATAGCCTCGTCTACCCATTCGTCTACCGCTGGTAGAGGCTTTTTCCGCAAAAGAGTGGTCACCAACCCTTCGTATTGAGTGGTCGGAAAATTCGGGAGAGGGTAAGCATTCGTTGATCCTAGCACTTCGCTGTTATGATCTAGTTGAGATGCAATGCTATGTAATTGTGTGATAAGAACCTGGAATTGGCCATGCAAGTTCAGGTAACTGGGAAGTCTGGCCTTTGGGTTTCTGTTGGTGTAATTGATCTGATCAGCCAATTTTCGCAAGGATTGGTAGACTTGGTGAAGCCTATTTCTAATAAGCTCAAGGGATTCGATAGGGATGTCATTTTGTGGATTCAAGTTGACTACCGGGGTTTCTGGCTGTAGTTTACTCATGACTTCAAAAAGACAATCAGTTGGTTAGCGTCGATGTTGCTAGCATTGATGCGCACTGAAGATTGTAGGTGTATGAGGGGATGTCTACCTTGGCCAAAAATGTATGTATGAGCAACAACAACCCATAGATCTAGGACTAGACGAAATGTCTCAGGCAAAAAATCATTCACGGCCTATGTGTATCTATTTCATAATTGGCATCATATCTACGAATTGAGCCACACCAAAATATTGTTGGACTCGCGCAAGGGTGCGCCTTTCTTTAAATTCCTTCGATGTAGCAAATTCATTCTCGCCCGGACCACAATTTGATTTGTGTCACAATGATACGAGGTAATTATAGCCTTGCCAAAGAGGTCAGGAAAAGTGAACAAAAGAGTAAACTGAAAATCCAATCCCGTCAGAAACATCAGAGCAAGCTAGAACAGCTTTCTTCAACCGACCCCATTAGGGTGTTTCTTCAGATCGAGAAACTAGAGAACATCACCGGCCCCGATCAATTTCAGCAAAAAAAACTAGCAAAACTCCGTCAAGATTGGTCTTTCATCAGAAAAAATAAGCTCCAAGAAGAAAAGGTCAACTCATTTTTGGCAAATCGAAAAAAGGCACAGGACGCGAAAGAAAAGGAGCAACGCAAACTACGGGGCAAAGACTCTGTCTACTTCAATCCAGAGCTAAATCCTCTTGGAAAAGTTCCTGACATCAACAATGTCACATACGATTGCGATTGCTTGCCAAATATAGCCAAACCAAGCAAGGTTACACAGATGTACGAACAAGACGAACTTGTTCTGCACTACAATATCAGACCGCCCAAAGGGTCCCCACCAAAGTTTTACAAGAACGTTCAGAATACGCAAAGAAGAATGAAGAGTATCCCACCAAAAGCCACAAATTCTGAAGATAAGACGCCACCTAATGCCACTGTATCTGGTGCCGCCAACCTAGATTCCGATAGTTGCCTGGAACTGAACTCGGATGACTGAATTGAGGTGGCTCGCACGTATATGACTATTTACAAGGTGAAGTTAACAGGGTATCAAGATAGAAGCCTAACCACGATCTCCCAAGTCCCAAACATGATTATTGAGTTTGGAACTGTCCGTAGCAAATGCGGAGTCAAACCGCCGTACATGCTAGCCAACCCCTCTTCCTTGATAACGAGTTTGAAGCACTGTATTAGTCCCGTGTATTTCGGCTTTCCGGTCTCCACCACCGGGGCCTGCCTGAGCCTTGTTCGCACGACTTCGTGTGGATACGTGACTAGAGATGCAACGAATTTCGCAGCACCCGCAGCACCGGAACGTGCACACCATTCTAAGACATGATCTCTTGTGGTCTTACTGGTCTCATCGTGGCCATGAATTTCTAATGATTTTTTGTTGAGAAACGCTTTCATTTGTTCATACAAGACCCATTGTAATGTAGACTCAATACCTCCCAAATATGATGCACTTAACCCTTTATACAAATTTTTCACACCTTCTGTCCTGACGATGTATTTTAGACAGTCCCATGAATTCTTGTAGTTCTTACCTCTAGTTTTGTCCAACTGAAGTCTGGTCTTGATTAGCCAGATTGGGTTGGTGGCTGTAGCTGTCACAAAACCAGCACTGATACCAGCCACCAAGTGAACCCATGTAGCCTCCTCGCCGTTATTGAACTGCTTCAGGATGATTTCCTTACCTGACCCATATGTGAAAAAGTTAATGGACCTTGCTGGAATGACTCCCACCAAGTTGGGGCCTAAGCCTCTAAAAAGAGCTCTTCCGCCTTCGGTGCGATATATAGTCAGAATGACGCCGCAGGTTTCTTTGAAATGTTGAAACCCTTTTATGACTGGGTTCCCAGACTTGGGAGTTTTATTGTATGCAGTGTGGTAAGAATCTGATTGCAACCTAGTCTTTACAACATCAAGGGGACAGGTAACAATAGCACCAACCATCCCCCCTGTGCCGCCAGCGATGAAATGAACCCATTTAGGTGTGGTTTTTGTCGAAATGCTATCAACAGGCTCAACCTCCTTTAGGGTGCTGGACCTCTCGTCGGATACAAGGAAAGGGTTAGCTGCATGTATGTCTTCCTCTAGTTTTCTAGAAAGGCTTTCTGAACGCCCACCCATGGTAAACTCTGAGAATATGTGGTTTGTCCGAGCCATTGGAGCGTTGTTCCTCAAAAGTGAGAAAATAAGGATGCAGGCCTCATCGCATACTTCTAATGACACCAGGGCGCGCGCTGTCGTCAGAGCACTCTCTCGCGACAGTACCTAAATTTAGCTTGATCAAATCACTGGTCAAATGCTTTGGAACTAAACCGATTAATAAATCCTTGATATAAAAAGCTCTTTTGAGATATGCTTGCGGAGTAGATAGTTTTGGATATCATTTTATATACATCCTAATCTCTATTTGAGGGTCTTAATGAAGTTATCAAGATTATACTCATCTTCATATTGAGCTTCGTCCCACAATTGACCCATCTCACCAACGGCATCTGAAGGTACGAGACCACCAGTTAAGTCCTCTGGAATATTCTTATCTTTTTTGTCATTTCCATTGACTTCCATTTTGGCGGCGTTTTCGTCGACGTCAAATAAGTCTAGCAACTGGTTGGTATCCATCGATGCAAGACCAGCGTTCTGTTGATTGACAATCGTCGAGGCAATATTCATCTTGAACTTCTGTAAACCCATGATTTTCTCCTCTAAAGTGGACTTGGTGATCAATCTGTAAACATTCACGACCTTCTTTTGTCCAAGTCTGTGGGCCCGGTCCATAGCTTGCAAGTCATTCATAGGATTCCAGTCGTGTTCCACAAAAATTACCGTGTCCGCTCCAGTCAAATTGAGACCTAGACCTCCAACTTTCGTGGTCAACAATAACACATCAATGGATGGATCTTCGTTGAATTTTCTCACGATTGCTTGCCTATTACGAGGATCCGTTTTACCATCTAGTCTCATGTAGGTAACTGATGGCATATGTCTTTTGAATAACTCATCTTCCACGATGTCAAGCATGTCTTTTAGTTGGCAAAATATCAATGCTCTGTGCTCTGAAATAACACCTTCGGAAGTAACAAGCTGCTGCTGTTTCTGCTTGGCCTTGTTCCTGGACCCCGAGAATTCGCTATCACGGACGCCGATGCCGCATTCTAACAAGATGGTCTTTAATGAGGTCAACTTCGGAGCATGCTCGATACTTCGTAGTGCGCAATTATTTTCTTTCAAAAATTCAGTTACTTTGGGAGCTTGAGGGTGATTAGGTGTCATCACCAACGCTGGATGATTGCACAATTTTCTCATATACTGAAGAATCTGGAAAATATGAGTTTTTGAGTTGTCTTCCACAGTGTCCATAGGGTTTTCTTTGGTGATTTCCTCTTCAATAACAGTTTTTTGTTTCGAAACAAAGTCTTTGTAGAGTATTTTTTGCAAATCGGAAAGTTCACAATAATAGTCCTGAATAATCTTGGGTGGCAAGTCGGACAAGACATCCTCCTTTAACCGCCGAAGCATGAAGGGGAGGACTTGCTTATGCAAAGACTCCAACGCCAAAGCCCCGGCCTCTTGCTCCCGTGAAGAAGTCTTGCTGTTTCTGCTTGCAGCTATTGGCTTTGCAAATTTCTCCATGAAGTGTTTCTCTGTACCAAGAAACCCTGGCATCAAAAAGTCAAACAACGACCACAACTCAAGCACATTATTTTGAATTGGAGTACCGGACAAAATCAATCTATGCCCGGCTCTTATTTGTTTGACAGCTTTGCTCAATTTCGAAGCAGAATTTTTGATAATATGTCCTTCATCAAGAACACAATAGTTGTACGACAATTCACTCAAGATGTCCGCATCATTTCTGCAAACATCATAGGACGTCACCACAACATCAGAGTCAAAAAGAGACGGCCTAATACTAGCTCTTATCGTTGGACCACCTGCGTAGACGACAACTTTCAAAAGTGGAGCATATTGGTTAAGTTCCTGCTCCCAGTGACCAGTTAATGAAGGGGGGCAAATAACCAAGCTGGGGACCTTCTTGTACTCATCAGAGTTGGTCTGTTCGTATTTTTCAGCACGAATATGGTGGTCTGAGGCCACAATGCAAATAGTCTGCAATGTTTTTCCAAGACCCATATCATCACATAAAATTCCGTGCAAATGATACTTGTTAAGAAATGCCAACCAATTAACGCCATCTTGCTGATACTTTCTCAATGTAGCTTTTATAGCAACCGGGAGTTCGAAGGGAGCAATTTTAGTCGGGTCCATCATTTGCTTTATAAACTCTCTCTCACGATCTCTTCCGGTCAAAAGTTCTTCAGGCATATCAGGCGGGTCAGGAATTCCGGCTTCCAATGGAACAAGCTTGATTATAGATGCAAATGTCGTACTCGCCAACACCCTCACATCCTGATCAGCATCGCTCATTCTTCCCATCACCGGCACTATCAAGAAGACAATATAAGGCAAGATATCAGATCCCATTGTGCTGGTAACATGATAAACTGTCTCGATCGCACCTTGTCTTTCCCTGAACTCACTCGCGTTATTAAGCATCGGAAGAATGGACTTCACCATGAAGGGAATGGACTTGGATGGCAAAACTGCACAAAGAGCGCTGAAGCATTTAGAGGAAGAGTATCTAAACACTGCAAGTTTGCTCTTGAGACCAAAAAGAAGTTTGGGTAAGATCTTCTCGCATTCCTGCTGTAGCTTTGGGCTAAATTGAGGAAGAATTGCCCTCAATACTCCCAAGGCATCAATAATACTTTGTCCCTCAGACTCATTTTCTAGCACAATGCCATCATACTTTTCCAATAGTTGAAGAGGTCCGAACAAAATTTCTTCGAGCTTCGGAAGTACCTGGAAAAGATCATCTCCGTAGGAAAGTAAAATCTGCTCCAAGGTCAAAAGAGCACCGCTTCGTTTGATCTTGGCTTCAAACACAGCCCTCTCATGAGCCGCAACGTCTGCAGGATCTTTTGTTGCTTCTTCTTTCCTGAGAGAGAGGATCTTGTCTTGCAGTTTGGCGTTGTGAATAAATTCTGGTACCTCAGACGTGTCGACACAAAGAAATGCGCAAAGATTTTTTAAAATTTTATCTGAAGCCGCCTTTTTCCCAATTTTGTTGAGCTCTCCGATAAGATGAGCCATTGAATTCGCTGTTCTTTGATGTAACAAAAGAGTTTCCTCTTGTTTTATGCTTTCCATGATTGATCGAATGATTGGATTGAGCTTTTTCGGAACTCCACTCACTGCTAACACTGCAGCTGCATATGCCGCATATATGCTTGTTGAACGTCGCGAGCTGGCTATCCGTGCTTCATTCAAAGCAACCGTTATTCTGTGCTTAGAGTCTTCCAAAGCTTGATTGGCAGATATGCGATTTGACGCAGAGAGGGTTTTTACCAACTTCGGGTAAGTTTCATCCACGATCTTGGATGCACTTTCTATTCCAAAGGCTTCAGAACCACATCCAGCTTCTCCTTGAACAACAACAGGTAGCTGAGGGAGTTTGCTCGATGATAAATTGGCCCTGCTTGTGAAAACATCGAAGAGTTGGAGACAGGCTGTTCTGACGCTTTTTAAAGTAGGCACAAGTTCTCTGTAGTAAGTGATATCACCATTGTTCGTCAATGCGTCAATGAATACATCAGTAAAAGCGTTGGTCACTTCTAAGGATGTCTTTTCTTCACACAAGTTTGCATACTCTTCGATTATTATGGCAGTGAATAAACGAGGGGTGGCATGAGGGGAGGAGAGATGTAATTTGAGTCCATCAAGAGCTCTATCGATCACAACCTTGTCCTTGAACTTGGAAAGAGCTTTCCCGAATGCCAGGGCTGCCGCAACCCTTGTGGCAATGAAAATATCATAGCCAACAAACATGACGTCGCCGCTGTGCATCGGGGCATCGATGTTTATTCTGAGCTCATCACCGGGACTAATTACTGGCTTTGTGTCTGCTTTCCGTTTTCTACCACGTTTAACGGGTAATTCGGTAGCTTCGCTGTCGCATGTGTCGTTTTCACTTTCTTTTTCCCATGAAACCTCATTATTTGCAAAATTGAATCCTGATGGTTTCATGAGGAGGCTTGCATTCATTTGATAATTGTGTCTCGCAATTCCGATTGGTGTCATTATCAAAGTCATCAAAGGCTGTAAGTGGGGAACAAAGTAGCTTTCCAACGATCTCAAACTGTCATTACGCTCGATTTCCACGAGCAATTTGTCAAAAACGACCTTGGAGAGGTTCAAAATTTCTGGGTTTTGTTCAACAAGCAAGTTCTGGAATAGAAGCCTCACAGCTTTGGAAGATATCCACTGCTTGGTCGTTGAGTCGTTTATATCAAGAAACTCGAGTATAGTTTTCAAAGTGGCTCTTCTAACATTTGTAATTGGATGTCTGAGAAACGGAAATAGCTTCGGTACAAGTGTTTCGAACGAGTTGCGGGAATTTTGAAAGTCTGGGGACTGCATGATCTGTATAACTTCGCCATGCGTGCAAAGTTTGGAGAGCAAGTCCATCACGGATCCAATGGACGCAGACAAGTCATCTTCAAAACTAGACAAGCAATCCCATACAACCTCCAACAAAGACTTCACGACCTCAGTTCGTGTCTTGACAAATTCGTTCGCTATTGGTGCCAAAGTTAGAGCTGCGACTGACTGGACATCATCTTCGCTTTCTTTTAAACAATGGAGAACCATCAACACGACGGAGTCTATAAGTGCTGTCAGAGATAAGAGAACTTCTGTACGGACGCTCACAAAATATCTCACCCCAAGCATTCCACCGTGCTTTGCTTCCCAAAATCTTGGGGAGTCAGGCTCACCCAGTTGCAGTTGTAGAACAAGGCTTTTGAGCGCTTCAAATGTCTTCAAGGTTGTGTCAGTGTCTAGATGTAGAAGTAGAGCAGCAAGCGTTTGTGCACCGGACTCCCTAACAGGGGCAACCACAGTGTCATTGACATAATCGGCGAACCTGTCTAAAGCAAAAAGAGTACAGAGACGGACTGCTAGATCTTGTAGTGTAGCCAGATTATTAAAATCATTTTCCTCCTTGGTCTTATTCATGATTCTACCTGCACCATCTCCATGAGCCCGTACCAACTCTCGAAGGCCCAAGGCCGAGCCATGACGAACTTCCCATTTGTCATGAAATAAGTCATTTAAAAGGAGCTCGTAGACTCCTTGAAATTGCCAAACAAGCCCAATAACTTTAGCGTGCTGTGAGATCAAAGGAGAAAATTCAGCAGCCTTGGTCTCAATCATTAACTTGGAACCGCCTTCTTGCAGTGTTAAATCAAATGGAGCGGGGTTCTCAGTCTGGGATTTTGCGTCATAGTCGCCATTTTCACTAAGTTTGCGTGAGAGGGAGGACTGAGACAAATCCACAGGTGCGATTTTACCAGCCGTGCATTTGGCATTCACTTTTGCTCTTCTCCTTTGCATTGCCTTTAATCGGGCACTGGCAGCCGGTGACTTTGTACTAGCTTCTGGGGTGACGGCGTCACTTTTTGGTTCGGATTTTATGGTAGAGTCTTCCTCATTTTTCACTTGGGCAACTTCTGGGGATATAACTTTCTCTGTCTTCACCACAGCTTTATGCTTCTTCAATTTATTGAGAAGGGTGTCACCGCCGCTGTCACTTTTCAGTGAGCTATACTCAAGTCCTCCTGATGCCAAGAGCTTTTTCCCACTCTTTAAAAGCTGTTGCAAATCCCATGCATCAAAAGAGACGAGTGTCAGAAGGCTTTCATTTAATTTGCGTAATTCTTCGTCTTGCTCGAGTTTCACGCCTGGCTCTTCTTCCTCTTTCACGATGCTGTTTTCTTCTAGTTTTTTAAACTGTTTCTCCTTTTCGATCGATGCTGGCGAATTCGGGTCCCATTTTGGTGCATGATTTACGATACCTCCAAACGCCCTTGCTGCAGCAATCCTTGTTTCCCATGTATCGCTCTTCAAGAAAGGATAAACTCTTCCCAAAAGTGAAATAATGTCCTCAGGGTGACTTTTCGCAAGATCGGAGAGTTGATCTGCGGCAGTGTTTCGGATAAACGGAGTGGAGCCTGTCTCCAATAGAATGACTAGTCTATCCAATCTCGACATCGGCTCTAGACTATTGACCAATGGAGATGCAGAATTTGATTGGTTATAGCGACTATGAATGCGCGAGCTTATCGCAAGGCTATCAAAAACCAGAAATATGGCAGGCCCGGCGCGATTTTTGACCTCTGTGTATAAGGTGAGACTGGAAATGTATGGGCCAGAATGGACAGGTTACAGCTAGGATCAATGATGAGTATGGTTGTGTACAATAAAAAGTGCGAGAAACGCAGCTGCTTATATACTCTTTGCGCTGCAGCGGACGCGATGTTGTTGGAGTGCACCCAAACCCAAGACCTTTGCCGTTCTCACCTCAAAATATTGGCACCCTGTGCGAATCCTTGATATGTTTACGCAGCGAGCAAGAGGAAAACAAACGCAGAAGTTTCGCCACCTGCAAGTTTCAGTGTACTTTTCGACAAACATCGCTCACGCTTTTGTTCGTGCTCATTTGACTCACACGTATAATTCTGCCTATGAAGTTCATTTTGTTCCAATGCCATCTGATGTCTTCATTTTCTGTCGACATGCGCTCGTTGGGCCACGTTCGCTGACATAATGCGGCGCGTATTTATAAACCACGAAGTAGGCACGAAAAAAGAAGATGCTGTTCCACTTCCAGGTTCATGATCACATCGCAAATTGACTCACGAATCAATTGAATGTGGCGGGAGTTACGTCTCTGCAGCTTGTCTGTCATCAATTTACCTTTAATCGAAGAAGGCATGGTCGGTGTGCTGTGCAATATTTTATCGCTCATTTGGAGTTCTTGGATGGCTCTGCTAGCAGACCAATGTACTAAAGATATTAACTAGAAACAAAAGTGCCATCACATGAACTTTTTCTCTCTTTGACCACGCACTTCGGCCTTCTTGTATTCCACGTCGTCCCTGCTAGCGTTGTACAGAACATTTGTTTCCTGATTCATTGGATTCTCGTCGGACTTTTGGAACTCCTTAAAAATCAATTGCTTCATTTGCTGTAATCTCAATCCCGGGGACTCCTTTCTCATTTCAGGTAATCTTCTTTCCTCATAGGCTGCGAATGCGGCCTTCACTCTTCTTTCTGGGTGCCTGTCGATATCTTTAGCACCCACACCAGCGTCCTTTCCGGTCAAAGCCAAGGCAGACAAGGCATCATCAAGACCAGAAGCACTTAATTCTGGCGTGCTAGAGTTGAAATCCAAGAAATCGTCAATCTTTCCTGTTCTTTTCGCTGCGACCTTGGCAGCTCCTCTCTGTTTGCTACTTTGTGGTTTTGAGGGCAATGATGCCTCCTCAGCTGCCAAGAGCAAGTCTCTCTCTGCCTTTTTTCTTGCGGCCTCTTCTTTTTTGAATTGAGCGTCTTCTTTCTTCTTTCCTCCCTTTTTAGCGCCGTCTTCCCACTGAGAAGCCTCTGCTGCCTCTGCTGCTTGCTCTGCTGCGGTACGCTTTTTGTTAGCTGCCTCGGCTTTTTTGGCATTTCCTGCCACTTTCTTTGCGTTTTCTCCTCCTTTCTTGGCCATCTTTGGAGACTGTTTTGTCTGAATTTGATACTTGTTCACAGATGACGGGAACTTCTTTCTCGACCTGGGTGGGTCACTCAGCATCACGTGATTCATTTCGGATATGTACATTGCACCTAAGTGCGTGTATCGGACATGCAAACTCGATGTTCCATTGGTGAAGAGAAAACAATATACATCTGAGCATATTACAATTTTGAAACTGGTTTAAACGCAACTCTGCCCACAATTTCCCCTCTTCTCATCTTGCGCATGTAATCGGGCAACTGATCCATGGGTTGAGTCTCTACTATAGGCTTTATTTTCCCAGCTGCTATCCATTTGAGCACTTCTCCCTGCTCTCTGGAAGTGCCTCCAAAATTGTAAATCACCTCCACTTCTCTTCTTGATAAATCGTAGTTGGGAAGCATGACGCGCAGCTTTCCCATTCCGATCATCACGATTTTGCCGTTGCTCCCTATATATTTGCATGAGCAGTCAACGCTGTTTTGGTTACCGATAAAGTCAAAACTCACATCAAATGACTCTTGCTTGTAATCAACATCCTGAAAAGACCTGTAGAACTCATGCGCCCCCAAACTTTTGACGAGATCTTCATTTTCAGGCTTTTGGTCGACACATATGATTTTGCAATCGAAATGACGCAAAATTTGAATTGCATGAAGCCCCAACCCACCAGCACCAAGAACAAGTACTTTGCTCGTAGGGCTAAGCATAGATTTTACTTTCATGATTGCGTGGAATGGAGTCAAGATTGCATCAGTTGCAGATGCGGCCTCTTTGAAACTCACAGAGTCAGGAATGGGTATTAAATTTCTGGGGTTTTCGACCAAAAGATATTCTTGGAAACCGCCATCTTTGGTAATTCCAAACGCCTGGTATGTGTTAACTGAACAGTGATTATCCCTTCCCTCTCTGCAGTTGTCACAGGACCCACAAGAATCACTTATGAACATACAAAAGCGAGCACCTACCTTATATCTCAGGTTGTCCACGATCGCAGACCCTGCTTGGGCGATTGTACCACATATCTCATGCCCCATCACCATCACATCTGGGGAGCCAGGATTTTGAGAGATGAGAATGTGATCATCAGATCTACACAATCCAGCTGCCTCGATTTTGAGTAAAACCCCATTCGCACTAGGTTCTGGTACAGGCAAGTTCTCAAATTTAACGATTTCTTTGGATCCACGCTTAAACCCATACCCTGTTTGGGTCCTTGGAGTAATCATATCTTGTGAAGAAAAAAGCCCAATGAAATGTAACTAAAATTGAAATTATCCGTAAGAGCGACTAAACGCGCTCATTATAAAGTAGGACTAAAAAAAGCTTCCCGATCAAACTCGCGTATCTTATAGCGGATTTAGTCCTTCAAGTGTGGGGTATCGAGAGCATCCGCGGCATAGTAGGATACAACGTGGGGTTCATTCTCTCCGCTCATAATTACACACAACGCAAGCCTCCTAACCTCAGCTGTCATATCTTGAGTAGGCATAAAGGGTTGTTGTCCATGTTGAGTCCTCATTAATTTCGAAGAACGTGATAGCTACATTGGAATTACGTAAGGCTCTGTATTGAGGATAAATAATGAAGGAACGGATTTTGGTCCAGACCTTTGTGGTGAAGTAAAGGAAAAATCCCAGGGTTAGACACTATGGTCAAAATAGCAAGGAGATGCAAATGTTAAAAACTTTTTATGTTTTTTGGTTGAGGGGCTTTAAACTCCGCATGACTTTCGTGATAATGAAACAGCACTAGGGAAATCTTGGTTAAAAAAATGAGCCAACGTTCAAATATTTTACTCGGATTTCTGTTTTTTGGCTGCTGGCTCGCCGAGACTTGGCACTGGCTCGCCGTTGGTTGGGGCCAAAACAGGAGTAGAGAGCTCATTGTGGAAGTCCTTGATGATAGAGTCAACATCATCAATGTTCAATTGTCTGACGTCACCCAACAATTTGATTTTGTTAGTGACTTCCTTACACTGGTCGTCCGTCAAATGGATGTTCAACTGATCAACTCTACTCTTGATTGCATTCCAACCCGTTAACCTGTTGGCGAAGTGAATGTATCTAGTCAAGCCGAAATCAGATGGGTTCAAAATCTCGTAGGTCGACGGATTGGCAAGAATAGCTTTGGCGTGGATACCGGCCTTGTGGGTGAAGGCACAGAAACCAGTGATAGGGTTGTTGAAAGGAATGTTGACTTGAACGGCATCAGCAACCAAGTTCTCCAAGTCTCTCAACTTGTGCAACTTGTATTTACCCAAGACATACTCTCTGTCAGCGGTAATCATTCTAGCCATCAAAGCGCCCAATGGGGTAATTCCGTTTCTCTCACCAATACCCAAGACAGAGGTGTCAATCAACTTGGCACCAGCCTCCAAGGCAGTGTAGGCGTTAGCAATGGCACAACCAGTGTCATTGTGGAAGTGACACTCAATGTCGCAAGAAACAACGGACTTCAAAGTCTTGACTAACTCGTACACTTGTCTTGGGTTGGCACATCCAACAGTGTCGGCGATACCAACTCTGTTCACACCGATCTTGCTGACAGTCTTGTAAATGTTGAGCAAGTCAACAATGTCTGATCTAAACGAGTCCTCGGAGGAGAAACGGATTTCAATACCCTTGGACTTAACGAATTCAATGACTTCAATGGCAGATTGAGCAATGTAGTTCATGTCCTTGCCGTGAGAGTACTGTCTCAAGAATTGAGAGGTACCGATTACAACATCGACACCGTCGACACCGGTCTCAACAGCAACTCTGGCGTCATCCATGTGACAACGAATGTGAGTCAAAATCTTGGCTTTCAAGCCCAACTTGCAAATAGCTTCACAATCCTTTCTCGATTGCTCGGAAGCGACTGGGGATGTCAACTCAATGTAGTCAACGCCAAAGTCATCTAAGGCCTTGGCGATTTCAATCTTCTTTTCGGTGGTGAAAAAGGCATTGGCGAATTGCTCACCTTCTCTCAAGGTAGATTCAATAACCTCGAACTTGTTGACGTTCGACAAGAAATCGTGGGGATTAGGACCGTATGGGTTAGCTGCCATTTTGTTTCAATTGATTGTTGTAAATAAGGAATAAAAGTCGAAAGTTCAGCGCTAAATCAGCCTACTTTATACTTTTCCAGTGAAAAATTTTTTGGCACTACATACTCCGGCCGCTTCCTGCATCAATAAAAGATGATGACTGATAAGTGCGCTATCGCCCGCTCTTGCCGGCAGCGCTGCGGCTACGCCGTCAGATAGTGACTCATTGTTATAAGAACATGAGTAATTCGCACCGGAGCGGAAAATCTTGCTCATCACTCTACAAAATGCCCCATGCTACAAGCACGCCCCTCACAAATGCCCGTAAATTTATTGACTCAGATCATCACACAAGGGGGATATGGTGAAAAGGGATTTTCGGTTTTCTTGTAATTTTTACTCGTATTTAGGTGGTAAAAGGTATTCGGGGCCAGGGATGGTGTTTGAGCAATGTGTCGGGCTCTCTTTTTGTTAGTGAGGAACACATCGATGAGTCACACCAGATCGGCTCGGCGCGTGACTTCCAGACACTTATACAACCTGTGGTCTAGATCTTTTTTCCTACTTCTTGAGCTCGCATAATTCTCTGAGTTGCTGTTGTTGTATGCAGTAGTAACCAGCGCTAGCATGTAAAAAGTGACAGGGCACTAATCTAATGAAATATTGTGCGTAAAACCAAACAAAGGAAAACAAGAACGATAATTTTAAACTATAACAATTAAACAGTTTTTGTGACCATCTTCACGAACCTGAAAATCTCGCTTCTCAACCGTATCAACTCGACATTCTTGATCAGCAATTTCCCATTTAATCTCCCCACTACGGTCTTGACTATGTCATTGATTTGCGCATTACTCAACCCGGTGATTTTGCTCCAGTCGTTGCTTCTTCTCTCGCGCGCCAAGACCAATCGGTAACATCCAATGATAAGCTTCTTGAGTCCGTAGCCCATATCGGTGTAGTTTGCAAAATTATTGGACTGGTTGACATACCTCAAGAGATAAATAATGTCCATGTATCTGAACAAATAAATAATGCCCTTCATGAACAGTGGTAAGGACAATTGGAGTCGGCTTACCAAAATCATGAGATACTCATCCAATGGCATTTCCGTGGGGTCAACGTTCCGAGAAGATTGGGGCGGGAAAGAGTTTGTGATCTTCATCGCCACATACTTAACAACGATCTTCATCACCTTGTTTCTTTCGCAATTGAAAGATTCAGGGCTCAACGCTGATTGCTTGTAGTCAGTTTCCGAGACAACCGGTAAGAGTTTTGCAGGGAGCAGAGGCTTATCGACAGACAGTTCTGTTTGCGTGGTTTCACATCTATTTTCTGTCATTGAAGACAAGATTTTTGCATCCTCGGGTATTTCTTCTTTCGCCTTTTCTTCTCTAATAGATCTCTTTACCTCTTGAGTTGCAGATAAAGCGGGATTTACAGATTCAACCTCATCTGCGCTGGAATTCTTGACTCCATTGGAGCTTTCTCCCTCGGAATCCTCTCCATCGTGGTCAGAGATCAAGAGTGGCATATCAAGATATGTTGACATCTTGTCTTTTTTACATTCAGCCAGAATTCTTTCAGGTATCTCCATTAGGTTTCCCATGGCTGTGGCTGACGGGACATTCGAAGCCTCAGTGGGCATGTGCGAGGTGTTTGCTGAAGGAAGGTCAAATAAGTTAGTCGTATGGGTCTCATGTTTTTCTTGAATTCCGATATTGCTGGTTCTTGGCTTTGGAACCATGTAATCATCGTTGAAAGTCACCATTGAAGTTATCATGCTTTGAGGTCCGGCCTGAGAAAAGCGATAGTGAATACTGTCACAGGAAATCAAATGATTAGATCGTTGGTGCTTCCGCTATGTTCTTTCCTTGAACTAATAAGCTAAAGCAAAACAAGCTTAAGGTATTTTTAAGAGTGCTTCAGTCGAATAAAATACGAAGTGTGTGTGATGGATGTCTCTGTACGTCTAGTAAAACATTGCAACTGCTTAGGTATGTGAACTGACGGAGAGAAATTTGAAATTCGAAGGATTTGGAAACGAGCTCTTCAGTTCCAAGAAAGCGAAGAGTGTAAAAGGTGTTGAACTTTTTGGCTCGCCTGAAACGTGTTGAAATATGTTTGATGAAAGAAGGGTGTTGTAAAGGGATGGTAGTTTCGCTGATTGATGAGCCAGGCTACTCCCCCCAAGACACTGAGTCATACCTCATTGGGTCACGTGCGGGAAGTGAGATACAAAACTCCGCGCAAAGTTATCGGAGTACAACAAAAGCATCATTTATTATAACATGGAGATCTTTAGACTGTATTTTACCCCAGTATTTGGCCCCATAAGAGAGTATTGTTCGGGAAGTTTGGTATGGGTAGGTATAGTACGGTTAGATTTCGAATATAAATCGGCTTGCTCACAAAGTCAACTAATGTTCCAACCCATGCCGCACGACGCGCGACGTGTCAAATTTGTCTTGCATAGAGTAATTGCAGACGGCCACATTTTACAATACACCATATGAAGCCAATTGGATACAAAGTCTAAATCATTACAGAGAACAGATCTAAGCCCCTGTCACAGCTGTTTGACTCTTATAAGACAATACCCATATACTTTATGTTGAAGTTTCTTGTGTATAAAACTCATAGTAATCGCAGTGACTTGCCGCTGGTAGTATGACTTGCCGCGCACATGAACGGCACCGTCGCATAGAAATTTTATACGAAAATATCCATCTTGTTTTGAACTCGTCTAAGGCAACATCTTTACTTATAAATTGATGAGATTCAGCTACTCCAAGTAAGCCTGAGGAACCTTAATCTACCTTCTGCCTTTAAATTTTATCTATTGCGTAAGTGGGCAACAATTATTCTTAGTATGTGCTTCTTGTAGGGCTCACATACTTGGATAGATAAGATTTTTAAACAATTTGGCAGAAAGTGCAAAGGTATGCTCATTTCTAATTCAAAATATTTCTAGGGAGCAAACTTCAGTAATTAGAAAATCAGGTGGAAGTAGGCTGTATTTCGTATCTCTCAATGGTTTACAATCGGTTGAATGCGTGCTGATTGAAATTGGCCATATTGACGATGCTATAACCCGTGAATTACTTTGAAAGTCTTAAAATTCTAACAGCATCATTGATCTCCTCTGCTCTAAATCTCTATTTTTTTTTAACAGGATCTCACCGTCTAAATTTATTTGTGCCTTTGATTTGGACCAAATCGTTTCTTCGAATTTGAAGATAAATGTTTTAAAAATTTGTCCACGGGCAAAAAACATAAAAATCACTCACGTGTTTGAAAATATAACACATAAATAATAAATTACCAAGTTAATCCAATTACTTCGAAAGTACTTCTTCACATTTTATTTTATAGTAGTCGAGGGTCAAGCTTTTGATTTTCTGTTCTATAATTTTGTCAAGTGGTGATTTCAGGTGCCTGTCCCAGCTGGGGTGAACATTCATGAGCCTTATCGCGAAAAGTTTTCCCCGTTTATATACTTCGATACCCCGGATATTTCTACCCATGGCTTCCACTTTAGACTCAATGCGGACCACTAGGACATACAAAGATGCAATTACGCTCTTGAACAGCTTGCAGTCAAATTTTGCTGCTATAGAAGCCGCCAAATCTCTGAGCATTTCACCAGCAAAACGCAGCGAGCTCTCTATCAATGAAGTACGTGAGTACATTAGAAGATTGGGATACCAGCCAAAAGATTTCAACAAGTTGAACATCATTCATGTCACTGGCACTAAAGGTAAGGGCTCGACGTGTGCATTTACCGAGTCAATCTTGTCGCAGTACAAGAAATCTGGCCATATAAACAAAATCGGGCTTTTTACATCCCCTCACTTAAAATCAGTAAGGGAAAGAATCCGCCTTAATGGCGCCCCAATAACGGAGTCCAAGTTCACAAAATACTTTTACGAGGTTTGGGACATGCTCTCTACTACCACCAGCGACCCAGAAGAGTTTCCTACATTGCAGCCATGCGATACTGTTAAACCCATGTACTTCAAGTACTTGACTGTGTTGTCGTTCCACGTATTCATTTCTGAAGGAGTCGATACAGCGATTTACGAAGTTGGAGTGGGTGGGAAGTTTGACTCCACAAATATAATTGATAAACCTACAGTCGCAGCCATCACATCGTTGGGCATTGACCACACTCACATGCTTGGAAATACCATCGAATCTATTGCTTGGAACAAAGCAGGGATTTTCAAGTCTAATTGTCCTGCTATAGCCAGTGAGCAAAATGAATACCCCGAGTCTCTGAAGGTTGTTGAGAAAGTCGCACGTGAAAATGGGGTCTCAAGTTTTGAGATCGTATCAGCTAACTTGATACCAAGAGACCTCGAGTTGGGATTGGCTGGGGAATTTCAAAAGTTGAATGCAGCGGTTGCTGTTAAAGCAGCTCAGATTCACCTCCAACATCTCGGAGTTAATGATGTGAATATCAACGACCTTCCCGACGAGTTCATAGTTGGTCTTGAAACCGCTCGCTGGGATGGTAGATGCCAGATAGTGAAAGACTTCAAAGAATACGAGGGAATCACGTGGTACATTGATGGTGCTCACACACTCGAGTCTATAAACGTTGCTTGCAATTGGTATGGGACCACTTCATCCAGCATAGGAAATCCGAAGGTGCTTCTTTTTAACCAACAAAGTCGTGAGAACGCCAAGGATTTATTGGAAAGGTTGTATGATGTGATCGTGAAATCATCCGATTCGAAATTTGATCATGTGATTTTCACAACAAATATTACTTGGTCTGATGGTAGCTACAACAATGATTTGGTATCCATGAACAACTCGAAAGATGATGTCGATAAATTGGTCATCCAAAAAGAATTAGCAAGCAAATGGGATTGCCTAGATAAGCAGCACGGGTTATCGGCAAGGAAACATATCTTTCCGGATATAGAGACATCGCTTAAATTCATCAAGAGCGTATGTGCCGATGGAAAAGAAGCTCAAGTGTTTGTCTGCGGCTCTTTACATTTAGTCGGAGGTTTTCTCACAGTATTAGAGGGCAAAAAAGAATAATTATTCAGGGTATCTGATTTTGTCAATGATGCATTTTTGATGTATAATTCAATGCCCGTGCAAGCCATAGTCACGATCTATAGCTAATAAGAAATATGCCTTGTATTAAGAGTTTGGCCTCATATTAACACTGTTTACTTAAGTTCGACTGAAGGATACAATCCTTTTTATTAGTGTTTAATTCACATCGTTACATTCTTGTCTTACTACTGCTTGGAATTCGTTTCATCTATTATATCATGCTTAGTTAGCATTGTTGTTGTTCACGATTTGGTCCTTTGCGTTCGCCACAATCTCGTTGATGTTCTCCAAAGAATGCTTCCACTCCAAAAGAGTGTTTCTAACAACCTCCCAGTCTTGCGCAAGCTTTTGATCGTCTCCAGCCAAAATAAGTCTGTTGACTCGAATCAAACAGAAAGTTTCTTCGACTTGATTCAACTTACCTTCAATAACGCCAGCCTTGATCGAATCGATTAATAATTTTTCAAAAGCAGCGGGAGAAGAGACCAACTCGTTTGGAATGTCGTTGTATTTGAAAGAACTTTGATGTGATTCTTTGTTTTCAACGAAGAATCTAGCCAAAGCTAAAATCTTAGATTTGTATACGACCTCCTCTGTCAAAGATGCAGGTACAGATGCAATAAACTCACCGTGAGTATATTGAACAAAGACCTTGACGAGCTCATCGGAAGAGTTTTGTTTCAAGGCAGATGCCACATTGTTATTGACCATAAAAGAAACATCCACCACTGAAGAAGATAAAGCAAATCTGATTAAAGAATGCAACTCATTCAAAGATAACTCATATCTGGATGTGAATGCCTTGATTAACTCCAAAGACTTATGTGTAAATTCCTTATCCAAGCTAATAAAGGACCAGAATAATTGTCTTACTTGGTCTTCAGAAGCATTGGCGGCTTCCAACCAGTCAAGCAAGTTGTCACCGATAGATGATTGAATCAATTCGAAGCTGGTTTCGGTCTCAGACACAATAGATAAGATGGATTGAATGGTGTCGATTCTACTGGCAGAAGTGGAAGGTAACAAATTGAAAATTGTGTTGAATGCTGACAAAACAGTGGTTGGTCTAAGAGATTTTCTGTCTCTCAAAGAAAGTTGTTGTGTTGGGGTACATTCTTTTAAGAGAGAGACTATCTTGGAGTCCTTCAGAAACGCTTGGTCGACCGTAAGTCCCTCAAGCTCTTTTATGAGGTACGCAAGCAAGTAAAAAGCGGGCTCAAATTCTTTATTGCTCAAGGAGGTCAATGTTTCCTTGGTTGATGCATTCAAGATTTTGGTAGCCAACTCCTTCTTGTTGGTTAATTCATCACCCAAATACTCGTTCAAGGATGTGGAGAACTCGGTATTTTGACGCACGGAGTCAATAATCAGGCTGTACTCGGTGACGGAGTCTTTCAAGCTGTTTTCAACGACAATAACAGAGGCCATATTGGATGCTTTTGAGTGTATTTCTGGTTTCTTATTCTTTTTTTTTTTCGTTTAGTGTTTCGAAAGACCTGCACTCCCGTTGAGAAAACTTTTCCGATGATCACGTGACATATTTGACTGGCAGGAGCTGTAATTCCTCAAAGGAAAGACGCGCGACTGAATGGATGCAAAAGCTTTCGCAATTATTCAGGCTTTGGGTCCTCCTCGTCTTCTTCTTCTTCATTAATGCTTACGAATTTGAGCTCGAAAACATTTGAAGTTGGAGCAGACATTGGGCTATCGCGCCTCCATGTATTAGTATCCATTGCAGGAATCTTGAGTGCTCCCTTCGCGAGTTGTGTTGCGGATTTGACGCTAGTGCAACTGGCATCAGTGTTCAGCATATTCAGGCGTGGCTTGATGATAACATTCAACTTGGTAGGTTTGCCATTTATAGGGGGTGAGATGGAGCGATCTGTAATTACGTCGGCATTTCGAGCCAAAACGGGCGTGGGGACCAACATTGGTCCGTTGGAAGAAGACTGATGAGACAAAGATGAAGATCTTAATGCCCTTGTCTTTGTGGAAGAGCCACGGGGGAATTCAGATCTAGGTGATACAGGCCTAATGGAAGCGCTAGGTCCATTTGAGCCTTCATCAAGTCGCTCGGTCATTTTTAGGATTGCACTGCTATCATCCGAAGAATTAGACGAGACCCGCGAGAGAGGATTCTTCCGCCTCGTGGCACTGGTACTTGAAGACAAAATCAGCGTATCGGACGGTAATCGGAAAGTAGGGGGACGCCGCTGACTTCTTGTTGAAGACAAAACTGAAGCGGGTCGTTGATTCGAATCTTGTTGAGAAACGCTGATCGATGAATCGTAGGCGCCATCATCATCATAGAAATCATCCTCCAAATCTGTTCCGTCCATCATATCTAGCTCCGATTCAGACATAGTATATAAGTGACTTGCCTGACTATACTGACTGAATTGAGATAAAACCGATTCGGGGCGTGGTCTCTTCGTTAATACTTCAGGTTCATTTGTCGCTTGTGCAGCACTGGAAGAATCTTCCCCAGTATTCAGGCCTTTCATGTCCACATTAAACTTTCCGTGATCATGAAGAGATTCTTCCACGCTCTTTAGACTATGTGATTGACTGAGTGCATGTACATGCTCAGTTGAGTTTTGCGAAGGACTTTTACGAACCTTCATATTAAGAACGCCATCGCCATTGTGACTTTCTCCCAGGAGAGAAATCGAAGAAGTCTTGGAAATGGATGAGAATATGTCGGTACCAACGATTTGCCCATCTGTTTGTTGTTTGTTTTTCTTCCAAAACTGTAGCTTCTCTAAAATTTGTTTACTTTTGCCTTTTTGTGAAAGATCGGGTCTTTGCAGCGTACTCGAGATTCGGCGATCATCGGTGTGAAATGAAATTGAACGCTCTAGAGGCCTCAGTGCTGTGTTTTGTTCCTGAGATTTGGGAGAAGCATTTATCCCTAAACCCCTTGGATTTGAGAATCTGCGGGAAGGGTGAATCAGATTTTGTATGATACTATCACTTGACTTTTTTGTTAAGTTTGAGACCGACGGTGAGTACTCAATCTTGTTTGAGCCAATGCTCAAGGTAGGGAGAATTTTCTCGAGAGTCTGTTCATCAGGAAGTTGATCAGAAAGGGAAAGGACACTTTTCACCCTCTTCTTTGATCTTTTTAATTGTCTTTTGGCTTCGTAGTATCTTTTTCTTCTTAAGCGTCGTCTTTTGTGTTTTTCAAATTCAGACATGAGTGCAAGATCGTAAAAAGCTGTAACAGAATTCACATCACCTTTCAATTTTGATGCCACTAGAGCCTCTATATCGATGTTTCCTTTCCGTAAGGTTTTGAGAAAATCTTTCTCCATTCGTGACTGAAATGGCTGAGTATGAATGTTATAATACTGATTGATTGAAACAATCGATTCAGTATCTGTCATACTTGAGCTTCTACGCTGTAATTTGACATTCGTTAAGTCGATCAAAAACGGAGAGTTTAAAATCTCCGACAAACTTGGCCTTCGGGCAGGATCCTTGGATAACATTTGTTGTAGTAGATGGTTGACGTCTCGGGAAACAAATTCTTGATATGTAGGCTCTGTGCTTATGATTTTCAATTTTGTCCTCATTTCATCGTCCTCATCAAAAGGTAATTGACCATAAACCATAGCATAGAGAATCACTCCCATTGACCAAATATCAATTGCAAACCCAGAGTACTTTTCATTCTTGAGAACCTCAGGGGCCATATAGGAAGTTGTACCACACATTGTAGACAAAAATGAACGCTTATAAGGATTAAACTCTCTCACAAACCCAAAATCTGTGAGCTTGATTACGGTCTTTTCCTGATCGGCCATCAAGATATTCTCTAATTTCAAATCGCGGTGTGATAAGTTAAGCGAGTGAACATATCGTATGGCCTCCACAATTTGATAAAATAGATTTTTGCAAGAATCCATATCTAGGCGCCGCTTTTCATATATATGGTAATATAGCTCATTCCCTTCACAGTATTCTAAAACCATCCACAACTGAGTCTCAGTTTTGATAACCTCATACAACTTCACAATGTTTCGATGTCGGAGTTGCTTGTGATAGTATATTTCCCTGACAATATTCGGATCCTCCAACAATCCACACTTTAATACTACCTGAGAGCGAAGTAGAACATGCTCAGCAAGATAGACTTTGCCAAATGCACCTTCTCCAACTTCTTGAAGTATTCGATAGTTTCCTATTTGAGATATGGTGGGCAGTGTAGTTTGCAAGTAAAACTCGTTGAAATCAGCTGCCAACTGAGCCGTCTCATTCTGCTCTTGAAGGCGTGCCGCTGTAGTAGACATTCGCTTGCGCTGATAAGACTGGGGAGGAAATTGGTTATATTACGTATGAAATTATGGTTCTAAGTACATTGAGGTTCTTTTCGTGTGTGCACTACCCAGCCAGCTATCTCGCCGATTCGTGTCTGCTCGCGCCTTGCTAGGAATTAAACAAATTCACTGAAGTGAGACTTGTTTTGAAATAATAAAATGAGTATTGAATCAATTGTGGTCGCCACTTATGTTGGGAGATTTCGGCTGTGTATACTTCCACTCTTTGCAGTGGGCGATTGAAGCTTGATTGGACTATTGCAAGATTGACTGGCACAGTATATTATGCCTTCCAGGTATGAGCTGCGCATAACAGGCTTGTTTTCGAGTAAATATTATTTCCTAAAAATTGTACTTATTTATTTTCGATTGACTGTGATGAGAATTCTAACTTCCCAAACACAAGGGCAATATAATCATCTAACTGAAAGTCAAATATACGGGCGCCCGTGCTTGCTGAGAAACGCCTAGTATGTCGCCTCTGCACTTTTCTGCAATAGACATGCCGCTTACTAAAATTAAATTTCCAACCGTAATTTTTTTTCATAATCCGCTTTAACCGCTTTAACAAGTATTCTGGTAAGGTACAATGATATTTTTGCTCATTTTGAGGTAAAACATTCTGCTCATTGACGTAGACAGCTAGCCTTTCGCAACTGCATCACTCATCGCCCATCGGTCGCGACCGTGACGGATGTCAAAACTTGAAACAACCACTACACCTTTCTTCCAAACTATGATATCTATAAATCGGCTTCGGCTTGATTATTGGGGCCACTCTAAATATGTTTCGAATGTTTACAAAACCCGAATACCAGCAGCAAATTTGTTACCCAATTGGCGAAGTCTTTCTGCTTCAACAGACATTGAAGATAAACCTACGCTACTGCAACTCAAGTTATTCACACAACAATCCCTAGACATGCTAGACTTCAGACTCAAAAAGCGCGAGTTCTGTTTTCCATACGAAGACCTTTATAGCATGAGCCATGGTAGAGCTGCAAAGCTCATGAAGTCGTTTGAAGAGAAAATATGGGCATCATTCGAGAAGCATTATCGAGACAACAAAATGGACACAAATGATACAACTGATCAAACAGTATCAATAACGCAATACTTTAAGCCACGCCCAGAGTGTATTCCCTCGATTGTGCAGCTGATATATATGGGTCTCTACCCCAGAGATCTAAAAACGTACTTTGGTCAAGAATCCGAGAAAGCAGCTCTCTGCGATATTTTGACAGAGCTTTACCATCAGCATTACTTACAAGCCGATCTCTCGTCTGATTTCAATTCAAAGCAGGTTGACATGAACTGGGATATTTCACGGCCAAGTGACTGGTATCCAGGAGCCAGAAAAATGAAAAGAAAGGTTATCATGCATGTTGGACCTACGAACAGTGGAAAAACGTACAACTCTTTACAAGCCTTTGCTAAGGCTAAATCGGGGTACTATGCTGGTCCACTTAGGCTCTTGGCAAGAGAAATCTACGAGAAATTTCAAAGCCAAAATATAAGCTGTAATTTAATTACTGGAGAGGAGGTTGTGCCTTCGCTCGATACTTTTGGAAATGTGGCCCAATTGTCTTCCGGTACGATCGAAATGATTCCTTTGCACAAAAAAATGGACATCTGCATCATTGATGAAATTCAAATGATTGCAGACTCAAAGAGAGGATCCGCATGGACGAACGCCGTCTTAGGTGTGCAAGCCAAAGAGCTTCATCTATGTGGCGAAGAAAGTGCGGTTAAGCTAATCCAAAAACTTCTTGAGACGACTGGGGAGGAAATTGAGATCAAACGCTACGAGAGAAAGGGGAAACTTACCATGCTTTCGCAGCCTGTTGGGAAGCTAAGTGCTTTAAAAAAAGGCGATTGTCTAGTGGCGTTTTCGAAGCGCAAAATCTTAGAGTTGAAATGTGAAATCGAAAACAGCACCCCGCTCAAAGTGGGTGTTATATATGGAGCATTGCCGCCAGAAATCCGCTCCCAGGAATCATCAAAGTTCAACGATGGAGAGTACGATGTGTTAGTAGCATCTGATGCGATTGGAATGGGCCTCAATCTCAAGATCAAGCGAATAGTGTTCTGGACCTCAGTGAAATTTGATGGATCGGGTTTAGTTGACTTAAGTGTATCTAACGTGAAGCAAATTGGAGGCCGGGCAGGAAGATTTTCATTGAAAGACGGGGAACTGGAAGGCTTTGTCACAACATTCCACAAAAAAGATCTCTCTCATGTTTCGAAATGTATGAGAATGCCAACAACCGATCTCGACAAGGCATGCATCTGGCCATCGAGTGAATTTTGGTCCGAGTATCTATCCAGCTTTCGCACACCAATGAACTACAAGGTTGGTGTCGATCATTTCTACAAGTCATTGAAGGATACCAATTTGAAAGACTACTTCCTCAGTGATTTCGACCATCAGACGCAAGTAATTGATCTCATTTGTTCGAGCGGACTCGACTCTCGTCTAACAATAGAGGACCAGTTGAGGCTAGCACAGGTTCCTGTGAATCTCAAACATGCCGAGACGGAAGTGATTCAACAAACTTTGCGTTTCCTTGAATGCATCGCGACGGGTACTTCCAAATCAGTTCTCGACTTGAACTTTCTTTACACCTCCATCTTGAGTGCTGAGCCCACGGTCAAAAACTCCTCTGAGAACATTCTCCAGATTCTTACGGAACTTGAGAAGAATCACAAGATTGTTCTCGTGTTCATGTGGCTTTCTCAGAGATGGCCGACGATCTTCGTGGATAAGGAAAGCGCGGGCGAGATAAAGACTCTAATAGAAAAACGGATCGACGAGGAATTGGGATGTTTGCGAATTGTGGCCAGAGCCGCAGGCACAAAAGCGCAGCATAAAAACAAACAAGCTCGTATATAACATGTATATAGCTATTCGTGAAATTAGAGAATGGAAAGACCTTTACTTCACGAGCCATGTATGTCGGAGGTACCGTGGAAGAATTGCAAATTGCACCCCCACGCGCTTAGCGTTGTCTCCCCCACGCGCTTAGCGTTGGCTCCCCCACGTCCTCTCGCAGAACCCTGATCCAAGAACGTTCTCTTTCTTTCGTCATCCTAGAAGTTGATAATTGATTATTTCCAGCTTCAGTGAGTTTTCAAGAATAAAGACACCGATTTTGAACGGTGGCATCTTGCGAGCTAAATCGGGGTACAACACAAATTAGCTGTGATGCCTACTGTCATCATCGTTGGGGGTCCTTCCGGTACTGGAAAAACCACCACAGCTGCGTTACTCGCATCGCATTTCGATTGCCCGTACATAGAGGGCGACGAGCTACATCCTGAAGAAAACGTGGCGAAAATGGCTAGAGGGGAGCCTCTCACAGATGATGATAGATGGGGTTGGTTGAAGAAGATCAGTCGCGCCAGTGTGGGAAAAGCCGCAGATCCAGCCAACAAGAGCGGAATTTGCGTTGCTTCGTGCTCAATGCTTAAGCGCGCTTACAGAGACTATCTTCTAGCTAACGGAAATGGTGCGGACTTCCGTTTTGTATTTTTACATGCCTCTTTCGAAAGCATCATCAAGCGAGTGGCCGCAAGACAAAACCACTTTCTCAAGCTGAACATGGTCAAGTCGCAGTTTGATATCATGGATGTGCCAAAGTCAGAGGAATTGATCAGAAACGGTGGTAAGGCAATTGCCGTGGACTGCGAGACCGGCACGCCCCAGCAGTTGGCAGAGCTAATCGTGCATCAATTGGATGTATAAAGCCATGCCGTCTGTCCATATTTCTCTTTGCGAAGATTCTTCTAATTGCATGGTAGCCTTCCAATGAAAAAATCCCAAGCCCACAGTACGTACTTTTTTTGTAAATCATTGATGTATTTGTTTGAGTTACACTCTCTAAACTGGGACAGAGCTTATTGGTGCGGGGGGCAGACGAGCCTATCGTGTGTGCGAAACAGTGCCCTTCGTGATGCCTCATTGCCCGCCTCCTTTTATTACTATTCCATTGGCTTGAATGCAACGGGATTCGG